GTTTAGGGACGAACTTCGTCTTTATACTCTATAATAATATATACTAAGCGATAATTCCGGCCTATTCTATATCTAAGAGATACCGGTCTTACTATACTTCTTCCTCTAGCGTATATCTAGTTAGTTTAGTAGTATAAAGAACTACTCCTAGTAAAGTTAGAATACGATAAGTTACTAGCTTAGTTAGGGGTATATTTATAATTTCTTCTATAAATAGATCTCTCTATATATATAGGATACGAGCTACTTCTTTTTATTCTATTTAGTTTATAGGGGTTAGATCCCTAAGGAGAATATTATTCTAATTTAGCTAGTTATACGCTACTAGAAGATCTTTAAGAGAGTAAAGTTCTCGGAGATAATATATAGGCCGGTCTTCTATTAGGTATCTTAGACCCTCTTAGTTTATAACTTCTCGTTTAATAATTTTCTTATAATCTTTCTACCCTAATTTAGTAGGTTCTAATATAATACTTAAATAATATATAAAGATAGTAGTATTCGATCTAAGGGATCTAAAATATACCTAGTCCTTCTATAGATATTCCCTAGGGGTTAATACCTATCTTAGTTATAGTCCTATACTTAAACTAGAAAGAAGTTCTCGAATCTAGTTCTATAAGAATTTAACTACTAGTCTTAATAGTTACTACTCTTTAGATTTATAAGTCGGATTTCTCTAACGATTATTAAAAGTTACTATATAGCTAAACTATATAGGAGTAATATATACTTTCTAACTAGACTTATTTCCTAGAATTATCCTAAGAATACCGCCTATAAGGTCTAGGACCTCGTTTATAGGCGGAATTAGTTTCCTAAGGATTCGGAATCGGTATTAGATTAATACTAATCCTATACTCCTTAAAGTGAATTAAGAAGATCGAGGGAGGAAACTATATAGTCTAATATATCTCTATCCTTCTCCTCGCTTTCGGATCTATACTATCGCGATAGGTAAAACTATTCTATTTCGATCTATTACGGCTATACTTATACCGGTATTAACTAACGGTCTAACCCTTAGCGTTTAATTCCGTTAGCTTAGGGAATAAGGCTTCGGGTTCTATTATCTATATAAATAGTATATTCGTCCTTTCTATAGTTACTAATTAGTCTAATATTCTATATTTAGTACTTTCCTAAGAGTAAAGTATAAGAAGAGGGTTAGGGTCTATCTACTATAACCGCTATAATTACTCTAATAGTATTTACTACTACTACTATAATCTAGACTAGTTCCCTTATCTATATAGTACTCCTATCTATAACTTCTATAGTTATATTAGAAATAGGAACCGTCCGGTAACGGAGTTTATCTATTATAGACTTAGGAATTATATTTCCCGTAAATCTACTATCGATTAGAACCTTCGTTAGCTTCGTCGCGGTAGTAATATTATCCTTTACTATAGTAAATATATTAGTCTCTATAAAGAAAAGTATATTAGTACTTAGCTCCGCTAGACGGATTATATCGTTATAAAATCCCTAATCCGGGTCAGACTTTAGATAATTATAGCTACCTACTTAATACGCCTAAATTCTTCCCGCGTAAGAGCTAATTAAGTTTAAGATTATAGTTATATTATTTCCCGTTTCTATCTAGGCCCTTTTAGTAGGTTTCTTCCCTTTCTTAGGAGGAGTTAACTATAGTAACTTAGAGATTTTAGTCCGAGCTTAAGGAGAGATATCGATTAGCTAGGTTAGGGTTATTTTTACCTTTAACTTATTTAATAATTATTTAATAGATAGAGAGGGCCCGATTAGAGCTTATAGTAACCTCTTTTACTTAACTACTCTAAAGCGAGGTTAAGCCTCGGGTCCCGTTATAGCTCCTATTAGTTTATCCTAATCCGAAGCCGACTATATCTAGGCCCGCTTACTTCTAGTGTTTATAGTGTAGATCTAATATAGATTCTCCGAGACTATTTCCGACGGATTTACTTAATAAACGCTTAGGACTTATTTAGTAAAGTCGATTATATTAGTACCTATCTAGTATTTTCCTTACCTATCTTAGTTATATAGGTCCTAATCTTCCTATCGAGATAATCGATTATCTTCTACTTTAATATAGTTTACTTATTATTAAACTTTATTAATAGTAATTATAAGTAAGAAATTCCTATTATCTAAAGCTAATAGGAGTAGAGGCGGTCGCTTAGCTAGAGTCTCGGATAGGGGTCTATCCCTAATATTTATTTCTTATTAATAAGCTTATCTCTAGATATCTAATACCCTAATTCGTTCTTACTTTTCCGCTAATAACGGATTATTAATATAGTTAGGTTATATATATTTAGTCTATCTATATTTCTAGTATACTATTATATCTAAGGCCCTAGTTAGGAATTAAGGATAGGTAGGTCCTAGTAGGTTAGACTAGTTTCGGTTAGTCGAGTTAGGAGAGAATTCTTATAATTATAGTTAATCTAGATATAATCGGGGTATTCTATTCTATCGGCTAGAAAGAATAGATCCCTTTAAGGCTTCTATTAAATCCGCTACTATAACGGCTATTCTTTTAGATTCTAATCTTAGCGGAACGACCTACTTATTATCTTAATTTCCTATAATCTATCGAACCTAAGTAATTATATTAGTTATAGTAATCTTACTCTAATTAACTATTATAGCTTATATAGCTATACTAACTAAAGTATCGTTTAGCCCTCTAACCTATACCTAGGCTAAGTCCGACTAGTTATCTCGGTCTACCTAGGCGCTTAAAGTCCTAATAGTCTTTATATATTTATTAAAAGACTTTATTCCCTATCGCTATTTATAAATATCTAAGATAATATTAAGATAGTCTATAATTTTCCGTTTATAGGGAAATTACTCTACTAGTAGCTAAGAAATCTCCGCGAAATTATCCTAAGTCTCTATAGGTAGCGAGAAGGCGAATTCTAGAGCTACTCCTCTAAGCCCTTATAAAAGAGTTATAGCTTACGCTTCTACTTTCTTATCTATAGTAAGCCTTAGGGCTATCTATTATATATACTTATACTATTTAATATAATATTAGATATTCTCGCTTAGATTACCGGAAAACGGGGCCGGATCCTATATAATATATTCGTAACTTAAAACTTTAATAAATTCTATAATACCTAATAGGCTTTCTATCGATAACGATAATAAATTAAAATTAAACGTAAGCTAAGAAACCGTTAATAGAGTCTCCGAAATAGTAGATTACGATAAAGACTCTAGAAGTAGGTCCTTTGAAGATTTATAGTTTTCCTTAGCGTATACTAACTTAGTAGATAGAGACCTATTTCGGTCTCTAGGGTATAAATATAATTCTACTAGAACCGAGATTAGTTCCGGTCCGAATTAAAATCGAGTCCCCTATAGGGAAGTAACGTAAATAGATCTTAAAGGCTAATCTAGTTAGTCTTTTAGTCGTTCCGTTATTTAGGTTCGCCTCTCTTAGCGTTCCCTATTACTTATATAGAATTTATACTAGTTATCTATATACCTTAGTATAATATACTATAACCGACTTAATAATAAGGTTCCTAGCGACTACTTAACCTATTACTCCGAATTTTCCTACTTAATAGCTAGGATATTTCGCGAGCTAACCCGATTAACGCCCTAGTACTATCCCTTCCTTAGCGTCCGTGTCCTTTTAGCTAGGCTAATTAGCCTATTCGCCCTCGAGGCCCACCGGATAGAGGTATAGCCGACTTAGGTCGTCCCTACGTCGGTCACCAAACTAAAACAATGTATTCTGTAACTTGCTACTTGACTAGAAAACTGAAAAGAATCGAGATACTGAAATTCAGACCTAAATAGGTCTTTGTACGAAGGTCTGTAACTTGGTATGAATGGTTGGTAAAATTGTGATCTAGCTAAGAATATGATAGATGAGGTAGGTTCCCTTTCTACCGCGGATTTCCGTCTTTCTGGAACTAAACTGCTTTGGTAACAATAGGCACGGGACATTGGGGCTTATATCCTTAAAAGTGGATTGGCGGGCGATCCCGTGTAGCTTTGAATCTTTGTCTTTGAAAAAAGATAGGAAATTGCCGACAGAACCATTTGAATATGGACGAAGCTGGGCGCTCGCGCTGATTTACCCCAGTCTTAGTATGGCGACTTTGATGTACGTGTAATGACTACTTAGATACCGGCGATAGCCTCATTGCTAGAATTCTGATATCACCGAGTCTTCCACATATCAGGAATTGCTGAGACAATTGATTATTTTAGGTCTCTCTGAGGAGAGCGGTCATATAGAGTCATCAAACTGAGGGATTGTCTACCACATTTCTGGCGGCCAATTTAGGGTATCTCCAAGCTGGGTCTTGTATGTCCCAGACCAAAACCGGACTGTATCAAAGAAATCTTAAGGCAATATAGATGTATCGTTTTGTGCGAAAAGGTCAGTTGAGCGTACGCACCGCAGATCCACCGATGATCCTCATTAATCTCTGCCGTAGTCCAGCCCAGTTCTCATGCAGCATACCACGTGGAAGAATATCGCCCCTGAACAAGGTAGCGTTGCCATTGAGATGAAGATCACGTCCATCTGAGGCCCAGCCTTGAAGATACGGGGCGAGACAGAAGCAAGGGGAGCCTTTCAATGGTGGATCCTAATCTAAAGCAGTCATGTTTCGAATTTACTTGGCGGCAATCGTGCGACGGAACGGGCCCAGAGCGACTAGGTCTGTACGACGTAAAGAAGATAGAGCGGAGCTTCAAGGTATAGATACCGAGAGGGAATGTTTCAAGATGTTCGAGGCGATACTCCTTTCCCAGATGGCGTTTCTTGTTGATAAGTGGTTTTGGTTGGGATATAAACGACACGAAGTCGATCAGTCGGAATTGAAAGGAACATGGATTTCAGTTTCATCTCTATGTGCGTTCTATATTTACAATGAATGATAAATCCCAAAATGTATAGACAGATGAATGGCATGGATCGGCAGGTCCAGGTCCAAACAGACCCTCTCCCCGTCCATAGAGTAACGCCCTTTGGATGAGTTTCAAGAGAACGGCAACAAGAACGCTCCAACACTAGAACGAACAATGTTAGTAATTGTACGTACGATGGGAAAGTAGAGTAAACTTACGAAATGGCGGCAAAGCAGGCACATAAAATAGTGCCCTCCAAATAATTGGTCTTTCCTTTGAGAACAATGAAATCGACCAAAAGAACAGCTCCGATCAATGTGACCATCTCGAATCTGTCAAAGTGCAGGGTCATAGGCTTCTCCAGAGCCCAACCAATGAGGACCATGGCAGGCGAAACCAACAGACCGATTTGAATAGCGGACCCCAGAGCAACACTGATGGCGAGATCCATTTGGTTCTTCGAGGCGACAACCACCGCGGTAACGTTTTCGGCGACATTGCCAGCGACAGGAATAATGATCAATCCGACGAAAGATTCACCAAGAACACCCTGTTCGTTGAGCACTTCGAAGCTCGAGGCGAAGTATTCGGCGCACACGGCGATGAGAATCGTTGACAGGGCGAGAAGGGTGAGTGAGATAGCTCGGTTGGCCCGAACAACGTATCCGCTGCAGCGGCATCCTCGATATTCTTCGAGCGGGTGTTCGGTTTGTCTGTGGAGTGATCTTCTTCCTTCAGGCAACTCAGTGGGGAACAGAGGCAATGCTGATTCTGCCTCTGTGTCGTTGACCGAAGATGCCCGTGATCGTACTTGCTGCATCTCTACCTGGGGAACATGTCTGCTCGATGTGTTCACAGCGTCTGGATGCGATTCGAGGTCGGTGTATGTCTGAGGACCGGTTGCGCGGGGTACTTGAAGTCGCGTTGAGCGGAATAAGTGAGGGTGTGATTTGAACTGGAAGTAGAGATATAAGAAATATGTGCCGAGGAGGATGATAGACACTCCTCTGCTGAAAGAAAGTGACATGTGATCAGCGGAGCTCACGCTCTTTACGCTGCCATAGAAAGCGCTCTATTCCAATATTAGTATCATATGTGATGAAAGCGCTTGAGAAATTGCCTTACTGGAATCATGAGGCAAGAGATTGTGAGATTGAGAAGTCCCACGAAGGATTGAGTGAGATCAGTGTTATAGGTCACATCGCTTGTGGAGACACAGCCTGCGATGATCGCAGAACCGAGAACGAGCAATAGATTCACAAGGATAGAGCCGAGAAGTGATGATTGAACGACTTTGATGTTGTTTTTCAACAATGCAGTACTATAGAATATTAGCTTTGCCTTGGCCAATAACACAGTAAAGTCAGATGCTCGGTGCGAACATACATACTAGATTATAGTCAGTATATCGTGGTCTAAGATAATCGGACTTCGAAGATCGTATAACTCACAAAATGATAAGTTCTGCTAGATTTCCAATGGTGATGTTGAGGAGAGCGCCAGCGGTCTCACCCAAATCTTCAGATATCCTCTCGGTGGCTTCTGTGAGCGTGACAGACAAGGGCACAATAGCAAGGAGGTTCCAGATGAATATTAAAAGCGCCGGGCTTGAAGTGTTGGAGATGACGATTGCCGATGCGGCGAAGACGCCCGAGAAGATGACCCTGGGACTGATAATCTTTTTTGTCTGTTGTCTGAATATCGTAGTCGACTTGCAGGGTCCATTGTGGGGCCAATCTGACACACTGTCGTCATCCGGGATGTGCGAATTGTCTTGTCGAAGAAAATTTTTCACTTTATGGAAGATGTCGTCGGGGCCTGAATTCGTTGAGGCCAGCTCGGCCGGTCCTGGATGATGGATAAGGGTCAAGATTAGCCTTGGCCCATGATCCTCAGGGCACCAAACTCACGACTTGGTTCATATTGGCACGGATATGAGTTACTAGACCTGTCGTCGAATTCGAAAGAACTATTTAGAGCGGCATGCTCATCGCTTGAACTCTCAGCGAAAGGATTGATGTCATCGAGGTTCTTGGCGTTGGAACCATGCGCTGTGGTCATCATGAAAAAATCTCTTATCGGAAATAAACAAAAAACGGTCTGTCAAGCCGTTATAGAAGGGTTCAAATTGAGGGCAGAATGGCCATTGGAATATGAAAAACGAGGGACTGAAAACGAGTGTGTTATATGGATTGGGGTCTGCGGGAATTGATTATCGACACAAGAGTCGATCCCGGCACAACCCCTTTTCCTTGTAACGCACCCGTTTAAACCACTTCGGAGCTAGCGGCTCTTGGCCGCGATATAAGTCGATGTAATTCGATATGATTTCCCCTTATACACCTCACAGTGGGACTGCCTGTGGGGGCCAGACACCGCCTGCCTACCGCCTGCCACAGATGCATTAGTGTGCGTTGTGATCAGCAGGAATCTCCCATGTAGCCCAGTTCGGGTGCCTCAATTTGGGACAAATGATATCCTGTGCAGATATAGATAGATCTCATGCTCCAACTTTCATCCAATAACCATGCTGGTGGGCGATTTCCTGCAATTTCCAACATTGGTTTTGACCGGCAGTACCGGCAGAATCATGGGGCGGTGTCCGGCCCCCTGCTATTTCGAGTGATGAGCGGTCACGTGGAAGCGGGGGCTACCCGGGCTAGTCCCGAAGAGGCTTAACGCTGTGCCGCAAATAAAAAGGGGGCAGTGCGGATACCAATTATTCTCTCGACTTCACCAATCCGGAGCTGTGATGGATGAGTTATAAAACAAGTTGAGCCATGATATTCGAGACTGCCCCACCAGGGAATCCGATCATGCCCTAGTTGAGAGATGGATCTCCATCCTCGCGAGCGAGATGGTGACAGGACTTGTGGAGAAAACAGGGCGGTTCAGCCAGTTGATGGTCTGTTCCACCAGGGTTTGGCCTCAACCCCAGAGATTGATGGGCTGACCATAGACCCATTCGGGTCACGATGATGAGGGAAAAGGGGGCTCAGCCCTCCAAGGCGTATATTTGATTACATAAAGCTGGAGCGGGTCTTCGGGATGAGGAACGGTTCGTTTAATCGCTCAGAAAGATGGAAGTCAGATTATCGTTCTAGAAGAGAGAGAGAAGGCAAATGGAAATCGAAGCTCGAACCCCGGCGGATTAGCGGGAGATCTTGTTCGTCAGCATGCCCATGCTCCAGGGCTCACCCCGGGAGACTCACATGTCAAAAGAATCCCACTTGGGCAAGTGATCACGTTTGACCTCTAACAGCAATCTCTCTACTCCGTAGTGCAAATTGTGTCAACAATCCATCTTGTTTGCCCTGAAGTCTAAATTCTAAAGTTATACCGCGAGCTTCCGAATCTGTCCAACCAGGTCAACCACAGTCTCCTTGAACGGCCGATATTTCACTCCAAACTCCCGAGCTACTGTCTCTCCATCAACCGAATAAGCAGGGTTGGGCTTCTCGCCCATCTTGTAATTCGTAGTGACAGTCTCCTTTGCCCAATCGAATTCATCACGAATAATATCCGCAGCAAAATCGTACGTGAACGGCTCCGATGAAGCAGCAATGAATCTCTTCCCACCCGCCTCGGGCGAGAGGAGAGCCTGAACATGCACCTCGGCAAGATCGCGCGCATCAATCCAAGCAGGCACCATCGCGCGAGGAAGAGGATTTGCGCCTGCGGCGACCTTCCAAAGCATCATGTTTGACTCGTTAAGCTGCTCCACCGTTGGCACGGGGTGCACAACGGGACCGAAGACCATAGGAGGACAAAGAGTGACCAAGTCGAATTGGGTCTTGTGCTCCTTAACAAAATCCCACGCTGCAATCTCGGCAAACTTCTTGGAGCCGCGGTATGCGGTGACGGAATCGGATTTCGGGTCGACAGCCTCCTCGTATGTCAGGGGGTTCCAGTTCGCCGCGGTATATGTGAATCCCGCGGGGGGAGTGCTGGTTGGGTTGATCACCGAGGCAAAGGAGGATGTCATGACGATTCGTTGGACTTTGGATCCTGGCTGGGCGGAGGCAGAGAAGATGGATTTGACTCCGTTGATAGCGGGCAAGATCAGTTCTTGCTCGTTATTGGTGGTATCATAGAAGAATGGCTGTGAATGGATGTAAGCTTTTGGGTCATGCGAAGGATTGAGTTGCCTACGCTTGCTACGTGGATGACTGCATCGATGCCATCCATTACAGAATCGAAGACTCCGATCTGGGTGAAGTCTTCTACAACGACAAAGTCAAGCTTTGAGGCATACTGTGGCCGCGCAGCCTTCATTTGCTCTCCCTTCTGCTTTGATCTTGTGGAGCCACGGACTGAGAATCCGCGAGCCAGGAGATTGTCGACGACATGGGCACCGATGAATCCTGTGGCGCCAGTCACAAGGATGTATCTGTGGTCATTAGCACGGATCTGGTAGTCCAAAAAGCAAAACTTACGAAGGTTTTTGGGTAGACATTGTTACCAGGTATAGATATCCAGTTCAAGAAGTAGAATGAGTATGAACAAGACCACTCGATCGAGAAACGGACTTTGTTGAGCCTATGTACTGGGGTACCCCGCGTGGGGGAAATGGTCGCTGACTCGGGGTTGGTGCGAGATACCCACACTACTGTTAGTGTGGGGGAGCAGGATGAGGCCTGGACGGAGAGATTTGAGCCGAGATGTTTCTTGTATTCTAATATTGACATCTATATCCATCTTCAGATATATGTATAAGGGGTGGTCTTTAAGTCTTCCAACATCATGCCGCGGATTTACACCATTATCATCACCGATTTATTTCTGGCTCTGAAGCACTTCCTCCGTTGTCCGGACAATAATGTCAAAGGCATTGCGGATATACTTCTCCTCGGCCATAGCATTAGCACTCACCACTCGGATAACAGCAACACCATCAACAGCTGTAGAAGTGATGAAGATCTCGCCCCGGGCATTGACCAACTCGGAGACCTTCTTGGTCAAACCGTCAGCAACTTCGTCTTTGCTCACACGTTCCAACGGCTCGTTGGATCCGTTAGACACAGCCTGGGGGTTCTTAACGCGGAAAACAGTCAAGCCGAAATTTGGTTTCGTGACCATCTCGAATAGATCGGACCGATCGCGCACCAGACCAGCAAAGATATCTCCAAGCCCGATAGTCTTGCGGATATGCGCTTTCATGCCGTTCAGACCGTAGCTGCGGATCACGAACCAAATCTTTAACGCGCGGAATCTGCGACCGAGGGAAATAGACCAATTACGATAATCAATCACGTTCCCTGTGTCCGAGTATGGGTTGCGCAGATATGTAGGTGTGATATCCAATGCATCGGTCAAATCGAAGCGGTTCCGGACGAAAAGGACGCTTCGGAGTGTTAGATCAGGGCATATTTCTCCAATACCGTTTGAGTAAAATCTTACCTAGCATCGAAATTGACAAGCAGCCACTTGTGCATGTTCATGTTGAAGCTGTCAACACCCTCGGCAAAGTTCTTCGCAATATACTGCCACTCATCTGCAACGAGGGAAGCACCGGCATAGGCGGCATCGACGTGCACCCAGATACGCTGCCACTCCGGCTTTTCTTGCAGCACCGCCTTGATCTCTGCATAGCGGTCTAGACTGCAGGTATTTGTCGTGCCAAAGGTCATCGTGAGCTGGTACGGGATAAGTCCGTCCTTCTCGCACTTCTCGAGGACATCACGAAGACGAGGGCCGGTCATTTCCAGGTTATCCTCCAACCTCGAGGTAACACCGCGGAAACGAGTACCCGCAATTAAAGCACCCTTAGCGGCACTGCTGTGGGTCTGGTCACTGGCAATAGCAACTAGCTTGCCTTGGATGTCGAACTTCCGGTCCTCGTACTCCATGGTACCCTCCTTCAGGCCCTCAGCACGCAATAACTCAAGCACACGCCTCTCACGCGCAGCAACGATGATAGTGGCAATCGCATCACTGGCACTGTTCTGGATCACGCCGCCACCATGGTTCTCGGACGTACTCAGGAAGCACTCGGGTAGTGCCAGAGCTTTTGCGACCCAATCCATGACAATGGTCTCCAATTCCGTGCATGCTGGCGAGCACAGCCAGTTGAAAGCGGGGGCAGTGAATGTGGCGGAGTACATCTCGCCCAGAATGCTGGGGTATGTGACGATAGCGGGGTAGTAGGCCATAAAATTGGGGGACTGCCAATGGGTCAAGCCGGGCTTGATCTTGGTGTCCACATCTTCCTGGATTTTGGACCACTCCTCTGGCTCATCGGGAGGATTCTCTGGAATCAGAGGGCGAAGGTATCCGGGCTCGATGGCCGGTAGGACTCGGCGTTCTGGGACAGTGTCGAAATAATTGAGGACTGGCCATAAGCTGGTTAGCACAGCTTATAGAGAGAGAGGACTATGCGCACTATCATCAATTGCCGAGTGAGCGGCGGTCTTGAATTGGTCGCGATCCATGTTGCGCGTGAACTAGGGATCTGCAATGCAGCTCTGAGGGGTACTTTTGCTTAGAAACGTGTGGCGATTGGTGGCACAGTCGGAATCTAGTATAGGTTAGGGGAACTTGAAGCAAGTGCACAAGTGAATCCTGCGAAATTAAGACCACAGTAATTGTCGAAGGAGAAATGTGGGAAAAGTCAGAGATGTTAAGCCAAAGGCGCGGGGGATTTTGGAATTAATTCCGGCGGAAACCCCCATCCGCCTCCGAGATCTCGGAAGTTTCCGATTTTCCGAGAAGTATATACCTACCCCATACACTAGTAATACAACCTGTTCTTCTACTAGCTCATATACCACAAAAGCATGAATTCCATACTGGAAAAAATCAGTTGAACTGGCAGTTTACCTGATATATACCTAGGTTAGGTGGCGTCTTTGTTCCGAGCTTGCGTCGGTACGGAGTGTTCCTCTTCCTTGGGGTCATAGATGGCTCCCGCAGGTGGCTTCCCCAGTCTTTTTTGCCACCTTCAGTCACTATCTCCTGAGTGGGAACAGTCATGACAAATACCATAGCGACATCTTTGCCTCGTTTTACCCATTCGTGGTTGGCTCCGCGGCAGATAATGACATCGTGCTGATTCGAGATCTTCTCCTTGTCTCCATCTGCGATGAATCCGACAGTACCGGACAAGATTACAGCATAGCACAAGCTCAATGTGCGATGGAACCAGCCTGTGTCTGTAGGGAGTAGCTCGAGGATGCGAGCGGAAGGGCCCTTGGTATCCGCCAATGGGACAAGTGTCTTATGGGGATCAGAAAGTTGGCGCATATTATCCACCGGATAGCCACGCAATCTGTGGATCTAGATGACTCAAAAACCAGAGTTGGACCCGGAGTCGAGAATGCCGGAGCAGTTGTGGGATCCTAAGGCGTCAGAATCTCAACGAAGGTAAAACTAGCCTTTCCTTGAGCATCATGGCCTGCAATAACGCGAGGAATTGGAGTATCCACGGCGAGACTGAGAGATTGGATGAAGGCCCTGGAAACGGGATATGGATAGTTTAGGGGAGAATAAGCTTGCAAAACTAGGTAGATCTGGCAGACATTAAATACGCGCCTTATGAGACCAAAAGTTTCACTGATGTCTACATACTCCATAGCTCCAGCCAAGTCCCCTAATTGCCTTCCTTATTATCCGGTTTGTCAAATCCCTCATCATAAACCTCTGCTTCCAACGGCTTCTCGTTGATACTCAGCTTCTGCATTGGTAAATACACAAATAACATGCGACACCACTCTGAATTACTGCGGTTCCGGAAAGAGTGCGCAGTACCCCGTTGCACACTAACATCGCCGCGGTGCATTTGCCGGCTTGCACCCGAATCCAGCAACAGATCAACCTCCCCTTCAATCACCACTCCATAATCGATACTGACAGTCCGATGCATTGGTGTGGACTTTCCCGGGCGAAGATCGATGAGGCGGAAAGCAGTTCCTCCGTCGACTGTGATTCCAGGAGGTTGATGCAGGAACTCGTCGTACATCGCGACGTCGGCCTCGGCGTCAACCGAGGTCGGAACGTTAGTCGTAGCGTATAACAGGGCTATTTCGCCATCTTCTCCGGTCGGTGTCGAGGGGAGGTAGTCGGGAACTTGAGCATGGGAAATAAATACGGCCTCGCCCTCGGTGTTGTGAGTGGTGATGAAGCGGCGGATAAAAGGAAGAGGGTTCCTCTCGTAGTTTTCCATAATCAGCTAGTACAGATGGCAATTGAAGATGAGATGAGTGATATTAGGATGGATTCTCTCGTCAGAATGTGCCATTCTGGATTTGACAACAAATTCCCGATGAAAATTTGTCACATCATGGTGGCATCATCCTGTAGAGACCTAAGTACCTAGGTTTAAGCATAAGTCTGTTCCAGGGTTGAGCAAAGTCAAATTATCAAAAGCGATGCCCAGATGACTTTTGGATTCAAAATACCTTCCAAATAGGCTATGGAATTGCGGGCTTCTTTATAATCTGCCCGAATTTGTCGTTCAAATGATTCTCCAACATTCGTCTGTGCCCATCGGATACTTTCATTTTGTCTTTCATACTGTTGGCCAAGTTTTCAATGCATTCATCCAGACTAGGGCCACCGATGAAGATGTCCTCGTCCCCTTTCGCAGCAACTGTTTCCTCCCAAAGGCCTTCCAACTCCTCTAACCATCCAAGTGCATCGGCTAGCCGACGAACAATGTCGTCACAACTGCCAATGATGCATACATCTTGATCTTGATTGCCTATGTATCCAGTCTTTTCATTGTTTATCAAAACCCGCGGAACACCATCCTTCACCAGACCTGGCAGCCTGGAAGTGGGCGCCACCCTCAAACTAGTCCCCATGACAAGCATCAAGTCTGCCTCGAGGACCTCTTTCTCCTTCTCTTCAAACTCAGCCGGCAAAGCCTGCCCGAAGAAAACAACATCTGGTTTCACCGCACCCCCACAATCGGCCTCAAGACAATAAGGCACTTCACCAGCTCCAATCGCCTTCTTCATGAGATCGTCGGGATAATGTGCCTTGCACTTATAGCAATGCTGACTCTTCCAGTTTCCATGAGTCGACAGAATCTTTTCCGGGGGATTCCAGCATCTTGCTCCAGTCCATCAATATTCTGAGTGAAGAGAAAGTGAAGCAGATTTTTCTTCGCTAACAATGCCAGGAACGCATGTGTCATAGTTGGTTTGATGTTCCCTGGGTGTCGAGCACGGGCGATCGCATAGAATGGCTCGGGCGTGTGGGAGAAATAATTGATGTGAAAGATGGCTTCCGGATATGGGAGCTTCAGTGGAGCAAGTCTATCATACAGGCCTGTATCTGGAGACCTGAAGTCTGGGATTCCCGCGCCGGTGCTGATACCGGCACCAGTCAATACGACAATCCGAGTCGCTTTACCACGTTTGATGAGATCGGCGACTGACTGAATTTCGGGGCTCATACTCGCATTTGTTGCCTGCTGCATCGTATCGGACATATTCTTGGGCTTGGGATGTAAATACTAGTTGATGGTTGGAAGTAACTGATTGTTTTTATTTTGGGCTTTTGGGCTTTCAAAGAAGCGTGGTGATGCCAGCGCACCAACGCCTGGGGAGAGGTAGGAGGGTCGGTGCGCTGGCCTTAGTACGGCCACAACGGCCAATCGGACTACCCGCTTTTTATTGCAGAGCCTCATCATTGACCATATCTTGCATGATGTCTTATAGCCAGTGTCGAATCAGCGGGGCAAGGGATATTATTTATTATTCGCCTGGCAAAGTGGCATTCGTTAATTCAGTCAACAGCCCTGTCCAGTCTGGTGTATCCAGCTCAACATTAGCGCTGCTGTCTAACATCTCCGCCCATATTTCTTCAAGAGGCAACGGGCTGAACGATGTATTCCCTGAAGGGTAGAAGGTCGATTGTCCATCCGAAGTCTGTGGGGCAACGGATGTACATTTGGTACTCAATGAGTCAGGCGTAGGCATCTCTGGCTGTGCGGCATTGGATATTGGCCCATTCGACGTCGAGAATATGGAGAGTTCTTGTAAGTCGCGAGAAACTGCGATCTTCTCCTGCGTCCAATGTTTTCGCAAGATCCCCATCATTGCATTGATTCCTTCACGGGCGATGGGTGAGGATTGTTGCGCGCGGCTGAGCATTCGACAAGCATCCAGCACCTCCTCCTTTCGTTTTTCAGCTAAAATGTCATCCCAATTAAAACAGACGTCTATCAAAAGAATCACAGCTGCCATGAAGACATGGTGCATGACCGACCATATAACCGAACTGTGTGGCGTGAATATGGGCTCCTCCTCGTCCATAATGCGTTTCACTTCAAGGACTTTGCGTGCAGAACGAAGAGATATGACGTGTGAATAAGAATACTTGGGGTCTCTTGCTCCACGCACAAAATAGTGGCGATGCAAGCGACAGAGCCTTGAATAATAACCCTGCTGAATAAGGGCTCGTTGCCACGCAAGAGTCGGTCGTTCATGAAAGATTGCTGAGTATTTTCGCCTAGAGGCTTGATCAAAGCGGAAGAAATCAGGGATCTCAGTGCATGACTCATGAAGCTTTCGATCGAGCATGAGGATCTTCTCATATGGTATTTCCTGTTCGTGGAGATGGTAGAATGCCAACTCATCCACCATTTGGCGACAAACAACAGCCAACCTCAATCGACATAGACTATATGACATTTCGGTTGGAGTAGAAAGAGGGACACCGTTTTTATCCTGGTCGATTTCGTCATCCTCAATATTTAGAGGCTCTTTCACAACCATAAATTGAGGTTGTATCGAGTAGGTCCACTCTTGAGGCCCACTCAAAAACCCTATCAACCTTCAGAAATCATCAGTCGTTGCATGGATAGGGTCTGTCATTAAGAACATACCAGTCGTACGTTGCCAAGTCCCACCACAACCGTCGTTTGAGTTCAACATTGGTCTTGTCGAATTGATTTGTCGCGCGCTCATTCACAAACCGAGGACAGTCCACAAGGTGAAGCCCCATACTGGTGGCTTGAGTCACGAATGATCTGTGCACGAATAATGCACTCACGGAAGGAGGAAAATTCATATTGGATAGATGGTGCCCAATGATCATGGTAGCCTGTAGCCCTTCAAGACTGGGATACGGAATATAATTGCTTTGAATCAACGCAGCTCCTGTCAGAAATGTGCTCTCTTGACTGAATGCCTCTGCATACTCGCATGGCTCTAATAGGAGCCGATAATACAGGGCGGCAGCAGAGACACTGAACAGCAGGGCAGCGTGGGCTAAGTTTATACCCTCATCCTTAGCAACGCATTCGTATATCGTCTGAATCTGTCGTTCAAGACGACTGGGTATGATGAGATGGTACTGGAAGTCAAGGTATTTACAGTAATATCGAAATAAACTCATTGCTTCTGCCAGTGGTGGCAGGTATGAGGGCAAATGGATAGTTGCTGGATTGTAACTAGAGGCAATTGGCCGTTCCCGCATTACAGCGAATTGGCCACCGGGCGTGGTAGTTTGGTGCGAGGGTGAGTGCTCAGCTTCCTGGTGCTGGGAAACCTCCGCCCTCAACGTGGCAGGGACTGCACTCGGAACGCGGTGCCCCATAACGATCTTCTCAAGCCAATCGGCCGTCAATAGAGGCTCATTTCCACTGCGGCTTTGTGTATCGGAGCTCTGTCGTGGAGTCCACTGTGAGATCCGAGGAGCCTCAGACACGCGATCATTTAACATTGACCCCCGCTCTGGTTGGGCCATGGGCTGCACAGGATGGGTCACCCCGGGATTGATGCTACCATAGTTGCACTCTAATTTGCGTGTAGAGCAGCTACTGCATGGAAGTCCTCTGTCGCACTTTAACTTCTTCTTTCGACATGATTCGCAGGAAACGGGATCTTGTCGAGAGTGTCTCTTCGGGCCTGGCGTGGAGGCTCCGACATCCGATCTTCGTTTCATACTGTAAGACTCTCCGAGATATTCCAACAGTGATCGTGACAGCGAAAGCGAAAAAGCTGCGCGGTTATCGCTTGTTCTGCATAGGAGACTGTACAGTGTGATGTTTGTTTGACCGGAGCTTCCATGGGGCCTCCGGTGCTAAACCCAATACGGTGGTTCAACCTCCGGAGGCCAGACGCACCCCGGAGTCTCCGAGCATATTTCTTTTCTTTGCCTTGCAGATGTAAATAATTAAATTGATTATAAAGAAGAGAGTCCCCTGAAAATGCTTTTGCCTCTCAATAGAGCCACTAGATCTCCGGATCAGTTTTGTCATCACACCAGCTTTGCAGTTCCTACTTACCGGCAAAATGGCGTCGGAGGACCCTACCCCCAATGAATATACGTATGTGAATTGTGCTTGAAGATTCAATATATTTGGGCGCTGACACTCGGCTAGGCCTCGGGCATGGATGGTCATATTTGGCGCCTTTACATGCGCTTTTTGCACCGTGGGATTTATGAACTCATTCGGTGTCTTCCAAGAATACTATACCAAGAACCAGCTCTCCTCAAGCTCCACGTCGACCATTGCATGGCTCGGGGCTGCAGCGATATTCTTCTTATTCGCCATATCTGTCGGGGCGGGGGCAATGCTTGATATTTTTGGACCGAAGGTCAGAACACTCTCTTTGGACCAACTCGAGCAGAACTAACAGCCTCATTAATAGCTCATGGTATACATTGGCTCTCTAGGCTGCATCTTCGCCGTTATGATGACCTCGATTTGCAAAGAGTTTTATCAGTTTCTACTCGCACAGGGTATCCTGTTGGGTATCTCTATGGGTCTGGTGACATGGCCAATGCTCGTCTTGGTCGGGCAGTATGTCAAAGTGAAGCGTGCCGCAGCCATGGGGATCGTGCTCGCAGGATCGTCACTTGGTGGAGTTATCTGGCCGATTGCACTCGATAAAGCGATCAAAAACCCTAAAATCGGGTTCCCCTGGACGATGCGCATTGTCGGGTTTGTCATGATTCCTTGCTTCCTCTTCTCCTGCGTATCTGCCAAATCCCCGATTGCCCCCGTGAGCAACGCGGAGAATGAGGAGAATGCTACTGAGCCCAAGAGCAAGCCGCCAAATCACAAAGCAGAGGCCTTGGATCTTCTGCGAAAGCCGTCGTTGCAACTACTGTGCCTCGCTATGTTCATCACATACTTCGGCATGTTCTCCCCTTTCTTCTACACGACTTCCTACGCCGTTGACCAAGGTTTCTCGACAAGCCTGGCATTCTATACTGTCTCTATTGTGAACGGTGCTTCCTTCTTCGGTCGAATTGTCCCTGGAATTGTTGCTGATAAATACGGGAAATTCAACTGCTGTATTCTGGCAAATATATTTGCCGGAATTATTGCATTGTGCTGGACTAAGGTGACATCCGTTGCCGGGCTTGTGATATGGTCAGCTGCATATGGCTTTGCGTCTGGGGTGAGTGCATATCAAGATCGAATTACCGTCAAATTCTAACTAGAATTGTAGGGTATCCTCTCCCTCCAGCAGGCTTGTGCTGGACAGGTTGCGAGTGCTACGACTCTTGGATTGGCAATAGGAAGTGTCTCAGGATCCACGGCTTTATCGTATGACCACTATCTCTTTCCATTATATGATGAGATGCTAATATAAATCGCAGTGCCATGGCCAATGTTCCCATTAGTGGTGCCCTTGTTGAGAATTATGGCTGGCTTTCTCTTTCGATATTCTCGGGGGCATCATTGATAGTAGGTGGCGTTCTTTTGATTGCTGCACGTCTGGTACAGAACAGGGAGCTCTTGGCCATCGTGTAATTTTTGTCTACTCGGATGTGGTTCATTCTTTTCTAAATACTTCACCTTTGTGTTAATAAATAGGTTATAACAAAAAAATAGAATTGGGGACAATCGTGACATTGATCTGTAACCACGTTATATTCGATGATAGGTATCTTGCGATTAATTCCTCTTTGGCCAAGCGTCATACAATCCTTCAACGACCGTCACATTTTCGAATGTAACTTCACCCTCGCCATTATGGAAGAAGTGAATATCAGTCGAGTTGGCATACCAAGAACTAATTGCGGTTAGTTGTTGCTCAAACCTCTAGGAACAAGATATACTTACCGGGTCCAAGTACTGAGTGCAAACCTTCCGTTGGCATATATTTCAAGCACTCCATTATCCACTACGATGGTAAGCTCCAATGTTTCTATTCTATGTTTCCCATCTTGTAGAATATCGAAGAGCCGCAGACGGCCCGCCTCACTGTCGCTGCTGATTCCATTGGTAGTTCGCGCGGCGGCACTTGTATTGCTGCGGTCGACGATGATAGACTCGTTGGAGAATTGGTAATAGACAGTCGTGGATTCAAGATCAGACGACAAGATCTGGAAACCAGATGCAATACCAGAGTCACGGGCAGAGCGCGGAAAAAGAATACTAGCCGTCAATACAAAGAATTTACTCGACGGTGGGCGTTTGAATGACACAGATCCAGCCTTCGACAATGTTTGGCTAGCTTCAACAAACGGCAAACCAGATGTCAAAGCGCTGTAAGTCTCTCTCGCGATAGAGATGCCCATTGTCTCGAGGTCGACTTGATCAGATCCGTTTCTGGACACGCGCCACGATGACAAGGCCTCTCGTGCGAGCTCGTTGTCTATCACATTGTGAATAGTACGAACGCTCAGCTCTCGTGGGAATAGAAGGGTCCCCGTCCAATTTTGCTGGGCAGTAGGGAAGCCCGTGGCCAGTTCATACAGATCTCCGGTGAGCCAGAGATAAGAAATGAAACGGTCGGGAGCACTACTCTTGATGGAGGCTTGAGAGCTCGCTGGCAAAATCTTTCCTGCAGCCGCATATGCCGACATACCCCAGTCTAGTACACCTGCCATGGTTGGGATGAAGGTGACCGAGCCGTCATTTGTAACATTGCCAGCCACCCACAACATTTCATGGATTGAACTGACTTGAGGAACGATAGGGACGCCTGAGCCCTCAGTACCGAGGGTCATAAACATCTCGCCTTTCTCGCTGTACCCGTCCGCGCTCAGACTGAAGACATTGCCAACCTCAAAGTTGAAGCCCCATCTCCCGGCCCAATCGCCATTTCCCCAAGTTGTATTGGCGGGTTCGTTCCACCATTGGCCAAGGTATTCCCAATATTCAAAATCTGAGTCGTACTGACGGTAGAGGAACTGGCAAGGTCCGACATTGTGAACACCACCAGATATGGCGGTATACCAGGTCCCTTGCGTACTATTGACAGCTGCATCTAGAGCTGGGCTCTGGAATACATAGGGATCTCGGAAAGCAGTGACATTGACCGCGAATGGAGGTGAGGGGATCACGGGCCCTTGACTGAGCTTGGTGAAGTTGCTTCCACCGTCACGGGAAACGGCCAACGACTGGGTTTCGCTTCCCCGAGTGTAGGGAATAGACCAATGAATGGGCATATATGAAACAGAGGTATAAAGAAGAGTTGGCATGCCATCGATGCCGTTGGGAATGACCGAGCCATCAAAGACAGCAAGAGGGTCGTTCTTTCCCCCTGCGATGATGGATGGGCTTCCATTCGAATTGACGTCGAGGTATGTAGCGAGATCATCGGTAGTGGCGCTTGAAATGCCCTCGTGAAGCCAGCCGACATGGAACAGACCAGTTTTGGAATCAGTGTAATGCGCGCATGGGTCACCTGTTCTTCCAGATGGAGGAAGAACATGTGCCCTGGGTCTCCATGTTTCAAACAACGAGGCATTTCGCAGGGTAGAAAGATTTGGGGGCGCTGAGTTATAATCAATCACTGATCCACGGTGATCGACAGCAGAAACTTGGCCTGCTAAAATGACGACAATGGCAGCTGACAGTCTCATCGTGTAGATCTTCAATGGTCCTTCACATTGGTTAGGATATATGGTTGAACGAGATTGTTGGAAGACAAGAGCCGTTGAGATAGAGCATTGTCGTAATCTGGATTGAGAGGCGACGTTCATTGCCTCTGAGGACGCATTCGGAAGTCTCCAAGAGCCAGCGGCGAAACTGCGGAGAAACTCCGGCTGATGTTTCCCCGAGATAGTGTCCTATCACCTTGTTGTGTATAGAAAGAGCTCATATATACTTACTTTATGTGGTCGGGATCTTTTATATCGAGAATGTCATATGGCGTGCGTGATATGCTATGCTTGGAAGCGATGAAGTTGCTGCGTGACTTAGATTAATATTCGTAGACTCCCTCCTATACAAAGTGTGCTTGTGGACTATATTCAAAACTAATCAAGCAGAACCTAACCCCATCCAACGTGTCCTTCCTGTGGAAGATCCATTAATTCATTCAATCATAACAGCAACCCAAGCATCCTAGATCTGGTCCGAGGAATACAAACGGATAGCCACACCAAGATCATGCGACATGGTAACGGTAGACAACTTGATGGGCTCGTGTCGGGGATGGGGATCGGCGTTCTCAAGGGTATCAAAGTGTTGCATCAAACGGACAACGGTGTAGCTTGCCTCGGCGAGGGCATATTGTTCTAAGGTATTGTTAGTTAACGATTCCGGATAATCGTAAGTTCTGTTTCCTTGCAGAAGAGTAATGATCCACTTACGACCAAGACAGATGCGAGGCCCACCATTGAAGGGAAGGTATTCCCAACCATGCTTCGCGTTCTCCTCCCAGCGCTCCGGCCGGAAGAAAGCCGCGTCCGCACCCCACAGATCGGTCCGGCGGTGCATCGCGAAAACCCCGTAGGCAACAGAAGTATTCTTTTTGACATAAATCGGGGACAGGCCGTCCGGACCACCGCCAACGGGGAGGGAAGTGTCCCGAGTGGCAATGCGGAAGTTGAAAGGAACAGGGGGTTGGAGGCGAAGGGCTAGTTTGCCAAGTTAGCGAAATTCCCAAGTATGCATGATAATCCATCAAACTCACTTTCATTCAGTACATATCGGAGATAAGCGATATCCTTCAGTTTCGTGTGTGTGATTTCCGACCGCGGGTTCTTCGCATCTCCGAAAGTATCCACGATTTCCTGACGCAGTCTGTTCCACGCGTGTGGGTGGCGCGCAAGATAGAAGAAAGTCGAGCTCAGCAGACTAGCGGTAGTATCACGTCCAGCCAAAAGGATATTGAGCATGTTATCACGCAGCTCTTTGGGATCGTCGGTGTCAGCAGCCAGAGCTTCTAAGAAGATGTATCGATCATCGGCCTTCTTCTTGTCCGGGTTATGCTTGGACTCCAAAGCAATATGAACATAGTGGTCGACGACTTCATGCACGCGACGGTTGGCCTCACGGAATTCCTTCGGGTTGATGAGCCAATACAGACTCTGCGCGCGAGACCGGGAAGCGATGTAATCCTGGGCCAGTCCGAAGGCATCGGCAAAGCCCTGTGCGCTACCGACGGCGCACTTTTCTAACACGCCTGTCGTCTCCGAAGGACGCATGCAACCAACCGACTCACCGAAGAGGAAGTGTGTTGCCGAGTCCAGGGTCAGCAGGAAGAACAAGCGCTGGATATCGAAACTGCTCCTATCCTTGGGAACAAGGTCGATGAGGTTGGAGATATGATCGTCCAGCATAGACAGATCGGCCACCTGTACTTCGTTAGTAAAATGTCGTGCATAAATTCTCCGATCGGGTTTACCTGGTCCCTAGTGAACTGCGGGCGCAATAGTCCACGCGCATGCGCCCATCCCTCACCATCGAGAGTGAAAATGCCGTCGCCCAGTAGGGGATAGAAGTGCTGGTGCCTTGTTCCAAGATTGAAGTCCTTGAATTGAGTGGCGAGAATCGCCTTGATATTCTCAGGCTCGATGGTGGCCAATAGACTGCGATTAAGCAATTGATTGCGGAAGGTATTTCCATACAGCTCGAATTCCTGGGTGAGATAATCGATCCATGTCTTCTCACGGACCGCCTTGCAAAGCTGAATGAATGCTGGTATACCGAAGAAAGCTGTTGGCCCCTCACGGGCGGGTTCGCAGTGTAGGGCTTTGGATTGTCTACGGTGGTGAAGTGCCTGTGCGAAGTAGCGCACCAAGAGGAGTGCAGACAACGCTCCAATCAGCACCAAGCCAGAGTTGGACAACATGTTGCATTAAAACTCCGAGAATGAACTCGAATATTTATTTGGCAAGAAAATACAAAAGTAATTGTGATATAATATATATTTGAATACATGTAACGGTGTGCCCCATTCATGATGGATGTCAAAGGCCTCGGTCGCCCGCCATGTGAGAAATGCATATCGCAAGCTGCTACAAAAGGGGAATAGGGTAAAAAGATCGGGGAAACGCAAATTAGAATGGACCACATGCCGAAAAAAGTGAACTTGCCGAGTTAGTTCTTAGGCTCGAAGCATTCTAGCCACTCCTTTAACGCGGTGGAAAAGTATCCCCGGGAAATCGCCCCAGGCACAAACGACGGTTGGAAATCAAAGCAGTGCTCCGCATTGGCCATGATGTAACCAAAGAGGGTGTCCTCGCCCGTCTCCACATTGCACTTGGGGATGTCCGTGGTGAACGTCACCCCCTGGGGGCCAAGCGTCCAGTTGCGAGCGGAGACAGAGTGCGCCACGGGTCAAATTGCCCGCCACTCCAATAGACATTGGATGGACGCATAGTCCACCCGCCAGTCTCCGCATTGATCGCGTCAACCTGCGGGTGTTTGGGTAACAAACCTTTCTTCACAGCTTCCGGGAAGTTTCGGTTGCAGTAGTCCTGCGCATAATCCAGGGTCTGATACTTGGACAATAGTGAGTGATGACCGAAGTTGTTGGTCTGGTAGTATCCCCACTCGGTGCAGTATTGCCATGTCCAGCTGATGGAATCTGGCTCGAAAGCCGGTGGTGACAGGACACACGAGAGGGGCTGGCTGGGCTCGAGCTGGTCGCAGTTGGTCTCGTAATACATGTTGACCAGCTGCTTGAAAACGGGCCACGAGGCATATCGCTCTGCGGCGTATTTCTTACCCCGGGAACGAGCGAATCCCTGCGGGGGAGCGGGGTCGCTAGTCTTAGGGTCTGTCTCCATATGCTGGCAGAAGGATTCCAGACTACCCAATCCGCCGCCCATACCGTAGGCTTGGAAAAAGTTGTAAATCGACGCCAGTGCGGCGGTGAAATCGCCATGGCTATTTTTCTCGGCCCCTTTGCCGAAGAATTTCTGCTTGATAGCCGCTGCCGACTCCTTGCTCTTTGATAGCTGTTCATCGATGTACGACAGTGCTGCCTTGATATCTCGGGTGCAGTTCAGGTGCCCGTTGGCCACAATTCCATCGTAGACCTGGTCGAAATATATGCTCATGTCGATGCGCGCTTCCACGGGGGCGGATGAAGCCAAAGAGGCATAAATTGTGTCGGGATACTCGTTACGAGTCATCGCAGCTCGCATTCCGGCATATGACCCCCAACCATGACCCATGGTGTCGCATCTGGGGTCAGATCGACATCCTTATAATTTTCACGACTGAAGTTGGCCGCAAAGAACGGGATATCTGCCAGAGCCTGTTTGTTGTTGAGGTACTGGAAATGCTCGGGCTCCGTACTCTGGCTGACATTGTACGGCAAGGAATCTCCATAGTACCTGCTTGATGTCAATAAAGTCCGGATTTCTGCTGGAGAGGAAAATACGAACCGATGCTCCCAAACAATGCCCATGCCCCCAAACTCCTCAAGCAGCTGATAGAAGAATGAAGTCGTATTGCTCAGATGAGTTCGAGCCGGAACCGCAGCCGTTGACTCGCCACCATCGTACACGAAGACTGGTCCACCTTCTTTGTAATGCTTTTCCGATACCCAATATCGGTTCAAATAATCACCGACTGAAGAGTTGCTGTGATCAATGGGGAGCTACGGGTCGTCAGCATTCATTGCCGCCGTTATACAGCATCCAGCTACGTACCGAGGCATATTCCGCCTCAACCAAATCATCAAGCTCGGCACTAGTCACATCATACACAGAGGTCTTCTGAGAAAGCAGCACATCAGGAGGGACGCCAAACTCAGCCGAAAGCTTCAGGTCTCGCTTGAATCGCGACATGCTAGCTCCCATTCCTGCAGCTGTACCCGACAGCGCAGCGAGGACCGCAGTCCCTCGAGCTATGGTGGAAAAATACATTTTGACAATAACGGATGAGGTCCGAGGAAACCCAGCCCAGGACACGGATATGGCAAAGCACTTGAGACTCCTGGAATGTCGGGGCGCATACGGAGTATATATGCATTACGGAAATGGGGTGCCATGGAGGAGTAACTGATCCCCCCAAAAAGAAGGGTACATTGGGCCACTAACCCGAGAACAATGCGATAAGAACAATATGGTTGCGTTCGCGAGACTGCAGTCATCTGGGTAGATGGATTGTGGATTCGGATAATCTGATAGGATCAGCGATGGGGCCGAGTGGGTAGAGTGGACACCTACTCAGGCGCAGCCCGAGACATAGCCATCGCGTGCGGCCAGTCGCTGTGTCTGTATGACTTGGGGCCATGGAGATTGCAGGGGCCGGGTTTTGCCCGGGTCTGAGTTGGATGTAACCTGCACCATCCCAACAGCATCTAGGCGCACTGGAGGTCTCGAATTAATTGGACATGTACCCCCTCGCTTTTGTGCTGTCCTCTCACTTTCCCATCTGGCCTGCAGTTCAATAATTGTGCCTTAACGTGCATGACGTTAGTGGTGTGCTCCCTTGGCCGTCAATCGACTATCACTTCCCGATTCGGCGGGACTGCGATCGTCTTCACAGACCGATTTAGCAATGAGATCAGTCTGCCAAGTCGGTGCTCAATAAAAATCCATTGGATTTGTTGTTTAAGATTCACCACAATTCCGCATCTGACATCCTAAAAACAGACACCACGCGTTGTCTCCCCCGTACCCGGCGTCGATCACATCCCGAAACCGGTCCACCTAGAAGCCGTCGATCATTGGCCGTTGACACCAGTGCAACGCTTGACCGGACTCCGAACAATAGCCGTAGCTTAATATTGTTCTGTTTCATTGCTCACGGAGTGGACGTGTCTAAATTTTCCATGACTTCACCCACGGCATAGACTCAATTTTATGCCACGCGGATCTGTGTCTCGCAATCGTCTGACCGGAATGTCTGGAAGCGGTGACATGAGAGGAATGTTGGTCAGGAATGTTTGTCGGCGCAAATAGAGAAGAAGACTTTTGTTTTCTCACAGAAGCAGATGTGGCTTGATTCACGATGAGAGCCTCGTGGGAAATATTATTCCACGCGAGTCGTTCGCCTCCGTGGCATTTGAAACTAACCCAACCTCTCAACCACCTCTCCTCTGACACCCTGCAGCAAGCCACATCCATGTGGCACACGAAAGCGGGTGTTTCTCAAAATCCACGAGGATTGCCTGTGAATAGCGACAGTTAGGTACGGAGTACCTAACCTACTCGTCAAGATAGCTCAAAGGGGCAATGTTGCGCCGGCGGAGATTGTCCACCGGTGTGGACGTGAGCATGATTCAAGCCTACCGAGGGTACAGAGTAGATGAATAGAGAGAGAGAGATTTATTTTACATCACAGTCGAGACCAAACCCTCCAATCTTTCTTAATCAACCTCATAACACCTGCTGCCATCACCTCTGTGAGAGGTTACACTCTCATGTTACCCACGCTTCATGTCTTGCACGAGACGAGAGGCACGAGTCCCAACACGGGTCAAAAGACAGATATGCGCATCCACCTTTAACCCATGATATCTTGGTAACTAACACAATTTCGTATAATCTAGGGCCACCAGCACATACTTCAGTCCTTACAAAGAGGATCTAGTTCGATTTGACTTCGAGACCGATCAGGTGGACGAGGCGCTGCTTGGGGGTTGCGAAATCCGGTGTCAAACACTATGAATAAATACACAAGCCACTGTGACTTGAGATTGATCGATGTTTCTTCGCCAACTCTGGTGAACTCCGTGAAATTTGTCGACCGCACTGCTCCAACTCGTCCGATACGAGAGATTTTCATAGTTCATTAGGCATAATGGATAAAAGGTTATAACATCCACTCTGCGATTGAAAAACACTGCTCCCACTATTTACAATCAAACAAAACCGTAGATAGATCAACAACAGTCGTGAAAGTATAAATACAATTCTACTGTAAATAGATCAAAATGGAACCATAATAGCAGCCCCAATAGTCATACCAAGAGCGGAGACTCCAAGAACAGTGCCCAGGCCATTCCACGTAGTTGACTTCAAATTCAATCTCGCTGCGGCATTGGATGTGGTGCTTGCCCCTGTAGATTTGGGACCATCGGATTCAAGATCAGAGGACTTCAGATCAGATGGCTTGTGTATAAGAACAATAAGACTATCTTGAGTGATGGCCCGAAGGTCGGAAGTCTCACTGGCATCATATGTCGTTGTTACGGTAGTGATGGGAGAGTCAGATATACGAGAGAACATGTAACCGCTGACGGTGGACCCATCATACAAGTATGTTGCTGGAACACGGGTATAGTCGGCAGCTCGTGCCTGTCTCCGACATCCGGTTGTTGGCTTGTAATCCGTGAGGGTGGAGTAGCACTGAAATTCGGTATGGGCAGTCATAGAGCTATGGGGAGTCAGCTTTTGATCGCAGAAGTCCAAATTCTCCAAAACAAAGATGAAACCAGTAGAGAAATGAGAGATAGTACCTAGGGCAGCAATACACAGCTGTCTCACTTGGATCAAGAGCCTGCACCATGAGGTTTACTGGATTGTTATATGACGGTGGCTCAGTAGACGTGGTACTGGGGGACATCAGGGTCCCGGTGGCATTCACTGGCTTGTCTCCATCCCGGGAGGCAATCCCGACCGTGGCATAGCCTGAGGGGCAGTAGAGTCCCGGTGAATAATACGCGATTTTCGCATGGCCGGCAGTCGATGACAGTGTGACTGTTGGTGCGGCTGTGTGCGTGGCTGTTGGCACACAGTCATATACCGCGACCGAGCATTGGGCATACCACCCCCAAGCAGGCAGATCTGCTGAACTATAGATGTTGATGAGGGGAGATTCGGTGGCACAATGGGCTGGGGCAGTCCAGGTGGTCGTTAGTGGCCCCCAGTTGGTAAGGATAGTTTGAAAGAGCGCAGTGACATTCGGCATGGCGGCGATATAGCAAAGGATAAAATATACAATAAAGGATCAGATATCATCCTAGGGGTATCGAGCTACCTAGATATGGGCCAGGAAAGAGGAAGAACCTTAGAAGCATAAAGGGGCTTGAAGTGGGGTTGCGGCGCCAGTGCCTGAGCCCAAGCTATATGGGGGCCGAGGTCATGTCACTGCACTCGACTTAAGCGGACCAATTTCATTGACTGGTCAAATCCCTGTTTACTCCGTACTTCTGCCACGGGGACATTCTCAAACCTTGGCGACGGCTGGATACATTCCGAGGCATTCATGTAGTCATGGGAGAATAAACATTTCAAATGTATCTATAGAGTTGCTCTGTTGCATCTCTAGTCCGTTGAGATTCCAAGATGCTTGTTTACCTGTGCGACTATATCTCCACCAGTTATGTCGGGTGTAATTCTTGTCAGAATGTGTTGGTCAGGGCGAATCAGAATCCCTCCACCGCTGGCCAACGCGTCAGCAAACCAGGTTTGCCTGACTAGTGTAAAATCTATACCGAGGCGCCAGATATTAAGTGACACACCAATCGTGTCACAGTGCTTTTGCAATGGAGCAATATGGGAATTTTGTTGTTCCTGTCCCAGAATCAATGTCCAGGAGTCGGGGCCACAGAGGTCCAATGTACTCCACTGACACGCTTGGATCTGATCGTTGCTGAGCTCTTTGACATAGGATACATCGACTGGCTCTTTAGGCAGCGATCGAGGTCTGGCTATCTCTGTTGCTAGCGAGGGCTGATCAGGTAAAGTGATCCAAGCATGAGGCAAGCGTGCGCCGGGCACGAACTTCGGATGATAATATGAAGCATGAGATGGGGGCTTGCTAGCCCCATAAACATATCCGATGTGAAGTTCCAGCTGTGAGTAATAAGGCGAGTCAGTCATTGCCTTGATGGCAAAGGGGAAAAATCAGGTGCAGTCACGTACATTATCAAAATGTTCTCTCTGTCCTTCAATGCCTGCCTCAATTTCCTTGCGTTGCGTGGGATCTGCCAACGCAGCCATCATATTTTCTCGCGCCTGCAGAACGTCCTCAACACCGGCGGTCTTGAGACTTCGCAATAGTGCAAATATTTCCTTGCCATTTTTCACACTTTGCTTCGAATAGGAATCCGCAACACCACGTCGTTCCGCAGTGTATGTCGAGAGGATAGATGGACTTGCCACGCCTCGATGGACCAAAGCAATCTTATATGCCAGGTTGTGTACATCTGCAAGACCACAGTTCAGGCCTAGTCCACCAGTCGGGGGAAACGAGTGAGCAGCATCTCCAGCCCTAGCAGAGATCACACATTAGTAAGTACTCGGCGAAATTCACACTCGATCTCCAAAACTCACAGGAAAATATTCCCCTCCTGGTACGTGAGAGCGATCTGACGCCGAAAGACCCAGGGCCGATAGCTCAAGATGTCAAACGGAACATCATCTTTACCAATGGCACCGCGGATTTTGGCTCTGCACATTTCTTCCGTCCACGACTCCACTGGGTGCTGGCTGACATCTACCTGGCTAATGTGTACTTGGTTTCCATCCAGATCATAACCGATAATGAAGCCCGCAGCTACGGGGTCCATTATCCAATAGAGCATGCCGACACGGTCGCCAACGACGGGTCGCAGATTCGCATTAAAATGAATTGTCATCATGGTCTGGTCTGTATCTTCGCTCTCAGAGTCGATACCGAGCAGTTCGCGAACCTTGCTTCTACGGCCATCGCAAGCAATAAGATGGCGCGACTTTGTTTGATGCAATTGCCCAGTTGACCGTTCCTCGATTGTCGCTAGCACTTCATTTTCAGTCTGGCTCCACATGATTAATTACTTTGCTTTGACAAACGCCGTGCTCAGTGCAAACATCTGATATACTTACCTGTTCAACAGCATGGATACTGAATCCCTTTATCAAGGTGACGTTGGGATCCTTTGCAATGAAATTGGATAGTTCTTGTTCCAAGGCCGGTTGAGGGATATTATGGATCATCTGTTTGCTTCATTCAGCCCATAAAACTCTCGTCTTTTCTGCCATAAGATATAAGTTACCTCTGGCGTGTCATCCAGGACTGCGGGATCCATGCGCTCATACGGGAGTGTCCCGATGGTGTCACCGCAAAGATTAGTGAGAAAATTGACCTTGGAGCTATCATCTCGCGAAGTGCCTAGCTGACGCACACGTTTCTCGCCTAGACCAAATTGACGCAAAATTTCCAGAGATCGGGGGTTAATCGCATGAGCTTTGGGAGCTGCCAAGCGTTCGGGGTAACGCTCAATGATCAATGATTGAACTACAAGGGATTATGTCAATTAAATGTTTCATCTGGAATTCCTGGCAGACATACCTCCAAGCCGGGACAAGAGAAGCGCCTGCAATAATCCAGTTGGACCTCCGCCGACGATAAGCACTGGCACAGAACTCGGCAGGCTACTAGAGCCCCCGGTTTCATGGGATGCGAAGTCTCGAGACGGCGCCATTCTTGTCCAATGAATTTTAACCTCAGAAATGTTCGGAGGACAGCGTGTAGTCTATGTATAAGCCTGACTTTTCAGATGCACGGCTTAATGCTCGGTACATGTAGCTGGTGGGAGGCCCCGCGTGGAGGGGAAGCCTGAGATCGGCCAGAACATGCGATACTTCATTCTCTCCAATCAACGTGGCAGATTTTGGGCAAGGGCCTGGAAGCCGGTATCTTCGGTACTTCTCGTGAGTTCATCCCTGATTATGGCGCCACGGGGAGCTACTAAAAGTTATTAGACGCGAAGCCGGGAAATATAGAGTGATGCCGGGAGGCGAAGAGCAGGGATCAGGGAAGCTAACTACTTTGAAGACGCACTCCGCCCGTTATTACGACAGCCACCAACATCCCTGCATAGCGCAGTTCTGCTCATTTGACTGGCCCTTTGTTATTGGTCGTCAAAAATACAGGGATGCTCTGGATAACGCCTGAAAAAAAAAAGGAAAAGAGAAATCCGAGCCGTGCTAGCTGGCTTTCGCGTGAAGTGTTCATTATATGGACTAAATATTATTACAATCTCGAAAAGGAATGGCCGCTACTTGGGTGCTGTACTTGGATGTATTAAAAAGGAGTTTCCCGTCTGGTCTCAGCTTATACAGTGTTCAAACTCGCCTTTTACTTTTCTGTCTCCATCTCCTGACCCTTGCCCATACTCTTTCTTTGGAATTTTGAAAGACCCTGTCGGGCATCTTCCCTATGGCGGAAGCAAAACAGGAATCTGATAGACTCGCAGAGCAAATCCATGCCGCACCTGGAACAGAGCTCCTGTTTGATGGTAGCGATAATGGGAGTATTTCCGAGCGGCTTCACCAGCTGAAGCATCGGAAGACAGGCGATGGACGCATGTTGTTGGTTCCGCAACCTTCCCTCAACGACCCAAATGATCCCTTGAATTGGTCTACAACGAAGAAATATGTAGTGTTCGTCAATGGCTGCTGGTTTGCATTCATGGGCGCTATTACTGGTCCTATCATGGCTGCTGGTACGCATGCTCAGGATTTATCTACAACATTCAGCAATTCTGACCAGTTACTACAGGTATGATGCAACTGACCGCTACCTTTGGCAAGAGCCTCCAAGAATTGACCTACGCGAACGGAGCTTGTTTGATCAACCAGGGTGTATGGAATTGTGTTTGGATGCCATTCGCCGTCAAATATGGTCGCCGGCCAATTTATCTCTTCTCAAACTTTCTCATGGCTATCGCCTGTATCTGGCTGGCCATTGCATCCAACAAAAACTACACTGTCTTCATCGTCGGGCGTGCTTTCCTGGGTGCTTTCCAGGCGCCCATCGAGTCAATCGTTCCATCAACAGTGACCGATATGTTCTTTTTGCATAACCGCGGAGAGCTCATCGCCCTCTATGGATTGTCTGTCCTTGGAGGTAACGAACTTGGACCCATGTTCTCCGGGTTCATCGTGCAGGCCCTTGGAATGGACTGGGCCTTCTGGATTGTGGCCATCTTCGTCGGAGTCAGCGTAGTCTCCATGTTTTTCTTCATGCCCGAGACCAAATATGACGGACCCCGTCCTGATCCATTCAAAACCACCAAAACAACTCAAGACTCCGACTCAAAGGATGAGGTTATGGTCCAGGACTCAGCTCCCATCCCCAAAAAGACCTTCACGCAGGAACTCAAGTTCTGGAGTCGTGGAGATCCAACCGTGGACCTCCTCCACGTCTTCCTGCGTCCCTTTGTGCTCTTGGCCTATCCCACCGTCCTCTGGTCATGCTGCATTTACGGCATGGCTCTTAGCTGGAATGTGATCCTCGGTGCCTCTGTGGCACAGCTATTTGCACCACCCCCCTACAATTTCAATTCCAATGCACAGGGTCTGTTTTTCCTATCACCATTTATTGGTTCTCTTTTCGGCGTCTTTTTCTCTGGTACCGCCTGTGACTGGATCGCCAACTTCTTCACCAAGCGCAACAACGGCGTCCGTGAGCCCGAGATGCGCCTCCCCACGTGTCTGCTGGCAGCATTTTTCACATTCTTTGGTGCGCTTTGGTTCGGACTTAGCTACAAGCACTCCCTGCACTGGGGGATGCCCGTTGTGGGGGCTGGCATTTTATCGGTAGGAAGCCAAATGGGAACCACGCTAGGAATGAGCTATGCTCTGGATTGCCACAAAGAGGTAAGAAACCTGAAGTTTTCAGCTCTCCACTCGTATCGTCCAACACACTAATTTTTCCTCTTACCCTCTTAGCTTTCCGTGGAGATTATGGTCACTATTGCTGCGCTGAAAAGCTGCATCGCGTGGATCTGGACGTGGGTCATTAATGATTATATCACTTCCGATGGTGTGTTGAGTGTCTTCATGACCGTTGCGGCTATTAATGTGGTGGTATATCTGTTCTGCATTCCTTTCTACATCAAGGGCAAGGATATGCGGATTTGGCTGCACCGAAAGGATTTCCTCCGGGCTCTTGGTATCCTCTAGTCCGGAGTGGAGCGTTTAGGGTGTAGCTGAGATTACACGGGAAATTGCCAGCGTGTTAGGCGATTGATATATGTACATGTATTTACCTATTATTTTACAAAATAGTATGATTCCAGTGTTAATATTCGCTAATTTTGGCTTACGTGGTTGCAGCGACTTCGTAGAGTTCTCAACTACGGGGTATACAACATAGATTTACGAGGAGTTAGGGTCTATCAGCTTTCCGGGTCAACGTGCATCACCCGGAAAATTCTGTCGAGTTCCAGCCACCATGCAATACATGCAATAGCGTGAACCTTCCAAGTGCCATGATAGAGGCCTTAGCGCATTGAATGCACGTCCGATTATCCCGTTATGTTTCAAAGGACCTGTCATTATCCGGAACTCCGCTACGGCCCCGCCTTTTACGGGCGTTTGTTTGGTGGAGTTGGGAAGGATTGACACTAAGGAAAAGGAGGGGCAAATGGCACGCATTGGTATTCAAGATGTTACTCAACTGCATGACCGTGGCAACAATGGTATAGTGTTCTGATGGTTTCATTCACGAAAGCCACAGGGGTACAGGGGGACAGGGGGACAGGGGTAATACACAGGGTTCTTTTCGACAGGCCACCTTAGTTTCCACGATCTTCAACAGACTTGAAAAAAAACCCTGAGATGCACTGGTTTCGTTTTGGAACGTCTATGCGTGTATAGGACGATCATGGTTTGCCCCATCACATCTCGATTGATTGACGATGTATGAATCGATCGTCGCTTCCGGGCTCGAATGGATCCTTCTCGTACAGTTTCATCTCGAATGATCCACATCTCACGCACGCGGACATCCCTGTTAGTTGGCTCTTAGCCTGTTCTAAAATGCATGTCGCTTGCTCTAGTCTTTACCCGATATCGACAGACGGCCGTTGGGGGGGGCTCAACCCACTTAATTCCGCTTGAGATATGAGACATCCATCAGGCTATTTTGTACGTGCGTCTACCATGTGGTGGACAAAAGTACAGCTCTAATCTATTCTCCAGGCTCCGGATCCTCAGCATATCACACCAATGGAGAGCTTCCGCCAATTGAGGGACGAAAACGACCCTGATCCTGGTTCAAATTTGCCGAATACCTTCTTGGCTCCGGAATTGGCCTAAATGAGTTGCGAAACCTCTTTATCATTCAATACTTGCGGACTCAGCTTCGCTTTCAACGCCATGTAATTAAGTTTCATTATCGCAACGCCATGTTCCTCGGTTCGACGCAGATGTCCTTTTAGCGTAATCCTTCCGAAGTATGCGCCTGGTTTGGAGATTACTACTTTCTAATACGGAATAGCACCTGCGCAGTCCGACATGAGATGATGAACCCCTGGTCATTGTCAGATTTTCTGGAACCACAGAGGGGCTGACACGGATTGCTGAGTGGCGGGAGCATGTACAACATACAAAATTCTGGCAATATCAGCAATAATGCATCCAATACTTTCTGACTGAATCTTTTGCCCCTCCTCTAGGGCTCTTCTTCGTCATTTTCTTTGTGTGCACGTTGTGCAAAAGGTGTGGAGACAGTTACTCCCTGAAGGCCAGAAATGGCCGGCGATAATGCTGCGCTCATCCTCGCGGTCTCTTGGACAGAGACATCTATTGGTTTAATCATGTTTGGCCTGCGGTTTGTGAGTAATTGGAAGTTTGTAGGACGGTTTCGATGGGACATTGCGGTTGCTACATTGACAGTCGTGAGTGTTTGGAATCGGAAACCAACAAGTCGCATTTACAAGGAGCGCACAAGTTGGCTTCTTATGATATGCTAATGTGGATATTCGCAGGCGATCGAGGTCATTGCTCAGATTTTCCTGCAGCTTTCGGTCAATGCAGGCATGGGTCATCATTTGGAAGATGTATCCAAGGAGCAGCGAATTGTGGCGCTGCATTGGTCTTGGGTATTCCAGTTACTCGCAATCGCCGCTAGTATGCTTGGAAAGCTTGCGATTCTCGCGTTCCTCATCCAGATTCGTGGTCGTCATGAGAGAAAGCCATGGTTTTTGATAGTTCTGGGTGTTCTCATTGCGGCAATCAATATTGCTGTTCTTGGGACGATTCTTGGACAATGTCAGCCAATGCATAAATTATGGGATGATGATGTTGTCGGAACATGCGACCCAGGGCGCAAGATGAATCAGAACTATTCATTTTTCCAAGCCAGTGAGTTTGCACAAATGTTAGTGTTCCAATATTGAGCCTGGTGCTGACAATTCAGGCTTTAACGCATTTAGCGACGCTTTGTTGGCGACCTACCCGGTTCATCTGTTCTGGAAGCTCCAGATGAAGCTGCGCATCAAACTCGCATTATCTGTCCTCATGGGAATGGGGTGGATGTAAGTCATCTCCTTTGGACTCATTACAGTGCGATTTATGAGCTAACCCTCACGCGAACGCAGAGCGGCAGTTTGCTCCGCTGTCAAGACATACGAGCTCAAGGCGTTGACTACCACAAAAGACATTACCTGTAAGAAGCTCAAGCCACAGTCCAACTTTCGAAAATGCTAATTTGTGAACTCGCGACAGACGCTCAATCCTCCCTTCTCATCTGGGCTTCGACAGAAGCTTGGATCGTCATCATCGTCGGTTGCGTACCCCCCATCCGACCGCTCATGGAACGGGTGTTGCAGCACTTCGGCTTCTCCTCGAAGAAAACGTCAACGCCCTATCACAATTCGAGTGCACACGCAGCATATGGCACAAACAAGTCCCATCTGGCGAGCCACTCGAACTATCAGTCCAACGCATATGGGGGCAGAGGGCCGTTTGGTGACGAAGAGGAGGGCACAGGTTGGATGGAACTTACAACGACCGCGGGACCAAACGGAAGCAAGGAGCACATTGTGAAGGGTGGCAAAGACGTTGTGGTTACGACCGATATTGTGACGCGGTTTGAGGAAACGGAGGGTCACGGCGGCCCGCCCTCAGCTGACAGTAGCATCTCTGCCGAAGACTTGATTCGGGAGCGAGCTCACGATTTCCGCAAAGGTGTTTAATGTGTTCATGATACTCCGTATAGCATTTTCTTTCTGATCTATCTTGTACATTTTCGGTTGAGGGATGCTTGCGGTGCACAGCGGGAATCCCGGAAGGTCGCGCGTAAGCATCACATGGTAACTGGGAGGCCGTACTTGGTGTATATCAGCCTCGAGATAGTCCACCACGAGAGTTGATATCGAGATTCCAGAACAAAGAAAGCCCTGCATCCTCCATACTCCGTAGAGACTCAACTCGGATACACATCCAGAATGGCCAATTCCCTTCACCCATCCGGTAACCTAGGTTAAAAGGAGCCCAGCTCCACACGGGGGCTGATCCCCGCGAATCCCCAGCGCCGCCGATAACCGAGGCTCAGATACCCGTCGACTAATCATGACCTTCACGGTCTCGTTTCTCGTTTCTCGTTTCTTTCTCTTTCCTTTCTCTTTCCTTCCTCACAAAGCTTCTTTTCCCTCAATTCACAATGGCTTCTATCATCCGTACCTTGCGGCCCTTGTCGCGCACCCCCTCCGTTCGCTTGGCGGGTCAACGTCTTGCTACCGGCCGGCCCGTACAGAGGTATAGTCTATCCCATGAGTGAATCAATGCCATTAGACCGTAATGATTGACACAATCTTTTTTTTTTGACAGTGTATATGCCTTCTCAACTACCCCCCGCCGGCGGGAGGTTGACCTCTCCGAACTGACCCCAACGCCGATCACCCTTTTGTCCGAGACCGAGTCCCTGATGGCCGATTCGGTATCAAAGTTCGCAGTGGAGCAAATCGGCCCGAAGGTCCGCGATATGGATGAAGCCGAGACTATGGACCCCAAGGTCGTGGAGCAGCTCTTCGAGCAGGGTATCATGGGCATTGAGGTACCAGAGGAGTTCGGCGGTGCCGGTATGAACTTCACCTCCGCAATCGTCGCGATCGAGGAGTTGGCCCGCGTCGACCCCAGTGTCAGCGTGTTGGTCGATGTCCACAACACACTGGTCAACACCGCCATCCTGAAATACGGTGATGCCCAGTCTCAGCGCAAGTGGCTCCCCAAGTTGACCACCGGCACCGTCGGCTCTTTCTGTCTCTCCGAGCCCGCCTCTGGCTCCGATGCCTTCGCCCTCCAGACCAAGGCCGAGAAGACTGCTGATGGTTACAAGCTCAATGGCTCCAAGATGTGGATTACCAACTCCATGGAGGCTGGCATTTTCATTGTCTTCGCCAACATTGACCCCAGCAAGGGATACAAGGGTATCACCGCCTTCATTGTCGAGAAGGATACCCCCGGATTCTCCATCGCCAAGAAGGAGAAGAAGCTCGGCATCCGTGCCAGCAGCACCTGTGTGCTCAACTTCGACGACTGTGTCATCCCCAAGGAGAACCTGCTCGGCCAGGAGGGCCAGGGATACAAGTACGCCATCAGCGTGCTGAACGAGGGCCGTATTGGTATTGCCGCCCAGATGACCGGTCTGGCTCTCGGCGCATGGGAGAATGCCGCCCGGTAAGTCTTTCCGCATATCTGCATATAGATCCAATCAGCTGACCCCTAAAAACAGATACGTCTGGAACGACCGCCGCCAGTTCGGTGAGCTCATTGGAAACTTCCAGGGCATGCAGCACCAGATTGCGCAGGCCTACACCGAGATCGCCGCTGCCCGGGCTCTTGTCTACAACGCCGCCCGCAAGAAGGAGGCTGGCCAGGACTTCGTCCAGGATGCCGCCATGGCTAAGCTGTACGCCTCCCAGGTCGCTGGCCGCGTGTCGAGCTCTGCTGTTGAGTGGATGGGTGGTATGGGCTTTGTCCGTGAGGGCATTGCTGAGAAGATGTTCCGTGATAGCAAGATCGGTGCTATCTACGAGGGTACAAGCAACATCCAGCTTACAACCATCGCCAAGCTTCTGCAGAAGCAATATACCAACTAGACGATGTCCATGATTGGATAAAAATGTTTTACTCATAAATAGTTTCATGTACATTGCGGCGTATTACCCCCTTTTTCTTTTTTCTCTCTTCTGAGATGTATTGATCATCTCTCTAGCAAATACATGATATCAAGACCCGTCATGGGCCTTTGACTGCATCAAATCTGCTTTACCGCAACTTTTAAATACCAATGTATAACCGAGAGAAAACGAGAGAAGGGCCTGCGCAGTTTGATCGCATCCGTCATGTCGATTTGTATAAACCCATTTGCCCAATCCCGCGGGTTTCACACGTGAAGTACGCCCAGCGCACGGTGACAGTTTAGCCCAAGCCGTCCATAGCGTAGATCAACGGGAGGCGGGCCGGAAGCGCTCCGACAGGATACTTTGTTCGGTTGCGAGTTTCCTGTTTTGAGTTGGCAACCTTAATCGCAGGTTCCGCGATGTCTTCGCAGTTCATCCGGGCAGTCATCTGGGCAGACACCCACTATCGTGGCCTGATTCTGGGGTCTGTATGGTGTGATAAGCACGCATGTTCGCATCGAAGGTCTGGGCCAAGTTCCAAGGTTTGCATACTGCATATCGAATTGAGCCGTGCGAAATCTGGCAGGAATACCCTAGAGCATCGTGTTCCCGACCCAGAGGATACACACAGCTTCGGCCGAGCTACCTGGTGTGCGAATTTCACGATGGAGGCGCCCAGGGATACTCATATGTATGGTCCCTATGTTGCGATTGCGAATACGCTGATGTCGAGGACTGATAGACCCGGTCGGAGGGTGGCTGAGAGACAGGACTGGCGCTTGAGATCGAGAGTGGCCGGTTGCTGTATGGGAACTGAGGGAAAGAAGCCTCTGATTGTTGCTGATGAGGGCTTGATGTACCGCTAAAGCTGATTTGAGGGGCTGGTTGGCCGATGCGATGCCCTTGATGCAGGTGACCATCTATCATATATGACTCTATGCGGCTGGGATATTCTGGGTCGGATGCTGCACCGAGAGACGCCGACCTTGTGGACGGGTATGATTGTTGCCAGTCTTGCTGGCGAGACGCCCGACGTGACGATGAGAGAGTTGCCGCTGGTCTTCGTGGGTCGGACGTTGCAGCAAAGTGTGGTGGCAACAATGCCCCTGTCGTTGGGATACCAGAAGATGGGTTATGTGAGGCCTCCTCGACCGGCCACACAGCTCGAAAGGGAGCGATGGATTCACTGGTTGATGCAAACTCCGGTCGGCCTGTCAAAGAGGCAATTTGGGTTTTCAATCGTCTCACTTCATTCTCCAGAAAGGCATTGTGTTGCATGACTTCTTCGATCCGATCGGTTTGGAGCCGCATCTCCGCATTCTGCGCTTGGAGGGCGGAAACTTGAGTCTCAAGCTGCTCTATACGATCCTTGGTGCGTTGGCGAATGGACCGTTGAGCCTCTCGGTCGTTGGCACGCTTTCGCTCCAGTTGTTCCGCCGACAGTGTCGAGACTTTCCTCGTCCCCGATCGAGACTCGCGTCTTTTTACCGGCGGCGTGTCTTGGGAGCTCATGTCTAGCAGTTCCTTCGCAACAATGGAACTTAGCACCGAATGATTGCTGACGATGCTTCCCTCCGTTGCCCAGTTTCCTATCCAGAGAAACCCCCCGAGACGACCATGTACCCAGCACTGCACCGCCGGAGAGACCTTCACATGAGGGGAAAAGGGTGGATCAGTTATTCGCAAAGATCGTGTGTGGGTGGCTCGAGACTATCTCCGAGCCGAGCAGGGATTAAGGCAGAACGTGGAAGACCGTGCGAATCCATGGGTCGGTTTGGACGACTATAGAGGAATTATAAAACCCTACGAGAAGATAGAGTGATAAATGCTCTCAGGGGCATTGAACCCTAGGCAGTAGGGAAATTGAATTGCCCAGAATAAGGGTTTAATTCCAAGATTGGCCCCAACACCTATTACAACGGGTCCCCAGATCGTCATTTAGGAAACCAGGCGAATCTCCCGGTGATGCGGCGAGAACGACACCTTAAGCCGACTCTTAAAACACCCAATAAGCGTGGAGGAAACGGCGAACCATGTGGATAACTAGAGGCTATGGATATAGCGCCCTCCTCATAGCCACTACGGTGAGCCGCCCCCATCGCAAGGTCCGCTTTTTTTCGACTTCTGCCAGGATTCATGAGCTACCGAGGATCTGCTGTCACTGTTGCATTAGCGAAGAAAAGGTCCTCCGTTGGCCCTCCACGCTATGCATCCAGTGGGTTGAGCATTCACACCTTTTTCGTATTTGAGTGTGGGCTCAGGGCGAGTGTTCATCCATTTGTTACGGGGCCCGGAAACTACTGGAAATCAGAGCCTAGGGTCGTAAATAGCCAATGCACTTGAACAGCATCGGCGATCTCCTAGCCCTTGACCCGCATCAGTCGCCGAGGCTGCGGCTGGACCACGGATATATGGGGAAGGCGAAAATCCCTTGGCCCCCGACTTTGAACCCCGAGGATTACCGACGGTAGGGCGTTGATCTACCCCGTATTGACACAAGGGTCTCGATATGCGAGATGAGAAAACTAGTGGCTCTGGAAAAACGGTATCTGAGACAACCGTTGTTTGACGGTGAGCATTGATTTACAACCTGCAACCAAGCATTTGACAGTATTGACGAGGCGTTATGTTGATCATGAGCCTAGGGGTTGTTGCAAAGGTCCTGCAAAACTCAGCGTGATCTCTTCCACGGCCCTGTTGGGGGGCGGGAATGGTCTGCATTTTGATAGCTTTCTCACGTTTCCAACTCACGGTTTTGACCATCCTGACGGCACGGCTCCTTCAAATAACTCCCAATGGAGGTACCTATGTCGGACCCTGATCATACCTGGAGTAATCCCCCATACCAGACCACTTTGGTACTTAGCAATCTCATTTCGATCGGACACCTGAGACAGCACACTCAATGCGCCTCTACGTTGTAACTGTACGCGCCATGTGGAGGTTTGCAACGTTGAGGGAAATCAGGGGGCACGGCTATCTCAGAATGGGTTCCCTATATTTTGATGCTTAACCGGTACTGCATACCGTGCATACAAACCAGCATTCGCACTTTGTGGTTCTAGACGCTGGTGGTCCGGGATCCCCGGCCGATCGTCGCAGATCTCAATCCGGGCCCAGTGCTTATAGGTTGCCTTGACATTGTTGTAAGCCTTGTCGAGGCAATAACACCGTTGGATCAGATTCATGGGGTTCACTTGTCGAAAGATGGATTCTCCCAGTCGGAGAGAACATCAAGATGTCCCAATCTCGCCTAGGTCGATGGGTACGACTCGCACACCCAAGGGAGAGTGGCCCCTATGGAGCAATGAAACGACGGAATGCGGCCGAGGGGCCTCTAAGCGAAGCCAGGGACGTGATCGGAAATTGTTTGCTACAAATGCATCGGTCTTCGCCCCATGTCGGGTGGTCTACGTTCTACACTAACAACTAGGGCTGTCGAGCAAATCATATTAATGCAACGGGTCCTCACGGCTCCCCGAATCACTCCAGAAGCTTTTTATCGGCGATGAAAGTTCTGACATACTTGCTGCTTTGTCCACTGGTTATCCTTATTTCAGATGATTCTCCATATTTGCATACCCTGATTAGATAGCGTCTGCCATGCGAACTATTTAGATCGACAGGGTAGATGGAACTTGTGGAGATGTTTGATGCCTTCGGCCCCCAATGTTGCACATATGAAGTTCAGATTGCGTCCTGAGGCGGATAAATCCTCCTATTTGTCATTGTTTAAAAATAGGTAGTTTTTTGGTTCCTCTCCTTTCCTCCCTGCTCCCCCCTTCCTTCATCGGCGATATTGAGAGATGGTTATGATACCTTTCCCTCTCAAAGGCTGTTTACTATCGAAGGTTCATACTTGAAGGATAGCTTTCCCTCGAATTTCTTCCGTGTGACTGGGTCTCTAGCACTTTTATCCGGGAAATAGTCTAGAACATCGGACTCGGCCTATATGGACGGTCTCCTTTTACAAGAACTGCCCCACAATACACGTGACATCAAGCGAAGATAGTGGGCCTGCAGCATCCAATCAACGGCGGCTGACCCGGTTTGGAGATAATCTTAAATGCTTGGCAACAAATCTCTTCTTTGTCAAATATAAACTTACATTGATTCACAGCAACAAGCAAAAGTCTGACTTTTGCAAAATTAGAACGAAACAGGAAGAATCATACCTCTCACTCGCACCTTCCTTCTGCTGGTCTAACTGTCCGCACACATTAACATTCACTCACTCGCCACTTCGAGTTCGAGTTTTCATCAAAACAAATTGACTGCAGTGTTCTTGAAATAAAAACCAGTAACCATCATGGAAGATCTCCAACTCAATGATGATACCCAGCTTTACTCAACCATGGCTGGGAAGCTGGATTCCAAGCTCCTCAAGGCCCTTGATGTCATGGGATTCACCAACATGACTCCTGTCCAGCAGCGTGTTTTGACGGAACTCCCAAACTGGCGCAGTGATTGCCTTGTCCAGGCTAAAACTGGTACTGGAAAAACCCTTGCATTCTTGTTGCCCGCATTGCACTGTCTGCTCCAAGGTGATTCAGCGCCCCCCAAGGGCAAAGTCGGCATCTTGATCATTACCCCAACCCGAGAACTTGCCCAGCAAATCGCAAAGTCGTGTGATCAACTAACATCGCAACTTCCCACTCCCCTTGAATGCCACGTTGCAGTTGGTGGAACAGCTCGCGCATCTGCTCATTCCCGCTTCATGAAGGGCGCACCATCCATTCTTGTTGCCACCCCGGGACGGCTGTGCGACTACCTTTCTGAAACTCCTACCGCTAAGAAGCTGTCTAACATTCAAACCTTGGTCCTGGATGAAGCAGACACCATGCTCGAGAGTGGCTTCATCGCTGATGTGAAGCGAATCCTCCAGCTTATCCCTCAAAAGAGCACTGGCTGGCAAGGCATGTGCTTTTCAGCCACTGTCCCGCCCAAAGTCAAAGATGTGGTCAACATTGTGTTGAAGAAGAACTACACTAGCATTTCTACCATTGATCAGAATGAAGCACCAACACATGAGAGAGTACCCCAGTACCACGTGCTGATGCCCTCCGTGGCAGACACCTTCACTACCCTCGCCTCTCTTCTCAAGCATGAAATCAAGAACAGCTCAAAGATCATCGTCTTTGGCGTAACTGCTCACATGGTTGCCCTTCTCGCTGGAGTTTTCTGCAAGGGCATGGTTCATTTGAAGGTATTCGAGATTCACTCTAGACTCAACCAGGGCGCTCGCACGAGAACCACGAATCAGTTCAAAGAAGCAGAGTCTGGAATCCTGTTCGCCTCAGATGTTATCGGTCGTGGAATGGATTTCCCCAACGTCGACTTGGTCATTCAGGTCGGTTTGCCATCGAACGGCGAGCAGTATGTTCACCGTGTCGGTCGTACAGCGCGTGCTGGCGCCGATGGCCGCGCTATCATTCTCCTCACGGAGGGCGAGTCCTTCTTCATGAAGAACAACCGCCACTTGCCCATCAAGCCCCACCCCGATACAGATGCGATCCTCGCTGGCGCTCCCTCATGCTCTAAAGCTGTCATGCAGGCCATGTACACTATTGAGGAAGAGTCAAAGCAACGTGCCTACTCGTCTTTCATTGGTTTCTTCGCTGGATCAGGTCTTCTGCGACAGCTCCGTATCGACAAGGCTGGCCTTGTCCAACTCGCCAATGAAATGGCCGTCAAGGGCATGGGTTGCCCCGAGCCTCCCCCAATGGACAAGAAGGTTATTGGCAAGATGGGACTGAAGGGTGTTCCTGGGTTCACTTATGCGGACCCGAATGAGTTGGTTCGAGGTGGTCGGAATGGTAATTCCAGAGCTCGCAGTCATTCTCGAGGTGGTAAGTCTCGTGATGCCCTTAGCCCTGGAGCAGGTTCAGGAGACCGGGGCGGTATTGAGAAGAAGCGTGGAGGAGGCCGTGGAGGCCGTGGAGCTCGTCGTGGCGGAGGTCGTGGAAGACCCAGATCATAAGTCTTTTGCGTATTAAGGTCAAGCACAGCGTGCTTAAATGTTGTTATTTGTTTATAGACATTAGAGAGTCACGAACTGCCACATGAAATTCAATAATCGGAATCAAAGCTACTGGCGCATAGTTGTCCATTGTAGGGCTAATCTTCAAACTATGTAGCCATGGTACATGAACGCCACTGCTCCCAGTCATCCAAAGGAGCTATTGAAGTAGTTCTAGAAGTATCTCATCCCACCCGATTCATCCAAATTGACAGAGTGTCATTATTGATCTTGACAGCTGTTCGAATTGAACACAGTTGAAGCTGGTCAGGTGATCCCGGATAAACATAACACTTGAGAGCTTCAAATCCCACCTCTCCGGCATTCCACCACGTCATTCATTCATTTGGACATCTGGGCAGCTATCTATATTGATAACTGTTCAATATGGACCTGAGCTACAAAGCTCGCAAGGAGGCATTTGTGTCTAATCTTGCGGGAAGTACAATCCTCGAAATCAATGCAGTCACCCTCGTTGCTTCAGTGAGATAAACCTCGGTCACCTCCATGCAATTGATCTCTTCTAACCTGGAATTATGTTAGACATCGGTGCTCCTTTGGTCCGCGCTTCAGTCCCGTCTATCTTTCTTCAAGCCTTATGGCCCCGCAGCACTTGTGACCGACTTCATTCTCAATGTATTAGCCATTTTATTCGCAACGACCGCATACTCCCCCGCGCCGCTTCTTCTCAATATCTTCCTCGTCTCCCCCGCCGTCCTCCTCTTTCTTACTCGCAATGGTGTGCGCACACCCCAAAAAGCCAAACCCCCCCGCAAATCCAAGGCCAGCAATGAAAGCTCTCAAGAAGACCAGCTGGGTTTGCCCATCCACCCATTCTTGACCACATATCGCGCAGCTATGATGATTGTTACCTGTGTCGCCATTCTCGCTGTCGACTTTCGTGCATTCCCACGTCGATTTGCCAAGGTGGAGAACTGGGGAACCTCTCTGATGGACCTGGGCGTGGGCTCCTTCGTGTTCTCCGCCGGAGTTGTTTCTGCGAGAGCAGTTTTAAAGGGTCGCAACTCCAAGTCACCGAAATTGGCTTTGCACAAGAGATTGATTGGCTCGGCTCGACACTCTATCCCTCTACTTGTGTTAGGCCTCATTCGACTCTGGAGTGTCAAGGGATTGGACTATGCGGAACATGTGACGGAGTATGGCGTGCACTGGAACTTCTTTTTCACGCTTGGCTTTTTGCCCCCATTCGTGGAGCTGTTTGATTCCTTGGCCACTCTGATCCCCGCCTATGAGGTGCTTGCGCTTATAGTTGCAGTGCTCTACCAAGTCGCTCTGGAGTCAACTGATCTCAAGGGCTACATTCTCGTGTCTCCCCGCGGGCCAGACTTGCTATCGAAGAACCGCGAGGGAGTCTTCTCTTTCATCGGCTATTTTGCGATCTTCCTCGCTGGACGGGGTGTTGGAGTCCGCATCATTCCTCGGGGTACATCAGCCTCTAAGTCCCCCCAACAAGCGCGCAGCTCTGTCCTGATGAGCTTGGTACTGCAAGCAATGTTCTGGTCAACCATGTTCTTTTTCAATTCTACCTACGCGTTCGGCTATGGTGCCAACATCCCAGTGTCGCGTCGCCTTGCCAACATGCCATATGTGCTCTGGGTGGCGGCATTCAATAGTGCGCAGCTTTTCCTGTTCTGCTTGACCGAGACTGTGTTCTTCCCCGCAGTGCACCGAGCGACTAATAAGGAAGCCGAGGCAGAGCAGACGTCCTTCGCGACTAGTCGCATTCTACACGCCTTCAACCGTGGAGGTCTCGCATTGTTCCTCATTGCCAACCTGCTTACTGGGGCAGTAAACCTAAGTGTTCCAACATTGGATCTCAACACACCCCAGGCCATGGGCATTTTGATTGTCTATGCGGCGGTGCTAACAGGCGCTGCTCTGGGGATGGACAAGTACAACATCAAGTTGAGCTTGTAGATGTACTATACTTAGATATGTTGTATCACTTAAAATATCATGCGCATATAGATATCCTCCATACTCAGCGATTGCAAGTTCCATGGCGTACAGAGTACAGAGTACAGAGTAACAGGTTATAAATAGAGCATCCCCAAATCACCCAGTGGGTTTCCCAAGTCTAGCCTCGGCATGTGATATCATCGGTGGAGCAACATCTCAACTCCTGAGAGCGCAAACTGTCTTGCAACCAACATCATGCCCTCTAACGAACAGACCTTTCTTAACTACCCTCCACCGCGTGAGGGTCCCTCAGTACCCTACAACAATGAAGAACAGGTGATCCCGGCCTTTCGCGGCAGGACCTTGGCCATCGGCGCTACATTGTAAGCTTAAAGAAAGCTCCATTGATCATCGCAATATCCTAATTCCACGCCTTTTGTTCTAGAATCCATAACATCGGGTTTATTCAAAGCCATTTCTGGCGCAATGCCGGTTTCGGCGTCATTCGGGAAATCCCCGAACTGGGCCAGTACCCAGGCCGCTACGATCCAACTGTGATTCCAGTCGATAATGCCAGCAATGTTGAACTAGCGGCGAAAGCAGTGTCTGGTAATGTGGAGCGTAGGAAGGGAAGTCGTGGATATTATACTTCCGCAGACTATCACGCGCTCTATACGTCGGGGGAGCTGACCCCAACAGCTGTCATTGAGACTCTATTGCCTTTCGTCCGACGTGACACCCAGCCACCTGGGAAGCACTCAATTGCTTTCTTCGAGTCTCAGTCTGATCTGATTCTTGCAGCGGCAGAAGCATCTACAGAGCGATATAAGAAGGGCCAGTCTTTAGGTCCACTCGACGGTGTGCCGGTTGCAGTGAAGGATGAGGTGCATCTCACAGGGTATAAACGTACGCTAGGATCGAAGCTGGATTTCAAGCACGGTATTGATGCAACCTCATGGTGCGTGAGGCAATGGCTGGATGCCGGAGCCATTATCATTGGAAAAACATCGATGCACGAGATTGGATTGGGTAAGTTCTCATTGTCCATCGTCGCGCTACAGTAGCTAACAATTTCAAGATACAAATAACAACAATCCCAATTATGGAACACCCAGAAACCCCCATAATAAGGAGTATTATTGCGGCGGGTCCTCTGGTGGCTCTGGATATGCTGTCGGGGCAGGACTTGTTCCCATTGCACTTGGCGCAGACGGCGGGGGCTCAATTCGCATTCCGTCCTCCTTCTGTGGTATTTGGGGCCTAAAGCCTTCACATGGCCGTATATCCGGTGCGCCATCTCAGAGTCTCGCGCCTACTGTTGGTGTGCTCGGACCCATGGCTGCTAGCATCGATGACCTTGCTCTCGCCTATCGCGTCATGGCTACCCCAGCGCCAGCTTTAGAAGACCCGATCTCATCTCAGTTCCCCTATCCTACGCCCTATCAGCCTAACTCCACGAGACCTAAGACTATTGGTATCGTTCGCGACTGGGTAAACCGCGCCGAGAAGCCGGTGCGCGCTGTGCTTGACCGGGCACTGGACTATTACCGCGAACAAGGCTACATCATTATCGATATTACAATCCCTTATCTTACGGAGGGCCAGCGCGCCCACGCTCTGACCATCATGGCGGAGATCGCATCTGGCGTTGATGCGAGCAAGATCCGACATCTTACGGCCCCGAACAAGGTGCTCGTCTCGATGGGCATGTACCAAATCACTGCACAGGACTTGCTCGCTTCACAGCGGCTCCGGAATCTCCTTATGACGCACCTATCTCATCTTTTCAAGGCACATCCTGGGCTAATTATCCTTTCCCCCACGACACCTATCCCTGGATGGCGTATTGATGGGGGTGAGGCAGATTTGTCTCATGGTTTGTCGGATGGCAAGTACTCTGTTCGTAATATGGAATATGTCTGGCTGGCCAACTTTGCGGGTTGTCCTGCTATCAGTTGCCCTGCCGGATACGCTCCTGATAGCGGTGTACCTATCGGTCTGATGGCTATGGGCGAATGGGGCGCCGAGGAAGAGTTGTTTGCCTTTGCCCGGGATGGAGAGGCTATCTTGGACTTGCCTGATGGAAGTGCTTCTGAGGATGGAGCTGCTTCGGCAGTTCAGGGTCTGCGGACTCCTGCTGATGACCTCTGTGTCTGGGAGGATGTTATTGCGCAGGCTAAGGACAAGTTATCTGGATAAGCAGAAAGCATATTTAGGCATACTGCCACTGGGTCTTCGTTATTTACCATACTGTCATTCTGTTGAATACCGACGGAGAAGAAGGGAACCTTGGAAGATTACTCCATGTCTATGGAAAGCGGGAGACTGGCTCTATTGACATTAATGCATTGCGTATATCCCTGCGTTATGTTTATATCTATTTGAATGTGGTCCATCTGATCGACATCATCTCGAGATATTCGACATCTGATAGTTCTGCAATTCTGGTCATGTGGATAGGATCCCCGTGGCTTAGGCCAAGATGCCTTTCAACATCGTGAAAAAGCCCATCGGGGTCGAATTCAACACAACGCTCACGTAGACGCAGGTCTTCATTGTAGAGAAACCTGCCCGAGGTGTAGTTAAACCAGTCTCGGGACTTGGCAGAACCTATCTGACGGGATTGTTCTGTTAACAGCCTCTTCAAAAGGCTTATCCCTACTAGCACGGGTAGATGACGGAGGGTTGACAACCGATGTCGTTTGGTACCTAATGATAAAGAGTATAAATGGTAGCAAGAAGAAGAGAATGGAGTCATGATGTACATAGGAGGTGGGTTGGGGGAATATGAAAGGGGAAGGGTTGACAAGGGATCGTTACAACATACTCTACATGGAGCCGGATAGAAGTGAGAAATGGGGTATCGGTGTTAGTTTAGCACATCGACGCAATAGGACGACTCGCTTTCTTTATAAAGTCGATAAATCTTCGATCAATTAGCCATAAGTTACATTTAAACATCTGTCGCCAGTCTCCATAAGAAACATGTTCTATACAATGAACATATCTGCAAGCACAAAACTGATTGCCGAGTGATATTGAATAGTTCCAGCGCTAACAAACATCCCCTCCCGAATTTCAAGACGCTATGAGACGAGTCGGAGACAAATATATCGTAGCTAATTTACAGAACCAAAACATACATTGCGCCAAACCGAAAGAATCCTCCTCGCCGTTTCAATCCGATCAAATATAGACATCCTTACCAGGAGTCGGGGCAAAGAATTCACAACCCAGATGCGCCGCTTCACTATGAGCCTGGAGTTCTCGAAGGATCTGTTCTCTCGGATGAGGCCCATCGGTAAGAGCCTCCTTGATATGAATAATGTGTACTTGCAATCCTGTCAGAGGAAGAGGCGAAGCACTAGCCCAGGTTTCAGGGTCGGGAGGATCCAGGTCTTCGAACTCGTCACCGGGAATCCGGGGTACTTCGAACCCATCATTTGGATGCGATCGGGGCTCGATCGACGAGTCAGACCTCCTTCCCTGATCGGTAGAAGAACTTTGCCAGCGTCTTGATCGCGGACTCACTTGCGCGCTAGCAAACCCGCCGGAGGCTGACGAGACTCGCTTGCGCTTTCTCTTGTCCTGGCACAACCCTCGCACTTCCATGACTTTACTAGCAAGCACGGTGAGCTCGGCAACTAGGTGCCGTGGACACATGTGGCCGTACAGATAGGCATCATCGGTGCTATCGTTGTAAGAACATTCGATGAAGATGGCTTGCAGACTCCCCGAGGCAATCTTTGGAGCTGCAGCTTCCCAAACTCGTCTGTTGTGAGTTTCGCCAGATACAGAGTCGGGCTCGAGGTCCCCGAAGACAATGATCTCGGAGCCGCTGCGATGATCGCGTAGGAAGAACGCCGAGCTCTCCACCGTTGCCATTGGCGAATCTTTAATGGATGTCGCCATTGAACGCGAGGACTGAGAAGGCGAGTAGAAGCTATTAATGGTTAAGAGACATCGTACAAAAGCGACAGAAGCAGAACTTACGCGGCCTCTCGATGGTCGACTGAAAGTGATCTCGAAGGAACAAACTGATGATCAGCAAAGACCATACTTCCAATACGATGATGCGTCCCGCTTTCCGCATGGTATCGTTGCTTGCATCGGCCATGGCTCAACTTAAGGCACTTTGTCGACAGGCCACTGCAGGCTCTGACATAGCCTCTACTATCGCCGCGACCGAAACGAGGATTCCCACCTTCCACTAAGCGCTGATAAGTGAGAAGACCCGCACCGCCGTCTTCGTCCGATAAGTTAGGCCAGATGATATCGTTGAAAATGTGGTTTTTGAGAGCAGTCAGCACAGATGGTAAAGCAGCCACAGGTTTTGGTTCATTTCCCGCCTCCAAAATCGGAGTATTAATGACTAGCCCAGAGACATGATCTAAATGAGGGTGCGTGATTAGAACAGCACCAATGAGTTCCCGAAACACATGAGCCGCATTTGCCTCTGGTGTTTCATAGGGCAGCTCGAGCCCCTGAAGGGGTCCACTCGTCACTATGTCTCCCTCAGTCTGGCATTTGGGCATGTGGTCTTCCAGCAATCGCACAATTCCAGCGAGAAGGGTACCTGCGTCAACGGCTACCACCGAGTTTGAGGACCATTTTGTCGACGTCGCCCGGACAAGAATTCCCGTGACGTTATCTTCACGAGGTCCACCCGTTGGGCCCTAAGAGAGTCAGCGTTAAGCACCAAGTAGATTTAGCAGGGCTATGTCTGCCACGGCCCGTCATCAGAGAAATTGAGCACAAGATATCTCGCCTCCCAAGAGACCTCTCACACTCGATACATGGTCCCGCACGTGCCGGGGTCCGCAACAGACAAGATACAAATTGACGGCTCCCAACTTACCAAAACAATGACTTGGAATGTTGCTGTTTCGGAAGGATCTTCCCTCGGCTTGCTAGCCTTGGAGCGTAGGCGATTCATGGATAATAGGCTGTCAGACTTGTCGCAGCCTATGTGCAAGTCGCGTTGCCTGAGTGCCTGATCACCAATAGGATTCGGATCTCAACGGTAGACTGTCTCACGAAGTCTCCAATAGATTGGTCGTAGGCTCACTTTTGGAATATGAAAAGCGGCTAAATACCGAGGGCCAATGAGATTATGTGGGGGTATGACGATAGCGCGTGTGAGTTGCGATTTAGACTGTTCCAATGTACTCCGTATGTTGTCCAGACTCAAGCTCTTTGGGCGGAATACGATAGACTGAGCCTATTTCTAGGAAACCGGGATTTGTTGCGCTCGACAGCTGTGAGATCAAGCTATGCGCGGAGCCGCAACAGAAATTCGGGGGCTGGACGGGCGGCAGAGTGCAGATGAGAGAGCTTCGATCTGGGGGTGAGATGAGCAATTGCGGGTTTTCCTCAGCTCGTATCACAAAAGAGGACGTCTTGTGCGTGAGACAGCCACTCCTGCAGGCAAAGTACAGAGGCCGTGGCGCCGATTGGCGGGATCTTAGGGGTTCAAAAAGCCACTGGGGATTTGGATCGGAGACACGATCGGAGTGGATCGTTTCAACTGGGGCTAGTGGGGTATGATCGTAACAGAGCCACAGATGCGGAACGAAGATCTGGGGTCTTGAGGTCTAATAACCCTGGGAGATATCAAATTGTCAAGATCTTGGGGATGTATTTCTGGACCTGAAGCAGGTGCAGTAGACGAGGCGATCAAAGCTTCAAGGCGGGCCTTAGCAGATGCTGCATGAAATCTATAGGGATTGCCAGCGTATAAATATTAGTAACATCTTGTTGACCTAATCTGGATTCAGAACGTTCTTTCAACTCATGATGTTTGCTCTTGGGTTGCGCTTTGAGGGCTTTGACAGAGCGGAGTCTCGAATTGTGGGAGTTACTTGGCCCAGCGCCGATGACGTCCACACTACGCCCTCCTCGCCATGGATGTATACAACCCGGATTATCGTTCTGAGCTTTGAGAATATTTTTACCATATTTTTACCATGTGTTTACAGTTCACCCAGTGTGGTCGGTTGATCGGGAGGCGACCGGCGAGCAGAAACTCCCGGTCTAACTTGAAATGACACGATATACAGAGTCAACCTAAAGAGGGTATGCGGTCAAAGAGCACGGCAACAAAGATAAAGCAAAACGATAGTGCCTTGGTACATGAGTTCATTGACTGCCCAAGGGTAGGGGGCGATAGAGACACAAAGCCCAAATCCAGAAAGAAAGCACCCAACAAAAACCAAAGAATCAGCCTGCTCGAGTTGCTATAACGCCATCCGTGAACCCGCTAAATAAAACGACAAAGAAATAACCAGACAAAGGCTGTGGTACGCCACGAGTATGTTCAAAGGTTAGGGGGAAATAAATGTTGCACCCGGGTTAATCATTGGTCTCTTGAGCTGTGCTCATTCAGGCCTCCCTCCATTGCGGTTTGGTAACTTGGTAGATTTTGACCGGATTCCGCGGAACCATTTGATGGAGAGGTGGGCTCCTCAGAATTCATAGCCCGAGGTGGGAATTCGAGAGACGCATCACTGCCCCTACGACTGCCATCGGGGCTAGAGTATTCAGGTGGCGGAACTTCCGGCTCTAAATGATCAGGAGCACCCGCACCATTGGCATCTGCGTCTATCGCAGCATAACGGCTTGATCCCTCGCCCACATCTTCATGAGACGGGATATGGGTCAGCTGAGCGAGGGAAATGTCAGTTGGTGATCGAGCAGGGCCTGGGCTAGGCGCCGGAGGAATCCTAACACTTGACCCCGAGGCCGCGTAGTTTGCATTTTGGTAAACACGCTGGGAAATTTGAGCCGCACTTTCGCGCCCTGACTCGAGTAAAATGCTGCCTTGCTCGCTACCATAGGGTGGAGGCGGAGCGAGGCTTCCGGTCATGGGGGCCAACCCCCATTTTTTGACATTGCCTTCGATGAAAACGAATCCCATTTGGCCGAAGTTTACGTGGATGGTGCAAGGCCCATTGGCGCCAATGGTGGGGAAGAGGTTTTGAGAGCGATAGTTGTGAGCCACGTCTTCGAGTTTCTTGCCGTTGCGTGTGAAGAAAACGGTGCCAGATCGAGGACGGTACCCTACACCAATAACATCACCCTGGAGCAGTGGAGGGCCATATGGGGTGGGATTAAAAGGTTGATTGAGTCGGCGATGCCCCGTGGATTGGTAGGCAACAGAGGATTTGTGGAAGCCTAAATATATGGTTAACAGGAGTCGCTTGACTGACAGATTCCCATTTTGAGAGACACAGACCAGGCATGCGGAACAGAGGATATGGTTTCGTGGTCACACCGATACCGATCATTGTCGACTCGGGCTTATCGTATATCTTCGCTTCCCAGTAGTAAACGTCATTTTGCTTGGGGATGGGCAAATTGGTCTGTACGCTGCACTCCGAGTCAAAGAACTCAATCTCTGTGCGTCCCTCCACGAAACAGTTTGCAATTTCCAGCTCAGGCTGGAATTCCCAGGCGGATACGCCTTTCTCCTGAATCGCAAGGAACTGTGATAACGAGATGTCGGTTTGCACAGACTCGGGGGGGTTTCCTTGTACAAAAGCTGCAAATGATTAATCATATGATCGAAGTACTATGGAGATTCAAGTGCACCCTAACCTTTTGCCCGCAAATATTCCGATCGCGCCAGGTCATCCATTGACTCTAGCGCCGCCTCTTCCTCGCGCGCAAACGCTTGCTCATCATCGTATTCACCGGGTCGGCCAATGCGATCGAGCATAATCCGGCCCCGACGGGTATATTTGAAGAAAAAGAAGACCGCTAGAACGATAAATGCGACGGCAGCCGACCCAAATGCGGATAAGATCCCTATCAGGATACCCTTGCCGGTCGACCCCGTCGAGTTGCCACTGGCAAGTACGGGCTCGGGTCGGAACTCCATGGACAGAGAGGACAGCACATTCCGTAGATTTGCTTGAATCTGTTGCTCCGAAAGTGATTCGCTCTGTAGGGGTGTCGGTAGTGATGTTGAGGGGACGAAGCCAATCGGTGACGTCGTCGGGTTGCCTATCACCGTTCTCAAGGTAGATGGCAGGCCTGCGAGCACACCGGGGCTCGAAGCCTCAAGATCCTGCATTGTTCATGTGTAGAAAGATCAAGAAAGCACGGAAATCAAAAGTCAGAAAACCAATGCTGGAAGTGGTGAAAGAGGAGGTGAGAGTGAAGTGGGCGCAGCGGATAAAAAAGGCCGTGGGTTATCTAAGACGTTTCCGGGCAGTTGGGGGGCTACCAGGCCTATTATGCAAGGTGATGTAGAGTTGGTTCCTGGATCTAGACATCCTGGAAGATCCTAGAAAAAAGGAATCTAATGTCTCTCTTTTGACTTTTAATTGTCTTTTTTTTCCCCTTCAAGCAGAATCTCCCTGGGGGAAAGGAGTAGTGGTATCAGAAGTGTTATACGAATCCATCCCTGCTCAGGATAAGCGTCCGTCTCCTGTCTCCTCTTCCCCTCCCTCGTGGTTCCTTACTCGAGAACACCCCCCCTCATCCCCTCAGTCACTTACAAGACTAGGTATTTGAGGAGATGCGTTCGACTAGTCGAGTTGCCCAGGGTCCCTCGACTCGGGACGTCATGATCAATCCCGTCGACTCCTACAATATACGCGTGGTGACACCTACCTCCTGCGATAAGTACCCAGGTTAGTACACTTCTGACTAGTGCGAACATCGCAAGGTCGGCAAATCCTCACTTGCCTCCTTCTCCCTCTCCCATACCATTGACTTCGCCATTGGACCCGACCGGCAATCACGCGTGACTCGAGCTGACTAGACCGCCCTCACTAGCCAAGCAGCATGCGCGCAACGTCGCTCGGAGGCTTGGAGCCTCAACTGGCTTAATTTTCCTTGCGGGACAACCAACAATTAATCTACGCGACTCGGACCAAGCGCGCCCGTTCCGACAACGACGTTACTTTTACTACCTGAGTGGAGTCGACGAGCCCGACTGCTCTCTGACGTACGATATCGAACGAGATCTATTAGCACTCTACGTTCCGGACTTCGACCTCCACCGCGCTATTTGGATGGGACCAACCCTCTCACGGGAAGATGCACAAGACCGATATGATGTGGACCACGTACGCTATCACACGTCACTCAAATATGACCTGAAGGCGTGGCTAGACGATCGAAAACAGGGCAGCCAGCTGTACTTGATTCATGAGTCAGAGAAGCCCGAACAATTACCAAAGGATCTGCCTTTGAATTTGGAACAGCTCGTGCCTGCTATGGACGCAGCCCGAGGTATAAAAGATGAATATGAAATCCGGATGATCCGTCAGGCCAACAAAGTCTCGGCCCTCGCCCATCGGGGGATTCTAGAGAATATTCAAACAATGTCCAACGAGTCACAGATTGAGGGATCGTTCTTGAATACTTGCATCTCACACGGTGCCCGAAACCAGGCATATCAGATTATCGCAGCCTCGGGGCCCAATGCGGCCGTATTGCACTACGACCGGAATAACGAATCACTGCATAATAAACCTCTCGTCTGTCTCGATGCCGGCGCAGAGTGGAACTGCTATGGAAGTGACGTGACGCGAACTTTCCCGCTTACTGGCGATTGGCCCAGCGATTACACGCGGGATATCTATAAGCTAGTGGAGCGCATGCAAGAGGAATGCATCCGGTTGATCCGGAAAGGGGCGCGCTATGTATCTCTCCACGATCTAGCCCACGAAATCGCGATCGAGGGTCTTCTGGCTCTAGGTGTGTTCAAGAACGGCACGATTCAAGAGATCCGTCAATCTGGCGCATCCAAGGTTTTCTTCCCACACGGCCTAGGTCATCATGTCGGCCTTGAAGTCCATGATGTCTCGGAGCGCTCCATCATGGCCCTTCACCAGGGTATTGATCAGTTCCAGTACGGTCCGATCTTGAACTCTACCTGTCGTTCGCCGTGCACGCTCTCCGCTCCGCTGCTGGAAGAAGGCATGGTTGTTACTGTCGAGCCAGGGCTCTATTTCTCGCCCCTGGCTATGGCCAACGCGCGCAAGCAACCGTATGCTCGATACATTGATTTTGACGTTGCAGAGAAGTACGTCCATATCGGTGGAGTGCGTATTGAGGATGACATTCTCGTGACTGCTACTGGTTATGAGAATCTCACCACTGCGCCCAAGGGCGAGGAAATGCTTGCCATCATTAGGGCATCTATATAAGAGCTAGACTAGCCTAATAGACTATAGCACATTGCGGGATAATCTTTCCACTCTGTTCGCAATTCTAGAGTATGTGTTCCAATCATTTGTGCTTGCCTCTTTTTCATTTGAGCCTGGAACCACCTAGGCACAATCTGCCGTGGGTCTGAACTTCCGACTCTTATTCCCGCGAGCATTGGATTGTGTACAACTATATCGAAATTGTACAACACCTGGGCAACCATGAGTCATTCAAGTGTCCACTCGTAGTCTAACATGATGTACTCCGTACGCCTTGCGATGCTAGATGTTCCCGAGGTCCATTTATAACCTGTTCCTTTCTACGTGCGCTCAATATTGAAACAGAGATAAACACTTTCACAGATGTTAGATTAGGTACATTCAAGGCAATTCTCCCATGGTTATGATTCAAACTTTGCCTATTCGATGAGCCACGTTCTCAATTTAGCAATATATGGTTGAAGAATGATCGAAAGATATATCTCAGAGCGTCCTTTTTGTCACACATGTAAAACTGTCGATGAAACTACGGTATCACGTATACATAGAGTTCGGCCCATCACTATTATCAGAAGAATGTGATACAAGAATCTCAAGTTGCCAATTTTCAATGTCATGGACCGACAATCCTTACCTTCAACCTCGGGTTCGTGATCGTATACCATCCCCTTTTCGAGCATTGATCAACTGAAAAGCGAGCGTGGAACCTCTGTCAACGACGTCGATCGCCAGTTCTCCCCGATTTATGCGCATTGATTGTACTCAACGGATTGAAAACGGTCCAGCTGTCTTGATGGACGTCTTGAACTACCCCACGATGCAAGCACCTATAAGCCCTTATCCCCCCATCAGTGTAGGCCATCGAGATTGATATCCCCGGAGACAGAAATCAGTCCTCACGTTCGAAATCAATTTTCGATTTTCAACATGGGAGACCACATTGCACACTCAGCCAGACCGATCGCCACCGATCTCTGCTCCTGGGGACATCTCGATACGGCGAACAATGTATAGAGCGACTTTACGAAATGCAACTCCGAGGATAACCCCAAGGATATGCATATACTGGACGAGACACATCATGTGCAGGTGCAGGAATCCGGGGGGCAAGAATCGTCGTACACACCCGAGGAGAATGGTTTCATTTACCTCGTGCATGAAATAGCCGAGCTCGACAGGGTCTCAGACGAGCATTGTGCCCAGCATCCCATCATTCCACAAACAGGAGAATTAGTTCGCACAATGTCGGTAATTTTCCAAGGCAACGAGGCTTGTACGAGAAGCTGACTCTCGCAGAACCGGAGGAACACGAACAATCACCTTCGCACGCTGAGTGCGGAGTACGCAGCCTGCCAACGGATCCATCCCTGCTGGCTACAGGTAGTAATCGCAGTCCAGCGTATAGAGTCCACTCTGACTTCACTGCTGCAGGTGCGATCCACCACCTCGAGACTATTATTGCCGAGCAGGAGCGCAGCCACCCCGGCCGAATTTTGATCATTCATGTCTGGAGGCCATTGACACCGATCCAAAGAGATTCTCTCACAGTCTGTGACTGGAAGTCTATCAATCTCCACAGGGAGTGTACGGAGTATTCCTAATCGACTCACGTTGCCGACTGGATGGAATGAACTCGGCCGGTATGCGTATAGTCCAAGTCAGAGATGATTATTGCCTTGGCGGCCAACAATCTAATGAATCTCTCATTTTTACGCAATTTGATAGCTCCAAAATGAAGGGTGGATTCACCGTGCCTTACAGTGCGTTTGTCGACGCCCAATACAGGGAGTCGGCTGCAAGGGAGAGTCTAAAAGTCTAGATGTCAAGATGTCAAGATGGTGTTTGCTTAGTATGCACTGTTTGTCCCGTTTGTCTCAGGGGGTTCAGGGGAGTCAGGTTTCGGTGTTCCGGCTAAATTTAGGAGTCCTGATAAGTCAGGCACCCCCGTTTTTTATTAAATCTGAGTCAATAGTCCCGTTCTTCCAGATTTCTTCCAAAGTTCTTTCAGCCGTTTTAATTCATCTAAATGCCAAGATTACTCCGTAAAAGGAGCAAACAGAACGAACCTCTTTATCGCCTAAATTAGGTATGTAGGGGAAATTCCACCACGTTGCACACGTGCGTTCGATGCAAGGCGTAAAGATCCAACCTCCCTTGCTACCTAAGGTACCCTAAGTACCTTGAGGTATCTCAACACGTTAAAACATGCTGGAGTGGACCGGAGATTGACTTGGGCTCTGGGACCCTGCATATTAGTCCGGAGGTACTCCGTACTCCGTATTCCGTACTGAGGGGTTGAGGGAAAAATCGGAACGAAAGCCCTGAATTCTCCGTTGCCTGATGTGATCACCGTTCGGTCCGCACGGCACTAAGTGGAATCCGGCATCGGGTTTCAACAGGACTCCAATCGCCTAACGACACGGTATTATGGAGTCTGTCGTCATTTGATGTTTCAATTTTTTCCTTTCTTGTTTCGGTTTTTTTTTTGAGATTAGGTACGCAGATATTGCTCATCGGGGCCAGAGTCCACGCTATTATTGAATTTTCGTTGTTCGGAGCCAGCTCATTGACGCCTAAAGTATAATAATTACTCAGAAGGTCCTCGAATGGGGAATCAGGATCACGCCTTTCTTAGGGATTGGCGCCATTTTTAAGGCCATAAGGTGATCGCATAAGGTGATCGCTCTCGGGATGGTCCCACCGAGCAGAAAGTGGGTCTTCCAAGGTTTTTTCTCCTTTAGTGACTCACTTGCTGTATAAGAAACCCCTACCCCTGTTGCAGGTGGCTTTCTTTTTTTCAGTACCTCATCTCATCCTTTCTAGGAGGTGATGGTCGCTCCCCCTCTATCGTCAAAAAAGTGTTTCTTTTCTTTGATTCGGGGACTTCCTCTTGATTACGACTTCCAAGAATGGGCCAGAGGCACAATAGACGTCGCACTCGTCGTTCAACCAACCGCAATACAATTCTTCTCGCTCAGCATCCAGCCTTGCCTCTGGCATTCCCAGCCATTCGGACACAGCGCTGTTGTCAGCCTTCATCTGTCGACAACTCTCCTATCGCATGCATTTCACGTGGATCTTCGGGAGTCACCCCCGCCCCATCATGGCATTATGGGTATATGGCTTCGCAGACCCGTGATCGCCCTTTGCGACTGGAATCGAGCGGGCTGGAGGCAGAGCAGTATCGATTGTTCGGCGGAGAGCCGGGCGACGACGTGAGCCTCTGTTATCGCATGCTTGAGTATTTCGGCGGACTCGACTACATCGACTCGTGAGTACCAGTCTCCCGATTTTACCGGAAAACACCAATCCTGACTTTTCTCTCCCAGTACGAGCGGCCAAGCCCTTGGAGATTGAATGTTTCGAGATACCGTTCGGAAGACTTTCTCGGACCAAATGCCTCGCCACCTTTGTTTCATTTTTTCCAGTCAACACAAAAAAAAGAGAGAACCCCCACGATTTTACGAATTTGCGATGTTTATGAAATCCGCATTCGACCAATAAAACAACCCAAAAACTACCATCGAATATCGACATGACGCCGTGCGTCTTCTGTCGCCCACTGCATATGCGCCAACCGCACCGAAATGGCAAAGAACGCCAGTCCCACGGATTTCCCCGGGTCCCGACTTGCAGCAATGAAGATACCTCCCACGAGGTATTGGATTGGTCCCTTTTGACCCGGCCGTGTGGATTTTGGTCAACTGATTCTATCGCACACATTAGAAAATGAACACTCATTTTCTAGCCAGTACCTCCCGTCCACGCTTTGTCTGGATTGGTTGAGTTCGCGTCCGACCCCGAGTTGTTGACGCTTGAACACCCTTTCTGGGCAAGCTGGGAGGTTATGGCTATCTTGATTTGAGGGGAGAAATGTGTACAATAGATCTGTTCTGTCAATAATCCTAAACTGAAAGGAATTGGTCAAGGCAGCAGCACATGGGATCGATTGGATATTTCCTTCTCATGACTGTAACTCTTTAGGAGTATAAACAAAAAAGCAATGTATATAGTAGCCTTGAGCTCATAAATAATTCCAAAGATATTTTGAACACCTTGAACATTTGGCATTTTTTTGACCGGAACAAAGTAAGATCAAGCGGAAGAAGTAGGTCCATCCTAGTGCACCTATTCCGGATGTCGTATGTTGTTTGTCGATATGGTTCTCTCACCGCCTGCGCCACCCGAATAAACTGCCATCTATTGACTCCAGCTTATGGCAGGCGGTGAGGGGACCCTGCTTGAGGACACGGTCATCACCAGATCAGGAAGCGAGATATTGACCCTCCCTTCCTCGCTCCTTTGTTTCTTGCGGGCCAGGCTTTTGGGCTCTTACTAGGCTCTTATTTTATTCTTACAATCCAAACGATCTCTCTTCACCGTCCAAAGTGGCCACTGTCAACAGCCCTGTGCAACACGATCTTTAAATTCCGCGGACAGCGGCAACCGCTGTCTGTACTCTGAACTCGCCGCAGGATGTCGTCAGATTACACATATGATGAGCAGGTAAGCATAGGAGCTGATGCGACCAAGATCCAGTCACACTAACTCTGGTATTCAGGGACAATTCTTCCCCTTCTTCATCCTTACCTTGACCGGCCTGGTCACTCTCCCTCTCACCTATAACCTTCTACGACCCAGCAAAGGTGAGCTTCGGCAGTACTTGCCCATTTGATCTCTTTCATTGGTTCTAACCATTTTGCTCCAAATACAGAGCTTGAGAATACTGCTCCCCGCATCAAGTCCGATTTCAAGCCCGAACATGCGGACCTCATCGATGCGCAGAAGCGCAAGCGCCTGCGTAAAGAGCGCCGAATCAAGCGCATTATCACTGTCATCCTAGGATATGCTGTCATGGCATGGATGGTATACTTGATTGTCGTCACCGCCAGGACAGTGGTGAAGGCATATGACCCTTATGATATTTTGGGTGTCTCCAGGGTGAGTTTCCCCGCCACGGCGCATGAGCACAAACCACATGCGGAGGATCCTAATTGACCAAATTTCTCGAACAAATAGAGCGCAGATGAGAAAGCTATCTCCAGACACTACAAGCGCATGTCTTTGATCTACCACCCCGATAAGATCCGCCCCGACCCCTCCAAGAATGAGACTATGGACATGCTGAACGAGCGTTTCGTGGAGCTCACCAAAGCCTATAAAGCTCTCACTGACGAGGAGGTGCGAAACAACTACCTCCAATATGGCCATCCCGATGGCAAGCAGAGCTTCAGCATTGGTATCGCCCTTCCCAAGTTCATTGTTGTGGATGGCAATGGCAAATACGTTTTGATGGTTTACGGTGCTCTTTTGGGAGTCCTATTGCCGTATATTGTCGGCAAGTGGTGGTATGGATCGCAGCGCTACACAAAGGAGCGTGTCCTTGTTGCTAGCGCCGGGAACATTTTCCGCGAGTACAAGGAAGACATCACCGAAGGTGGCATTGTCAGCGCTTTGTCGTCCGGCGAGGAATTCAAGGACATGCTCAAAGGTGCCCATGCCGAGTCTGGTCTGGCCAAGCTCGAGAAGCGAGTGTTGGCAGATGATTCCTCGTTCCTTACAGCCCAGGATCGTGCGGCCTTGAAGCAGCTGGACAGCTCCTCTCGTCGCAAGGCTTTGGCTCTGTTGTGGGGTTATCTTGGTCGTATTGATCTTGGTGATGCCACTCTCGATGCCGGTATGAAATCCCCCTTGTTCTCTCTCTTGACACCACAAGCTAATTGAATGTTCTGCAGAAAAATATGAATCCGCTCCTGTCGCCCTCTCTCTCACTGAAGCTTTTACTGCTATCTCCCTCGCATTTGGCAACCTTGGCCCGATTGTCGGCGCTTTCAAAACGTCTCAGAACCTGATCCAGGCTGTGGCTCCCGGTTCATCACCACTCCTGCAACTTCCCAACTTCACTGACGCCATTGTCAAGTCCGTAGAGGGCGAAGATGCCAAGGCTCACTTCACCGTTCAAAAGTATATGGAACTTCCAGAGGCTCAACGGCGCAGTCTGACTGTCGGCGCCGGTCTCCTCTCTGATAAGCAATACAACGACGCCGTATCGGTCGCCGAACAACTTCCCATGCTACAACCCGAGCGGATCTTCTTCAAAGTTATGGGGGAGAAGGTGATTACACCCAGCAGTCTGGTACAGCTGGTGGTCAAGGCTCGCTTCATTCCACCAGGCAGCACATCTGTACCCCCAGTGAACGAACTCGACCTTGAGGACATCGACCCCGATGAGGATGACCTTGATGCCCTTATGGGTCGCAAGCCGGCGAAGAACCGCGCCACTACGATCGTGGACGGCAAGAAGGTGGAGACCAAGGTCGAGACCATCCAGCCGCCTCTGGCCCATGCCCCGTACCTAGCCCGTGACCACTCTCCACGCTGGAACATCTTCCTCGCAGACGCCAAGCAGGGTAAGATGGCCGTGCCGCCATTCACATTTACTACATTCGACAAGCCGATCTTTGACGAGGCCGGCAAGCCCACATTCAACATCCAGACTCTCAAGATGCAATTCCAGGCTCCCCCGCAGGTCGGCGACTTCACCTTCATCCTCCACATGATCTGTGACAGCTACCTGGGTCTTGACACCACCGCACAAATCACTTTGCACATTGACGACCCCGCCAAGGCAGCCGCTGTGGAAGAGGAGGATGACATCAGCGAGCCAGACGAGGGTAAGTCTATCCCAAACGAACACTCTTTCCATTTCGTTTTTACTGACATAAATCTCTAGACTCTATCGCCGGTCAAATGCAGGCTATCAAGACAGGCCAAGCACCCAAAAAGAAGGTTGTCAAAGAGTCCGACGACTCCAGCGGAAGTGATACCGACGGCGACGCAGGCGATACCAGCGACACCGACACAGAGACGGAAGACGAGGATTGATTCCCTTTCTCATGTATTGATTGATCGATTGTACTCACAGCTTGTGTGATGTGTGACACAGGTCTTTGATCAAAAGACCTCACAACCCAGACCTTGGCCTTCTTCTACGTCTTCGGCCCAGGCCCCGGGTACTGTTGTCACTTGAACGTTCTGGGATTTTTGTCACTCTTATTCATCGGGTAGCTTTGGTGTTTAGTCTTTTTCCCTCCCCATCGGTTTCCTATCCCTCTTTCTGTTTCACACCTGTGTATCTGTGTATGCGCATCTACCGTATTCGTCTGTGTTCTTGCAGATAATAGACTTGGGAATTTACAAAATACTTCAAAAATGCCAAATCTCCGCATCTCAATAAACATGGAGAGAGACGAGCTTGTACAAGTTGTGGTTTTATGTACTGTACCTAATGTCATGTCATTCCCCGTGCTATATCACACCACACCCCCCATCCCCATGTACACAAGATGTAGATGTAGCCTGTCTAAATGTACCCAAAGGAACCAGTTACCCATATACTCCCCAGTCAACCAGCCCAACCCACAAAAAGCAGCCACATCTAGGCCTGCAACAGCCCTGCAGACCCACAAATCCGATCTAAACCCGACTCCATCCCCATCTCCTATCTTCGAATCTTCGAATCTTCGACCCGTTGGGTCACCTCCTGTTCGGGGTTGATGCTGGTTGTGCTAGGTCACGCATGTAATTGTACCACGTACCCGCAGTGTCCAGGCTTGTACTGCGAGATCTAGATCTGGCGTGAGCGGGGTATTTGGTGCTGTGCTATCTCTTGTATGAAGTTGAGAATAGTCATGTAATTGTGTACTCGGTGGGTGGATTTATGGGTATATGGATATCATATATAGGAGTTTATGTAGTTGCTATAAGTAAATAACATAGTCGGTCTATGTATATCCAGAGAAATATCATCCGGCTTAATATATGTTTTAGCCCTAAATCTATGTATGAAAATGGTCTACCTGAATCAAACACAATCGCTAAAGCAAACGAAGCTAGGGATCAAAGAACCAGTATCTCAATTGATGATGCGATCTTCTCGCCAACTAGATACCAGCAATGAAAGGAGAAAACCCCCAGATCAAAACATCAATAACCCAACAAAAGACCTGAACCCGAGAGAAATCATAAACAAACGACTCGTCAGGAAGGATTAGCGCTCAATGTGCCAGACATCTTCCAATCTTATAATCCTGTGGACATGCTCCATGCATCAAAGGATAAGGGCGTCCAAATCCGGATGTGGGGGGTATAGAAAAAGAAAGAGTTGAATATAAACGACGCCGAAAAAAAAGACACAAAACGAAAAAAAAGAAAATATAGATAAAGAAGTGAAAAGACATAAAAAGCTGCTCAACAGCTTGTATACCCTACAGCCCTAAATCTACCCAGAAGGGAAATTCCAACCGGGAGTAAACCCAGAGTAAAATGTCGAATCCTGCGGGAAATGGTAATCTCCCATCATCTCCCCCGAGAGATTGTTGTTCATGTGGTGGTGCGTATGCTCCATCAGGCCGGGCGGTAGTCTCGCGATAACGGGCTTTACGTCTTGCGCGTTGCCATCGCAGCAGTTGTCAAGGACATATGCGAAAGAATCTGGATGCGAATGGGAATGGTGATGGTGCGGGGGTAAGCCAGACGGCGCAGTCGCGATATCAACATGCGCGATATCAGTGCCCATATCTGGTGCGCTCATGGATGATCGCTGTAGTGCCATTAGATCGTGGTACCCGTCTGGGTAGCTGTAGCTTGTCTGCACGGGCTGGATATCCCATTGCCAGCTGGTGCTGGTGCTGCGGGTGGGCACTGTCGGCGTTGGGATTGGACATGTTGGGCGCGAGAGCGTTGGCGAGGGCTCTGGGGGTGTAGTTGGTTCCGGGGAGGGTTCTGCTGTGACGCTGCATTCGGTGGAGGTTGATAGTAAGCGCAGGTATCGCAGATCCTCGGAGTCCTCGTCTGGTTCGTCGGCGTTTTCTTCGGCTTGTTTGATTAGTCCTAGCCGGTCGAGGATGGCGTGTGTGAGGGGATGGCCGTCTGGGGCTTCGGCTAGGGCATCGCCTGGGAAGCCTTCCTTGTTGATGCAGAACTTGTAGAGTTTCTGGAGGGCTTTTACGACCAGGGAATGGTGGGATTCGAGCATTTCGACAAATCTGGGTGGATCGGTTAGGCTTGAATCACTGGTATTGGGCTTGGGATAGTGTTGGTAGACTCACCCTCTGGAATATACTTTGGTCTGGGTGGCCTTTCTTTCACGGAATAAACATGGGTGGTTGTATACCGAGCAGCGATTGCACGGCTGTTTCCCATCACACTGCGATATGTTAGTATGCCGATTTTGCTATTTTGACAGTCCACATACTTTGGTCTTCTTCACGCGACAGCGATCACAGGCTTTCAAAACGTGTTTGCGCTTGACCCGGAAGACACGCTGGTCGCGCTTGTCCTCGCCAGTCCTCGCCCGATGCTCCAGTTCCGACAACGAAGCCACCGCCGTAAAATCATCCATGGTATGCGGGAAGCCCTTGGGGCGAAGCTTTGGCTGCCACGACATGGTGGATTGGATCATATTGGAAACCCCACTAGACAGGCAAGGTAGATATCGCAATGCCAGGTGAAAGGGGGAGGAAGTAGGATCTCAAAAAGAAAGGGAGGAAAAGCCTTGGCCAGCGAAAGGGTAAAGAAAAAGAGACCAAAAAGCAAAGTCGAGCAGGCGGGGATGATAATGAAACTTCAGCCGCCAGGACCCAAGGTTGATATCATGATTATCAAAGGCAACAAAGGTACAGAGGCCGTAAAGACAATGGTTTAGTGACGTGGAGTGTCCCAAGCATCTCTTCAGCACAGTTAGGTATACAACAGAGCACGGTCCGAGCCGTGCGAAGTTGCTCTTTGGGCAGCTAAAAAAGAAAATGTGACGCCCTGTCACACTTTCATTTCCCTCGCTGACTCTCTCTGCACGTCAGAGACAACACGTGCGAGGGGATTAGAGCCAACTCCCAGCACCAAGTGGGAGCAGAAAGACCAATCACGGCCCTGGCCAATCTGCATTGTCGGTGCTGTTTCAAGGGGGTCAATGCCCCAAAACAAAACACAAAAGCAAAAGAGAGGTTGAAAAGCAGTGAACACAAAGACATCCTTGCCAGCTGCACCGAAACGTGGTACAGTGTGATATGTCACCGAGGCAATCAAGTTGTCAGGTGCATTGCCCAGGGAGAGGCTTAGAAGAGATACGATTCAGTTTGATAGAAGCGGGGTATGTTATATTGTTCCGATATTAGCCTATTCCCCCCCTTCTTCATGGTTATTTCGATGTGATCTTTCGCGGGTTCTCGACACCCTGGCATCGCCTGCATTCTCGCACAAAACAAACAGAATCCTGGCTATGCTCTGTTGAAGGCCAAGCAGCCCTAATCTGAACAGTTGTCATGGCGAGATCTTTGCATTGATCAACTTCTTCGCATCGGGCGACAGGAATCAGGTGGATGTGTGTCAATATGCAAGTGTGTAAGAGGGTAAACGGTGCAGGTATACTAAGTATACCTACCAGGCAGCACTGTCTTCAGCTCCAGCTGCGACGCCGGACACCGTCAAGTGTGTCACTGTACTCTCTGCCTTGTGCCCATGAACCTGTCCCTCAACGATAGGAAGATAGTAGAAATCAATCCCAAATCCCGGGGGTTGCCACTGAGTTGTCTAGACCCTGCGCGTCAATGAATCCATAGACCAGTGCCATGCTGGGAGATCGCTTGGTCCCGTACACATGTACCCTCCAAGGTTGAACATCTTCAGGTCAAAGACAGGGGACAAGGAACAAGGGACAAACACAGAGACACGGACACAACTGTCTTGCCTACTCCCCGATCCCGAAAGAGAAACAAGAGACAAGTGGATTGTTCCAGGTAAAAATGGTCACTGTGCAAGAATGAATTATGGACTATTGATTGTTGTGTGCGTATTTCCAAAAGCAAGCAACTGAAGCAGAGGCAGCGCTCGCCCTATGGAAGTGCTTGGTGGCGAGCACCTGCATTGAATATGCAGTTGACTAGTTCACCGACAGATTCCAATCCTCAGGAGACCACGAGGTCATAAGATTGCCTTGGCAGAATGAAATGGACAAAAAAAAAGCAAAAATAGGGTAGAAGCAGGGGCAATAAGGAAAATGCAATATGCGATCACATAGTCTATACAAAGTAGGGATGACGAGATCAACAAGCCTCGTTTCTGAAAATAACAATTGGCTCTCCGTTTTCGCTCAATGAATCGAAGCCTGAACCTCGGGGAGATTTGTGATCAGACGGGATTTGCCCAAGATGACCGATCAACGCTGACTGAATAGATAATGAGAGAAAGCAATAAGAAAAAGGAACAGAAAAAAACAGAAAAAAACGGCGCGGGAAATCCTCAAACTATCCCCTCGAGCCAATAAGCATGTCAGAGCCTTCACCGAGGGATCAGCAGATGCGGAAGTGACGGAAGAATCAGGGCTCGCACCCCGAATATATTTGTTTGCTTGCGATGGGAGCCTGATTTCTCACCCATCTCACGCCTCCGGAGTCCCATCGGGGAGCAAAATGCTCGCTTCACCCCGGGCAAGCAAATCAAAGCTCTCCTCGCTGGTCACCGTGCCGGTGGGACTAGGCGCCGCGTGGTCTGACGATAATGGGTACATGCTTTTCTCCAGCTCCAGCGCAGGGGACTTTCGCGACTCAGCCTGACCCTGCCACCGGCGATCTCCTACCCATTCGACCCCGTCACCGACCCCACCCAGGTTCAGCCTGCGGCGCTCTTGCTCGCGCTCGAGGAGAGGCAGCCGCTCGTCAGGTGCGCCGTTGCCCTGCTCGCTTTCCAGGGGCAGATGGCGCCGATGCCATTCGCCCACGAACATCCCGTCAGCGTCGACCTCTGCCCGCACTTTCATCCACGAGTCCATTTCTTCGCCGTACGCTTTGCCCAGCTCGGAAGAGTCTAATGTGTTGAAGTTCTTCGCCCAGTGTGGTTTTGCGCCCATCTGTCGCATCAGCCATTCGAATGCTTCGTAGTATCGTTCTCTGCACGGTGGGTCGCGGAGGTAGGGACGGTAAAGTGTTGCATTGAGGTAGAGTGTCGGGCCATCAGGGCATGTCGGGTCCAGGAATGGGCGGGGTTTGGTGTTCAGCGAGGTATCAGAGACTCGCACCTCGACTGGACAGTGCACGTACAGTCCCTTAGAGGAGAAGGGGATGCGTGCGGTCTCCATGTCGCCGTGTAGCCATGCTGAAAGCCGACCGATAGCCTCAGGGCCCTTCTCCAGCGGGAGCGCCCATTCATTAACAAACTGCGAGTACAAGCAATTCATCAAGAGACCTGTGCGCCCAGGCTCAACAGCCTCGGTGACGGTCGACCCAGCCCGGAAGCCGTACTGCATACCAAAGACGAACCATTCCACCCAGGGCAAGATACGCGGGACATACGACGACAACGCAAGCAGATTATGGTAGATATGGTAGCCAAGTGAGTCGCCGTAGAAGTTCCTCGGGGGAGCGCGCAGCGGGAGATCGGTCTTATCAGCACGCCAAACAATAGCGCCCTTCTCATAAGGCAACCACCAGACGCGCACGAACTCATGCGAGGTCCACAGTCCCGTCGACCATTCGCTCAGCACGCGAGTCAGGGAATACCGCTCCTGGCGCCAGGCAATATTGAAGGTCGGCGTCGCTTTGAAGGTGACTTCGACGACAATTCCGAGCGCTCCGAGCGACACCAGTCCCGCGCGGAACAAGTCCGGGTTGTTTGTCGGGCTGCAGCGGACAAGTTGGCCATTGGCGAGCACTAGGCCGAGTGATTCGATGCACTCCGACAGAAGACCATGGCGCAGGGAGCTGCCGTGGGTGCCGGTAGCGATAACGCCCGCAATGGATTGGCTATCGATGCTGCCCAGATTGTCGAGTGACAGGCCATGCTTCTCCAGTTGTATGCCCAGTTCGTGCAATCGGATACCCGCTTCGACGGTGACCGTGTTGGTTGAGGTATCGACGTGCAGGACGCGATTGAACTCATCGAGGTTGACGAGCCAGGACGAGGTGCAAGTCAAATCGGAAGGCGAGTGGCCGCTACCGACGGTCACGAGACGGCGACGACATCGGCGAGCTAGAGTGACCAGCTTCTGGATCTCCGGGATGGTCTGTGGACGAATGTACAACTCGGGGCGCGAAAAGAAAGTCTTGGCCCATGTGTGATGTAGGTGATCGGTCGAGCAGCGGAACGGTACCGCGGGGTCGAGCCTTGAGAGCTCGTGAAGAATGTAGTCCATAGCTGAAGAATATTTATCACGACTTAAATCACATTGCCTGGGAGAAATACAAGACAAAGAAAGTGCGAAAAGAAGGACTCACGCCAATCAAGATCGAGGATGGCGACATCCTAAATCGGAGGTCTCTTTTTTTTTTATCTCCGTCCCTCCGTCTCCGTCTGTTCCTCTTCTCCCTGTTTCTCCCGTCTCACTAGAACTATACCTTGGGCACACAATCTCTCCATAGAAAAAACATGTCAATTGAAAAGAAAAATCAGCCTAAATTACACCCTCAAATGCGAATCCACCTATCTACATCCCAGATGCTCCGCCAGGTTCCTCTATGGCACAATATGAAGTACACAGGACTCCCCGAAATGCTCTCTGTGCAGAGCCTGGACCGAAATATGCACACGGAAAATTAAAAAAGAAAAATGCAAAAGCCCAAACATCGAAGGGGGAAAAAAAGAAGAGAAAAAAAAACAGAAAAAAAAACAGAGTCCTCACGCCCTCTCATCGCGCGATCGAATCGCTTCAATGACGGCGTCCAGAGGGAACACGAAAGGTGCGTGCTGAGTCCGTTGGTCCCATTTACGGAATGCACTCTGGCAGCGGTCGGCGACGCCACCGAGTGCCACGAAACTCCGGGGAATGAAGGGTCGGTCCTGGAGGGAGGTAGCCAAGATGCCGTATTCGTGCGCAAAGACCACTGCCGAGGCAAAGTCGGCAGCCTTGTGTGATGCTTGCTCACCAATGATGCTGCGATGGGATTAGTATCAGTCTAGTTGGAGCCAAGAGTAGACTGCTGGTAGTATGGTACTTACACGTAAATTTCAAAGAAGGTGTCCAGAACGTAAATGTCTTTCTCGGTGATGTCGCGGTAGCAGAAAGGCTCGATTTCCTGAACGCAGTCGTTGGCCTTGACCACTGGGGAACCGGAGCCCGGACGGCGGATGTTCCAGAAGCGGGTTGGCTGGTTCAATTCATGATCGACGCGAAGAAGTCGCATGCGGAACTGGTTGTACTTTGGCTTGAGCTGCCAGTGATCCTGGCACATGTGCGGTGCAGGTTCCCTGGGACCAGCGAAGACATCAAAGAAATCCTCGGGTTCCTCGCCCTCAGTGACTTCTTCAAACTCACCGGTCAGACCCAGGTCCATACCGATAAGTCGGGCTGCACCAGTCTCTTCGGGGCCACTGCCCTTGCCCTTCCAGAGATAGAGCTTGCCAAACGGAGCAGAGACAACGTAAGGGAAGCCGGAGCAGAGATTGCGTAGGGAGTAATCCACCTCGTCGAAAGTCATCTCGCCCAAGTGTTTCCGGCCGCAAAGCATGTAGAGAGCCGATGAATTGTGACGGGAGCTGGATCCCCGACGGGTGATCATAATGCCACCAAGCGCTTGGATGAACCGCGTGGGCTCCTTGCCTTGTCGGATGATCTGCAACTTGGCGCTATTCTCACGAGCTACTTTGCGAGCAAATGGTTGTTCATCATCCACCGAGGACTCAGGGACGTCATCTCCACGCCAGAGGTATACGTCGGAAGTGGTGCTTCGTCCGATTTCGAATGTGTGGACGCAAATGTACATGCTGCCTTGGTATAATATGTACTCCTGGTGAGAAGGAAGTTCCTGGCGCCTGCCATCGCCTGTGAGCTCCCAGATTTGTCGTCTCATGGTTCTGATTTTCACATCATCCGGTTTACGCATCAGCATTAGCTGCGGGTCAATGTCCATTCGGTTTCGGGGGTTGGGGAAGGTCTTGAAGAAGCCTGCAATGACCTCGTGTGCCTCGCTGGCTTGCGCAACTAGTGATGGAGCAGACATCTTTCTTGAGAGTCGGCGTGGGTCGATTGGCTTTTCGAGCCTCTCATCGGTATCCTTGGGAGGCACCGGTGGTGAGGGACGGCTCAAGGGCCGTGCGACAGAGCTCCGTGCGGATTCGATGGTTACGGAATTGCTCTTCGGTTGGCTGATAGATTCCATCTGATTCACTTTGTGACTGGCTCGCAGAGAGGATAGCGACGACGCAAACCGGTTTTGCAGGCCCCATGTTGGCTTTGACAGTGCAGGCGATGTGAGCGTGGGATGTTCGGACTTCGGTGGGACAGGTGGCCCGTTTGATGTATACATCTCTTTAGGACTCTCGGGAACCCTCGGAGTCTCCTTACGACTGGGAGAGGGGGAAATGCTGGATTCCGTCGTTTGGGAACCGGTCTGGGGTGTTTGCGGGATTTCATGTGGGGAAGTGTCGCGTTCGAGAGTATCATGCTTGAGAGTATCATGCTTGAGAGTATCACGCTCAAGAGTATCACGTTCGAGAGTATCGCGCTCGAGCGTATCATGCTCAAGCGTATCGCGTTCGGGAGTATCACGTTCGAGTGTATCACGCTCAAGAGGTTCATGCTCGAGAGTATCGTGTTCGAGAGTATCGCGTTCGAGAGTATCATGCTCAAGCGTATCGCGTTCGGGAGTATCACGCTCAAGAGGTTCACGCTCGAGCGTATCGTGTTTGGGAGTATCACGTTCGAGTGTATCACGCTCAGCAGTATCGCGCTCAAGAGTATCGCGCTCAAGTGTATCACGCTCAAGCGTATCGCGTTCGGGAGTATCACGTTCGAGTGTATCACGCTCAAGAGGTTCATGCTCGAGAGTATCACGCTCGAGCGTATCGCGTTCAAGTGTATCGCGTTCGGGAGTATCACGCTCAATCGTATCGCGTTCGGGTGTATCGCGTTCGGGTGTATAACGCTCAGTAGTATCGCGTTCAAGTGTATCGCGCTCAACAGTATCACGCTCAAGAGTATCACGTTCGAGAGTATCGCGCTCGAGCGTATCACGCACGAGAGAATCGTGGTCGAGAGTATCACGCTCAATCGTATCGCGTTCGGGGGTATCACGTTCGAGTGTATCACGCTCAGCAGTATCGCGCTCAAGTGTATCATGCTCAACAGTATCACGCTCAACAGTAACACGCTCAACAGTATCACGCTCAATCGTATCGCGTTCGGGGGTATCACGTTCGAGTATATCACGCTCAGCAGTATCGCGCTCAAGTGTATCATGCTCAACAGTATCACGCTCAACAGTATCACGCTCAACAGTATCACGCTCAACAGTATCACGCTCGAGAGGTTCACGCTCAACAGTATCACGCTCGAGAGGTTCACGCTCGAGAGAATCGTGTTCGAGAGTATCAGGTTCGAGAGTATCATGTTCGAGAGTATCATGTTCGAGAGTATCGCGCTGGAGAGTATCCTGGGAAGCAATCTTTACTTCCGTGGATAGATCGATGATGGGGCTGTCTGGACGGGGTTCTTCGGTGTCAGGAACTGAGTTTTCATCAAGTTGCGAGATGCGATCCGGATCGAGATCCGAGGAATCAACAGGGGCTGGAGTGTGTGATGGGGTGGCTTCAGAGTGTGAAATAGCACCAACCTCCTTAATATCGTCCTGAGAGGACGGGCTCAAGACGTCAGTCGTCTGGGGAAGTCGTCTCTTGGGGCCTCTGGCACGACCCTTCGTGATGTGCGTGAGAGGCGCAGAGGGCGACGTAGAATCGCTTTGCGTTGAGACTGCGGTCGGCATCTGCTTCTTCGGACCTTCAGGGGCAGGCGGGCCACGGGAAAGCAGACCAAGAAGAGCAGGGTTGATTCGACTGGCCAATTTGCCTTTAGCTGCCGGACCTGGAGTTACAGTAGCCTCTGCGGCAGCCGCAGGTGGCCAGGCACGAACTGGGCGAATTGGCTTGACTGCAGGCGCCGGCGCCTCTGCTATGCAGGGCTCAATTGCTTCCACGGGAGAGCGGGTCTCCTCTTGGCGCACAAAAAAATCCACCTGAGGGAAAGAGGGCTCCTGGAAGTCGTTTGTCGATGGGTTTGTCTCCTTTAGCTTTTCATCGACGGGATCTTCTACAGGGGGCGGTGACAATGGTTGTGTTTCCTGAGATGCTCGCGAGGAGACAGGATCTCTCAAGGGCCAACCTGGCTCATCATTGGTGCGAAAGGGCGACAAGGGTGACAAGGGCTGCTTTTGAGAAGTTGGCGATGAACCAATGTCTTTGAAAGATGAACTCGGGGGTGAGAATGGTGGCCTGTCCTGCGAAGCTCGAGAACTAAAACTTTTAGCAGGGGAGATCGGCTCTTCCCCAAGATCCTGCTTGATGCTATTTGCCCGTGTCATATTTTGGCGCATCGCAATTGCCTCGGGAACAATATCCGCGGATTTTGGCGCATCGTTCTCACCGGCGGTATTTCGTCTGATAGAACCTCCGCCGGCCTTCATTTCATCTTTCCGTAGAACAAGGCTCTTTCTGAATTCATCGACTCGCTCGGGTTTCTTTGGGCCGCCGGTGTTGTTCAAAGCAGCTTTGCCGCGGAGGATGTTACCCTTGAGCTCGTCAGGGGCGACATAGTGGCGAGGTTCGGTCTTCTTGAGGCGCCCAAAGACATTTTTGAATTCTGGTTCCTTTTCATTTCCGGAGTCCTTGACAACTTCACGTTTCCGTAGGTTTGCTCTGAAATCAACCACAGGAGACTGTGGTGTCTTCGCCTTGGGGGAAATAGGCCCTCGCGTGGAGGTAGATATGGAGAAGTTTGGTTTGGGGCTCAACGAATCGGGAGGTGCCCTGCGAATAGGAGTACAATGAGATTCGATGGTGTCTTCAGGCTCTGTAGATGGCTGTTGTTCCTGTAGTTCAGTCTCAACTGCAAGGGGAGAGGTAGGCTTGATTTCTTCCACCGGTGTAGCGCTTGATAGCGTGTCTAGAGCTTCTTGGACACCTGAGGGAGGACCTGGGATTTCCTTGTTGATTTCTTCAAGAACAGGACTGTCAAGAACGGAGGGTGATTCTGGGACTATCTCCTCTGGTTGGATTTCTGACATTTCTGTGATTGATGGACCCGAAATGCTGGGCCTCTTAAGTGGAAATTCCGCTGGGGACTCCGAAATGGAGCTCCTGTGGAGTGAGGAACCAGAGCTGCCAGGCCTGCCTCGGGGACTTTCGGCAAGTGAAGATCCAGAGACGCTGGACTTCTTGAATGGGAATTCCGCCGGGGCCTCGGCGACAGAGCTTCGGTGGAGCGATGAGCCGGAGACACTGGACTTCTTGAATGGGAATTCCGCCGGGGTCTCTGTAACCGAGCTTCGGTGCAGCGATGAGCCGGAGACACTGGACTTCTTGAATGGGAATTCCGCCGGGGTCTCTGTGACCGAGTTTCGGTGCAGCGATGAGCCGGAGACGCTGGACTTCTTGAATGGGAATTCCGCCGGGGTCTCTGTGACCGAGTTTCGGTGCAGCGATGAGCCGGAGACGCTGGACTTCTTGAATGGGAATTCCGCCGGGGTCTCTGTGACCGAGTTTCGGTACAGCGATGAGCCGGAGACGCTGGACTTCTTGAATGGGAATTCCGCCGGGGTCTCTGTGACCGAGTTTCGGTGCAGCGATGAGCCGGAGACGCTGGACTTCTTGAATGGGAATTCCGCCGGAGTCTCTGTGACCGAGTTTCGGTGGATTGATGAGCCGGAGACGCTGGACTTCTTGAATGGGAATTCTGCCGGAGACTCTGTGATCGAGCTTCGGTGGATTGATGAGCCAGAGATGCTGGGCTTTTTGAAGGGGAATCCCGAAGGAGATTCAGGGACAATCTCTTGGGACTTGTCTTCGAGGTCTGCGGTAGTCGAATCTCCAGAGATACTGGATTTCTCGAAGGCGAGTGCTGACGGAGATTCAGGAGCAACTTCCTTGGCAGGGCTTGTGGGAATTGATGGGCCCTTAAGGCTAGACCGCTTGAGCGAGAATTCCGAGGGAGACTCGGGAATGGCATCTTTAATGGGGCTTGTAGGTAGCGATGAACCAGACACATCAGGCTTCTTGAAGGGGAATTCTAGCGGAGACTCAGGAACACTATCCTTCATGGGGCTTGTAGGAAGCGATGGACCAGGCACACCAGGCTTCTTGAAGGGGAATTCCAGCGGAGACTCAGGAACAATATCCTTCGTGGGGCTTGCAGGAAGGGATGGGCCAGAGAGACCGGGTCTCTTCGAGCGGAATTCCAACGGAGATTCAAGAACAATATCCTTCGTAGGGCTTGCAGGAAGGGATGGACCAGGGAGACCGAGTTTCTTGAAGGGGAACTCCAATGGAGACTCAAGTCCGCCATCCTTGGTAGGACTTGTAGGAAGTGAAGGACCAGAGATAGCAGATGTTTTGAGTTGTGTACCAGGCGGGGGCGTTCGCATCAGACCAAGAGGGGTGACTTCCTTGAAACTGTTGACTCGTCCCATGTCAACGCTACCCCGTGATTGTCGCTCTTTGACCCAACTTGGCTGCGGCGGGGGTCTGGTGGTTTGGCGTGGCATCTCTGGCCGATTGAGAGCACTCTCTAGCCAAGAGGCTTTACTAGGACTCCAACGCCTGGAATCCATGGTTTTCGAAACGAATGGACTTGTTTGGCCGTCGGTACCGTCTGCTGTGGTTGAACTGGCAGATCGGGAGTGAGCAGGGCGGAATGATTTGCCTGGGCTACCTTCAAGCCGCACACTATCTCGATCTGCGCATGTAGAAGGTGTAACTGGTCGCTCAGTTGTTTCTGATGGTGCGTCACTGTGGCTGGAGCCTGGTCGTTGAAGTAGGGTTGAAGGTTCTCGCCCAATTCTAGAAAGAGTTGGAGGGGTCATTTCACTCAAACCAGGGCCGACACTGCTGCGATTTGACACAATGGAATTGGACCGACTGAGCCCTTGGCTAACTTGCCCACTCCATCTCTTTGACACACTATCTGATCTTCTCATCATCGCACTCTGAACAAACCCTCCCAATCCCTTGGTGGGTGATGTCGACCGAGGTCGCTCTGGTGATAGCCGTCTCTGGCTTGGAGACGCCGGTATCAATTCTTCAAATGAGGAATCATTCTGTCGAGGCTCAAGCTTTGGAGCTTCTGACAGATGCACTGGCGATCCCAACCCAGCCGCCGAAACCGACGATACAGAGAAGCGATGGCTGATGTTGCTATCACGAGAACCGGTTGTCGGAGGCGATGATGATCCTTCTTCTACTGTCTCCAGCTTATCCAGCTCGGCACTTGATTCTTGGCTCACGTCCGGCTCTTGATGCTCCACTTCCAAGTTTGTTTGTTTATCCGTCTCTTCCTCCTTCCCCCTATCCGCTGGTGATCCGACCCCGCGGTCCGGTGATGGAGGGAAGACAGGGGTATCCTTCGATGGCCGAGGAAAACCAAATTGGAGTCGAGACAGTGTATTATCGTCCGATGCCGTCGACAGGTTTCTCAAGTGGCTTGTGCGAGTTGGGGAGCGAGTTGGTGATGTTGAGCCGGGTGACATGCTGCCGGCATCCCGCGAGGACGGGCGTTGCTGCCATGGCAAGGTTCCTGCACGGCTGCGGGACACAGGCGGCCGTACCCGAGAGGGGGAATCCAGGCCAATATCAGGAACTGACCCGCGCCGCTTGTCCATCGTGTCATCGACATCCATCTCTTGGTTCGGCTCTACGGCACTGGGGGTCTCGGGTGCCGGTGTTTGTGATGTCGGCTCAAGCTGTTCCGGAGGGTCGATAGACCTAGAGCTGATGGAGGAAACACTCAGTCGCGCAACGTTTAGAATTGGCGAATCGTCGGTAAGGGCTAGTGATCGTGCTCGCTCTGTTGAGTCATGTCGGAAATTAGCCCATTATCCACAGCCAATGCCTCAGATTCCAGGGGATGAGGGGTGTACCAGCTCTCCGGGCCTGTCTTTCCTTCCGGCCCTGTATGATTTCTTCTTCCAACTTCTTGGTCCGCTCGTCATCTTCTTTGTCGCGGCGCTCGCCTAGTTCCCGGATGCGCTGAAGAAAATCACTGACATCCTCGGAACTCTCGTTTGGGACAGTCATGTTCTAGGAGTCTGGCGTTCATGCACGCCTCCTAGAATGAAACAAATGAGGGGACGGGAAAAGAGTTGCAGAGTGGAAGTCTCGAGGATTGTGTTCTCCGCCCTGTTTAAATTAAATTGGGACACACTGATCAACAGGTCATTGGCTCACACATCAATTTCCGTTAATCTATTCTGGATCTTTATTTCTATTTCTATGTGTGTGTTTTTTTTTTCTTTTTCTACAGGTGTACTCCGTACATGCATTACAACCCCAACCAAAGGCACACTCTGAAACGAGGGTTTGTTTACTTGTGGAGCGATCGCTTCCGGGTTTTAACTGGCGCCCCGCAGCCTCCTGTTCCATGGCTTCTTTGTGCTTCGCTTTTCGTGGGTGATTTCTTTTTTTTTGGCGGAAATTTCTGCTATTGTGGTGGATGCTGTGGTTCTCAGGGGTCCGGTGAGCTTATAGTTGGGTGTAGGCCTCGAGGTTAGGTTAAGACCGATATATCAATTGGTGCCTTGCAGCATTCCCTGTCTGCCCAAAGGTTACTGAGCTCCGGAATACTCCGTCGGAGGAACTCAGGAAATAAACAGAGACGAGATGTGACTGTTACTCGTTTCTAACTCTGTGTAGAGTTTGGATGCCTCTAAATCCAGCGTATAACAGTCTAGCCCATCGGATGTGCTTAATCTGGTTCCAATGCACTTTGGGACGTAACTATTTATTATATACCTCTGCTCTTTAAAACAGACCTTCTGGGTTATAAAGAATCTGCATGAAATGCACTGCACCAACGATCTTAACCATTGACCAGCAGAGTTCAAATCCGACTGACGTTAGTTGACATATAACGGGTGAGACAACGCAGTTTGACCAGAACTTTAAGCAGCAACCAAGTGGATGCATCTCAAAATCCCTCGGGATGGTTAGGACGATCACACGGCATATTGGAGATCATGTAAAATCATGTAAACAAAGACCTATTTATCCCCCATCATTCACTGCCATAAGGGTGCACTAGTAGAGGAACAGCCGGTCCTTGGCATCTTGTACCACCCATTCTAAACCTTCATGTAGATTCATGCCGGTCATTGCACTGCAGGGCAAGATGGTCCACTTGTGGGTTTTGATAGAATCCAAGGCAAGGCGCTGCAGAAATCGTCAGTCAAGTCCCGCAAACAGTCTCACCGAACCTCAGAAGAAAAACAAAAACTCGACGTACTTCTCGAACTTCCTGCTCCGTCATGCAGTGTTCCACATCTGTCTTGTTTAAAAATACCAGGAGACTGGCTCCCGTAAGTCGCTGGGGAAAGTGGTTCAGTTTGCGTCCAAAGATTTGCTGTGGGGACGTCATCCGTACCTCTTCGAGCAAAAGACCCGATAGCTCCTGTCGACAATCATCAACGCGCAGTCGATCTGTAGCATCGACGACCCAAACGAGTGTGTCGGTCTTTTCAAAGTAGTTTTTCCAGTAGGATCGGAGTGTTTTTTGTCCTCCAACATCCCCTGGAGCTGTCAGTATGGAATCCCATCAGAGTCCGGGTTGGCTCACAGATGTTGAGTTTGTATCTGCATCTAGGTTAGCAGCGCTCGAAATATCCATCGGGTCCATGGGAATTTACCCCATAAAGTCAATTGTCTTGATAATAAATCCGAGAGTTGGGCTGACTGTCGTGACATCCTCCTTCATGATTTGCTTGACGATGGTCGTCTTGCCGGCATTATCGAGACCCCTGAGGCAATCATCAGTATCTCGGACCAAATAACTTGCCAAGGCCCATACAGCATCAATATACGCATTTCTTTATCCTTTAAGCGGGCTTTTCGAAGTATGGATAACATGGTCGCGAAAAGATTTTATCACTTGACGTTCTTTGCGGAGTGGAAAGTGGGAAAAGGTTGCCGGCGTCGAAATATACGTTGACTCTGTCCCTCAGTCATACTTTATATTTCTATGCACCATTTCAACATAGCTTTTGGGGCTGATAGATCTATCCTCTCTTCTGTCCGAATTTTGCCCTCTTGTCTGTTCCTGTGCAGTATTGATTAAAAAAAAAAAACTTGAATACTAGGCCTTGACATCGACGAGGAGGTGTACAATCCAATATCGGATTCATGGATTTCGAGATATGTGAACTTTGCAAATGATATAAACAGAACAAGCTAGGCCTCTGGATATACGTAGGTACCACAAGGGAAGATTAGAGACTATGGTACGGCCAAAAATATGCTATCCTTTGGTCTCCAAGACGGTTCAAGGATGTGCCAAATGTCCGGATTAGGCAATTGGAAAGCAATCCGCGAATAGATCGAGATATCAATTGAAGATATCCTTAACCATGGGAGACACTAAGAATGAATCGCATTAGGTAGGGGACAACGAGCTAAGCGCACGTAGATACATAGGCAGGCACAATCAATCACATAGGAGAAATGAACATGAGCCTGGAATTGGAAGAGAGAACGCAGGTCCCAGCTCCGCTCCCAGACTTCATCGTCCTCATCCTCTTACCCCCTCTTCTTTCCCATTGTCCTGTCTTGTATCCTATCCTTTCTTATCTTTCAGCACTTCCGTCACTTAATTCTCACTGTACTCGCAGAACTTAACCAGCTGTCTTGTCTAGTTTCGAGAAGAAACGCCTGATTGTGACAGCTTTCATCGGTCAGGTATTGTTGATACTCCATCACACGAGGTTCCCGCGCAGCATCCAGCCAAACGACCCAGTACCCCACCAAGTGACGACGCCTGTGTAGAACTGCAAGCCCTGTTCCAGGTGAGCTTTTGGCGCGTTGCAGCCAGCTTCTTATCCACGGGTTCGTCATATGCTGGTGAGTCGAACTGGAAGGGCCACCAAGAAATACCCAAAGCCATCACGACCCTTATACCTGAGGCTCAATGCTGACTTACATGTTGACCAGAAAGCCTGCCTCAACCGGTTTTGCATGACCTAGGCCACATCGAGATGGCGGAGGAAATGGAAGGCGTTGCACCTTTCCGTGGCAGCAATGTTGTGCGTCAAAGGCCACCAAACAATTCCAATGTTCCCAGACTGCCAGCTGGTGCGAATCATCCTATCTTGGCCAGGCTCCATGAACTCGAAGCCATGAGCGAGATGGAAAGAAACAAATGGATTCAGAGCATTGACAATCTGAGTTGGAAACAAACCATGGAGTTTAGCAAGCAGTTCGACAAGCACAGAAGACGAAATAGACCTGTGCAACAGCCTCTCATTGGCATGGAAAATGAGAGTCACTCCTGTCCCGAGATGCTCCCTGAAGCGAGGGACGGGCCTGGAGTTGAGCCTGGCAGCAATGTCTATCGGATGCTTGCAAAGCCTCGGACTGCCTGTGGCGTTGAACAACCTGAGCCATGGGCCATAGCTGACCCACCTGACTCCATCCCCGACGATGGATACGAGCAAGAGATTGAACAGAAGTTTAGATGGTCCAGAATCAAAATCGACACGGTGGAGTTTCGGGCCCGGTGGGACAAGCAGAACGAATCTCAAGCTCGGGCCTACAGAGAGTCTCACCATACCTTCCCAGTCGTTCAAAATGGCACTCTTACCTTCACATCGGAATACCACGAGGCAGTCTACGAGCCTGAACAATCCCTTTTTGATGATTGGCTCTCGGACGAGCAGGACGAGCAGGACGCGCATGACCTGTGGATGGAACACGAATACAAAATCTCAGCCTTTGACATCCCCAACGAGAATGCTAGAAAGCAGTTTCGCAACTGGTGGGATCAGCTTCCGACAGGATATCACACGGTCAATATCTACCACGTCGCCTTCTTCGACGGAACCGCCATGCCCGATGGGCAGTGTTCTATGTTCCTGCCTGGCATCAAGCATATTCCAACCCCAAGGGACATGAAAGATGAGATGACCCGCTTGCATTGGCACGAGACATCGGCGGGGTACGTGTACAATATGGGAAAGGTCAACCAAAAGCGAAGGAAGAAGCAACAGGAGAAGCAGGAACATCTTCGTCGCACCGCGCCGTATCGTGCTTGGTTGAGTCTACCACCCGAGTCAAAACTCGTCCCGCCTGACATTTATCTGAGACCTGCAGAGTTATATGACGCATCCTACATCCTCGAAATCATGAATTGGTATGCGAAGAATTCGGCTTTGAGCAGTGACACCAGACCTATGGACGGGAGCGACTTCGAGAAGCTCCTTCGATCTTGCCGAGAGATGAGATTCCCTTTTGTTGTTGCTGCTCGTCGTCCTCAAGAGCGTTGGTGTCGCAACCAAATTGACCCTGCGATTGGATATGCTTACGTCGAATTCCATCGCAACGGAAAGGATGCTGACGCACACATGGGCGAGCTGCAAGTCTTCGTCCAAGAGGACAGCAAGAAGAAGCACATTGGACGGGCTCTTGTCGACATGGTCCTTTCTTGCTTCGATGTGACATCCAAAGTTGGCACTGATTATCAGTTCGACCAAACTGGTACAGTGCAGTATGGTGCTGGCTACGGTCGTCCCCTCAACACAATGGTCTGCGCGATTGCATCCTCCCCCCAGGCACAGGAGAATTACACCTGGATCAAGGAGTGGTTGAAGAGGGACTTTGGATTCCAAGAGAAAGGAGTCTTCGAAGATGGCAGAGTCAAGAGTGGCAAGGGGTATGTTTTTATCTTCGTTTCACTTTCGTTTTGGATTGTATTTACTCACGCGCGTTCCTAGATTTGACCTTTGTTACATGGCCCGTCGCATTGGCACCCCGAATACCACCGAGGGGGGCTAGTTCTCAGCCTCGATCCCAGATGAACAGCACTGGATCCACCTTGTTGAACTACATCTAAGCACATGTGCGCAAGGATGAGGCGGAGGATTCTGGAGCGCGAATCACGGAAATTCTGGCAATGGGAAGAGAATGAAAGATTTGCATGAAAAGAGAGAAAAAAATTGAAAATGAGAAAAGGACCAAAAAAAGATTGAAAATCGATATGAGCAGGGAGCAGCGAGATCTTTGAAGACTCATAGTCTCCACCCTGATGTCTCTCAGACATCTGCACTCACCAAGAAAAAAGAAAAAAAAAGAAGGGAGGAAATTTGAGCAGGGAGGATCATAGGCAGTTATGAATTTAAGATGTATGATTATTCAAAATGTTTTCTGGTGAGAAGATATGTACTCCGTAGGACATGGAAACTCATCAAAGTATGGATATGGAAGCTCAGAACTCCGAAGTCGTTGCGATATTGGGGCGGACCATTGATTAGGTCATCCAAAAATTTCTCGTCACCGCCCGGGGAACTTTTTTTTGCATGTTGATCCCATTTCTGCTCGACGAGATTGAGTTGCTTGCACAGTGTTCGGGGGTCCAGATTTTTTTACTGAGGCTGTTTGAGAGTGTGTGGAAGACATCCCACTATCTAATTTACACCGGAATTTGCGCCAACGTCCAAAATGGCTCCTCAATCGGCGAAGCGGAGTTCCGCCAAAGACGACGATTTCGTGTTCACGCTCTCTGACGACGAGACTGAGCCCCGGTTCGAAGAAGACGATGACGACAACGAGATGCAGGATGACAATGCGCCATCAGTAGACAACAAAAAGCGCAAGCGCGAGGTCGAAGCCGCCAAGCCCAAGAACAAGAAGCAGAAGCAGCAAGAAAAGCAGCAATTGAAGAACGCCAAGAAGAACAAGAAGAACACCGAACCCGTACCCGAACCCGAGTCGGAAGAGGAAGAAGATGATGATGCTGCAGCGGACGCGACAGAAGACGACGGCGTCTTGAACCCCGAGTTCGAGTTCGATGTTGGCGGTGTCGCGAACCGTGGTGTCACTGAAGGCTTCGATGGTTGGGGTATTGATGATAACGCGGAGAAGCGCTCTGGTGATAAGAAGGCTGTCGACATCGATGATATCATTGAGCGCAGGCAGGCCAAGAAGGCCGAGGCTGCTGCTAAGAAGCAAAAGAAGAAGGCCACCGAGGAAGAGGAGGAGAGCGCATCCGAAGACGAGGCCGCATCGGGCGACGAAATGCCCGTCGACTTCGAGGACGATGAGCTTATGGCCGACGATGCCTTTGGCATGGGTGCGGATGGCGAGGAGGAGAGCGATGCCGAGGGCCCCGAGCCCGGCTCTGGAGACGAAGATGAGGATTCCGATGAGGACAAGGACGAGAACGAGGATTCGGATGACGATGCTGCATCTGACAATGACTCTGTTGCCACACCCGTTGGTCACCCAGATGATATCGGCTCAGACCAAGAGTCCGATGTAGAGAGCGTGGTGGACGAGGAGGAAGCAGAGAAGCGCAAGGCGTTCTTCGCCCCCGAAGAAAAGGTCGACACCAAGGCAAACATGGCCAAGATGACTTTCCAAGAATTCAACCTTTCCCGCCCCATTCTTCGAGGTCTCGCCTCAGTTGGATTCACAGACCCCACTCCTATCCAGCGCAAGGCAGTCCCCGTTGCTTTGCTGGGCAAGGATATTGTCGGTAGTGCCGTGACAGGTTCAGGAAAGACTGCTGCCTTCATGATTCCTATTCTCGAGCGTCTTCTCTTCCGTCCCCGCAAGGTCCCTACAAGTCGTGTTGTGGTCCTGATGCCCACTCGTGAGTTGGCTGTTCAGTGTTACAACGTTTCCGTCAAATTGGCCACCTTCACAGATGTCACATTCTGTCAATTGGTCGGTGGTTTCAGTCTTCGCGAGCAGGAGAACGTGCTCAAGAAGCGTCCCGATGTCATCATCGCCACTCCTGGTCGTTTCATTGATCACATGCGCAACTCTCCCAGCTTCACAGTCGATACCCTCGAGATTCTCGTTCTTGATGAGGCCGATCGTATGCTTGAAGACGGTTTCGCCGACGAGTTGAACGAAATTCTCACCACCATTCCCAAGTCTCGTCAGACTATGCTGTTCTCCGCGACCATGACTGACTCAATTGACAAGCTCATTCGTGTTGGTATGAACCGCCCAATGCGGTTGATGGTTGATGCCAAGAAGAACACTGTATCAACACTTGTTCAGGAGTTCGTGCGTCTCCGCCCTGGACGAGAGGACAAGCGTCTCGGTTACCTTCTCCACCTCTGCAAAGAAATCTACACAAAGCGCGTCATTATCTTCTTCCGACAAAAGAAGGAAGCTCATCGCGTCCGCATCATCTTCAGTCTATTTGGCCTGAAGGCAGCTGAGCTGCACGGTAGTCTGAGCCAAGACCAGGTATGTAGTAAAGTTTCTCGTTATATTTGAACCACACTAACTTATACAGCGTATCAAATCCGTTGAAAACTTCCGAGATGGCAAGGTTGCCTTCCTTCTCGCTACCGATGTTGCGTCCCGTGGTCTGGATATCAAGGGTGTCGAGACTGTCATTAACTACGAAGCTCCCCAGAGCCACGAGATCTACCTGCACCGTGTTGGTCGTACCGCCCGTGCCGGCCGCTCTGGTCGTGCTTGCACAATCGCCGCCGAGCCCGACCGTAAGATCGTCAAGCTTGCTGTCCGAGCAGGAAAAGCACAAGGTGCCAAGATTGCCAGTCGTGTGATCGAGCAAGCCGTTGCAGACAGCTGGGCCCAAAAGGCTGAGGATCTGGCCGACGAAGTCACCGAGATCTTGCAGGAAGAGAAGACCGAGAAGCAGTTCTCCCAGGCTGAGATGCAGTTCACCAAGGGTGAGAATCTCATGAAGCACGGCCACGAGATCATGTCGCGGCCAAAGCGCACGTGGTTCGAGACCGAGAAGGACAAGAAGGTTGCTCGCAAACTGGGTGCTGTCGAGCTCAACGGTCCCAATACCAAGAAGAGCAATGTCAAGCTGAGCAACAAGGACAAGAAACGTCTGGATGATGCACAGATGAGACACGATGGTAATATCGGGTGGAAGAAGGGTAAGGGCGATGCCGCCAATGCGAAGGCGCCCAACGGCAAGGGTAAGGGCAAGGGTCCCAAGAAGGGAAAGAAATAAGGGATCTATGAATCGTGTATACAATTGAATACCATGCAAATAGCATTGACGCACTATAATCGGGACTCTTCTATAGCTTCATGTATACACCTTGTACGCCGAGCACCAGTGGAGCCTCGCGCTAAAGTGGATGCTCCCCCAAGATCATCCCAAATCCTCCACCAATGAACTCCCATACTCGCTGCCTTAATTGGCCCGTCGTTATGGGATTTTCCAGAAAAGAAGAACCGGGCCGAGGCTTGGGGAATTACTCCAATTGACCTGGAGCTGATTCGACGTTAATGCATACTACTTCACCTGGTTTCAAGGGAAAGGCTTATCCCCGCGACAGCCCCACGCGTCTTGGGGCCAAAAATCTCCTCCTATTTTTTTGATCCTCCTCTTCCTCCTCTTCATGTTACTCTGTGCGGGGTACATCTCCAAATCTTCGCTGGAAAGGTGCATCTGGAATGGCCGAACCTCTTAAGCCGATTCTTCCCCGCAAGAGCGCTTTCTCATGTGAGGCCTGTCGTAAACGCAAGGTACGCGCGGATCCTTTCGGACGATGCCCGAGATTGCCAAGCTGACTGGTCGCATCCAGGTTAAATGTAATGGCGCTAGTCCATCGTGTTCGCGGTGCGCCGCCCGCGGCGAGCAGTGTGTGTACAGCCTGTGAGTCGACCTCGTTCTTCCCGCTCGCAGCCGCTGATGCCCGTTTGGCTTTCAAAGAGCCCCGACGTTATCGTACACGAAACAACTGGAAGCCAGAGTTGCGCAGTTGGAAAAAGCTTTATCGAAGCGGGGGGAGGGGGAAGAAGCACAGAAAGCAAGATCGCCATCGTCGGTGGCCGAGTCTAGTTCGAGCGCACCGAAGATAAAGATTGATCCCGATACTGAAGAACTCGCGAGGGAGTTTGACGGTCTCAATGTGGAGAATGACGGTCGCGTCTCTTTCCACGGACCGACGAGCTTGTTTCAGCTGCCCAGTGGAGTGGTAAATGAAACGACGTCGAATTCGCATTACGCGCAAGAATTGGAAGGTCGCAAGGAGCGGCTCATTAATAGCGCATGGCGGGAGAGGGCGTTCGAGCAGATGGCTGCTATGCCGGTAAGATTCTGCTCGACTGAATGGTGGATCGCATGGATGTTGCGATGCGCGTGCTAATATCCTCTGGCAGGAGCCTTTTCAATACCTTCTTGATTCGCACTGGTGCTGGATCCAGCCGCTATGGAATTTTGTCTATCGTCCTGCATTTACACGTCTGTTCGACCCTATCAGTTCAGACGACATATAAACTAACTTATGAGCAGGTGATATGAAAATTCAAGGGACTTATTATTCCGATGTCTTGTTAAACGCCATTCTTTCTCACTCGGTACGGTGGTGCAAAGCGGAGCCTCAGGTCGGCCCACTTTTGGGCTCCTACGATGGTGGTGCACAATTCTCCCATCGCGCATTGACTGGGGTATTTGAGTCTCTCAAAGTTGGCTATGCAGGCATTCCTACTATTCAGACATTACTCCTGCTCAGTGCCCAAGAATGTGGCCGCGGAAACCGGACGCAAGCTTGGCTATACAGTGGCATGGCCTTTCGGTTGCTAGACGACTTGGGAATCTCAATTGACAGTCGGAAATATTCCGGGTCAGCTCAGTTGAGCGATGAAGATATCGAAATACGAAACCGTTTATTTTGGAGTTGTTACTTCTGGGATAAGCTGATCTCATTATACTTTGGTCGTGCCCCAACCATGCAGCACTCCCATGTCAGTCCACCGCGGATGATTCTTGATGACACTGCTGAGATCGAAATATGGACACCTCACGGTGTGAACTTCACTGACGGTGCTCACTACCCGCCCACGCAGGCTCATTCAACGTCTTGTTTCATGAAGATGTGCGGTCTGGCAGAGGTTTTGAACCAGATTCTAATCCACATCTACGACCCAATCCGCCGAAGTTCGGACTCGGAATTCTATGATTGTGTTCAGGAGCAGGCCAAGAATCTAGGTGACTGGTGGGACGAGCTACCGGATTATCTGAAGTTGGCTGCAACAGATCTTCCTCCATACTCCCCACCGAGCCATATCGTGATTCTGAAGTATGTGCTTAACCAGGCCTGAATTGTAAGACACTGCTAACTCAAATGACTAGTTGTTACTATCATACTATTAACATCCTTGTCCATCGACCAATTCTTTGCTCTCGGGAGAGGCTCAAACCCCACCCCGAGGGACATGACTCCAACCATCTTGTACAGTGCATGGCATCAGCAACATCCATCCTATCTCTGTTCGATCTCTACCGCCGCACATTCGGCGACAGCCATGTCGTTCTTTCTCTGGCATACAGCCTCTATACTGCAGCATCCATCTTCCTGCTCGAGATCCAAGCCTTGAAGTATGCCGCACCTGGAACACTAGACAAACTCAAGTTCTGCATATTCGCTTTGGAGAGAGTCAAAGCTGCCAACCCCGTTATTACAACGGCCCTCAGCCTGATTTCCCTGGAGCTTCAAAAGCTCCAAATCGACATCCACATGCCTATCCCCGAGACAGATCAAGAACGCCACCCTCATAACAGTCAACCACTTCCCCAACCTCATCCTTACCCCAACCATTCTCAATCCAGTCAGTCGCCATCAGGAGGTAGCAACCCATCCCGCCATGTCTCACCATCCCAGCACCACCACCAACCCCAACCACCGATGGACACGCATGTCCAAACTACCGGCCTCGAAGACACACCATTGATGCAAACGTACAACAATTTCCAGCACCCAGGAGTCGGTTTCAACATCCCCAACTCGGCTGAAGTTCCGCAATTGCCACCTACTCATCTGCTGGGTGGCATGCCAAACGCTGTGATGACGATGAATGACCCAGGATCGTATGAAATAACGCCTGAGGTGTACGAGGCATTCTCGTATACGCATCCCATAACAACGAACATGACGCCTGCCTTTGAGCAGGGCTGGGGTAGCAAACATACCTACAGTTAATAAACAATCACGGGCCTTCCCAATGATCTCTTACAGTCGAATATACTTCTTGTTTGAAAGATAATACTTTTGTCCTCTCTCCTAGCTGTCGGCCTTTGTTTTCATGATTCCCGGATCCATATAGCGTGAACTTGAATTAGATATCACTTCGGCAATCATTTACACAATTAGAAGTGTCGAGCCCATCTTGTATCTGGCCGATTGCGCCCCGGAATACACACATAAAATGCAATCCTGATAGGTGGGAGGCGAGAATATTAGATTCTATAAAAGCCAATCCAAAGATAACTAAAGAGGTATCAATAGATCGCAATATATAAAGGAAGGCATAGAAACGACCAAAAGTAATCTCTACAAGTTCTATTCATTAGCTTTCAAGTTACGGTCGGCCTTGGATGCAATAGTCTTCGCCGTAGAAGGCTCCGAATCAGCCTCGCAGTACTTGGGTTTGGCCCGCCACCGCAAATACCACGGCCCATCGAACAAATCACCCATCCGCTCAATCGGCACTCCATTCGTCTCAGGCATCCAAATACCAAGAATAACTAGCCCAGAGAAGCAAATAAGTGCCCAGAAGAGATAAGCCCCCCAGACGTCAAGCGAGACGAACATATTGGGGGTAACGCGCACAACTGCAAACTGGAAGAACCAGTGCAGCGCCATACTGATGGCGTAGCTCACGTTACGGATGCGCGTTGGGAAGATCTCCGTGCCATAAAGATATGGTACTGTGCAGAGACCGATGGACCAGCCAATGGCATAGATGAAGACTGAGGCAACAGCTGCGTTGGAAGCATTTTGATTGGATGACGAGCCCGGGCGAAGGCCCATGTATATGCTCATATAGATATGTGCACACAGCTGTAGACTGAGTCCGGCGAGTGTGCAGCGACGTCGACCGAGGAGGTCGATTAGACACCATGTAAAGGCCATCGTGAAGATCAATTTGATTATCCCGTAGACACCAGAGGAAACTAGGGATTGTCCATCGCCTGATATACCGGCATACTGTTTCATACATGTCAGTGTATTGTAATTGATACTAGGTAGCTTATCTTATTAAAAAGTGCCAGTGTTTGCATCGACTGACCTGAAATACGTTCGTCACGTAATATGTGATACCATTCCCGCCGGTCCACTGACCGATAGTCTGCATCGTGATCAGCAACCAGAAGCGTTGCCGGTAATTCGAGTTCATCTGTGTCTCCTTGAACAGAGTCCAATGGGAGGCAGAGCCTCGATCTGCCGCCCGGTCTCGCTCCCGTACATTGATAGACTCGAACTCCGATATGATCTCAGCATCATTGATAGCTTTGCCACGCAGCCGTGCCAGAGCCTCCAGTCCTTGCTGATGCAGCTGTTTCGAAACTAGATACCGAGGAGTTTCAGGACAAAGATACGACAGCCCGTATGCAATACCGACAGGGATTAATGGCACCGCCTGAACTAGCCGATATTGGGCGGGTGTGATCGACATATGAACCCTGGCACCGTAATTGACAAAGAACCCTACATAGCAAAGCTAGTCAGAACGGGTTTGGTGTGTATACAATAGAGAGAGGGCCATAGCTTACCAGTAGCCAGGAAGGCCAATAAGACTACCATGTACACCCCCACCACCAGACCTCTCGTCCTAACAGGGGCTATTTCGGTTAAATACAGCGGCGCAGTTACTGTTAGGGCGCCTGCACCCAATCCACCCCAGATTCGACTAAACAATAACAGTCCATATATACCAGATGCGAATATTTGGATGAATGTCCCTGTTGCCCACACGATGCATGCAAGGCGCCACGCCACCAGCCGCCCGAGTCGATCGTTTAGATCGAGGACTATCAGGGCACCGAGCGCTGCGCCTAAAACGTTGAAAGATGATATATTCGCTTTTCGATTGGCTAGCCCGGCAGCATTGTTCTGCCAATGTGATGGATCGAGGTCGTAGTCGGACTTGAAGGAGGGGAGGGAGACACTGGCGCTATAGCCACCCTCGTCATAGCCTAGTAACGGTGCGCAATTAGTCGCTGTCACTATGTTTGCCAGGTGCGGCAGATCGCCCATCTTCAGCCACTCCACCAATTCCATACCTTTCGGAATCCCGCCGCAAGCTATGACACCAATCACCAAGGCGCAGTAGGGATTGGTCGACCATCGTGACGTGGTCCCTCGCATGGCCCTGATTTTACACGAGCTGTGGAGGCGCCCACTGTATAAATCTGGGGAAAGGAAATGAAACCGACAATCTCCAGGGTGTGGACAAGGGGAGTTGAGTGGTCGGCATCCCGGCCAAACAGAGATCGCGTCGGTCAACGTCCGAGCTTTCTTCTCTCACCCCTCTTTCCTACCGCCGTGCTGTATACAAGGGCTTGAGCAACGCACTTACTGCAATACAGACGCTATCTTACGTTTTAATTCGTTGCTTTTTCAAACTACAATGCCTTTCACGTCTCCGAAGTGATACAATATTCCAATGTCGGATCGCGGCGCAGCTACCCACTTTTGGCTCCGCTCCACGGCTCGTCAGCCCATAACAGGCCCAGATGGCGGCTTAGATATTAGCAGGAAACCCCTGGCGGACAACTTCCGAGCTTGCTTGAATTTCTTCCTCTGGGTTTGGTGGCAATCGCGAGGATTCCGAAAGGGTGGGCCGTGCAAGGTCTGCATTATGCACTTTGAGCACCGTCGATGAGTGCTGAATTAAATCGAGAAAATCCCCATATTAAAATGCTCCTAGTCACGAGCGACATTCTGTATATTGATCGGTGAAGCTCGCATGGTGCTGTTTAGGCTCTGTCTTAGAGCGACGTCGCCCTGCTGGACATGTTCGTCTGTGAGTATCGCCGGAGGGCTTCATTCGTGCTCTTGAGTCTTTTCTATCTTTCTACCTCCTCGGCTACTTTCTCGTCAAGTTTTGCCTCTATATATTTGAGAACTATTCAGAATGCTGACTACCACTCAGCCCAAGTCCAGTGTACTGTGTAGGCCTTCATCAACTTCGTTTGATCTGCATTCCATCCGTACAGAGCAACGGCGTTCAACCCATGTTGTATCCGCAAAAGCATCGGTGAGACAGAGGATCCCTCCGAAATCATGGGATAGCCATATGCATGTTGTGGAATCTGAGCGATTTCCTGTCTCTTCGACGGCGGTATACAAACCGAAGCCACATACGCTAGCCGAAGCGCTCGCCTTCGAGTCTGAGCTGGGCATTGAGAATCTTGTCTTTGTGCAGCCGTCAATTTATGGATCGGATAATTCTTGTTTGTTAGAAGCCTTGCAAAAACTGGGACCATCCCGTGGCAGAGGAGTTGTCGTGGTTGATCCTGCCACCATTGAACCGGAGACATTGGACGAATGCCATGCCCTTGGAGTCCGTGGACTGAGGATCAACCTCCAGTCTACAAGGAAAATGATGGATAAGCATGAGCTGGAAGAAACATTACTCCAGCATGCTGAACTTGCCCGGCCTCGCAACTTGATTATCGAGGCCTATCTCCCTCTCGGGATGATCTCAATGCTCGAATCGATTGTTCCACAATTAGGCGTGCGAATCTGCATCGACCATTTTGGCAGTCCTGACCTCTCATTGTGGGTTGGAGATATGTCATCGTTCAACCCTTACAGTCTGGATGGGTTCTCATCTTTAATATCTCTGCTTCGTGGTGGGAACACATATGTCAAGGTATCTGCGCCGTATCGCTTCAGCAAAGACCACCAGCTGCGTGATCTTCAGGCCATGGCTCGCGAGTTGCTGTCTGTTGCACCTGATCGGGCGATCTATGCAACTGATTGGCCACATACCCGATTCTCCGGAGTTGATATCAGTCCATTTACTGAATGTTGCTTAGACCTATGTGAAACTAGACCAGGGCTTGCGGAGCGCCTCTTTCGGAAGAATACCGAGGAAATGCTCGGTGTGGAGTGCGCTTAGAGTTAGCTTTTCGAAGGATACTGCATTGAATAAGGCCGTCTATTTAAATGAGCTACTATCTACACCACCCAAATGAGGGGATACTAGCCTGACGACAGGGAGGATGGTAGGGGTCAGTTACCCCGCAGCTTTCCCGGGCGAGGAGCCGCGACGAGGCTGAGTCTCCCTGAGCTGGCAGTTCAACATCTCTACCCTCACGACTCTGGGGTCAATACTTCAGGCTTACCTCAAATTTAGAGGAAACTCTGAATAGCGCAGGTTTGTTCAGGTCGGTTTCAACCACAGCCAATCTCGGTCAATGAAACAAGATGGCAGCATCTCGTCCCTCACGCGAGGAGTTTCAAGTTGGCTGGATTTGTGCCCTGCCCGTTGAGGCAGCAGCTGCGAAAGAGATGCTGGACGAGAATTTCGGAATTCTGGAAGAGCAAGATATAACAGATCCGAACTCGTATACCTTGGGCCGCGTCGGCAAACACTATGTGGTCATCGCCTGCCTCCCCGATGGACAATATGCGACTACTTCTGCCACAACAGTTGCAAACAATATGTTGCGCACTTTCTCCACCTCGCTGCGTATTGGACTGATGGTGGGCATCGGGGGTGGAATCCCATCTGATGATCATGATATACGACTAGGCGACATCGTGGTCAGCCGCCCGGAGGGATCTTGTGGAGGTGTCGTTCAATATGATAAAGGGAAAATTGGCAAGGACGGCAAGCTCGACCGAACGGGATCTTTGAATAGTCCCCCGAGGTCACTGCTAAATGCTCTTGCTAGTATGAGAGCTGCTTTGTTGACCGATGACCCGGAATATCCCGAATACCTCAGGAGTGCGATCGGGAGGAATCGAAAAACACAAAAGCTCTTCGCTAGGCCTGAACCCAAGAGCGATCGATTGTTCAAGACAGAGCATGACCACCCCCGTTCTAAAAAAACATGCGATGAGTGTCCAAGAGAATGGGAGATTATCCGCGAGGAACGCGAAGACGCCGATGCGGATGCCGAGTCACAAACGCATTATGGCATCATTGCATCTGGGAATTCAGTTGTCAAAGATGGGGCCACGAGGGATCAAATACGGAAAGAAACGGGCGCGTTGTGTTTTGAGATGGAGGCTGCGGGCTTGATGCAGGATTTCCCTTGCATTGTTATCCGCGGCATCTGTGACTACAGTGACTCGCACAAGAGTAAACAGTGGCAAGGGTATGCTGCTTTGGTCGCTGCAGCCTACACCAAAGAGCTTCTCAATTATGTTCCACGGGGTCAGGTGCCGCAAGAAAGACTAGCTGCAGATTTGAGTAAGTAGCACTTTACTACTCCTACCGCATAGTTCGGAATTGATGTTGTTTTCTCTTTTTATAGCGAAGGTTTACGGCGAGATTAAGGACTTGAAACAAGATTTAGTCGTGATCAGTCGCAAATTTGACCTACAGGGGTTGCTCATTGCTCCAGACGCCGCATTTGACTCTTATGAAAACATACACGACGAATGCCTCCCAGGGACGAGAATAGAACTGCTCAACGAAATCGAAGAATGGGCAAAAGCTCCTGACCAGAAATGCATCTTCTGGCTGCAAGGCATGGCAGGCACTGGCAAATCAACAATATCTAGAACTGTTGCAAGCCGTCTCAAGCAGGCTGATTCCCTTGGAGCGAGCTTCTTCTTCAAAAGAGGCGAAGCAGACCGGGGAAACGCAAAGCGATTATTTCCAACAATAGCAAATCAACTTGTGAGGAGTCTTCCGCAGCTTCTTCCTTATGTCCAAAGAGCAATCGGTGAGGATCCACACATCTCAGATAAGGCCCTCAGGGAGCAATTCTCGAGGTTGATATTACAGCCACTTCTTTCAGTCGAGACTAGCGGCACTACAACAACATTGGTGATCATAGATGCATTGGATGAATGCGACAGAGATGATGATATTCGAGCTCTTCTCTGGCTTCTCCCACAAGTTCAACGCTCAACCTCAATTCGAATACGATTCTTCCTGACTAGCAGGCCTGAACGGCAAATCAATCGGGGCTTCCAGCAAATCGCGAATGATCGTCAGCATTTTATACTACATGAGATTCCAGCGCCTGTGATTCGCAAAGACATCACATTATATTTTGAGCATCAAATCTTGAAATTGAGAGAAGAACAGGAACAGGAGCGAGGGCTATCCCCTGGTTGGCCGGGTGAGGACATATTTAATATTCTCATAGAGCGGGCCATTCCATTATTTATCTCAGCTGCAACCCTTTGTCGGTTCCTGAGGGATAGGAGCTGGGATCCGGATACCCGTCTCAAAGCTCTTCTCGCCGATCAAACAAGCTATGTGTCGAAGATGGGCAGTACTTATATGCCGGTGCTAAACCAACTCCTCCATGGCCGAGATCGAGACGAATCACAGGTCTTGATCCAAGATTTCAAGGACATTGTCGGTGTCATTATTGTCCTTGCAGCTCCACTCTCTGTCAATGCGCTTTCTCGGCTACTTGATCGACAGGCTCATGATGTGTCTTACAGACTGGATCATCTCCATTCGGTTCTTGATGTTCCAGCTAACCGAGATCACGCTGTCCGGTCACTCCATCAATCTTTCCCAGAGTTCCTGCTGGATCGCAGACAAAAGGAGAACAACCCGTTTTGGGTGGATGGCAAAAACGTACATCAAAAGCTTGTCACACAATGTCTGAAAGCAATGGCCTGTCTGCGTCAAAATATTTGCAACCTCGAGAACTATGCGACACCAAAAGTCGATATCGACTCAGAGTCTATCCACCAGAATCTACTACCACAAGTACGATATTCTTGTCGCTACTGGGTGCATCACCTAGTGAATTGTACAGACATTCATGATCTGGTTCATGATGTCCACTGGTTTCTTCAAACTCATTTTTTGCATTGGGTTGAAGCAATGAGCCTACTGGGTTTTGCATTTGAAGTAGTAAGAATGCTTCATCTCATAGAAGGGGTTATACTAGTAAGTCCTCTAAATACACACATATGTAATTAGGTACTCATTTACGACCAGTATACTAACAATCCACGAAGGTTGATCGCTACCCTACTGTGGTCGATTTTTTACATGATGCAAAACGCTTCATTCTCAAAAACTGCTACATGGTTGATGAGACGCCCCTTCAACTTTATTGCGCAGGACTGGCGTTTACACCCCATACTGCAATAATTCGTAGGAGCTTTGAAACAGACATCCCTTCCTGGGTATGCCGGTTACCCCAAGTTGAGGCTACATGGAGCGCAGAACTACAGGTTCTTGATGGTCATCCAGGCTATATTACTACGATAGCTTTCTCGCCCAATGATCAACTTCTGGCATCAGGGTCTGCTGATAACACTGTTCGGCTTTGGGATACTACAACAGGCGCGCTCAGCCAAACTCTCGAGGGCCATGTAAGCGTGATAGCGTCAGTTGTTTTCTCGCCTGACGGTCGACTACTAGTCACTGGGTCCGATGATAAAACAATACAGTTCTGGGACCCAACAACCGGCGCACTGCAACGGACTATTGAGAGTCCCTCTGGTCCGGTGAGATCAGTCTCAATCTCACCTGACAGCCGCCTCGTAGTCTCAGGTGCTGATGATAGAGTCTGGCTCTGGAAAATCGCCACGGGCGAGCTCCACAGCACTCTCGAGGGTCATTCAGGGTTCGTCACATCAGTTTCCTTCTCGCCTAATGGCCGGATAGTAGCATCCGGCTCCACTGATATGACAGTGCGGCTCTGGGACCCGATAACGGGTGCGCTCCAAAGGTCTCTAGACATTTCATCCTTTGTCCATTCGGTGGTCTTCTCGCCTGATGGCAAGCTACTGGCCTCTGGCTCAAGAGATGGTATAGCACGACTTTGGGATCCGGCGACAGGAGTGTTATTATACAGTCTTTCGCATTCCGGCGATGTTGATTCAGTGGCCTTTTCACCTAGCAGTGATTTACTGGTGACCCACACCACGACATCTATACAGGTTTGGGGAATCGCTACGGGTGTGTTACAACGGACTCTAGACCATTCTTCTTCGTACGGTTCAATGGCCTTCTCACATGACGGCAAGCTATTAGCCACTGGCACTTTGGATGGTGCATTACGGCTTTGGGATCTGGCCGCCAGCGAATGCCAGAGTGAACATGAAAAGGGTTCCCATCCCTCTGTTACTGGCCACCTAGGATCGATCCGAGCGATAAGCTTCTCGCTCAATGGGCAGGTACTGGCGTCTATCTCTGGGGATGGTGCAGTGCGACTCTGGGATGCAGAAACAGGTGCGGTGCAGCGGATTATATCACCTGTAGGTTATGTCTGCTCGGTGGCCCTCTCATCAGATGGTCAGCAAGTCACCTGTCGCTCTAGAGGTTGGAAGTTTCGAGTCTGGAATACTGTCACAGGTAAACTACGGCATTCTCTAGATGCTAATGAGGGGGAGACAAGCTCGGCTCCCTCAGTGGTCTTCTCGCCCGATGGCCTGATGCTGGCGATCAATGGATTAGGCGGAGTGATACGACTATGGGACTTAGTGACAGGAACCGTTCGGCAGAGGCTCAAAGGGCATTCAGATGACGTGCAATTCATAAGGTTCTCACCTAACAGCAGATTGCTGGCATCTGCCTTTTCCAATCAGACAGTATGTCTGTGGGATCTAGAAACAGGCTCAATGCAGCGGACTTGGAAGGTCGATGGATCAATAGCCTATCTTGAGTTCTCTCCGGATGGCTCATGCATAGCCACTAACTTGGGTCTTTTGAGTGTTCAGCCAGGGCATGAAAATTGTGCCGCCTGTCTAACTCATTTGAACAAGGGAGTCTTCGACACCGAAGATCAATGGATTAAGATAAACGGGAAGAATGTATTACGGATTCCTCCTTACGCTCGTGCTCAATGTTTCGCTGTCCACGGCAATTTGTTTGCCCTAGGACATCAGTCGGGGCAAATTTCTTTTATAGAATTTTCTGCACCATAGCCATCAGAGATTGCCTTTCTTCCTACTTTCTTTCTCTGTTTTCTCAAGCTATATATCATGGAAGCTAAATGTATAGCAATAGATTTGATTGCTCCTGCTCTTGAGATCTGGTTTACTGAACACACAGATAGTCCTAAATACCGCTTGACATAAAGGTAGCCTGGATATACTTTAGTAGGTCCCCTGTTGATTTGCTTATGTTGATCAATTTATTATTTCCGCATTTTGGGATGAGGCAATACTTCTTAACAAGAGTGAAATAGAATATATATTACTTGATGTCTATTTGCGAACAATTACTGACACCAAAACGTCAACGTTAAGGCAATTTCTCATTCTGCCTGGTCATAATGCAGTTTTGTTTCATGTCCCTGTAGCCATCCTCGTTTAAATGTCCTCTGCATCCATGAAAATAACGTGGGAGGTACAGATCTTCTTCGGGCCCTAAAGTAAGAGAAAGCTAGGTTAGCGAATGCCAGTAGTCAACTCAACCCAAAAAGAACTTACAATGGTGTAGCAACAAGCCGGTCGAGACTGGTCCTCGCAAAGCTGGGGCAAATCGAGCGAATCACCTGGAAAACATAGATGGTCAGCTGTATGTCCAGTAATCAGAAATCCTGTGAATAATCATGCATACAATCCATAGCCTCGTTTGCCTTCGAGTTTCCGCGAGCGGGTGATAGATCACGACAGCAGAAGGGCGACTGCACCATGCCGGTGTCGTCTGCGGCAAAGTCGCAGTGCATATTGATCTTTTTGGCCGAGACCAAGGACAAGACGGCGGCGAAGGCGAGAGCTGAAACACGCATTATGGCGGTGATGGTATGGTCGCTGATGGAGGATCGATTGGTGTGATAGCGAGGTGATGAGGGCGTGTTTGGGAAGATCGACTCATGTATATCCTAGGGGAGGGTTGTTTTAGGGCACAATTTCGTCTAATGAGAAAGGACTATGCAGGAGAATTCGAGTGGCTAGATGCCTTGCTCCAGTGGCTAACAAGGCTCGTTCCTGGTTACTGATTTTGCGTGGCTAGGGAAATTGTCATCGCGTCCATTGGTAGATAGGAGGCGTTGTTGATGGCTCCTTGCATTCCTCATTCCTTGTGAATGCCGAGGTTTCAGAGTGTTGTGGTTTATGCTTCAACCTACAACATAAGAAGTGCATACGGAGTAATTGTAGCTAGGGGCAGGATAGACATGTAGATCATTACTGTTGAAGTCGATCCAGTTCCTTTGTGAGCTCATTACGTGCCCCTTGATGAGTTGTGTCAAGGGATGGGAGATTGGGACACATCGAAGAGCCGAACGATTGCCCTGGTTTTCATGACTGCGTACTCCGTATATTATCTCCAATTCGGATGAGGGCCTACTTATATACATGTCCTAGTAGATGTATACTCCGTATGGAGTATATGTAGTTAGATATATGTACATAACTCTTTATCCAAAGCCCTAACAGCGATAAGCTTGCAAGGGTTCAGCCCACTTTATCATCAGGATCTCGGGGCTTGCGGTGGCTTATGCAGGTACCACGTGGAACCTTTTGACGGTGTTATTTGCCAGAGGATTTGCCAGAGCCCAGGTCGGTTACTTGACTGCGGTTCCAAAGTGGTCCCAGTTACAATGTGGGCTTCTAAGGTGTTGACTGATCACTGCACGTGCTCGCTCTTATTGGATGTTGAGTCAGGTGATGTTTTGTTGAGGCCCCAACGATAAGATAATCACACCGCCCCCCGACTCGACCCCCTCACTTTCACCTTCCTGACCACACCACTACATACTCCGTACTACTCTGTACACACTGTGCTATTGTTTGAGAATCATGAAACAAACCTCTTCAACTCAAGTCGATATGGAACGCTCCGTTTATATTCCGCTCTGCTTCTGCCTCATCTCCTTTGCCGTTATCGCCTATTCCCACTAGTTATCCGCCCGCGATAGCATTCTGCCCCAACAGCACCCAGGCGCAGATGGAAGGACTCCCATAGTCTTGAATTCTGGTGTCTGGGATGCCTCGACTCCTCCCTATGCAACCTATCTCTCTATCTCGTCACCTCGTAGTACCGACATGCGAGCCAACCACTCTCTGATCTCCATATTACCTTCAACACTGAACACTGCCCCTCCAAGGCATTACCCTTCTATTTTCCACAACCCGAAGGACTGTCTAGCTTTTGGCCTGAAAGACTGAACTAGACAGAGCTGAGCCTTTATTCATCCCGAGCTGCTCACTATCTCTGCGCTTTCTGTGATATTGGAGTTCCTTCAAATCTACTGGAGGATGCTCTCCTCCCATGTCACTTCAATCGCACATTGGGATGCGTAGAGGCAAAGCCTATATTTGCACTCGATTACTTCTCCCTACATCCATCGCATTTTGATATTTATTGCGCTTTGATACCCTCTTGCCTGGTCACTATCATACCCCTACGAATATGATTCGATTGATAGGGCTCACACCCTTCTCTTTCTGAACCATCCTTCAACATTTATCGGCCTTCATTGTTTGCTCTCTGTCTTGACTTACCCCAGTCCTTCAACCCTGGTTCTTGATTTATGACTTGTCTGATCGATGTTATTTCCTTATATTCTACTCCGTACACCAAGATTGATCTCGGTGTGCTGGTCACACCCCATCGCTCTTTCTGGAATTTCCTATATCCTATTTATACAATCTATGCATGAACATAATTATCTCTCTACATATAAGAAATGCGTAGATCCCCCATCGGTAAACATCTGAGGTCATGACGTCTGACATCCCTGGGCATCTGGGGCATCTGGGGCATCTAGATCGGATCACGTAATCATTGCTGAGAAATCGGTGACGGAACCACCTGGGCGAGAAGCACAAACGTGCATTATCAGTCCCCGATATCGTCACCGTGGTCTCCCCGCTCACCTCAGCCTGCATATAATTCTCCCGCTCTTCCCCTCCCATACCTCCCCATGCTCTCTCGCTCCATCCAATCATCCCGGATAAGCTTTCGAGCCACTTCATCTCTGCCTCGGTCTTCCATCGGGCAAATCCGTGGTCAAACGACCAACCGAATTCTGGCGACCCTCAATTCTACCCGCTCCATCCCCAAGGACTCAATTGCTCCTCACTCTCGCCTCTCCACAATCTCGCGACACTTCTCATCGTCCTCTGTCTCTAAGAACCAGCAGTCGTCCAACATGGCTCCCATAGAAACGCAGCAGTACGATTATATCGTCCTCGGCGGTGGTAGTGGTGGCAGTGGAAGTGCCCGCCGGGCCGCAGGTTGGTATGGCAAGAAGACCCTGATCGTGGAGAGTGGTCGATCTGGTGGTACCTGTGTCAACGTGGGGTGAGTTTCATCTAAAGTTGAATGTGTACTCAATTGGGCTTTCTTTCTTACTTTATTTTAGATGTGTCCCCAAGAAGATGACATGGAACTTTGCGACCATCAACGAGATGTTGCACATTGGAAAGAACTATGGCTACGACATCCCCGAAAACATTACCATGGACTACACTCACTTCAAGAACACCCGTGACGCCGTCATCAAGCGATTGAACGGTGCCTACGAGCGTAACTGGGGCCGCGAAGGAATCGACCTCGTTCAGGGCCGTGCAGGCTTCGTCGAGCCCAACACCATCGAGGTTAAGCTGGCCGACGGTTCTGGCACTGCCCGCTACACTGCGCCGCACATCCTGCTGGCGACTGGTGGCCGCCCCAACATCCCCTCCGTTCCTGGCGCCGAGCACGGTATCACCAGCGATGGATTCTTCGAGATGGAAGAGCTTCCCCCGAAGATCGCCGTCGTCGGTGCTGGATACATTGCCGTTGAGATCGCTGGTGTCCTGAACGCTGTTAACGTTGAGACTCACATGTTCATTCGCGGCGAGAACTTCCTGCGCAAGTTCGACCCTATGATTCAGAAGACCATGACCGATCGCTACGAGGCCGCCGGTGTCCAGCTTCACCGCAACCACTCCGGCTTCAAGGAGGTGCAGCTCATCCGCGACGGTAAGGGCAAGGATCGTCTGATCAAGCTCATTGGTCATGACGGCTCCGAGCTCGAGGTCAACGAGCTCCTCTGGGCTGTGGGTCGTGCACCCGAGGTTGAGGACCTGCACTTGGACATCCCTGGTGTTAAGCTGAATGCTGGCGGCTACGTCGTGGTTGACGAGTACCAGAACACCTCGGTTGAGGGTGTTTACGCTCTCGGTGACGTGACAGGCCAGGCCGAGCTGACTCCTGGTAAGTTATAGCAGTTCTCACCCTTTTGATTGGAAGCATCACCTAACCATACTATACAGTTGCCATTGCCGCCGGCCGCCAACTCGGTAGCCGCCTCTTCGGTCCCCCTGAGCTGAAGCACTCTAAGCTCAACTACGAGAACATCCCCACCGTTGTCTTCTCCCACCCCGAAGTTGGCTGTGTCGGTCTCACCGAGCCCGAAGCCCGCCAGCGCTACGGCGATGACAAGATCAAGATCTACCACACCAAGTTCACTGCCATGTTCTACGATGTCGGCTTGTCCCCCGAGGAGAAAGCCAAGAACCCCACTGAGATGAAGATCATCTGCGCTGGTCCCCAGGAGAAGGTTGTCGGTCTGCACATCCTTGGTCTTGGAGTTGGCGAGATGCTGCAGGGCTTCGGTGTTGCTATCAAGATGGGTGCTACTAAGCAGGACTTTGATAGCTGCGTTGCTATCCACCCTACCAGTGCTGAGGAGCTTGTTACTATGCGGTAATACCTTTTGAGATAGAGAACAGATATGTGAATAATAATTTAGAATATTATAACATTTATAAGTTACTGCGATGCGAGGTCCACAGTTTCTCTCCTTGGATAGTCAGTAGGTGAGGGTCAGCCTTGTGCAGCACGATGAGCTTCGTCCGATCAAATTAGGCAAGCCGGCAAGCCTGGCAAAAGTAGTTTCTCTATCAGCAAGCGGCCAGTTGGTATGAACACTCATCATGCTATGGTCTTTGTAAATATGGACCTCCAACCCTCCTAGGTGGGTAATAGGCCGGCATCGGGATGAGTAATCGCACACAACCTGGAGCCCTCTGGAGCCCTAGACTGCCCCGCACTAGACATAAATATGAATTCCACTATTTTCATCCACCTGAGCACATTCAAATGGATTGTTTACCAGTTTCAAAACACCCCAGCGACCTATCCTGAAAGTCAACCTGGTTACAGCGAATCCAGTATTCAGTCACACAACCCAACCACACAGCAAATCACATGTCGCATGTGTAGGCGGTACTTTTCTGCCTGCAAAGGGAGGTTATAATGAACTTTAAGGATATGCCTTTCGCCCTTCGGGGCATATGGTCAAATGAAAATATACAGAGAAGATTAGCATGGCCCCTGCACTAAGGATGACACGCTCAATCAAAGAGAAGCTACCTATTTTTTTTCTTTTACAGATCCATATTATAGGTTCGGGGCTGTGGGGCCTCACAACGGGCGGCTTTTTAGAGCTTTTTAGAACTACGCTATTAGTGCATCACGTGATCATGTGATCGGGGTTCGAAATCGATGGACGGCGAATTAATCACTTCTAGTGTTTTTCTAAAAACAACAGATCTGCTGTGATTGTTGTATTTTTATGCTCGAAAGCTGTACGCAGTAGATAGTATCAATTAAAATGAGCTTTGTTTATTAGTATCATTGGATGTTTATAGCACTGCATTGTCCATGGGTTCAGGGCTTTTTTAGTTGCCGTTAGCACTTCCGCTAGGCAAGGTAAACATACATCGAAGTATCGACGGGGCTTAAGCATCCCTACTTTATGTTGATAATCTCATAGGCGTATTGAAGCCACGGGATTCTATATCAAGCTGAAAGATCAGTCCTCGCTATATATAGATTACTAGAACAAAACTGGAGAAGATGGACGGCCTAACCAGTCCCGTAAGAGCCCCATTGGGGCCATATCTCAGCCCCGCAAAGACGAGTCTCCACATGGAGTACATAGAGCTGAAAAAAACAGGCTGGGGGATGCCCCTGTACTCCGTATTGGACGCTCGATATTCTTTCGCGAGTCCTATTTTCTATATAAAGCAAGTCTCCCAGAACTGAACAAGACAGTTTCATTTCTACGACGGGATATACAATGATCCAATCCACCATGCCAAACAAGCTTCACAGCGCTCCACCTTTCAGGGCAGAGCACATGGGCTCCCTCCTACGCCCAGCTAACCTGCTCGAAGTGCGCGAGAAGATAGCCAACACAGGAATCTCCGCAGAAGCTGCAGGCCTACCGGCCCTCGAACAAGAATCCGTCCGCGAAGTGGTAAAAATGCAACAGGACCTTGGGTTCAATGCTGTTACGTCTGGCGAGTACAACCGCACCCGATTCTGGGGGTTGATGTGGGACGAGTTCCAAGGTTCGTGAAGTAAACAAACCCTGTGCCCGATATGAGCAACTAATAATCCCAACCCACAGGCACAACCCGTCTCCAAAATGCCGATGCCTCGATGTTCAGACTCTACCACCCAGACGTGGTATCTCTAATCGAGAAAGAAAGCAAAGTCATGCCGGGCGACTCCGTCATCGCCGGCGGCAAGCTATCGCACAGCGCAGCTGCTTCGAAAGCAAATCTTCACGAACTGAAACTCGTGCAGGCATCACTGCCACGAAGCAAATGGCACACTATCAAACTGACGATGATCACGCCTGCGTGGTTCCACATGCGGTACAAGCAAGGCCGTGCATACGCACCTGATGCCTATGCTAATGACACCGAGTACTTTGCCGATGTGGCGAAGGTGTATCGTGCCGAACTGGCATCGCTGTATGCAGCCGGTCTGCGGAACGTGCAGTTTGATGACCCAGGGATGGCATATTTCTGCTCGGAGGCGTTCCGACAGGGGTGGGCGGATGATGCAGATAATGTGGGGTCAGTGGAGGACTTACTTGATGCTTATATCAATTTGTATAACGATTCGCTGGTTGGGTTGCCGGATGATCTGCATACGGGGATTCATCTTTGTCGGGGGAATTTTATTGGTGGGAGGTATTTCTCGGAGGGGTCGTATGAAATCATTGCGAAGAAGTTGTTTGAGGAATTGGATGTGAAGACGTTTTATTTGGAGTATGATACTGAGCGAGCGGGGGGGTTTGAGCCCTTGAGGTTTTTGCCGAAGGAGAAGAATGTGGTTGTTGGGGTTGTTAGCACGAAAGTTCGTGAGTTGGAGGATAAGGAGACGATGAAGGAGCGTATTTATTCGGCGGCGGGATTTGTTGCTGAGGGCTCTGGGGAGACGAGGGAGGAGGCGCTGAAGAGGATTTGTGTTAGTCCTCAGTGTGGGTTTAGTACTCATGAGAGTGGTTATCCGCTTCTTGTTGAGCATCAGAAGAAGAAACTGGCTCTGGTCAGACAGATTGCAGATGAGGTTTGGGGAGAGACGTGAGGTGACTCTGGACCGTGGCTTCGATGTGTATATGCCAATTGATTGCACGGGACGTTGGGTAGTGTGTCTATGTTGAAAAGAGCAATAGCTCATATGATTGAAACGGATTGGATTGAAAGACTAGAATAATGGTGTCTAAGAGAATGCAATGCTTCCCACAAAAGGTTCCCCAGCCCAGTATGCTTGGCAAGGCTAAAAGCGCTTGCGTCGGAGACACAAAAAATCACAGTTCAAATGCAGAAATCAAAAGCATCGTATCACGATGTATGAAGATGTGTTCAGCCTGGTGATCATATGAAACACGGGCGCGAATGACCCCAGTAATGTTTCGATAAACCCAGATATTGACAGATATCCAAACAGGAAATTGGTAAATAAAGTCACAGATCACACTTGGTAAATGATCATGCCCCATAAGAACCTAAAACCCAGAATATGGCATATTGACCAGGCAGGGATGAGCGGGATGCAAGTGGTGGCAAACGGCGCCTGCGCCGTGAAGAGTGGCCCCCGGGGGAAAGGAGGATGCAAAATTCGAAATAGCGTCACGGTGGCAAGCTCAGTCATTTTGCGACGGAGCAAGCGTACCACCCTCCGAAGCGCCTGTGCCGACCTTATCCAGGGCGACGGCGTGAAGCGCGGGCTTCTCAGAAATATGGAGCAAGCCCTCTGCTCGCCGCTTGATTTGCTTGTTGACCCACCCGGAGACCTCTTCATCCGCTGTCATGGCGGATGAGGCGGCATCGCCAGAAATGGAGTCCTCGGTGGGTGGGGCACTGTCAGCACCTGACTCCGTTGGTGGCTGCATAAGGGGTGCGAGCCAAGGGTGTCGAAGTAGCATGTTGTAGGTTGGCCGGTTCTTGGGGTTCTTGTCGAGACAGGCCCGGACAAATGCGTGTGCATCTTCGGAGAAACCCTCAGGCAATGTTGGGGGATCTCCATGTACAATAGCCTAGAAAGCAGATTGTTAGAAGCTTTGACATGGACGATCAAAGTCGAAATACTCACATGCAGCTGGCTGAAAATGTTGTTAAATGTTTCTGGTGGGTATGGATATCGGCCCATGGCGCACTCAATAATCGATAATCCTAAACTCCAGATATCACTCTGCACACTGTACGTACCGGCACTTGGAGCCCCCGACTGTTGCATCCCGCCTCCGGCAATTCGTTCGGGTGCCATGTAGCTCTGACAACCAATATTCGTCTTGGCAATACTAGAGACCAAATTTCCGCTGACACCAAAGTCGCAAATCTTAATTTGGCCCTTGCTGTTGACAAGAATGTTGGTAGGCTTCACATCGCGGTGAATAATGTTGTGGTCTTCCTTCAATGATTTCAATCCCATAATGGTAGACAGAGTGACTTTCCGGAGGATGTTTTCGGGAACGCCGCCCTCGTACAGCTTGTCGATCGAGCCGCCGTCCATAAACTCGACACACATGTAGACTGCACCTTCCTGGAAGAAAGCCCCGTAGAAGTCGATGATGAACGGAGAGACACAGCGGTGTAGAATGTCCAACTCCATGATGATCTGGGCAAACTTGGCTTCGTCCAATTCTAAGCGAATCTCCTTCATAGCCATAACCACACCGGAGAGCTGAGTCGACCCGGATTCTGGGCTCGGTTCGTCTTGACCTGAAGATCGGCTCACAATCCCACTCAATCCGAGGCCGGGCTTTCGAAGATGCGGGCGCGAGTGTCGGACCTTATAGACCGTTCCATAATTACCCTTACCGAGCTCTTCCAATCGATCGACTTCGTCTAGAGAGATCTTGAAGCTGTGACCTGATGAAAATTCGACGCCACCTCCGTGTAGTAAAGCCTTGTTTTTGAAGTTCAAAGTGCCTTCTTTCGTGTCGATGAACTCGGAGTATTTGCTAAACGCAGATTCTCCGTTTGAATCACCCTGTTTCTGATCGGTGCCTGCGGCAGGAGCGGGTGGGCCAGTAATATCCGATAGTTTCAGACCCGGCTTCACACGCTTCGCCGCCAGGCCCCCGGTCGAGGAGACGAAGGGCCGGGGCCAGCAGCCGGGGCGCCAGGAGACGATTGCCAGTTTTGAGGGCTGGGCCGGCTGACAGTCGGAGGCATGCGACCAGCAAGGGAGCCGGCTGCGCCGCCTCCTTGGGCCAAAGGGATCTGCCCCGTTGAAGCCGCGGTATGTGGCTGCGGGGTATGTTGGCGGGATAGCGAAAATGCCTTCATTTTCGCCATGATGTCTTGATTTAGCCCACCTACTCCTTTTGTGCTCATTGATGCCTGTCCATGTGGTGAGCTGCCAACACCGCGGCGCGCAGCGTTGATCTGACCCAAGTGTGTAGAGGAGGCAGATAAGCCAGATCCCAGGGCTTCGCGGGAGGGGAGGACGACGGGACTCGAGGCCTGCCTTGAAATCGGGGGCGCCGTCATATCGCGGGGAGAAGGATCGTAGTTTTGAGGGGGCGCAGGTGCCTCGGAGGCGAAATCTCGTTCATCAGCCATGGCGAGATACAGATGCGCTATCGGGGACGAAGTCGAGCCGACACCAATGGCCGGTGTATTTGCGGTGATGGGGCCGTCCTGGACTTTGCGGCACCGGGTGTCGGCGCTGTTCGAAAGCAATCCAAAGCAAAGAGAGAAAGCAAAAAAAAAGGTGATCTGGCGGAAGAGGGAGAAAGGAGGGGCAGAAATGCCAGTTGAAATCGCAAGGTGAAGTCACTCCGGGCCCACTGTGATAGAACGTGGGGAAATTCTAGTTTCAATACGTCTTCTATATGTTTGCTTGGTTCATTTTATCTTTACTCCTATTAAATCCTCTTTCATTATTTACCTACTCTCCTGCCCTATGGTGTCTCCCGGTGCGTATCAAGTTGAATTGGCATCTCCAACCGGGCCGCTACACCAGCCAATCACATGACGCTAATCACCCCAAAGCAGGTTTTCGCCGTGACTCTGTAGCTTGGTTGTTTCGATCTGGCTTTTTTCTGTTTGATATGAAATCGGCACATTCAGCTGACGGCCCCAAGGTATCCCTGTCATGGAGTAGCCGGTTTTCCTCGTGTTGACGCCCATGCCAAGATGGTGAACCACCGAACAAGATTGGAAGCAAAAGTACCCCTTTGAGGTGATCGCGCCAATCCGGTACTCTCGGTCATCACCGTGAACTTCATTGTGAGTCGTTGACTCATCTGGCTCCACTGGTCTCTCGATCGTCGCCGTGCTGTTGGCTCGGATGAGCGGTCCCTCCGAGAGAAAAACTCGGGGGCCTACAGAAGGAAAAACAGCGCAGGGCTCCGTACAACCTCCAGAACCTGACGCTGCGTTCCTTTGATCTCGAGTGGAATAAGGTTCGAATGGCCAATCCGCTTCTTTGTACACAGCGCCCTACAGATTCACCTACAGATTCGCCTACAGATTCACCTATCTCTAGGTGCCCGTATCGAACAAATAAACGTCTCAAAATCGTACCTGGAAACAGACCTGCTTCACATAGTGGGGCAAGGTGCCTTTGGGCAAGCCCTAATTGAAGATCTTCGCCCAACGTCGAAGTCGCCGGTTGTCTGGCGACTTTATTTTCTCTATGTCGTCATCTACATTATTGCCCCCACTCGTGATTGATAGCTTCATATTGCAAATTCGTGAGCCGTGTCGTCATCTCGGTTCTTGAGAAACGTGGCTTAATCTAAATCCAAGTCTTGTTTCACGCCTCAGGGCATATCCTCCGTCAATAAATACATCGCTTATCAAGGTAGAGGCATCACTAGGTACAAGTCCAGCCCCTTAATTTCCTTGACATGGCCCTGTCTTCCAAGTGACGACATGCGACATGCCTCCTGGAGGGCCAGCTCCCATCTTTGTGTCAAAGAAGCCAGGAGAGACAATGTTCACTCGCGCGAAATCACGCCGCTCACGAGCGAGTGATTTACCAAAGTGAGTAACGTACGCTTTGGTCGCATTGTAGACGGGCGGATCAGTAGGCACATTGACAATATGTACGCTCATACTCGAGGTGATGATGAGGCTGCCATGACCCTGTCGTGCAAATACCTCACCGGCATATTTGGCACAATTAACAATGCCATCGACTAGGTCTTAGTTAATATGATCCCTATTTTGTTGAACTAGGGCAGATATCCTACTATTCACAGAGATTGGCTTCCGGTACTCATCCAGCGTCTGCTCCAAAATAGGCTTGGAGATCGTGCCTTCACTGAATCATTTTTTGTCATATGTCACGTTCGGCGGCAAACTAACCGGCAATAGCAATGAACACATCAATCTTGTCAAAGTCTTCCACGACTGTGAAAATGGTCTCCGAGGCTTGGGTCAATTCGGAAACTGCAACATCAAGCTGAGCACTTTGCTGAAACCATAAAGCTACGGTCACTAACCGTCGACCTGGTAACCGGAAGCCTTGATACTATACTCCTTTGCTAGGGCCTGCGCTCTTTCAATAGCGACTTCATTTCTGTTGCGCCGGTCAGCGATGCAATACAGGACAGGCACTGAATAATGGATAACCTACGAGTTATACCACAGAGCAACATGAGCACCATCTTCAGCCATAGCCTGTGTTACCGCATAGCCCAGTCCATCGGCAGCCCCCGTAACAACCACCACCTTCCCGGCCATTGGGAACTGCTCCAATACATTAGAAGGCGTGTCCGGGAATGGCTGCGGGACCCTACCGTGTTTGGGCGCAATCATCAATGCTCATAGACATTTTGTCTATTTTGTGCTGTGATGAGGGTGGAATTAATTACAGGAGCGATGGCTCTAACCCCTCTCTATATTATCCAATGTGGTATCGGAGTTGTTGACCCCCTTTCGACACAGTGTTGACTGAGATCAATCTGCGTCGGAGTGCCACATATAGAATGTGAAGACGGATGAAATTGATGCCGACAATGACGGTTCTTGGTTCCGAAAATGAGCTCCCTGCCTATGACTGGGTACAACCAATCCGCTATGTACCGCCGCGTTTTCTGCACCCAACTAGGAGTTATACAGCTATATTCATTCTTGGTGATGTGAAATATACCTGTCATGGCTTGGTCCTATGACTGTGACTTCTTGCTTTCCTTCATACCTCGCAATTTCCCCAGCGATTGCGAGTTTCAGCTGCCACTCAATGTGATTCTCGCTCTTGATGTTATATGTCGTGAATGTTGGGTTTGTCTTGGTCCCCCGAGAGCTTATCGGTGTTCGTATTCCTAGCACAATGCCTAGATCGAGAACAGACGTACTATCTCGAGGAACAATGATCGTATCTGCGATTGAAGCTGCATCTGACTGAGCATCCGGCAGTGTTTCATTGACATCCGTGGCTCTCTTATGACCACGCTTCCAGAGATAATCCGCCAATATGAGAGAAGACTTCACCGGTATTCCATCTGAATCAAATCTGAGGCGCTTGCAATTGCAGTGTGTTGTCGATAACAAAGTCAGGGTGAATTGCTTGACTAAAATTGTTGGCAGCATTGTTTTTATGAGTTCGCTTGTATCCTTCAAAACCGTGCTTGCTTTCAAACGTAAAGGAATCGTCTTGGGGTTTCCAATCTGTAGTTCGGTGGCAAAGTCGAACTGGAGAGAGAACGAATAGACCGGCAATTGAGAGGAACCTAGGATTTTCTTGATTTTTTGCCCGACAGAAAGTCTCGAGTCCATGCCTGTGACTAGGCGTTGAGAAGCTATTCTTTGCCTCCCCACAGAATGATGCTTAATGTTGAATTCCATTATTGGATTCGATGACAAGTTTGATTGCACACAGATTGTTTGAATAGCTTGGAATGTTGTGTACTTCTTGCCAGTCCATGAGTACTTGTGCTTTTTGCTGCTGCTGCTGCGCATCGTCGCCTCCAGGTAATACTCCACAAATCCTTCGGTATGTCGACCCTTGGCCCAGAAGGTCGGGGGAAGCGCTTGTGATGAGGCGTCGCTAAGAGGTAAATAGCTCCTCTCATACTCGTTTTTCCATCTCAAGGATGCTAGGTTGGGATGCTTGGGAAGTTGAATAGTGAACGGCCATTTCCCATCCTCGGGGCCATTGGACGAGGTCTGGAGAGAGTCTTGATGGATCTCGAGGGCCTCGCTGGCGATCTCGAAGAGCTTGAAACGACTGCGAAGTGTTTGATGTGTCATACCCCCGCTATGCACGTTCACCTCGGTCCGTCCGTAGAGACGAACGCAAACGGCGGCATACTGGTGACCAAACGGCGATGTTCCGAGCACATGGCCACAGACTGCCTCGCCACGTATGAAGGGGGTCGCTTTTTTAAGAACTATCCTGAGCTCTGGGCTGCTTTTTGAGGTGACTGGAGGCATGGATTGGGATTGTGAGCTCTAGCTGATAGCCTGGCTGTCAGACAACAAAGAATAAAATAGCCAGAACTATAGTTGGGAGCAAAGTGACTGCTACCCAAGACAATGATGCGCAATCATGGGCCTTCGCCCGGTCACCTGCAGAGCACATGAGGGGGCCAGACTGGCAATTAACTCAACGGATCAAGGCAAGCTCGCTTCGTTCTATGCTTATTGAGATACTTTTCAGATTTATTCTTTATCTCGATATATCCCATCAATTTAACAGAGCAAATTGTCACGAAAAGAGCGCAATACTGGCTGCCGTAACAGCTATATAATATAGCGGTGGGACCAGAATCATGCATGCTTTACTCACAACGAGGTCGATGTGCAGATCAGTTGTATTACCTAGGTATTTAATCCTTTTCTATTGAAATCCAGTCCTGATACCCAGGTATTAATAAAGCTTCAATGGATATGGAGTACCTGAAACGATGGTTTAGGGCACCAAGCTCTCTGCAGTATCTTTGGCCAGGGGTACCATTACTCAGACAGCCAGGCTTAGAAACTGGCTAGATACAGCTGCCGTACGGCTACTTCAGAATATTCTATATGTTATTCCATCATCAGACGAACTGATTGTGGAGATGGCAACTACAATTCACTGTTGATGCCTGGGGGATGAAAATGTGACCAATTGATGAACAAATCACCGTAGCTCTTCAAACACACCTCTCTGATCTGATATTACACAGAGAGGTCCCTATTCCATACTCTCGAGGACCTAAAGCCTGGCCAGGAAATAATCACTCTACTCAACAATCAAATCGGCAGAATTGCTATTCAGTGGGATATCTCCTGGGTGACCAAATCAGGGTTTGGAGTGCGTGCTGCCGAGGCTGAAGCCATGAGATTTGTCTTTAAGCGCTCCGACGTTCCTGTCCCTGAGGTGCTCTCCGCTGATTTCAGAGAGGCTGAGAGCGAGCGAGACTCAGCAGAACCTTTGGAGTCCGATTCTCAACCACCAAAAGGAATGTTTGGGATGACCGTTATTTCCGCAATTCCCCTCGAACAGCAATGGGATATCCTAGACAGCGAGACGAAAAGTCAATCTGTCACCAAACCTGGGATTTGATCTCCAAGATCCGAAACATCGCTCATCCACAAGAGCTCGAGGGACTTGACCAGTGTACTGCGGCTGGCTCTCCATCCAGAGATCCGTTTCAGAAGATCTGCAAGAGCCCGCTCGACCGTTTCTAAACGACTCAGAGCCCCATGCGAGGATCGACGAGCAATATCTGCACTGCGCGGGGACTCGATATAAGGACAAATTGCCGGATAGGCTACCCCATTCAGAGCGCTCGGTGTTCACACATGCAGACATCGCGTCGCGCAATGTCATGGTGGATATGGAAGACAACATCGCCGGCATTCTCGGCTGGGAATCTGCGGGGTGGTATTCCGAGTACTGGGAATATGCGCAGATCATGAAACCGGCTTTCTGGGGAGACTGGTCGGTTTGGATGGAGGACACGGCGGTGCAGCGGTGGGGTTTCAAAAAGTTCAAGGCAGCTAGGAAGGTTTTGTTTTGAGTCAGACATACTCGCATCTCAGTCTACCTAGGTTTCAACAAACACTGCGATGAGTTCGGTGTGCTTGAACAACTTGTTGGCTTTGAAGAACCCAGTTTCAACCAGATAGTAGGCGAACCGAGGGTTGTGTATTCGACCTTCGATCGTATTAGAGACTGGGTAGTCGGAGTCTGGATTTGTGGAAGGCGCATTGTCGCTGAATGAGAAATGGAAGGGCTGCCATGGTCAGTAGAAGAGGTAGCTTTGCTGATCGCGATAAAAGACACTGATCAAAGCGGCTGATCGCTGTCGACAATTCCAAGACCGATGAAGGAAGACAGACAGTTTGGAGTGCTGACCATCGCTGGGTTTGGCGTGAGATCTTTGGATTCCAAAAGACTCCAGGATGACGATGGGACTGGCTGATTAAGTCTGGGAGTTCCAACGCTGGGGTTCATTGGAACGAGTACATGAAGATCATGGAGATGACACACAAGGAGCTGTGGAGGTGATCTGTACATGCAGGTGCGGATCCAGTAGAAACCGAAGTGGATGGAGATGAAGCCGAGGACAGAGCCAAAGTAATCTAGGAAGTTACAAGGAATATTACGAATGAGGCATACATCTACAGAGGACATCTGGGCAAATAGCATGGATTACAGGATGAAGAGACAGCCCTGGGGGAGATGTTAAAAGACATTAGTGGAAGTGTGCATCATGAAAGAAAGAGACTGAATTATATTGAGTATTCTATGTACAGACTTGCTTGGTTTCACCACAATGGCTACTCATCCTGAACACCACGTAAAGGTGCAAGACATGCTCAGGTGTTGCATACAGGCCCCATGCAACTGGGTAAGACTCCTAAAGCGCAAGGTGTAATGAAGGAATGGGGTCAAGGATCGGAGGAGGACAAGGATAACCAGGAAGAAGGACCGTATCCACGCTCAAAGAACCTTGGAAGTGTCCGTGAACTAAGGCGCGCTTCGTGTCGAGACCAACCCCTTTGAAATCCCTATCCCCTAGGGGAAAAGTGGGAAACCCTCAGATTGCTCTTCATTTGGGGCCGGGCAAGTTAGTGGCGGGCAGTGAAGGAGTGGGGTCAAGGCTTGGAGAGGTGACAGTGGAATCCGCAGGCAGGACGGGCTGTATCCGCAGCGGCCGAAAGAGTGTCTTCCCCGTGTGTTGAACACAAGGCGCATGTTTCAGCACGTGTCTCCTTGGCATACTTCGTGACTAACCTTTCCTACGGCACATCAACAGTCCCTAGAAGGATACAAAGTGGGAAACATCCTCAGAGAGCACTCGTCATAGGCGCCAGGCAGATAAGTGACCGGAGGAATTAGGTATGGGCAGAAAGATGAGAAAGGAATGGAAGGGGGACGGGAATACATGCAAAACGGAGTGGAGGGCAGGGGAGTGGAGAAGGAAGAAAAGAAGAATAAGAAAGTAGGGGAAGGAGAGGGTATTTATATCCTGAGGCTGAAGGCGACGAGGGTCAGCAGGGTGGGCGACGAGTTCCTTCCCAGACGGGGAGGTGATTCCTTCCTCAATAGGAAGGTACGCGCATATGTCCTCTAAGACCGGATCTTTCAGTACATTACTTACATACATATGTACCTTATGTACCTATGTAGGTGCTATTACATTGATTGCCCAGGTGTCTACAGTGAGTTTGAAGATGGGGTACAATGAAACACAGCTTCAACAATTATAAGTCCTTACTGACCGACGTTCATGTTCTTCTAAACATGTATCTATATTAAGACTAAGCATCTATCCATACCACCTTTTTGACTTTATTGATCATCATAAAGACTGGAATCTCACGCACCTGTGCCCTTTCCACCTACATAACTAGATGGTCCAGTGGTATGTGTTTGAGTCTGGTCAACTGTGTATCTTTGATGTTTGACATTGTCAAGTTCTGTGAATCCTTTCTTATTTCGAAACAAGATGCAATTGTATGAATCATCCCAGATCAAACCATAGGGTTGACGGGAGCACGTGCCAAGGTCTCACAAAGCTTGACCAAAAGCTTGTCCTCGCCCACTTCCATTGGCCTTGACGACCTCGGGTGTGTCTCGCCATTGATGTTCCTGAATGACTCAATATGAACGAGAATAACGAGTATAAGCCCTGCCAGGATTTATGCCCGGGTTTCTGCTTCATATCGTCTGTTCTCGTTCTCACTGGATGCCGTGTGTTGGTAAATGTCTTTTGTACCGACCCCAGCCCCACGGGCCCATAATGTGGCTGCCTGGGTGTAGTTGCCAGTTGCTGAAACTGCCCGACGTGGACTGTGCAACAGAAAAGGCCTTGTAATTTTATGTTGAGTATGAATAGAAGGCAGTCGGGGATTGTCCCCGGCTCACTCTACATCCCTCGTCTTCCACCTCTTCCTACACAGTCCATCACGCAATACCCTCTCTCTTTCCGAATCAAACTAATCTATCGCAATGTTCGGTTGGTTTGAATCTTCCAGCGAGACTAAGCCCACACAGGAGCCTACCTGGGATGCGGCCACCATGACTATGGACCAGCCCTCCAACACCGAGACCATGTCTTCCAACACCGTCGTTTCTCAGCAGCCTGTACGTTCTACAGCTCCTTCACAGTACTTGGTACGCGTACTGACGGTAGGATCCACAGACCCCAGAATCGATGAAGATGGAATTGCGCGGTGGTGGCGAAGGCGGTGATATCTGCTGTGGAATGTGAGTTTGACTTCGAGTCCTCCCTCGATCGACAAGGCTCAGGAAGATAAGCTGACTTGGATACAACAGCTGTGCCGGCATCGCCTGCTTCGAATGCTGCGAATGCTGCTGCTAGATCTGCTGCTTGACTTAGACCGCTACAACTCGATCTGTCCCATTCGCGATGAATTGGGATTCGGGAGCTGAGACCTATGAATAACATGAGCCATACTGGATACCAACATCCCACAACTTGATACTACGCATATATTAGCCATCAGTGCGTGCCGGGTCTCATATCAAATTCTATCGATTTCCCAGGTTGATCATCCACCGAGTATCATGTAGATATGCCCAATGAGAATAAGTTAGGATATATATAAACCCTGTGTAAGCCTCTAGACTATCCATGTTAGCTGGCATTAATTGCTGATATGATAATGTCACCTGGGAGAGTACACGCATGTCTCTTGATGATGTGATTCGGACTGGAACCCTTGGAAGTCCAAACCTCATCATCGCATTGCTTTGCTAGTCTACTCTAGGCGGCCATCATAGCTTGACTTGGAGACCATCAACCAGAACATTTTACTCTAGGAATCTTAGATCTATGGGAAAGAAAACTTAATTCCCCAGCGTTTAAAAAGAAGTAAGATCGCTTACGACAGGATCCATCGTGGTACTATCGGACAGAATTGGTGGACTGTAAAGCAAGAGGGGGATGCTGCAATCGGAACTGCGAATGCTGTGCAACTCGCTGCTTGAGGACCCAGAAGATAAACGGCATCGGGCGCTGTACTGTATATTGTGCTTGTTGGGAGGAATATCGGGGATTTGACTTGACTTCCCAGCGAGAGAACCAGATCACAGACCAGCTGAGGAGGGTGCTGGCCGAGAGCAGTCCAGCCTGCTGAGGATAATTGAGGCCTATTTTACTAAGCCAAGGCAGGAACTCTTGAGATTAGATCAAATGAAGAATGGTCTCAGACCATGAGATGGGGTGAACGAAACTAAGGTTGGGAACAGGACGAGGTGATAGCTTGCAGGGGACTCGGGGCTCTTCTCTGAGTTGTCTATTGTCAATTGGCTTTGTAATTCTGTGGCAGTTTGCTAAGATCCAATGTGCAAACATGTCACATATTAGCTCTATATCGGGGTTAAAGGTTTGCACAGATCGTTCTGTATACTTCGTAGTAAAGAAGACTAGACGTGCATATGGTAAATAGCTTCAAATCAGCGCTAACCGTAAGAGGAAATGGAGCTCCCCTTGATCTGCGCGTCAACATCAACTCCTGCATTTTTGGAACAACCATGCCTCACTTGCGCCGACAACCTAACCCACGCGATCGCATACCTGATCAAGACCTCAGTACCCCAAACAACCTCCGCGCACAGTTCCAAACCCCACCAACGCGTCACACTCCCACCAACCCAACCCATCAACACCACCCCTCCACCGGCTCAAATGCTTTCACACCCGATCCTGTCGCGCAAGCAGGACATCCCGCGGCCTCAATAAACCCCTTCACAATCTTTGGTCGACCACGACCAGCGCAACCACCAATGGACGACTCCTTCGACGATGATTTCGACCCGCGCGGCCGCAACATGGAGGAACTAGACGACGGCCCCCTCGGCCACGACGACTCCTTCGACTACGACGACACCGAAGAAGGCCAATTCGACGACTCCGAGATTGAAGACGAGGAAGTAGAAGAAGTGGTCGAAGATCAATTCGAAGAAGACCCAGACGAAGAAATGCACGATCGAGGTACCATCCCCCTCCCCCCAACTCCCACATATAACGCATCTAACAAATCCCCAGAGAAATCCCCTTCCCCATTACCCCCCAACCTGCGCGAGATCTCCTCCCTCGCCTCCTGGACCGTCTCCACCTCCAAACCCGGCTGCGGCGTCGAGGCCCTCCGCAACCCCTCCCCAGCCCAATACTGGCAATCCGACGGCCCCCAACCCCACACCCTAACCCTGCACTTCTTCAAACTCGTCGCCGTCGTGCGCATCCGCGTCTACCTCGACTTCGAACTCGACGAAAGCTACACGCCCACGAAAATGATCTTCGCAGCCGGAATGGGCGGCAACGACCTCGTCGAGTTCGCAACCTGGGAAGGCGACGGTCCCTGCGGCTGGGTCGATGTACCCCTCGAAGGCGTCGGCGGCCGAAACGGCGGCTGGGTGCGTGACACCCGTCGCCGGTCGAGCCATCGCCGCACAATGGTGTATCGGAACTGCGATGACCCGGCCCATGCGCACGACGACGACTGTGATCCGTGCTATGAGTTCGATCAGCCCGGTAGTCAGGATGAAGAGGATGACCCGTATTCGGGGAATGTGCTTAAGGCTATGGTGATTCAGATGCGCATCATGGAGAACCATCAGAATGGAAAGGATACGCATGTTCGTGGGTTCCAGGTTTTCGCTTGTGATGATAATCGGAGGCGCTTGGCGGCTGCGCCGTCGGCTTCGGCTGATGCAAGGAGGAGGAGGCCTTCATTGCGGGGACTTCATGATCTTCGGGGCCATGAGGCGAGTGAGGATGCTGATGCGGGACTTGCTACTACTGGTTTGGATGAGCCGGATTGGATGGGTGAGCCGGTGATTCGATAGGAATTGCTGCTCTCAAAGGACCAACAAAAGGTACCGGCATTGATGAGCGACTTTCCAGTCGAGGTTTATGGAGTTATAATTTCTTCAAGATACCCAGTTTGCGGTTATTTGCATGGGTTTGGGTTTGGGGGAATATCATTATGTAGACATGTTCTTTTTTTTTTGGCAAAAACAGATATAGCATCTTAAACGGGTATCCAATTTTTTGGTTTTTCTATGCTAGTCATATCTCATATAAAAAGATCGAAGACAGGGGCCGCTTTTTGTAATCTACTTAAGCAGCTTCTCGAGCTCGGCCGCGACGGCATCGCCAACCTCGGTGGTCTTGGCGGTTCCGCCAATGTCGCCGGTGCGGACACCGGCCTCAATGACGTTGCTCACAGCCTTCTCGATCAAGCGAGCGTCGTCGATCATGTTGAAGGAGTACTGCAGCATCATGGCAACGGACAGGATAGTAGCGATGGGGTTGACAATACCCTTGCCGGCGATATCGGGGGCAGAACCTGTACCAATTAGCCATGTCCAACGCCATAAGAAGGAAATGAAAGATTAAAAAAAACACATACCGTGGATAGGCTCGTAGATACCGTTAACACGGCTCTTGCCATCAGGCACACCGCTCAAACTAGCACTGGGAAGCAGACCCAGAGAACCGGGGATAACACTGGCCTCGTCGCTAATGATATCACCGAACAGGTTGCTGGTCACAACGATACCGTTCAGCTTACGCGGGTCCTTGATCATCAGCATAGCAGCGGAGTCAATGAGGTGGTGACCGATGGAGAGCTGGGGGTAATCCTTCTCCATAACCTCAGTGACGACCTTGCGCCAGAGACGACTGGTAGCAAGGACGTTGGCCTTGTCCAAGCTCCACACGGGGAGAGGGGGGTTGTGCTGCAGGGCAAGGTTGGCAGCGAGATGGGTGATACGCTCGATCTCGTGGCGGGAGTAGGGCTCGGTATCCATGGCGTAGCCGGAGCCATCATCTTCCTTGCGGTCGCCGAAGTAGATACCGCCGGTCAGTTCGCGGATGATGTTGAAGTCGACGCCGCGGCAGACCTCGGCTTTGAGGGGAGAGCTCTCGACCAGCGAGGGAGCGGCGAAGTTGCAGGGGCGCAGGTTGCCGAATGTGCCCATCTCCTTGCGGAGCTTAAGGATGCCCTGCTCGGGGCGGACGGCGCCAGTGCCCCATTTCTGTTTGCGTGTGAGTAGGTTGGATGAGGGAAGGTGGGGGAGTTATGTAGACGTACGGGACCTCCAATGGCACCGAGGAGAACGGCATCGGCGTTCTTGGCAGCGTTCAGAGCCTCGTCGGTCAAGGGGGAGCCGGTGGCATCGATGGAAGCCTAGGACTGTTAGCCATGAAGCTCGAGTGGTTTGGATTTGCGTATACTCACACCACCGAGCAGGTGGTCCTGCAGGTTGAATGTGACATCACGGTTCTTCTCAATGACGCGGAGAATCTAACGATATGATATTAGTCCGCCATCTTGCGCGTATTCAGCTCGCAATGTACCTTGACACCCTCGGCGGTCACCTATTGTCGAAATGTCAGTCCTCCACTTGTTCATGTGCACCAGAGCTCTCCGTAACATACCTCGGGACCGCAGTGGTCACCACCAAAGACAACAACGTTGAAAGAAGACATTATGTGGGAAATTCAAAGTAAGAAAGGGCTTCGTGACTCAATTGATGGCCTGGGAAGCTCCAGACTTATAAAAACGGCTGGGCGGGTGAGTTCGACCCCGCCAGCTCCGAAATCGGCGTGGATGACATAAATCCACTCGGCATCCATGGATCGCTTATTCACGGGTTTTTTGGTCGATCTATACTCTTGATCCTCTTGATCCTCTTGATCCTCTTGATCCTCTTGATTCTCTTGATCCTCAGCTTGCTAGGCTCATGGCTTGACTCAATAAATGGGTCACCATTTCTTGTAGCCGTGCGTTCTCATTCCGCTTTTCCAACTGGTTGGCAGTTGAAACGAAGCACTCCCATAGGTGAATACTATGGGGAACAGGCGATATCAAAACTCAAAGGCAATATTTCACAATTCTGACCAAGTCCTCCACCTGGCCAGTACGAGAGCCAGAGATACAAGAACAATGCATTAAATAATGTATAACATTAATGATGAAAGACCGGCGTAGGCAATGACTAAAAAGGACAAGATTGAAGAAACAGGCCGTCCACACAGAGCCCGAGAAGCGAAGAGAAAAAGAGGTTGAAGGAGAACAGAAGTAAAGCGAAGGGTGAAAAGTGAAAAGGGGAACATAAAGCAAAGAGAGAAAAAACACAACCCGCGTGTGTACTATACAGGGTCCCAGAATCCGGACCATGCCGTGGCCACCAAAAGCCATCAATTCCTGTCCAAGACGCTGATGAATAGGATCCAACTACCAGACCAACCCATTTCCCGAGGGAGGAAGGGACAGCTTCTAGCGCTGTCTGCTTGCGCATCCCTGAAAACACAGACCCTAGCTCCAAAGACATGCATGACAAGTAGGAAGGAAACGGAAATAATATCGCCTAGCTACTATGTAGCTTATTTTTTGCTCGCCAGGGTCGTTTACTTCTTGCGGTTGGCGCGGCGAGCGGCGCGATCACCCTCGGCGAGCCACTTGCTGGCATTCACCAGCTGCACGATGTTGACGAACTGCTTAAAGGCCATGACGGGGAAGGCGACGCCGGTGATGATCCACGGCCAGGTGCTCTCCAGCTTGTTCGCCCGGGCCATTTCGAGGGCACCAGCACTCCAGGGGCTGGCGAAGAGACTGGCTGGCTCGGGGTGGGCAGGGTTTCCGGGTTGGGCGGAGGACGGCTGAGCATCGGAGACGGGCTGCAGGAGCGAGGGAGACAGGGTCGGCGAGGAGAAAGACAAGAGGTAGAGGCCAATGAAGAAGGCCTCGTTCAGGAAACAGCAGATGAAGAGAACGACCTAATTAAATACCGCGAATAAGCTTGGGCATAGGAATGGAAATGCGGTTCACTGCGGTGTCTTACCTTGCTGGTGTAGTACTGGTACATAATCCAGCTACGGCTAGGGTCGACCTTCTTGTGACTCTGGCTGGATCCGCCCATGCTCAGAGTGGCGTACATGTGCATGTAGTGACTGGCCATATCGAGGCAAATGAGACCCTGGAAGACAATAGCCCATCGAGGCCAGGCCGAGCTCAGGAAGACGAGAAGACAGGCGGTTGTGCAGCGATCTGTCACCATATCCAGCACAGCACCGAAGGTGGTCGATTGGTTGAAGTACCGAGCTGCATAACCGTCCAGCCCGTCCAGCAGACAGGACACCGTGTAGAGGAAGCAGCAGGTACGAGGATGGAGGGGCATGTAGTAAAGAGAGGCGAAGGTCAGAAAGACTCGGGAATAGCCTAGGAGCGTGTTAGACCATCTGGCACACAAAACTTCAATCTCCATCCGCGGGGCGTACCAATAAGGTTCGGGATGTAAAGGAAGATGTTCTCCTTGTCCTCTTCCCGTGCGGTGGATCTCGCTCTCTTCTTGGAGGGGGTGCGCTTTGAAGGTGAGGCCGCGCCATTTGGTGAATCTTCGCTCTCGGCGAGAGCGGCCTTTTGTCGTCGTGTTCGTGCGCTCATTGTGATGTGAGATGTGATTTTCAGAACTGCTGTTACGTTATGAATTTGACTAGAGCGTCATCTATCAGCCTCGGGTCAGATGCAGAGGGGAAGCCACCGTACAGGGAGATAAGAATAACGAAGGAAGTCCCTTAGGATAAGGATAGGAGAAAGTGAAAAGGAGGAATTTCGTGATAAGGTGATAAGGGGGATAAGGGTGACACACACAAGAATTGGAGCGCAAAGAATAAAAAGAAGGGATAGGAGAAGTGCAGAAGTGCAGAAGTGGAATTGTGGAATTCGTGTCCCTGAGGCGGATTGCTCGGAACCTTGGAATTGGAAGCTTTCCCCACGGAATCCACTGATCTGCTAAGAAACACGTATGAAACAACTCGACGATTTCGAGTTTGCCTATCTACTCCCGACTCCCGACTGGGAAATAACGGGCATATTATGTACGAAGTATGGCCACTTCCAGGGCTAACCCTGAAACCAGGAGATTCTTCCCAACAATGAGGTATAGGCCCGAAGGTCCCAGATGAACCTGCGGAACTACAAATGACCTCTGTTCGAGACTCAATGATCCACCAAAGGCAATTGGCAATGCAGATGCAGAGATGGTGTATGACCTTATACAGCTTCTAATTCAAGAAAACAAGTACACAGAGCCTGCAACATAGACAATCCACTTCCTCTGCAGGCGTAAATGGTTATATGCAATGAGCTCAGAGCCCAAAAAGAATTATGTACAGAATAATAGAAAAGAAAAGAGAGGGGGGAAAAAAAGAAGAAAAAAAAAAAAAAAAAAACCAGTCCAAATCTACAAGAAAATCATTCACGTCCGTGACCTGCGCGGATCAGTGGCATCCTGTCGACGCCACTCGCGAGACTCTTTAGTCCCCAAGCTACCGACGCCGCCCTCTTGACGACGCTCCCAGCCACCAAGCCGAAGAACAAGGCAAGTAGCATTGTCACCCTCGTTGGTGACCTCGGTCGAGAAATTGACCACATCGCGCGCACCTTGTTCCGGAGTCTTGGATTCCTTGACGATATCAACGATCTCCTGATCGAGCAACGTACCACTGATACCATCGGATACCATGACCAGGAAGGAGAACTCGGCGGGCCCAAGCTCGATGCGCCTGAGTTCGGGCTCGGCAGAGACTCCGATGCGCTTGGATTGGACGTCGCCGAAGGAGCGTGTATTTGCTAGCCCGCTCATGCGCTCTTCGCCGAAGGAGTCTGTGACGAAGGTTGCGGCGTACCGTCGCAGTCGGGTGGCCTCAATTGGCGAGGACGGGTGGTGATTCGATGTAATGGGGATGGCTTCGCCTGTTTCAGTTGAGCAAAGGAGTAACCGGGTATCGCCAACGTGGGCAACTAGGAGACTAGATGGAGCGATGGGATGCCAGAAGGGAGTAGGGGTTGGCGTCGAGATCATGGCGACAGTTCCTGTGCTGCCGCCCTTGAAACGGGCGCGCCCACCAATCTGGGGCGACCGGGTCATGCTAGGCCTATGCAGGATTTCGTCCTCGTTCAAAGGCCTTTCGGCCTGAACGAGATCATCGTCACGTTTGGATGCTTGTGCCTCGACAAAGTCCATATCCGCGCGCAGGAAGGCGTATTCCATGACTTCCTCGATGGAGATGTGGTTTGCAATGCTTGGGTCGCTGGATTCGGTGCCATCATAGGCAAAATGTGGGGGCTTGAATCTCTTGAAATACCCACCAACTAGTCGTCTCCATTTCTGGACAAGGCTTTTCTCGAGGTCTCCAATTCTGCGTCGGTCGCCCTCTTGCATCACAGGCAATTCGCTGGTGGTGGGCGGCACTTCAGCACCTGGTCGTAGGCTAGACCGAAGCTCGATATCGAACGCCGCATCCTGAATATACTCGTGGAGGTAGTCCCTCAAGAATGAACTGCATTCCGTTCCACCGTGCCCATCAAAGACTCCGAAATAGAAGACTTGCGGATCTCCACTAGCTGTTTGCGCGCCACGAGACTCGCGAGGTTTGGGCGGAGAATCCCCTTTATTGCGTCGGCTGATCGTTAGCGAAGCCGGGGGTCGCTTCGCAAAAGCGGGGACATCGATGACGCCAGCTTGGTACGTGTCTTCATTGGAAGGGCGGGTTCCACGGGCGGTCACTGCGCCGAAATGGTGCTTTGCGTTGCGCAATGGAATCCGGACGACGGTTGTTTCGCGATCTATTAATGCTTGGAGCGAAGCTGGCGGGTGTGTCGTATCTCCGGTGTGAGGCACGGAAGCTGAGCGAGGGAGCTTGTGAAATGACGAGGTCGGACCACGGGGGTCCGGATGGAGTGAGGATGAGGGGAGGTGGGTAACGAAGTAGTTGCGGAACAATGGCGGCTTCCTAGCTATCGGCTGGCCCGACGCAGGTTCGGTGCTGCTTTCGGTACTGTAGCATCGTGCTTGAGGAAGGAGGGCAAAGCCTGGTTTGCGTTAGCTAGGTCCAGTTCAAGGATATCAAGGTGGGAGCTAAGCATATAGCTATGGTCGTACATACTGTAACTGTCGGCCAAGGTCCAGACCCGGCCTGTTACTCGCCTTGAAAGGAGAGTCATTGGCCCATCGAAGCTTGGAGGTACAAAGGGGAAAGAGAAAAATAAAAGATAGGGCGTGGGGACAAAAAGCCTGGCTCGAGCTTCGGTAGATAAGAACACTTGGACCGGCACATTCTTTCCGATAGCCTCTTTTCTTAGCGGATCCGCTTTCTACTTGTTGGCATCCACACGCCATTGCACATTTCCCATATTTTACCGGGGTGTTTGGTTGTTGAATGTGTAGGATATTCGATTCCATTGCTATTTGTTTATGTACACAAGACCTCCCTTCCCGTGAGAGGTCTTGGTCTACACGTACACGTACTACACGTATTACACAATACGTCTACTAGACAGTGAAAAGTGTTTGAACTGGAATTTAAACTTGACATTGAATGGGAGATATCTCCAGAACTCCGAGACTAAACAAACAAGGCAACCATATGCGGAATCAAGCTGCTAAAAACGATCATTGCGGGTAGCAAGGTCTACGGGTGTAGACGAATGACAAGAGATAAACGAGATAAACGCTGAGAGAGTGGCACCTACCGGGGAGCAGGGCCGTCCAGGGGAAGCAAGACGTCAGGGGGAATCTGCTTCAGAAATTGTGCCAGGTTAGAGGTCAGAAAATGAATGTACTCGGGGATGAGCATTTAGATGGCCTTGGTCCGGGAAAAGAGGGTGCTGTAAACGGCATCCACAACGGGGGAGGCGGTGATCTGTCTTCCGCCGAAGAATCGGCCATTGAGGCCCTTGATGGCGTTCTCGCCGCCTTGAACGCGGTCGAACTTCAGGTAAATGTCTCCTTGGGAACTGGCATCTAGGGAAATGTGAACAACGTGGCCGTATTTATTCTCACACTCGGAGCGGACGTCCTCCTCCAGTTCCTTGATCCAATTTTCGCCAGTCTCGCTGTGAAATGATTAGTAAATTGTTCTTCATGAATAGTGCTGGGGAGCCATAGAAACTTACTCGGCAGGGTCAAACATGTTGCGAAGCTTGACACACCGACTAGCCATGTTAACATTGACGGGTAATGGCTTAGTCTCAGTCTTGGGTCGGAGGAACTTCTGCTGGTCGTCAACCGAAGGCTGGGGTTCATCAGTTCGTGCAAGCTTCCTCATCAATGCATCCCTAGAGTAGTTGTTGAAGTTCACACCGGCAACATCGGTATCATCGAGGGCACTGGCACCGGCGCCCTTTTGGGATTCCCTGCCGCCAGCACGGTCAAAGTTGCTAGAACCGCCGGCTTGAACGCCGCGACCTCCCTGGCCGGAGAATGAGGAACCCTGGAAGTTTTGGTTGGTAGATGAACCCGAGGGACGATTGCCGTTCGAGTCAGGGGTGAACTTATCATTGCCAAGACCAACTCGAATAGCTCGTCCAGCAAGTTCAAAACCGTTCATCTTTTCAAGAGCATCGCGAGCTTGTTCGGGATTGGAAAATCTAACTAAGTCAATAGTTGAAAAACATGGGAATAACAGAGAGAGAGAGAGAGACAACGTACTGAACGAAGGCATAACCTTTGCTTCGACCGGTTTCGTCCTTTTGCAACTGAACAAACTCGAGCTCGCCAAACGGTTCGAAGACATTGTTCAAATCAGCTTCGGTGATACTGAAATGAACGTTACCGACATAGAGTCTGTGGAACGGTGCGGTGTGCTGATTGCCTGTAGTGGCCGCGGGATTGCGGGCTTGACGGTTCTTCTCCGCCTCGGTCAGTTGCGCAATGATGGGAATTCCTAAGAGTCTCTGGCCAGTGAGTTGAATGGCGGCGGGAACAGATTCCTCTGCTTTGAACTCGACGTATCCAACACTAGATAGATGTCAGCAAATGATTGGATAAAATGATTGGATAAAATGATGGATGATCATATACCCTTTGGAGCGTCCGCTAACACGATCCTTGACGATTTGAGCCTCCTTCACGGGGCCGACCTTTTCAAAGAAGGTTATCAGATCTTTGGTGCGGAGACGAGCAGCAAGCTGCTGCACAAAGATGGTGCGCTTGTCGCGTTCATCCTCGTTAAGTTCGGGGGACTTGCGACTGGGAGTTCCACGGCGGGCCTCATTATCACGGCGGGGACGCCTTTCTTCGTCGCGCTCACGGCGGTTGGGCCGGTAGTGACGATCATCATAGGGGGAACGGGAGCGGGAGCGAGCACGACCTCCACCGCGGTAGAAGTCTCCGTTGGAGCGGTAGTCGTCACGGCGAGAACGGCGCCGCTCAGATTCGCGACTTTTGCTCCTCTTTCGGCTTCTAAGGCTTCCGTTAGCACTGGCAGTGTCGCTCTTCATTGCTTCATCGCCATCAGTGTCTCGGTCGGGGCGGCGGTCACGGCTCCGGTCGCCGCGACGGCGTCTGTCGCGGGAACGATCACGGCGTTCACTGGGGTCGGCGCGGGAGCGGTCATCACGGCTCTCCGAATTGATAGGAGTATCGGCGGGCGCGGCCGCAGTAGACTCAAGGAGAGCCTCTACGTCAAGTCCAGACATGATGGGAAAAAGCCTGTTGTTGACTGGGGAAGGGAAGGATATGTCACTTTGCAAGAGTCAGATGGCGCAAGTAGCCACAAAGCTAACTGTCGAACCCTTGGGATAGGATCAATCGAACGTTGTATTTCTGAGATCCAGTGGGATTTGAGCGCTTCTCTGCGCACTCGATCAGACGATACTTGAGAGCCGACAAATCCTCAAGTCAAAGGTCGTGGATGCTGGGGATGTTGGTATAATAAGAAATGATTATACGGTGCATCGAAGAGTTGCAGACGCCCCGGGCGGTGTGGCGAAGGCGGTGAAGTGAGGGCGGGATGAGATTTTCGAAGGGACGCCACTCCCAGGGTCGATGCCGCTACGCCTGTACGGACATAGATCTACTCTGTATGGAGTCTCTTAGTCTCTACCTCAGGCTTCCCCGGCATATCTGCTGGTCTCACAGATGAAATATAGCTAGCTTTTCCCCGATCATCTGTATACATTCCTTCCTCCCCTTCAAATACCTAGTAGGGAACGCAAGTAATTACGGCAGCTGGTCATTTCGATGATGCTGTGGTCACTCAGAATGTTCAAATCAGTATGCAAAATGACACCCAAGCATGTAGAGATACTGTCTCTTTTTGTATTATGATTAACTGTCATATACACTAATAAGTGATGCGTGAAAGGAAAAAAGAATCAACTTCGCCTTGCATCCAGTATGATCACAAGAGATGACATGGCAAAGTCTATTGTACAAGAAGCAGACCCTAGAACCAACCATAAACTCCGCAGGTGCCAATGTACTTGAAGAGTACCAAAGAGGAGCAGCTCAATCATACTCGGCGTGAAATCATGACTCAGGGACTGCTAGCAGTCCTGTATTAAGGTTTCGATGCAACATCTTTACTGAGCCTTTGTGCCCTTCGGGGCGGGGATCGCCAATGTGGTGCCAAACACACGATCCCAGAATGAACTGGTCACTCCGAATCCATTCTCGAAATCAGCGAAATGGTGCTGGAGGTGGTACTTCTTGAGTGCCTGGTAGTACGAAGGGAGACTAGATACATGTTAGCACGGAAGAATTTGTATCAGAGATGAACTTCAACTTACCTGCGGTGGTGCAGGAAATAATGGGTGAGATCATAGCAAATGTAACCAAAGACGCCACCACAGTACACCGACAGAGCCGCATACCAGTTGTAATAGAAGACTGATTGGGCCAGCTTCCAGAAGGGGGTAGCTAGAACGACAAACAATGTTGGTGGCATGACAAGACGATATTTGTCCATCGGAAGGTAGTGGTGGATACCGTGAAGCAGGAAATGGAGTGTCAGGCCGACACGGTTATCCGGAAGCCAGTGATCAATGTGGAAAAGGAATCGGTGCATCAAATATTCGATCAGAGTCCAGAGAGCCACACCACCGAAGAAATAAGAGGCAGCGGCAGCTGGGCTTCCGAGCCCGCTAGCTCCGAGTATGATTCCATAGGTGACAGGTGGCAACCAGACACATGGCACCACGTACCACGCCGTTTTGCTGAGAGGCTCGAGGAAATTGCCGAACAGCGGAGCGGACTCTCCACCCCGATAGTGACGAGGCCGATGGATCTGCTCGAGGTAGAACTCCTTGGTGAAGTTGCTGCGCCAAAGCTGCATCAAAAGCGGCTTGTTCAAGTCCAAGAACTTGTGGGTCTTGAAATCCTGGCTAGGATCGGTGTCGATCGACAGATCCTCCTCACACGACATCCCGGTGGTTGCAAATACGGGACCTGACTCGGTTTCGGTGACCGTTTCGATGATGGTTGTCTTGGTTGTGGTGGTTTTGGTGGGTGTAGAGACATCTGAGACGAGACCAACGCGGTACTCGTCCAAAATTTCATAGGCAGCATCGGTGTGTGCGTGGGAGATCTCGTCTTTCAAAATTTCCGTCACATCCTGACCGGCATACTCCAAGATCAGATCACCACCGCCGGGGTGCGCATCGACGAAGTCGGTGACATCGTAAACATTGGGGCCCAAAGTAACGTAGCACGACTTGGAATTGTTGTGAGATTGGACTTCGGCCGAGGTAAACGTTGGCATAACCCTCCCAGGCATTTTGAAATGTGGAATGAGAGAAGGCAATAATAGGAAAGGTATGTCGTAGGGGAAGTGGAAGATGCGAAAAGGTGATAATAATAAGAATTAGGTATTCAGGGGCGTGGCGTGACACCAAAAAACCCAAGGGATCCGCCCGCTCCGGCAAAATTTCGAATGTTTGCCTTGCAATTGGATCAGCCCACAGGGGCAAATATCAGGTCCACTTGAATTGCCTTACAATTTCCATCGGAGAGCAGAGAGGATAGAGAGCAGCTTTACATCAATGGGACAGGATAGGGAACTTGAGTATGGTGTATGGTGTATGGTGTATGGTGTACTGATCTTTGTCTACACAGTGGGGCCTTTCTATCTTAGCCGCATTGATGAGGCGCTGTGGACATCGGGCTCAGCCTCCATCTGCTCGGCACTTGTGCGCTATCTACTAGCCAAATACTTCATACGAAGGTAAAGGTCATCAAGAGGCACTGGCAGCGACTCCGGTGTGTCTTTACCGAAAATACACAGAATGGCAAGACTTGTAATTCTACCCTATGGGGACAGCCGCATGGGCCTTGGGGATCTCTTTCACGGCCCAGATGCCTTCTCACCTTTCCTGGTTCGGTGGATCTGCTCACATCCGAGTTCATGCAAAGCGGGGGGGTCTCTTTATTTTGTACTCCGTATAGCAAAAGCCAATGAGATGAGAGAAGAGGTCTCGGAGGCGGATATTCAACTCAAACAGAGAAGGACCCCTTCGGTTATCTGGCCCTGTGGGTGGCTAGAAGGGTACGTGATGAAAGACCCAATGAGACCGATGGACTGCCCATGTCCATTCAACACATTCTCATGCTCTTGGCATTTCGGGGTAAGGTCGGAAAGCATCAGTGGTTGAAAGTTATAACCGAGAACCTAGAGGGATCAAGTTCGACAGTTCCAACAGGCAAATTGAGAAATGAGAGAGCTCGTCAACGAGACAGGGATCCCCACATAATGTACGGAGTATCGCATCGTATGTTGAATCTTGCCTGAGCTTGGATATGGAGCACATCGTACAACACCAAGTCCCCGAGATGCTCCGGACTAACCCAATGTGGCAAGTAGGGCCGTGGAGTGGACTAGACCCAGATAGGAATGGACCAGCTCTACCCGAACAAGCTCGATTTTTCAGGTCCACCGACTCCGTACCCGTTGAACAGCTAAACTCCATGGAAGCGCTGGTGACAATGGTGGACAGGTTTCGGTTGTTTTGGGCCGCATTTCGCGGACACCTTCCTCGTTCGCCACCCGGTAGATCGAATATACAGACACTTGGAAATCTTCGGACCCATATGGACTCCATTAATGGAGTCAGACCCCATAAAACACATCAGTCTGTCAGTGACAGCGAATCCCGTTCCGAGCTATGTACTCCGTACTCCGTACTCCGTACTTACAAACCCGAGATCCCCCAGAAGCAAAAACATCGGTAAAGATACAGGCCACCTGAAGGCCACCTCAAGGTCCTCTTGCTTCGAATGCACCGACGTTGTACATTCTATGGTTTGGTACCTTCCAAGTAGGACGATGTCGGTATGCGGTGTAGGTCTCCACCGAGAGATTAGGGGCATCGAGGCTGTGGGAACTATTTGCGAGGATTTTCTGGATTATCTCTAGTTTCCAATTCGAGGCAGGGATTAGACATTACACTAGCAGGTAGTGGAGTTCTCAGCCCCTCTTCCTTTCCCAATTTCTCAAAACATCTTCCTTCTCTTCACTTGTACTTCTAGTTTTCCCTACCATTGTACCTTTCTCCGCTTACTCTCTCCTCGGCTCACGATGTTCACCACAGGGGACTGGTCTCCCGAGAACCCTATCCTGGCCTACCTGCAGACATTAATCGCAACCAAAAAGACCCTCCCCTACGGGCAACCCGTGGTCGCCCATCCCTCCCTCAATCATATTGATTCTGCTTCAATTTTGCGGCTGGCCGCAGAGATCGGCCCCCACATCGCCGTACTACAAATCCCTGCAGATATCATCGATGACTGGTCGAGCGATACAATCGAGCAGCTCCAGTCTCTGGCCAGGAAACATGCGTTCTTACTGTGGGAGGGAAGCAAAATTCTGAACTCGATGGTATATTTCATGGGCAGAGCGGATGTAGCGTTGGAATCAAGACAGGCCTTGGTGGACTTGATCAAGAAGTCATATACCAGTGGCCCGCTGAAGACAGCAACGTGGGCCAATCTAGCCACCTCTTGGGCTCCCGCAGCGCCAATGGACCAACAAGAAAATGATGTATTGATTCCAACCTTGAAACTGGCGGCTCGCGAAGCAGTCGCAACAACCACAAAGACAATCCGAACCGAGATCTCTGCTGAGTCCAATAATTATTCGTCGGGAGAGGAAGTGGAATTGGCTACGTCCTCCGGTGAAGCAACAAACGGCTGGATAGAATTCAATTCCAATAATACGGGCTCGGCGTTACGGAAATCGTCCACCATCTCCGTCACAACTGAGTCGGTGACTTCGCATGCACACATCGAAACAAATGATGGCGTCCCGACCCCGCCGGCACTGGCTCGCAACATTGTGCTCTGCCTACCCAGCTTCTCTGAGATTGCATTTACGTCCGAGTTCCGACAAAGTACGATAGTCGCCGCATGTGCCAACCCCGACTTTGTCACTGGATTCTTGACAACAGAGCCCTTTTTTGTGAACCACCGAGGCAACGATATCTTTGAATTGGCATTTCTGGATGGAAATGGGAATGGGCCACCGGGCTTGGGCTCTACGAAAATCGCTTCCTTGCCTTACTTCAAGGATCACCGAAAATCACTCGGTGTATTCTCTCTTGTACCACCTACTGTCGGCCTGGACTTTGAGTTCGATTCCACCTTCCAACCTGATAGCAACACGCCATCTGACTCCGAATCGGAATCTCCTTCCTCTGTGCAATATCTATACCGCACCATCGGGCATGCGGTAGCCCTTCGGGAACAGAATCGACAAAAGCATGAAGCCAACGATTCCGGAAACCAAACATCAACGGGCGCCCATATCATGCATATTCCAGTGGTTATTCTTGTATAATGTCACATATAGCGCTTGTTACTTTGCATCCTCGCTGGTTCGCCATTGGCGGGTTTTATGACTTTACGTTGGCTATTTTGAACTTGCTATACCGTAGGCCTCTCCTATATTACTTTTTGCGACCCGCATGGTGTTGGAGACTTGTTTGAGCCAGCGGATATTTACAACCACAGTGTCATGTCTTATACATATAGCGATGGATTCAATCAATATATAATTGACTGGGCTCTTGATACTCTTAGTCTTGGCACTCTTTGTCTCTATAACGTAGAAACCAGGACATCACAGTCCATGGTCGAAAGACGTCTCGATTGTAGCAGCACTTGTGCCTGAAATATCAGGCTGGCGACAAGTGTCAGCGCAGTATAAGCCCCTAAGGCTATAAACAGGAGCCCTAGCTTTCGTTGTGGCCTGTGGTAATTTGCTGTGTTTTTCACACTGATAACAAGGTGCCGACTGCATGGCCATTGGGCACGTGCCCCTCATTAGTCACCTTGTGGGAATCCCGAGGTGGGCATTGATATCGACAGTCGAAGCGCTTTTAGCTCTATACCCATTCATTTCTATCTGATTCTCGAAGCTTATATACGTTATTTATTTTGTCGACGCCTTGTGGTTCTTATTGTTGAATCGGACCCCCATCCGATTACCGAACAGTTGACTGTATTGCCCAGGTGACGAACCACTAAACGTCACCTTCAACATGAACATCTTTTGAGATTAGAAAATACTTTTGCGATTATATTGCATGGAAAACTCCGCTGGAATGTATGCATTGGATTATCCCCCCCCTACTGTTCTATCTCCATGCCACAATTTCACGTCATATCATAACCATCATAAACACAGAGTCTATAACGGTGGACCTTCGGCGCATCCAGCAGCCATGAATCCAGGTCATCGCAATGAGCCATTTAGCCAAAATGGACACCAAGAGTCTACCTACAGCTCGTCCATTGAAGTTATTTCACCAAATGGAGACCTGATACTTGAGTATATTGCTTCCGGGGACACTTCATCGTCAACAAAGCGCAAATGGCAGGTGGCAAGTGAGCTCCTTGCCTCCAACAGTCCATATTTTCAAGCCTTGCTGGACCCTACGAAGTTCGCCGAGGGACGGCAGTTCAGTGCTCAGAAGCAAGCTTGGAATGAATCTCAAGCGGCCAATCTAGCTTCACAGCATGCTTTACCAACAGTCAAGCTTCCCGGAGTCCTGTCCACCAACTTGTGCGGAGAAGATGCCATTGAGCTCTTTCTGAAGATTCTGTGTCTCGATTCTTTCGATGAGACAGAAAGAACTATATTTGAAGATGCGCTGAAGACCCAGTCTACATCGCTTGTTGCGAGAATGATTGATCTTGCGGATTCGCTCAGTTCCCCCAGTGTTGTCCGGATTGTCTTGCAGAGAATTGGATACTCATATGGCAAATTGAAACCGTCACTTCTTGCTAGGTTTAACTCTGCACACCTGTCAATGAAGGAGGATCGAATCCGGCAAATCATATTCATATCCGCCTTCCTCGATGATACAGGGCTTACTAGAATTATGACTCATGCCTTGCTGATCATGGGTTCCAAATTCTGGATCAATGGGCTGGAAGTCCCGGAGGAAGAACCATTTCGCTGGAGATACCTACCAAATGGATTAGAAGGTGGGTTTCGGGAGGGTGAATCCAGCTTCATACTCGTCAGCTAAGTCTGAATCCCTTTTAGAAGAAATTTATTACCGTCGTCAATGTGTTCTGAACACCATCACCGATTTACAGGCTCATTTTCTTCGAGTTTACGGAGGTCTGGAGGATCCCGACAGCACAAGATCCGCGGCAAACAACAGAACATTAGGCGCCGCATTTACAGCATCTGCACATACGCTCCTCCAATCCCGTCAATTCCAATGCCGAGGAGGGTTCAACAATGCCAGCCAATGCGATATTTTCCAACTGGGCCAAATGATTCGATTTTTCTCAATGCGCGCCAGGACCATCTTTTTAGGGTCAACTCTGATAGATCCCGACTTTGACCTGACCCCAAATGAAGATGACCATACAATTGGTGGAGGCCGGAACGATCAACTCCCAGGCCCACCATCTGATATTACCACCATCATCGCCTCCATGAAACAATATCCTGATTATGCAATCGACGAAGCTCACACTGGCTGTGGTGTGCGACGCCGAATCATGCCTGCATTGGAGTGTGTTGAAAAGTTCGTCTGGGATGACCGCGGCCTGCTTGGTATCACCCCTGCGGTCTCGAATCTTCCTGTTTCAAACGTATCCCGGCCTTCGAAATGGACTGTGTGGGCGGAGTTCCCGCGCAAGAAACACATGGTAGATATTTCTTTTGCGAGGGTTACTGCTGTGTACTACCCTTCGGCACCGTCGAAAAATCAAGTCACCCGCTCTACGCCGCAGGATGAACTTGGACGGTTGCTTTTTACTGCTGCTCGGAGGGATTGGAGCGCGGCCGGCTCGGGATGAGTCTTTGAGCCGAATTATTTACATCTATAGACTATGTATTTATACTGACATCCATGTATCTAAGCAGCCCCGGTTTGGTGTGGGCTAATTTCCAACTTCGTTACATGGTCGACTGAATATTATGACTTCGACAGTTTAGAATGATTCCGGGGAGTCTCAAAATCCTAATTATGCAAAGTCTACCTCGTTTCTGCGGTTTATGGAAACTTGTTTGACTTTCCCTAGATCGAGGTGAAAGCAGCTGGTCATCTTATGTCCGGATCATAAGCGAGTCAGGAATTAAGCATCAGTTATATGATAAGCCTGAATGTAATAATTCATAGAGACATGCTGCCTAGATTGTAAAACTAACAGAAAGGTTGTCATAAGTTACTTTGTATATATACGTTCCTGGATACTTGAATATAAACGGCGCCCAAGGGAGGGAGGCATATACGTTAGTAAGAGCAACACTCGGTATATACTCGACACAGTAAACAAAAACAAGCGAGCACATGTCTAGTTGCCACTTCCATCTAAGGTACGTCCTACAGGTACCCACGTCACAATGACTGAGCCAGTATCGTGCATGAACATTGAAGTCTGTTGCCCCCAGGACACGGCGAGGCCGAAACCACGCCTGATGATATACGAAACAATGATGTAATACTCAATACCATGGAAAGCAAAGAGAACGACTACGTTGCATCCGACCGGTCTAGATCGCTTGTTCTATCCAGGGATTGTTTCCGGCTGGCGCTTGGATATATCGCGGTACATGGGTCTGGATGATCTGGTTGAAGAGAAGCTTATCATCCTAACCTTAAAGATTTCTATGGCTGAGAGAAAGCATCATATGTAGTGATCAAGATGTATTATTATTGTACATAGCATAATATGGTACAACATATTTTCTTCTGATGCCAATAGACAGGAAGTATTCAGATCTCAATCAGGAAGAAGTATAAACTGCTAGCACATGATAGTCGTCTCCAGTATCAAATTGTGACTTATCTGTGTAGCGAAAGTTCAGAGAAACAAGAATCACTTTTCTCTATAGTGTCTAGTATATGAAGACAGGCGCGGAATATCTCTCTTTCTTTTGATGGCATGCAAATGAAGCGACAGAAGAAAAGAACCCGAATCCAGATAACTGCAGAGATGCTTTTTCAATTTGATTCTGCGTTTTGTTTGGCTTTTTGCTTTTTTGCTTTTGATATCGTCTCACCTGGTACACATGTGCAAGTTGTTTTAACACACCGGATCGCCCCAGAAATACCCCATATCAAGATCCATATTCGGACCGGAGGGGAAGAAGGAACCTGTGATCTGGCCGGTGGCTGGATCATAGGGGAAACACTCGTCATAGGAGCTGCGACTAGGGAGATCCTTTTCTTGTTTGATGAATTGGTCGAGTAGATCCGGTGCCTCAAGATTGTAGGGATCTTGCATGCCAATAGGAGTGGTGTCGGATTGATCCATCGGGGAACAGGCGATTGAGTCCAGTTCCGCGGAAATGGCATCAACTGCTACATCTGCAGGCATAGTCGCGGACGGGTCGAATGTCACATCATCCGCCGCTGGTTCCTCCGTTGAGTCTGTGGTGTCAGGAACATCGAAGAGAGAGTCTGAATCCTCGGTGCTGGGGAAATCATTCACGTTGATTCCGATGTGGGGTGCTAGACGGCGGAGGAATCCGTCGCAGAGCTTCCAGGCCCTTTCAGACGCCATATTGGTTTTTGATAGCGTCGAGAGCCAATCCAGGGCTTTCTTCGCGGCCTTGGAAACCATCATTGCTTTTTCCGGGACGTGCTGGGCCCGGAATGCCAGCTCGAGGAGAAGAATAGTGACTGCCTGCATCAGGTAGTGTAGTGTGCACCACCATGGCGACATGCGGTATAGCAGTACTGCGTCTGGGGTGTCTGGGAAAAGTGTAAGCATGTGGCACGCAGCCTCGACACATTCCGCGGCGGTCTTGTTGCAGAACTCGTAAGTCTTGTCATCCTCGGAGGATGGCTGATCTAGTCGACATAGACATGGTCGGGTGATTCCAATTTTGGTGCTGTAAAACATGAAGGCCAGACCCATCCGTTGGCTAATAGGGCATTGGGATGTCTGTGTCGAGGTAAAGTCGTATGCCGCGGGGAGGTTCATAAACCATGAGTCGATTTCAAGCATGAGGCTTTTGATGGTGAATTCAGTGCTTGCCCATGGAGACTGCAGCGCTTCAGGGCTATAGAGTTTGACAGTCATCCGCTTGGAGATGCTGGTCAAAGATGCCAACTGTAAGAAGTAGAGTGAAGTGCAAGGCGGAAGACTTTTGAGGTACTCGACTCGGCTCATTCTTGTATTGCTCTCGTTAGGCGCATCATTTGTATCAGAATCAGCCGTTGACTCTAAATCCTCTGTCGTGCCTTTTGCGGGGACCCGCTCGGAATGACTGGATGTACGAAGTACAGCCGTGCCTATCATTCGAGTCACCTCGTCCTTTTGGAAATCGCCCTCATCAAATGGAACAGGCATTGGGGTAGTGCAAGAGCTGTCGATGACACACGAGGGACGGCCAGTCATGATGGTAAGTAGATGCTCCAATGTGTACAATGACCACCACACGCGGTAGCGTATCTCCTTAGAAGTATCTGATATGCTCGCACCCACATTGCGCAGATGTAATCCAAGAGCCATTGCTCCTCGGACTGCACTTCCCGATAGCTTCCATGCTCTGAACAAACGAATGGCGTGAGTATATATTTTGAGGGCATGCAGACTCTCAACTTACCGATTGATATGCCCCGACGCAGTTAGATAGAATGAGGTAAGTCCTTCAACTTGCAATTGCTGCAGATCAGGATGATGAAGAATCTGATCCTCCAAGCTCAAGGCCCGCGCTCTTGAAAAGTACGTTTGATGGTCATCATCCTCTTCTTTCCAGTCTGAGTTCGTCAATTGCCCATATTTTGCCGCGATAGCGAAAATCAGGTTCAGGATAGCGAGCCACTTGTTTCCTGGCTTGAGGGAAGGCTGACTGAAAAAGACTTGAAATTGGGAAACAAATGTTGAGACCCCAATGATCGGGAGCGAGGGATGTACCGAAGTCAAATAGGCATTGAGCATTTTGCTTGCCATCTCCCGCGATGGAACTCCGTACATATCATTCTGATCTGCAGTTGGGATATCTAGATCATCAAGGTAATAGTTCGAAGCCACTACCCATGGCTCACTTGAATTCTCCGGTCGAGGCGTTAGAGTCGGAGAGGGCAAACCGTTATCGTCATCTGTGTTGGGAAGAGTTGCAGGCCAGGCTTCACATTCATTGCTGACCTCTTTGCTTAGTCTTTGGAGCCAAGTGATCTCGGAGCTTTTTCCAATGAATCCTGTTGCTCGGGCGGTTTCATCTCTGTTGAAGTCCTCCTCTGTCTGATCGCCTGATTCCAGTGGCGTAACAGATGATGCACGGGAAGGAGGTGGCTCAGAACCAGCATTCCACGAGATTCTTCGCTCACTAGCTGTTGCAAGACATGCTTCTGGATTGAGAGTCAAATCAGGGGCCGATTCCTGGTTGATATCAGCTAATATAGTCATCGGATGTGGATTACGATTCATACCGCTGCGAGGGCAATGTTCACAAGTTGCTCGTCAGACACGCCGAAACGATTGCTTAGCTTGCTAATGACATCTTCGTATGCTTGCACCTTTGCGGATAAGCTAGCCAACTGTCTTTTTAGTGAATTGTAGATGTCAGTTTTTGCCACGATGCCAGTGTACCTTAGATTCGCGCTGCATACCGCTTGGACTTCTCCCGTTTGCCATCGGTATAACAGCATATGATTCCAGCCTCTCGGCAATTGCGGCATCCGGACTTATCTCCGGTGCATTTCGTCTTACGTTGTCTGCAAGATTCGCATGCTCGACGGACATGCCGCCGATGAAACCTGCCAGGAGAAGTGAAGGCAGATTCGGCGCCTTCCGCTAGTCGCGGGATGGCCATTTTCTTGGTGCCCAGTTCAGAGTCACCTCGTTGAATTTGGGCTGCTGAATTGTCCTATCATTATTTTTTTATCAGATAATAGGTACTTCTTGGCAATGGAGCATGATTTCACACTTACCACACTGGACAACTCATTACACGTGTCTGCATCAGCGCACGATAATCTGAAGAGGCTCTGTTGATCACCCCACGAAGGGAACAGGATGTTACTCATGATGAACCATCGAATTTATGATGACTGGAGATGTTTATTGAACGTCAATAGATGCTATAATGTGAGCCATTATCATTGTTTACTTACTTGGTCAAGTGGATTGAGCATTGAATGTGCAAGTCTAACAAGAACATTGATATATATTGAGATGACAATATCAGCAATCTCTTTCAACTGCAACATCTGTCAAATCAAATATAGATGGCGCAATCGAGAGGAGATCAATGGATTTTATAGAAAAAGCCCCGCACAGGATTCGACCCACGAGAAAGCGTAGACCGGGGAAGGATGAAGGTAAAGGGGATCGGGTTTCGAGCACCGTTGGGAATCGGGAGTTGGTCAAGCCGATACTCTGTGATGACATCCAACGCTCGTTTAGGACAACCTTGGAATGTGTAAACGCACTAACATATACATGTGGCCACCGTTCGCCAAACTAGGAATAGTTGTGCGCGAGTTTGCCTCAGTCCCCTCGTAGGGCATGGGGCAAAAATCCAACGTTTGCATGAGCAAAATAACTTGTTCTGGTTATTGACGCTATTTGCCATCAAGTGAACAGCTCAAGTGGACTTGAATCTGTCCTAGAGAGACTGAGGCATTGGCTTAACCATCAGATTACTCCCCCGGTGATCCATCCTTTGACAGATCCCAGCTCTCGGTTGTTGGTACCGGCTGGCTCTGGACTCCGATGCAATGAACCAAGGGTCGTGATATAGGAATCAAGCAGAGTGCGTGGGCTTTTTTGCCATCCACAATGCCACTCTATCTTGCTTTGGAAACTTTGAGTTGTGTGTTTCAAGGAGCCTCCGAACAATGGTGAACTTCCGCAGCGTTGAACTAGCCATCTTCAGCAGAACGAAAATGTATAGTTCCCCACTAGGTCAATGATAAGGAGTGACCCAGGCCCGGGATTCGAAGTCAAACTGACGTTAGAATGTGGCGGCACCAACTTTGGAGTGGTTCGTCCCTGGTTGGCATTCAGACCAGGACCTCATTCGGAAATAGGATAATGACGGGAGCTTCTATGAGAGGGGGTTAAAGCTTGACGGCAGTTCTCATGAGGATATCCCGTCTAGCTTATCTTTGTTGGCACCTGGAGAGTTTAATACATAGTCCATAATCCTGACGTGGCCGTCCAAGCTTACGTTCCGATGATTATAACTTTGACCTGACAGCTGGGCATCTGGGCCTGGTTTATCAGGCCTCAACCCTTATGTTCGATATGACCCAGATCACACGGGATGGATGCTTGGAGCTCTGTATTTTGAGAAGGAATTGAATAGGGATGGTCGAATCAGAAACTGGCTTAACACGATCTTGGAAGAAATGAAAAAAGAAAACACCCCCACGATCCAAACATCATTAGGAACTCTATACAGTAGCAGCCAAAGCCCAGTTTTACTCGATTAGGAACTTCTCCGCAACACTTCGGATATCCTTTGAGTACGCAACGCTTTCCTCCATCTCCAGCAGGGAAACATTGTTGACATCGATATCCACGAAAGGCTTGGTCTTCGTGAAGCGAACACTCATTGGGAAGAACTCGTTCTCGTCAGCATCCGTCGACTCAAACTCGAAGCTACCAGAGGGATTGGTCTCATCAACAGCGCCCAGATTCCAGTCCAAACTGTCACCAGAGACTTCGTAGACTGCATCGAAGCTAGATACAGCCGGTTCTGTCGCGCCGTATGGAATAGTGACAACCACATCGCGGAGAATGTCTTCGCCGGTGAGCTCATACTCAAGAGTCACGGTGGTAGAGTCAGAGCCCTTGTTTAACCACACGGTAAAGGTGATAGGAAGGATGTCGGCATTGTCAGCCGAGCTGGCAACACGCCATCGGAGGACGCCGACGGATTTGTTGGTGGGGAAGGACTTTGTGGTGTCCTTGAGTTGGATGACGGAAGAGTTGAGGAAGAGGGCTTTATCAACGTTGGGGTGGGTGTGGAATTGTGCGCCATGTGTGGGAACAGTCTGGCAGTCAAGTCGGAGTTTGGTGAATGACGGATCAGTGATACGGAGCTGCAGGTCACCCTTGACTTCGAAAGACTTCAATGCTCCCTCCCGGGTAAGTGTAGCTGAGATGGTCTCGGCAATTGTGAGTTGAATGGGTTCCCGATCTACAGTAAGAGACTGGCGCGCTGAGGGAATATCATGCACAGGGGCCAAAACTTGTGAAGCCACCAATGGGCTTTCCTCTTCAATCTCCGGGCCCATATCACCCCGGACCTTTTCGTAGATATCAGTTGCTTTGGACTTTTTGCCCAGTTGCATGCCCTTGCCGCGAATGGCAATTGGCCTAATTGTGAAGCAGTCAGCAGTAGATTCACAAAACCGGTCAATAATAGATTAATTCAACATACTTGGCGAAGGACTTCTTCTTTTCAGCCTCATATGAGTCGTAAGTGTCGGGCACGGAGGGGCGCGCAGGAGGTGTGTAGACAGGGTAGGATGGAGTTCTTGGGGCCGCGGAACGACCTGAGCGAGCAGCGTCTTTGCGCTGCATTTCCAGCTGCTTCGCCTTCTTCTTGCGCTCCTCGGTAGCCTCCAGCTCTTTGTTCTATAAATCTGCATCAGCTATGGTTCAACCTCCGCCATGATGTTATGACATACCCGCTCAATAATCTCCTGGATTCTTTCCTCATGACTCTCCATTTCCAGGAAAGTCCTGATCTGGGATAAAGAAAGGTTCTCGCGATAACCCAAGGTCACCAATTCGTCAAATGCACTCAGGAGTTCAAAGGCATTGCGAAGGATCTCCCGCTCGTCCAGGCTCTTGCAGATGCTGGTGGTCACTTGCGCAAATAGATGAAGACTGTCGATATCTTGCAGAATGTTCGATTGACGGTTGGTGATCAGCACAATGTACAACTCGTCCAATGGCTGGTACACGAAGCGCACGTTGTCCTGCTCGACGGTGGTATGCTGGGTTCCGGAGTCCGCAAGCTTGGGGAAGGATGCAAGTAGGGCTTCAATTCGTGACCGAGAGATCTCTCGGAACTGACGCGAAAGGACCGCTTTGCCTCCGCGGGTGCATATCGACGCTGCAAGAACGACCTGGTGTGTTGATTAGCCCCGTTCCCCCGCGAATTTACTTCAACAAAGACGTACCATGGTGGGAAACCAGCTCAAAGAAGGCACACGGCGGACAAAAAAAGGGTAATTAGAAAGAAAAGTATGGGCTAAGATCGAGAAGTTTGGGGTGAACTAGAAGCCTATGCCCTGATGTTGATGGTTGGCAATGGTAGGGAGCTACTCTGTTCACTTCGGCGGCGGTTGGCCCGTGCACCCATTTCGCTTAGTTGGACAGACACTTTCTCTTCACTTCATCTTTGCCCGCGCGTTGACAGCACCTCACGGAGACGAAGACTATTATTTGTCTTGCTAATACTTGAGGTCCTGCGGTCCAGGTGCATCTGAGAGTTCTTTTTCCTACTACTTTCAAGTTTCAGCTCAACCGCTTTCATGGAACTTCACTGCTGAACGTTCTAGCACCACCCACGACGCCAAAAGCTCATTTTTACGCATTCTTTTGCTATGACAGCAGCTCACCCGATCGCATATCCTATGATGGACGTCCCTTCTATGGATGACTCTATGGAGATGGCCTCACCCTATCAAGGGCAGGCTGATGATTTTGATATCGACATTGATCTCATGGAAGACAGTGTTTCCAACATGGACAGTGAAATGATGGGCGCAGACGAATTTACCAACACTTCTCAGCCTATTGAACCCAACAACGACGCAATCTACGATGCCGACATGGCTGACGAGCCCTCCGAAGGATCCATGATCGACGCTGACAACTACGTCGACGAGGACAACGACATCGACGTGCAACTCGAGGAAGAGACATACCAAGAAGAAATGATCGAAAGCGATTCCATCGAAGAGATTAACCAAGCCGTCCCCGCCACTCATGTCGAACCTACGCGCAACAATGAAGGCGCTGCTAGTCCTATCAGGGCAGATCCCACTATTGCGACCGCAGAATTGCCTGAGGCAGCCCCTCAGGACCCCAATGACTTTGTAGAAATATCTCCTATTCAAGATGAATCTCAGGCCTCCAATGTTGAGATTTCTCGCAACCTGGCTGAGTCCAGTACAGTTGAAGACGACCTTGCCGAGGAACCATCCGAAATCACCAGCGATACCAAAACCGGCGTTCACCACGAGAAGCCAGAGCTTGGCAAAGAGGCTAACGAGATGCCACAACCTTCTGTGTCAGAGACTGAGGCAAAAGATATTTCCGACAAGGGCCTGGAGACTAGTCAAGTCGAAACCCCCACCCAAGAATCTAAGGTTGATGCTACTGGGCATCCGGAAGCTCCGCTTGTGTCTGAAGGAAACCACCAGGTTGCGACTCATGATGACTCAGTTCACCAGATCCCATACATGGATCAACGGTTACACCCAGTTAAAATCCTCTATCAGAACTGCGAGATCGCCCTTTTCCCTCCCCTTGAGGGAGATTCGGCAGAGACCTACTTTCTTCAGGATGAGGATGTAGCTTATGACAACATTGGTCAATTGTTCAAGCATCTCCGCCAGGTGCTCGAGGAAACTCTTGGCAATGACGTTCTGGTCATTGATATCGACACCCTGGGAATCCAAATGACAGAGGTAAGCATCGCTTCAATCTCTCCCCATCAAAAACTTGTTCGCTGACTCTCCCTCTTTAGGACTCATCTCACACATCAAGAGTTACCTTGTACCAGATTCTAGATCTTTATCTTAGACTTTGCCGTAACGATGGGACTAACGAACCCGATGCTCTTTACCTTACACTAAGCAGCAGACGTGCGTTTTCAGACGAGATCTTGGATCTTAGCGCCGCTGCAATTGCAGGCAAGACGCTTTCCGAACTGCAGGCCGAAATCCACTCTTGGAATGAATACGATGAGCCCGAGCCAGGTTCCGAGGATTTTGAAGCTCACTGTGCCGAAGAACACGAAGACGAGGTCTACTATGCCAACGAAGCCCAAAAAGACCATGCAACCACTGAGGTGCAAACGACCCCAGGGCCTACAGCGGATGTGTCACCTAGCAGTGTTTCCCAAGTCCAGCCCCAGGACGTTTCTGATACTCAAACAAAGATCGCCCATGCGCCGGATGAGGATGCATCCGTGTCTAGTGAGAGGGCTACGGAGGCGATGCCCGAGTCTGAACTGGCACATCCTGCAACGCAAGCCGAGATCAAAGAACCAGGTCAACCTGAGGAGTCAGAGCACCTTGAGATAGAACAAGCTCATCAATACGACTATGTTCATGGCGATACGACTGAAGATCACTATGATTCCGAAGGCCCGCAAGGCCCGCATAGTGAATCGACTGCCACTATATCTGGATTTATTGTTGAAAATGAAACCAAAGAGAATACACAAGATGTCTCTCCGGATGCTGCCCACGCCGGCCCATCCGGTGCGGATCAGACTGACCATGAGAACTTTTACGAAGAAGAACCCGAGAACGATGATCTGGGGCCCGAAGAATACTATGAAGATGAAAACCCCGACTCGCTCGATGACCCAGAGGCTTCTCATAATGATATCACTGGTGTTGAAGATGATAACGTCGAAACCCAAGAATCTGCTGATCAGGCACATGTCCTTGATGAAGAGGACGAAGATGAGTTAGATGCCCCGCCGACGAATGAGATTGTCTCGGCAACTTCCTTGCAGCATGAAACCACCGACCACCCCCATGACCAGACAGGTCCACTGTCAGATAGTGGATTGCAAGCCGACTCTGACAAGAAGGACCGAACCCCAGAGCCTGCAGATGATTTGCTCGAAATTGCCGAGGATTTACTGCAAACTCCTCCAAGAGACACCGAGCCCGATGACTTGGATCACTTCAAAGACATAGATTACGAGGAATCCGAGGATGAACTCGCTGCCCCTGTCGCAGGTGACGACGAAGGTGTCCACGATCACGAGTTTGACGAAAACCATTTTGGTGATTATGACACTCATTTTGAAGAGCCGGAGGCTGCAGAGCTGGTCGAAGTAGACCATTCCTTGACAGACTCACCAAACCAAAACTCGTCTACCAAACGGTCTCGTGAAGATGACGAGCACTCAGACGTTGTGCCAACCACCACTGACACCAAACGTCGTCGCTCTTCGTAAACTTTGTTCTCGTCCTGTCATTCCTGGAGCCATTGTCCGCACAGTTTCTTATCCGCCATGTCTAGTGGTCAGCGAGTTTAGACACCGACGCCTCGCTCCACTCGATATGTTCCCATCCAACATACTAATACTCATCCTTCCCAGCAACGACCTCGACCGGTGGACGCAGTGGGTCCAGTCTCGTTGGGTTACTAACTAAAATAGGTATGTTCGACCCCTTCCCCAGCACACACACGCTTTCCAAACTTCGGGGCATTCGCCTCTTCTTTTTCCATCCCGCAACGGGATGTAACCCCTGGTGCTCACAACACATCACTCAATGGCCCACCTTCCATCCTTTTGCGTTTCTTCTTATTCTGTCTTCATACTTTCCCCTCGCGATTGCGATTCAAGATACCACCTTCCGGTCTTCGGCCAAAATCTTTGTTCGGTGTTGATGGTTCGCCCCTTCGGGCCGCGTGTTTTCAAATGCATTTCCTTTAGGATTTGGCAGCTCGGCGTATCGGCGCGATGGCTTGAACCACGTGTGTAGTATTTGATCAATGAATCTTTATTCACCATTGGATCTCCGGTTGCGTGCTATGTCTGTATAACCAAATCCGTCGGCCACTAAGTAATTGTGTCGCCGAAACTCAGCCCGTTAGTGTTACTCTAGCCTGACATCGATTCCTCGAAACCGGCACATTTGGTGTTTAATGTCATGATAGCAATTGAACGGTGTTGGATCTGTATGTGATAGTCTTCTAGTACGTATAACAGAGGGCCTAGGCAGTTGCAAGACTCTGGGGATGGCCCCTCGGACTATTGTATAGACTATGCCTTCCAAGGTTGCAAGCGCACCTATTCATAATCCACTTTTAAGTGGACATTAATTAGTTCAAGTCATGGGATTTGGGCTCAATTTAAAGATGCCTCTGGGGAGAGCAGCCAGGTGGCTCCTAGTGGCTATGTATAGAACCCCATGCCGCATTCGGACCGAGCTGAAACGCCGATCTTGGCCGCCCTTCAGGGTCCAATTGATTCGTTTTGTTTTAGTGGTTCCTTGGTAAAGCGCCGAAATCCTGGGAGCAACAAAGGTACACAATCCTGTGACACGTAACTGGATTCGACGTTGATGGTATTCCTATTGCGTACATGTATTTACCTCTCCGTACTCCGTACTCCGTAGTAGTTTCGATGGGGCCATGATGCTATTTCTATTTCTGCGCTTGGATCAAGACAGTCGATCTAGACTTCCAGATTCCGAGATAAAACGTGAAAAATTAAAATTAAAATTGCTTGGAGAACACCTCGGTACCTTCCAAGGCCCTTTCAGCCGTTGTTCTTACGCGTCCCGATCGGCCTTGAAACGGAACCCCACCGCACGCAGGCACACCTCTGTCTTCATCTTCCATCTTCCTTACTCATCTTACGCAGAAATCTTGGGCTGGCTCATTTTTCTGGCTCTTTGTGACATTCGTCGTTCCCTTCACTCTGATCCCTTCCGTCATTATCCCTCCGGGCCAAGCTTATTGCCGAATCCTCCCTTCGCTCACCCGAGTCTCTCGCTCATTCCCTGATCCATTGCCGGCACTGGAGGTCTTTCGACATTAGGAGCACTCGGCTCCTTGGACAAGGATTCGTTAATTACCTCAACATGGTTCCGGACAAGTATGGCTCCCACAGCTCCCTTGGAATTGGCCCTCAAAGGCAGGCTGGCGACAGGCTCTAACATCGTTGCGCGCTGCGCCCCTGTAGATATGTCGGGCTTATTTTAGCCATTGTATCGACTATGGCAATCGGTACGAGTTTTGTTATCACCAAAAAGGTTCGTGTCCCACGAGACCCCCGACAAACAAAAAGTTGGACCCGCTGGCCGAAGGCCACGGAGCTTCGGTTCAAAGCGACAACCATCAGAGCGGAGTCGCTAACGCTTCTAAACATAGGGCTTGATGCATGCCTCCGAACGTCATGGGTTTGAAGGAGAAGGGTTCTCATATCTGAAGAGTCCGGTGTGGTGGGGGTGGCATAGTGACACGTACGGAACCCAATGGCCAGATTTCACATTGCGACCAGGATGCTAATATCTATACAGTGGCCCTTGGCGAAGTCGCCAACTTTGCCGCATATGCCTTTGCGCCTGCGATTCTGGTTACGCCCCTGGGTGCGCTCAGTGTTTTGATCGGGTTAGCAATACTTCCCAACGAGATGGATAATCACATAGCTGACATGTTATAGTGCGGTCCTGAGCTCATACTTCCTCAACGAGATACTTGGTGTATTGGGAAAACTGGGCTGTGCACTGTGCTTGCTGGGGTCAGTCGTCATCGTTCTCCATGCGCCCCCAGACAAGCAGGTGGAGACAGTCAATGAGATTCTTGCATATGCCGTCCATCCAGGTACAAATAGCTGATCGGTCTTCCGCCCTGGAAATGCCTGCTGACCTTGCGACCAGGATTCCTATTTTATTGTCTGGTAGTTGCGATCTTCTCGACCGTGATGATCTATCGGGTTGCGCCGATCTACGGCAAGAAGAACCCCCTCATCTACATCTCGATCTGCTCTACTGTTGGATCTGTTTCCGTCATGTCCGTCAAGGCCTTCGGTATTGCGGTGAAGTTGACCATTAACGGTAACAACCAATTTGTCCATGCATCCACCTACGTTTTTGCGATTGTGACCGGATTCTGCATTTTGACGCAAATGAACTACTTCAACAAGGCACTGAACTCTTTTTCCACGTCCATGTGAGTCAAGACCCGGAGAAGTCTGCAGATGGGAGGCTAACATGATTTTCTTCGATAGTGTGAACCCACTTTACTATGTCACCTTCACGACTGCGACCCTTTGCGCGTCCTTTATTCTGTTCAGGGGATTCAACACCACAGATGCTGTCAGCACGATATCCCTGCTCTGTGGATTCCTCATTATCTTCACCGGCGTTTACCTTTTGAATCTTTCGCGACATGACCCTGATGGACATTCCATGGTAAATTCCAAGCTTGACGAAGACGGTGTGCCAACAGACGGTCTGGCCAGCTTCCAAACCAGGCGCTCCATGCAGTCCCGCCGAAGCACCTCGAGCACATTTTTCAATGGAAACGGCGACCGCGAAGGCCTCATTCACGCATACGATGTGGAGAACGGAATTGGCATGAACAACTTGGCAGACATAAGTAATGGGGAGCCTGGTCCAACCTTCGAGCGGACTGGGGCACAAACTGCCCTGCATACCAAGCGGAACAGCCAACTTTGATCTCCCTAGGTTATCACAAGGACTGACCCCGTACTCGTCTTATGACAAGACCTTTTGAAATGATTTTTCTTCCTCTCTACACGCTCTGCTGCTCGCAAGCTTTCCTTCCACAGGCTTGATCTCCACTTGTATTTTTACTGTTCTCCGACTCAAATGCCAGAGCTGCATTTGAGACTCGGGCACTCATCAGGCACTGGACCTGTCTGTATGAACGACTGGATATGACTCTGGGTACCTCTGGATGGTTGCGATTTTTTTGTCTTATTCTTCTCATTTTACTTTTTTTTTTTTTTGTTTCTTTTCGGTGATATGGCATGGCGAGAGACTTGTATATACTGGATCACGTTGGCTTTCTGCGGAATAAAAGGGCGACGTACGCGGGTGGGGCCGATGATGTATTTGCAGGTCAGCTGTTGATGGAACACGCCCATCCGAGATTCCTTCATCTTCAATTTACAGCTTCAACGTATTGCCTACGTATTTTTTCAATGCCTGTTCCTGGCTTCCGGTCTTTCTGAGGAGGCTTATAGACGTCAAGGGCAGCCGTGTGATTTTGTTATCTTCGCGGGGAACCTGCGCGATGCCCGCTTTATTGCGCAAATTGGCCATTGTCGCCGCGGTCGATGGTCTAGTTCTGTATGCGCCGGCCAACGGACCGCGGAATAATAGCGGAAGCAACAATGAGGCTTCCTCTATTCGCATCGACTACAAGACGAACAAAATTACAGCGTTGCCCACTTTCGCCTCGGAACCACTGGACGGGAAGGATGCTTTGGAGGCCTATGGTCTAGTGGGTATGTGGACGATCTAAGCAGCAATCAGAACAGAGTCTAATCCACCTGCATTATTACTATAGGTCTCTTGTCTGTCGCTTCATACTCGTTCCTTATTTCCATCACGCAGCGCCAGCAGGTAGCGCAGGTTGAAGGCCGTCCGATTTACACCGTAAGCAACGTTGCGATTATTCCAATCTCGTCCCAAACCGACGCGGCCCGCGCTATTCTCCAAGCCAAGAAGGAGTGTTCGCAAGAGGAGATCACCATCGAATCGTCTTCCGATGAAGATGACCTCCCCGACAACGAAACTGATAGAGCCGAGGCAGAGGCGGAGATCCATAGCCTACCGGCTTCGCCCACACGTGATACTCCGCATGGCCGCGGTAGTAATGTCAGCAGTATTGCTGAAGATGTCATTGGGAAAAAAGTCCGCTTCGGACGATTTGCGGCCAATTGGCTGTCGCGCAAAAACCTGGGCCTGCCGAGGCCGGGTGCATTGGAGCAGGATACACCGGAGTCTCCCTTCGATGAAACACCGAACCCTTTGGACGATTTGAATGAGGAACAGCCTAAGGCTGTGAAAGAAAGCTTGCCTGAAGAGCCTTTGGCTGAAATCGAGGCTGATCGGCCCAATTATGGCCAAGCTGCGGACTTACTCCCGAAGCTGCTTCGGTATACGAAGCTTTTGTTTGCGTCGCATAACTTTTTCTTTGCATATGATTATGATCTTACGCGCTCATTATATACACAGGAAGCATGGAAAGACCAGCTTCCCCTCCATAAAGTTGTGGATCCATTGGTATGCGTGACCCAAAATCCCGTAGGATATTTGCAGAGAAGCTTTAGTTGCTAACCAATTGGCAGTACTTTTGGAATAAACATTTGATGAACAAATTCATTGATCATGGCGCTCACGGCTTTGTTCTACCTTTGATCCAAGGCTTTGTCGGCCAACGGGAATTCACAATTGCTGGTGCTGCAAAGAAACAGTCCTCGAAGGGCTCAGAGGATCTCTCTGAAGGTCGAATCCTCGGCGAAAAGCACGAGGCCAAGGCTGTTGAGGCTGATGCCACAAAGCGTGATTATCTTTTGACTCTGATCTCTCGGCGGTCTGTCAATCGGCCAGGTCTCCGATACTTGCGCCGTGGTGTCGATGATGATGGCAACACAGCAAACACGGTTGAAACAGAACAGATTCTCTCTGTTCCGGACTGGGCTTCTTCTCATCCTGCCTACTCTTACTTGCAGGTCCGGGGCTCCATTCCCCTTTATTTCTCCCAGTCCCCATATGCCCTGAAGCCAGTTCCAGTGCTCCATCACTCCGCAGACACGAATTTACTTGCCTTCAGCAGACACTTCCGAGAGTTCAGTCGACGATATGGAAAAGTTCAGGCTGTATCTCTCATTGACAAATTGGCTGGCGAACTGAAGCTAGGTGAACAGTATGAACGATATACCGAATCATTCAATGCTTCCGGTGGCATTGATGGCGCCCCATTGCAATTGGAGTGGTTTGATTTCCATAGCGAGTGCAGAGGCATGAAATTCGAAAATGTATCTCGCCTGGTTGACCGACTCAAGGATACCCTAAATGAGTTCTGCTACACCATTGTTGCGGATAAGAATATCCTGCAGACCCAAAAGGGAATCATCAGAACTAATTGTATGGATTGCCTTGACCGGACAGGTGTTGCCCAGTGTGCATTTGGCCAATGGGCCCTTGAGCGTCAACTTGAGAATGAAGGTATTGACATTGATCTCGGCGGTGATTCTTCCACTCAATGGTTCAATACTCTTTGGGCGGATAACGGTGATGCAATCTCAAAACAGTATTCATCAACTGCAGCTTTGAAGGGAGATTATACTCGCACACGCAAACGAGATTATCGCGGTGCTCTCAACGATTTTGGATTGACACTATCCCGCTACTATAATAATATCGTCAATGACTTCTTCTCCCAAGCCTGCATCGACTACCTGCTGGGTAATGTTTCGATTCAGGTCTTTGATGAGTTCGCCGTCCAGCTTCAAACCACTGATCCTGGTATCTCGGTTCAAAAGCTTCGTCAGAACGCCATTGATACAAGTTGCAATATCGTCATCAGTAGTCCCTCTGAAGAATTCCTCGGTGGCTGGACCATGCTGACACCACGTCAACCAAACACCCTTCGTACCTTGCCGTTCGAGGAATCGGTCCTTCTCTTGACCGACGCTGCAGTGTATAGTTGTCGCTTTGACTGGGAGACTGACAAGGTCCTTTCCTTTGAGCGCATTGACCTACGCTCCGTCTCCCGCATCCACTATGGTACATACATCACATCAATCTTAACAGATAGTCAAGCCAACGAGGCAAGCAACGTCGGCCTTGTCATTGTCTATCGTGACGGGGACATCAATACTCTTCGTGTGAACACCCGATCCCTGCAGAGTGATGTTGATCTGAACACACTAGAGACCACCGCCAGTGCCAACAGTGAGTGGGACCTCGTTTCCTGGCTCCGTGGCAGTAAGCGTGCTACGACCCGCTTTGTTGCATTCAAGAGTCTACCGCTGTCGAATTCGGTGGCCAGCCCGAGACTTGGTGCCACCGGAGGGACTGTTCGGGAGATGGATCGGGTTCGCTCCATCTGTTTGGATATCGAGCGCGCCATGTTTGCAGGGCAGGGACGCAACACCGAGGCGTCTTCTGCGGTTGAACAATCTGACATTATATCTTTGGCCGACGCTAAGAAACGAACGGGTTGGTTGGAGTACCTTGTTTATGATCTTAAGAAGATGGTTTGGGCATGATCACTTTGTACATTTGTGGTATGTTGCAGTCTGTTTCCTCTGCTGGGTTGACCCGTCCCTTTCACATTATTCACCTTGACTGACGCTACCTTGCAGCCTTGTTGGTTTGCATCCATTCGCATTTCAGGAAGACCATTTTGTGTCATTGGATGAATCATTGGATCATTGGAGCGCATGTATTCACGATGTCATCGCAGGATCTGGTATTTGTTTTCTGCATTTCATTACATATCTGGGTTCCAAGCGATGTGTTTTACCCGGCTTCGTTGGTGGGATATCTTGCATGTGATGGATACGGGCCCGGTCTGAGAACTTCCATCTGTGCATAAATACCCATACTCTTTCCATACAGTCCAGTGGACAGTGGAGTTATGCTGTTTTCTAGTACATGAGTGATAATCTCACATTATAGTATCATGATTCATGCCGATAGACCAGCCGTGGAGAAGAGGTTCAGGGAAGAGTGCAGTGGTACCTAGGTACAAGCAGAAAAGGATGGTTCAGCAGTCCAGTGGACCTGCCTGGGAACCTGAACAGGCCCTGAGGGTCATGTACATAACGAATTTCCTAAGCGGCAATCCCCCCGCAATAATTTTTCGTTCGTGACTTCCAAATCTTCTTCTCTCAACCATCCTTCAGCTTCAACTACCAGGTCAGTCAGTCATCAATCATCACATGAGGATATATGGATGACTGCGGAGTACATCTATAGAAGAAGAGATGTTGCCTGCCTATAACAGGCAGGTTTATTTACGGAGTTATGTTTATCCGAAGGGTTTATCCGAAGGACCAGATGATGGACATCAAGCAACTGACCGCCTACCAAGTTCAGCGGTCTCTTTTTTTCTGCCAGCACATACACACCCCTCAGTCTTCTATATCTCCGACGTCCTCTGATCCTGGCCTTACTCGTCTCGCCATATCGCTTTGGTCACCCTCAATTACCTACACGTCTCATTCCTGGATCTGCCTCAGCGGATCGGAAATCTTGCTTTGTCTCCTTGATCTGGGGAAACGAAGGGAGCCGTTCCCACATTCTCGGCGGGGCTCCTGTGCTACTCGCACTTTCGACTTACTTCCGTCGCATCGAGTCCACTCACCGTAACAAGATGGATTGGCAACCTCAAGATGAGCCATTGAGGCAGCTGGCTGGCTGCCTTCGCGACTCTCTTAATGCAGGCAATCCTCATGCCCGTGTGCAGGCTGAACAGGTAAAATGATTTCTTCCTTTTTCTTTTCCTGTCGAGTGTCCTCCTAATGCGGTCGCGCCAATACATCACCCGAAGATGGGAGCTAACTTCAGATCTCTTGATTGCAGATGCTCGCACAGGCGACTTCGTCGCCCGACTACGTCAATTACATCACCTACATCTTCTCTACTTCGCATCCTGCTCCCGCGGGAATCAACGCAAATGAATACTCCACCGTTCGATTCGCCGCTGCGCTAAATGTCAAGACAAAGATTCATCTTGCGTACAGCACTATCTCGCCCCAGAGCTTGGTCTACATCAAGTCCGCCGCTCTGCACACTCTCCGCGACGCTGATCGCAATGTCTCAAATGCTGCCGGTACTATTATCACCGCAATGGTTCTTCAAGGAGGCCTCTTGGCCTGGCCTGAGATCGTTAATGAGCTTCTGAATCTTGTCGGCAATGCCACTGGGGATGTTCCCATGTCAGCTCGGGAAGCTGCAATGGACGCAATGCTCAAGGTCTGTGAGGACAACCGCAAGGTCCTGGATCGTGATTATCACGGTCAACGCCCCCTCGACATTATTGTCCCCAGTTTGCTTCAGTTCACTTCAATTGAGAGTTCCCGTATCCGGGTCGCTGCTCTCACAACAATTCACGTCTTCTTGCCATTCAAACCCCAGTCATTGATGACATCGCTCGATCAATTCCTTTCGCAGTTGTTTAGTCTTGCTGGAGACCAGCATACTGGAGTCCGACAAATGGTATGCCAATCATTCTCCCAGCTCGTGGAGACGGCGCCAGAGAAGCTGGCCCCTCACATGGAAGGGTTGGTGAACTACATCATTGTGCAACAACAGTCTCAAGACGACCCAGAGCTTGCACTTGACGCTGCTGAATTCTGGATTGGTGCCGGAGAGCAGCAGCTGCTGAAGGCTGAATTGGCCCCATACATGCCCAAGATCATTCCCGTCCTCCTTCAGAACATGATTTACGACGAGGAGGAAGTGGCTCGGCTGATGGACGAGCAAGATGACGCTGACACCGAGGATCGCGCCGAAGATATGAAACCACAGTTTGCTAAATCGAAGGGTGATCGTCTGAATGTGTCCAAACCGGGCGAACAACCAGAGGCTGTCCCAGAGCAAGAGTCAGAGGTGGACGAAGATGATGATCTGAGTGAAGGCGAAATCGAAGACTCGGAGTTCGGAGATGATCCTTCAGGTCAGTGGACCCTGCGTAAATGCTCTGCCGCTGCGCTTGATGTGTTCGCTACCGTCTACCACCGTCCTGTCTTTGAGATCCTTCTGCCTTATTTGACAGAGACTTTGCGCCATGAGCAGTGGCCGAACCGAGAAGCTGCCGTCCTCACCCTGGGTGCTGTGGCGGATGGCTGCATGGATGCTATCACCCCCCACCTTCCAGAACTGGTCCCTTACTTGATCTCACTTCTGAATGATGCACAGCCTGTTGTGCGGCAGATCACTTGCTGGTGCTTAGCTCGTTATTCTGGTTGGGCAGCTCAGCTCCGCGACCCTGCTCAGCGAGCCCAATTCTTTGAGCCTATGATGGAAGGTATTCTCCATCGCATGTTGGACAACAACAAAAAGGTTCAAGAAGCTGCAGCCTCTGCATTCGCTAGTCTGGAGGAAAAGGCGGAAGAAAACCTGGCGCCCTATTGTGAGCCTATCTTGCGCCAGTTTGTGGCATGCTTCCACAAGTACAAAAACCGAAACATGTACATTCTTTACGATTGCGTACAGACGCTCGCCGAATGTGTGATGACTGAGCTGGCGATGCCGCATTTGGTTGATATCCTGATGCCTGCCCTTATTGGTCGCTATAACAGCATCGATGATGATTCCCGGGAGCTCTTCCCCTTGCTTGAATGCCTCGGATATATTGCTGGAGCCTATGGCGATGCCTTTGCTCCATTTGCACAGCCTATCTTCGGTCGCTGCATGAAGATCATCTACGGAAATTTGCAGGCTTCCGTTCAGTCAGGAGGAAATTATCAATTCGATGAGCCAGACAAGGACTTCCTTGTCACCAGCATTGATCTGCTTAGCGCAATCATCCAGGCCATCGACCCGCAGAAGAGTGGCGAGCTCGTGCGTACTTCTCAGCCGCCTTTCTTCGAACTCCTCCGCTACTGCATGGAAGACGAGAACTACGAAGTCCGTCAATCGACGTATGCTTTGCTGGGAGATTGCGCGATTAGCATCTTCCCGCAGTTGGAAGCCTTTGTTCCCAGCCTCGCACCGGTTATGGTTAAGCAGCTCGACTTGGACCTGATTCGCGATGATGATCGTCACACCGGCTTTAGTGTCCTGAACAATGCTTGTTGGTCGTGCGGTGAGATTGCTGTCCACGAGAACGCCCCCCTTGCGCCCTACGCCGAGCAGCTTTACCAGGGGCTTGTTGCCATCATCAGCAACGAAGAAGTCATCGATTCAGTCAATGAAAATGCTGCAATGGCATTGGGACGATTGGGATTCTGCTGTGCGGACCAGATCGCCCCCCACTTGAGTGAATGTTCCAGTGCTTTCCTGAAGTCGATGGAGAAGATTGACTTCACGCGTGAAAAGGCTTCGGCCTTCCTCGGCTTCAACCAAGTCGTTATGAAGAACCCTCAAGCGATGGAATCGAGTCTGCTTGATTATTTCCAGGCAATCGCCACCTTCCCCGCTCGCTCGCTGGCACAAGAGGAGTACAGAGATATCCAAGTCTCATTCCAGCAGGTAAGATCATCTCCCGTCACTTCTCGGTAATACACCGCTAACCACGACATATAAATAGGTACTTCAAGGCTATAAGAACTTGATTCCTGACTTCAACAACTTCCTCAGCCAACTCCCCCAGGCTGTGGCCCAGACACTTCGCACAGTGTACCGGGTCTGAGCCGGGCCGCTAGACCCTTTACTGAGATTGGCGTTACTTTCACGTCACTTGGCCGTCACTTGCGGCTCAGGCTCAGCTGGGGTGAGTTGGACGAGGCAGCAAGATCTGTGCATAGGGTGGGATCAGGGATCGGAAATTTCAGGTTAATAGGAAGAGGAGGAATATTTGGGGGGACAAAATCATGGGACGGAGCATCTGCGATTTCGCTATGTTTTTACGTTATATCTCATGATTGCAACATGGGCATGCATGACTCTTTATGATCGCTGTTTTTTCTTTTACTTCTTGATTCCCATCTTGCATACCATTGTGCATAACATCATCAAGTTAGGACAGGTTCATAGTTCTGCTTTTTGCTTTTTTTTTTTTTTCTCCTTTTCTCAGCGTTGATTTGGGGGTTCTTCTTTGCGTTGCATACTCATACCCCCGTTAGATAGATACCTAGATAGATAGATCTTCCGCATTAGCAATGGAGATCTCAAACAACCTTTTGTATATATCTCATAGGGTGTAGATTATTGGTATTTGGGCGATGTTCTGCAATGTGCTTTTGGGGGGAAATTGGATGAGATGTTTGACTATGTTTGCGAGGCACGTTCTTTGAAGTCAATCAATTTGTGCTTTTTGATGTTTTTGGAAGCGTCTACTTGGAGCATCTTTCTTGGTCTCTTTCGTAGTCTCTTTTTTGGCTTCTTCTTTTCTATCCCGCTGTTGCTGGGGTGCATCAAATCTTATGATCGTGCAACGGTCGAAGATATATAGTCTTTTCAAACAGTGAATTCCAAACCATCACAGTGCTTGTTAGCAAGGCGAATTGCATGATCCAAAGGCGTTAACTCTTGGGACGAATGTTGCATTGAAGTGATGTGGTATCTGTTGTGACGTCTCTTGTTTCCTTGATCTGATCCGTGAAGAGTTATAGAAGTGTAATTAATGGGCCTACATCCGCCTTTTCCAAGCTCCTCTGGTATAAAGAACCTTGTGTGAGTAATTTCATAACAGAACATATTGTAGATGATGTTGCACTCATGCTGGTACTATGTAGTCTGATCTCGAGCTTGGACAAATGAACCATCGCCGAAATGCCGACATTAACACCGAAAGCAGCGCATTGGACTGCTCACTCTTCCGTGAGCCCAAGGTTTACCGTTCATGCTTCTACAAGAAGTGACGATCGAATTTCTAGGGCCAGAACATTGCTGTCAATGAGCGTGTCAATTCTACGTGGGCCTGATCGAGAAGGGTCTAGTTTACACCGATCGTGGTTGAAATAGTCTACGCGCTTGTTGAAGCCCAGCTTTGGGAAAATTCGAATCCACACTTATCCTTGGGGGCCATGTGTCTAGGGTGGGTTCAGTCGTGCTTCGCCATTGTGTGCCTGGTAAGTTCAATGATAGCTAGTCATTGAGGATGATTGTTGTGTCGGCCCACCAAGGAGTGATATCCGGCATTTGAAGACGGACTCTACGTCCAAAAAATTGGATGAGCTTCTTCACACCTCTGAGGTTGCAGCCTGGGCGGCTGAAATCGCTGCTGATTGGATTCGGTGCAGCTGCATGTCTGAAGATGGGGAACACGCTGAAGATACTGATCGGATTAGTGATTTTGTCCGTGGCGCCCATTCTGTGGTGGTCATTATCGGGCGTCCAAGTGACTTATACCATCCGGATTCTTCAAATCCTCGTGATTTCACTCCAGAGGTAAGTAGAATGCTGCGGCACGTAGGAAGTAGGAAGTGGATCTTTCCTGAGAATCTCCTGAGCCCATCGATCCAACCTATATCGATATACGAAAGAGGTTGTGACCCAGAGTCCTTCGGGACTATGTTTAAACTGAGTCTCGCCAACGGAGTTCGAGGAGACCCCCTTGTCTCAAGAGAGCTTATCGATCATTATGAAGGCTCGATCATCCTCAGTCCTCCAGAACTGGTCCTAATTGCCCTGCAGTGCCTTTCAAGCCGTGAAGCTGGGAAACATTGGCACATGGATCTTTCATACGTCTTGATGGGATTCTCGAGACGCCGTCCAAAGGCCGACAAGACTGACGCGGCGTTCGAGACCTTTTGTCGACTGTCACTAGCCAACGACAGTGACAGATTGACTGAGCGACTCATATATATGCTGCCCCGACACGAAAACAACGATATATTCAAGCTTGACGATTTCTGGCACAGAAAACTTTGAGAGATCGAGCCTTCTTGCCAGGTCGTCGGTCTAGGAGGCCAGGATACCGTGACTTTGAGCGGTGCTTTTGGTGCCCCGATACGCTGGAAATCCTTCAGGCCGGTCAACATTGTAATGCGCAGTAGTCCCTTATTGACCCTTAGAGGCGCTCTGCTCACAATCTGCGGATCCAGAGGTGGAGATTACACTGTGGTGACAGTGGTCGGATGGATTCTCACAGGGCTCTGGCTTGTATCACATTGGCATCTCCTTATCCCCTGAACTCTCTCTATATTGGCAAGACATGGTCAACACAACAATGGCTGTTCGGGTTCGAGGGCAACCTGGAAATTTGTGAGATTGAAAACCTTGTCTTTCGGTATCAATCTGGGTCGATTGAGATGGAGTTCATACTATAGCAACCTCTCATGTCATAACACCGACGACAACGCCGAGTGCATTGGACAAGATCCCATGCGCGAAGACTGCCCCGGAAACTTTGAGCCCGATGCGTGGAAATCTGACTATGGGCCTCAAGCTCTTAATCTCGGTTGATACCGATACCATGGCCGTCACCCTCTTCCCAGCGGTCCATCCGCCGGTGGCATGCAGCGAGCACTGCTTTGTTCCTATTGGGCACTCCAACACTCTATTGTGAGAGTACACTCGTCTTGGACAAGATGCCACGTGTTGATCTATTTCGACTTGGGTTGGCAAGGCCGGACGTACAGCTAGAAGAGGTCACAGATGCTTAGCGTATAGCGAGTTGATTTTGTTGGTGTCTCCTACAGTCAGTGAATATTGTGCTCGTCATGTGAAGAAACGTGGGTTTAGGGGGTTGCCAGTGGAAACGAGGAAGTCAATCAAACAAGCCCAAGCGCCAATATCAAGACAGGTAGTAAGTATGCCCGTGCAGAAGATTGGAAATTCCATCTGGCGATACAGTCGTTTCTAATTTCAACAGCAGTCATTCTCCAGCATCAAATTCCCGAGTCGCCAGATTATGTTGAGAGTAACGATTGGCGGATGTCGCTCTTAGCGAGTGACACATTTCTCCTCGCCAGCGACAACACTTCCTCTCAAAGGTCTAGCCTGACTGGTTAGTTGTCTATGACTATTGAAACATTGATTTTGTGGTTTCAAACTGCAAAAGAGGAACCGGATGGGAGGTTATAACTTATTACGAGTTCAATGAAAGGGGCTTTGTTCCCGCTCAACCCAGCTCTGTAGAAGCTACGGTCGCTGAACGTCCATCGATGTACTAAGCTCAATTAATGCATTGACCACAGAAATGCAGGGGTCTCATATCACATTGTTTTCAAAGGAGTCGAAGACTTACATCCGTCCTGCTACCTGGCGATGCACACTCGACAATCCACCTCTTGGGCTCATAAGCCTGCTACCGTTACTCTGTATTGAGAATGTAAGCCCGATCATCCAAGGCATATTCGGAATTCGTTCATTTCACCTTTGACCCGCAGTGTGAAACCATTTATTAGTGCTAAATTTGTCTCAAGAGTTATCGCGTTCGTCCATTGGTGGACACCTTGTTCGACCGTTTCCTGAATCACTTCGCCCCCTACGCCTGCGGACTATTGGGTGAATAAGAAGCCTGCTTCTTCATCAAAGGAGTTACTTCTTGGAAGTATCTACTCCGTACACAGCCAAAGTTACAAGTGTCGCGGGCGAGAGATTCCAAGAATCCCTAGGGCTGCCTGACCCTGTCTCTCCAAGTCCCATCGATTCATGCCTGATACAAATGATACAGACACCACATCACGAGTAATCTAGCCAATATGGACCATCATGTCCCCACCAGGCCTCGGACCAGCGGGGACGAATTGAAAGATTAGGATTAACAAAGCCCCAGCAAGGCTCCAGCAGCCCAGCAGCCCAGCAACCGAGCAACATCCGAGCAGCATTTATTTTTGGATCTACGATGCAGGCAGTATGCATGGCCAGTACCGAGTATTTGTCTTACCTCTTCCCAGCAGCAGGTACCTCTCCTATATCAAACTACGTGTATACCATTGGATATGCCTATCTCCCCTGACTCCCCCGAGGCCTCCATGCTTGCAACACTCATCACCAACCAAAACCCACCTACCCACCTACATTATCAAGCCGAGCCTCAGGATAACCGGAGGAACCAAAAGAGAAAGAGCACGAGAAACAAGAGCCATCTAATCTAAACCAAAACAGCCTCCGGCGCTCGCCTCATTGGCCCGTTATAATTAACAGTCGGCAACCAACGCCACCGGATGAGCCGTTCGCTCCAATTGGCCGCTCAGACAAGGAAAAGCCCAAATACCAAGACGCGAGCCTTTCCCTTAACTACTTTTTTTCACGAAATCCGGGCGCAACCTACGCCATGCTTATTTCTCACCCTGTGTCCCACCCTGTGATTAACTATCCTGCTAGTGGATTCATTCTGGAGCCGTAGAGATAGCGTACCCGGGAGCCTGGTTCTCAATGGGAGCGCCTGGCAGGCGTTGGTCATTCTCGCTTCTTCGGGGCTATGCCGTTTGCGGCGTGCAGAGATGACCAAGGCTATTGTAGGTCAAGGGAGGCCAGGATCCGGTTCTGATTCTTGTTGGCTGGGCTTTTGGGCTTTTGGGGTTTCGGGGGATTGGGGTTCGGGGTTCTGTCTACTCCGTAGACTTTTTTGCCTTGAATGCCATCTCACGCATTTGGCCTCGTTCCATGCGGAGTTGATCGATCTAGTGCTGCCCCCAGGGTCATGCCATGGGTCTCCTAGGAGATGAGCCGGGGGGTTCTTGGGGGTGTCCGGATCTTCACAGCCTCAGTAGTGATGTCACTGACCGGTTGGTACTTCTACCTTGGACCGGGAACGTACATTATACATGGCTCACATTGCCTAGGTAAGACCCGGCACAAGCCAAGTGATTTCATTTCAAATCTCTGTATAGTCACAATTTGAGAAATATGAAACAATATGCTCCCTGTGCCACTAGAAACATTGCATGAAATGCAACTGTCCATCTTCGTTCTTGATGCAGGCTCCTAGGTTTAAATGGCGCTGGTGAGACTTTCCTTCGTCGTCCTCGAGTTCTGCATACAGTACTGGCTCGTTGTTAGGTCCCTCGAGTCTGAAATCAACGTTGCGTGCGCGGTCCGAAAAATTCTGTTCACCCCAGGCGAAGTCACCTAGAATGTGTCAGTTTCGGAGTCAGATGAACAACACAGAACATGGGTAAATCCTGACCCTTTCTTGCCCCCAGGAATTGGTTTAAGTCGAGCTCCGAGTACGTTGCTTCTCCGGAGGGACGTTTGCAGTAAGCGGTGACGAGGTGCTTATCCTTGAGCTTGATGCCCATGGATGATTTGTGGAAGCCCATCTTATTGTGGAATCGAGCTATGTATATCGCCGCGAGGCGCAGTCAATCACGGGAGGTTCTTCGGCCTCGTTTGGGGCTATGTATCAGCCAGACTGTAGCGAATGCTTAATAAATGCTCTCGGGAGGTGGAAGTGAAGCCGAGAACTGCCAGGGTGTTGTATGTTGCATTCCAAGAAAGAGAAAAGAAAGAAACCAGAGATTGGCGTGATATGATACGAATGAATTTAACTACAGGCGTTGTTGCCTCTAATGACATCGCTATGGTGTCGATTTCTGTGGCCATTTTTGAAGTCGTGGAGGCGGCTAGCTCTACCATCATGGTTTTCTCATTATGACACTCGTGGCAGTTGTTTCTCTCCTCCGCATAGTCCCCGATAGGTAAGCTATCTGATAGGGTTGAGTAATATCGGCTTGGCTGAAGGCTCCGTCCATTATATGGCGTGGTCATGTTTTACCCAGGTGAAAGGTCATGATGATCTCATGCACGAAGGAGGCCTATGCAACGTGTGTTGTCAGCCTCACGTCTCGATGTATCAACTGTCGGGCATGAGTCTTGTCGGGCAATAAGTTCTGTATACTCCCAGTGCTCCGTACTCCATCCTCCGTATGCCCCCAACGATACCGTGGCCGAGGAAACCAAGTTCCCAGGTTGACGCTAACGACTCTATTTGGGAAGATATCCCTAGTCCGTCGAAAGTCGGGAGATCCCAGACTTTCGATCTATTTGTTTCAGGTTTGCTTAGCTACATATAGTTTGTTTCTTTTGCGATCTATTTCTAGACCTAGAGCTTTAGGCTGTGTCGTGGCGGAGAGGATTGAGCTGTCTTCTGTACATGTCCAAAGTCATTTAGATTGCCGTGCAGAGAGGGAATGCAGTATCTATTGCAGATGACCCAACGGTCATTAGGCTGGGGAGTCCATCATAGTATACTAGTATACTCCGTAAGAGGCAGTATCCTAGGAGCATAGTGTATTGGCGATCTGTGCTGATCGAGCAACCCCACACGCGTCTAGAGTAGCCCTCTTGGCGCAATAAAGTTGGTGACCTCGGTGTGTTCGAGATGCCGCCGGGATTCTTCTTTGCTCATTCGGTTTTTCATGAGAGGATGCGCACTTGGAATCAGGTCTTCTGCAAGAGGACCAGATCTTCCAGGGCGTTCCGCGGAGAAGAAGCGCCGAGCTCGCGAAAAAGAAAAACGAGCCAAAAAAAGAAACGATAAAGTTGATAGTCCTAACCCATCCGTTCTCGGTACTTTTTTGGCCCCCAAGCTTGACCTTGTTGGGCCTGATGTCGCGACAAGCGAGTCCGGCTGATTGGACTCCGGGGGGTTCCTTCACCAAAAGTAGCGCCCGAACATTTCCGACTTTCGGATTCTGGAACAGGAAGGTCCCGTCTGGGGACTCTGAAACCAAACCGGTCAAACAGCTACAAGATACTCCGTACTAGGTCCGGAGGACGGAGTACTATCTTCTGGAGACCTGGATTGATAACCTCGTCAAATCAAAATCTCCGGGCGAGTGTGGTGCCACGTGTGAGCTGGTAATCATCGTCATGCCCCAGTCATCGTGGCCAGAGGCGCCCAGATCGAAAGAACACACCGACTTTAGACCCTTCAGACCCTTCAGACATCGTCCACGTCCGATCAGAAAAAACGTGGCTTCTGGTGTCACACCAATCTGCAGGGTTTCAGGGGCCTCTGACTTGGATGGATAGACTCAGATGCTGACCTTTTAATTCCTCCAGCTCCAATGCATATTCACCCCCGAATGCCCTTTGCTTCTAACATTCCAACCCGTTTTGCGCTGTACTCAGCCCCTGGACCCTGCAGGAAGGAGTGTCCTTTTTCTTTTTCTTTTTTCCACTTTTCCATGGCCATTCACACGGTGGAACAGCCGATCGCCCGGCTCTATTTGATACCTGTACACCTAGCAACTAGATCTTCATTTCCCTCTTTGGGTCGCTTGACGTCGCACACTTTCAGGCTCCCCGGGTATGGGTTCCCTTCCCAACCCAATGGTAACTTCGCCAAATGAGAGCAGTCCCGAGAGCCATGATCTTCATGGGCCAAACTTTATGAGTAGCGGGAGGAGAGACGCGGACTCCGTCCTCCATACAGAGGAAATAGTACTCCGTACACCGTAAGGAAAAAATTGGGATGTGGATGCGGTGATCCCAGGTCTTACACCCCCTGGTTGCGGACTAAACCTTCGAGACGCGTTGCCTCCAATCCCCCGGGTCCAAGTGGTGTACGGAGTAAGGTAAGGCCCTTTTTTTTTTTTTTTTTTTTGTTTTTTCCTGTCTTTTGGAGCAAAGTCGACCTATACAGTCATCGAGGTGATTTCCAAGTCTACATTCGGTTGTGATTACCGAGTTCAGCGTTTAGTCTCGCCATCTGACTCACAGGCGGGTGGAAACGCCCGACTTCCGCCTGTCAAGCTGAGCTTGAATTTTAGCGAGTAGAGTGGAGGCCCAGCACCAGTCTTGCATTGCGTCTAAGATGGCGCGATTGGCATTTTCTTTTACTCGACGGGGTTAACGGTGCTTGACAGGCGACCCACAATCCAGGGTCCGATCGAAAGCCTTGCGAGGCCAAAAGACGATCGGGTACTATAATCATGCATTATGGTTCTGTACTCCATACTCCGTACGGAGCACGGGGTACTCCGTATCTTCTGTCATGTTGGGAGCCTGGGGTCTGTTCACCCCTGCATACATCGTCTTGGCTGGAACGCGGGAAGTGGTGCAGGGAAAAAGCAAAGAGAATATGAGGCCTTGGGAATCCTGCTTGGTCCTGGGTAACGTGATGTGATCATCTACAACGCACTCCGTAGTCCTCCGGAGTGTAGATGCAATATCACCGGGTGAGCAGGATCTTAGGGCTACGCAGTAGTGCAGTCTAGTGCCGCCCAGCCGGATCGAAAGTGAAGAAATCCCCCAAGTAATGCGTAATCTCCACCGATATAGAGAGACCTCTCCATATCCCTGCACGAAAGATGGGCTCACATGCGCCTAGTCGATGGCCTAAGCCTATGAAGGCAGCTGTATAAGCTTCCCATGTGGTTGACCTGGAATGGCCGAGGGCTATCGTAGACGGGGGGTTTGGTCGAATTGCTCTTTTCTTTTCTTTTGGGATGACTCCGTATATTGGGATTATATTGGATGATCGGGGGTTCTCATTGGATTAGGGGCATTATTAGGGGATTCTTTCAGTTGGATCCTCTTGGCTGACTCCCCTGTACCCAGAGGCTCAAAATCTCGATCGTCACTGGGAAATTCACCCCAAAAAGATTAATTCGAATAATGGGCCAGATGGATCATATACTGAAGCCTTTTCCTTCTTTTCCCCTCAAACGGCTTTACCCCTTTCCTCTTCTCTCTTAACCTGAATGGAGATCTGGAGTACTCGTATTCTCCACGTGCTTAATTCAACTGATTCTTCGGCCCCCAAGGTTATTTTTGGAGATCCATTCTTATAAACACTTCGACATTCCCCATCTTATTACATCCAACATAGAGTCTGCCGGGTAGAGGCGCCCATTGTCAACACCGCACCCTATTCGCATTCATCGGAGTCCACAGTGACTTCGATCTCCAGTCATGGTCGGTCCAGGCGGTGGTCCCCCACGCAAGAGCCACACCAAATCTCGCAACGGCTGCAAAACATGCAAGAGGAGACACATTCGATGCGATGAGACCTTCCCGCAATGGTATGCTCCCAGTGGAAATCAATGACCCTCTGCGCTGGCTAACGGGCCATCCAGTCGGAATTGCACCAAGCACAACTGCCGCTGTGATTACCAGGACCAGGTTACTGCACAACGGGGGAGCCCTCCCGCGTCACGCCGCAGCCCTGACCTTCTCATGTCGCCAGAGATCGAGATGGAAATAGACAACTGGCACCGCTCTGGTGTGCCTCCATACCCGGAGCTCTTGCAGTGCCCACGCTCCGGGTGGTCTGGCTTGTCGCGGATTGATTTGCGCTTGATTCATCATATTATCGGACTGTCCATTGACTTGCATCGCCGAGGGCTGAGTGCCAGCACGGTCTGGGCCCAGAAAATGCCCAAGTAAGTTTGTCTTTGGGTTTGGCTGGGTTGGGGAGTTTATGCTAATGACATTCCAGCTTCTTGGCTATTGCACTGAATAGCGAGTTCGTTATGAGCGCCATCCTAAGCTTATCGGCTTTCCATCTTGCTTTCCTTACACGGCACCAGGAAACCAGGCAGCTGGCGGTCCGTCACCAAGTTGCGGCGTTGCAAGGACTGCAGGCTGCCCTGGTGTCCTTCTCAAAGGATAATTGTGATGCAATCCTTGCAGCATCTGTCCTTCTCTCATGGCAGGCAACAGAACAGTGAGTGCGATGCGAACTCTTTGAGAGCACCCTCAACTAACAGTGGAGCAGTCAGAGTTGGGTGTCTTTGCAACATGGCATCTCGGGTGTTCTAGAATCGATGCATCCATATTGGAAACAAGAGTCAGAACTTGCACAGTTTATAGAGAACCAACGAGCGTTGGGCATGCCAGATCCTTCAATGACCGGGGCCTACCAGCCCCTCGACGAAGACCTGGCCTATTTAGATCAAACAATCCAGGCTCTACGAATGACGCAGAAACGCGTTTCGCACAACCTCGAACACTCCCAGCGCCTTGGGGAACTCGTCGAATTCACTCAGCAATTCCGCGATGATTTCCCTAACCAAACACCCGAGCAATTGTTCGAGAGCATCCAAACCCTTCGTCGTTGGCTCTTCTGGCTTCCACCGTCCATGCTCCGGAATAGCGAGACAGACATCAGTGCCCTTCCAATTCTAGCCCAATTCTTTGCCATTGGCCTCTCCCTCGACCGCTTCTTCCCAGAGCTGGGCGGCGCATACCTAGGTGCCTTATCTATCGGCCCCATTGAAGAGATGTACCGCATAATAGCCGCTCACAATGCCACTGACCCCTTCAACCCTGAGCTCCGTCTAGCCCTTTCTCTCATGGACTTACCCCACGGCATTGTCGCCCGCTATCGCAGTCGTCTCCCCTGGTCTCCCCGCTCATCAGTCGACCACTATTCCTCTGGTCCCTCGAGCCCTTATCGCCACGCTATTCACGACTATCCCCTCGTTGGCACATCCTCACCCGCTTCCGCCTCGCCTTCTTACGCTGCTTATACCCCACCCTTGCATTCTCCTCCCGCCGTCACCATCGCCAATTCCCCCTTCCCCATTCAAGATGCCTACGTCTCCGCTGCCCCCTCGCATTCTCTTTACCCGCCCTCTCCGCAACTCCTTGATTCCCATGATGGTCAACTTGGTCTTTCAGATCTGGGACACGCTCATGGCCACGCTCATCATTCCTCGATCCCTAATTCAGCATCTTATACCCCACCGTACGGCGGCGAGGCGCTCTGCGCTGATTTACCGCGCACGGACGGCACTCTTGGTCTCAATATGGAGGTTTATCCACAGACCCATCCTTTTGAAATCCCAGGATTGGTTGCCTCTGCTTCACTCTGGACTTGAATGCAACCACACTCGATTTTCGAAGCGAAGCTATCTTTACCGAGACAACAAAAAAAGACAAAATCAACAAAAATATGGGAAATTATAGGACAATTCTGGGAAAGGATTTGTTCAGTTGGATTCTGGCTATTGGGTACCAGGAAGGGAATGAAAGACATCACAGCGTCTTTCATTCCCCGGAAATATGGAGGCTACGGCGTTATTTTGCTCTTGGATCTGGATATGGGGAACAATGTGCTTGTCGGATCATTATACGCGAGCATTTCGGTTCCACCCCTCGAATTTCTTTTTTATATACTGAGGCTTTTCATTCTGTGTTTGTTGAGCATGAGCGTTGGTGTGTGATCTTTGTGATTGATTGTGATGCTCGGTTTGGATTTCACATTCAGCTGCAGTTGCAAACTGGGCGGAATTGATTTAAACCGATCATCTCATATTGATATATATACCCTGAATTTATCGAAACCGCTGTTATCCTCGAATTGAAGCATTTGTATGTCGATTATTCCACCTACCGGTTCTCCAGATCTATACAGTTCTCCCGAGAGGGTAGCCCCCAACCCCCGTCAAGAACGAAACTATTCATCTTGGGAATATCTAGCTAAAGATAGAAACCCCCGCTCCTCACCCCCATAACCGAAGCTTGAAAGGAGGCACCTGCATCACGCTCTTGGATACTCCGTACACAACACAACCTCCCCAAAACAGCCACCGGTAACCATTTGCCCCAACACCCCAACCCTAAGAATAGAATCAAGCACACACCACACCGAAGCCAAAAGCACGGGACTCATACATATTAGAGGAATTTAGACTACAGATCGTCCCCTCCGATTGGGCACCCCACAGGCCTTCTCCAGTTCCTCGTATTCGCCTCATCCTTGGCTTCTCTAGAACTATCCGAAACGGGTAACAATCCCCCGTTCTAGCATAGATCTGGGTGTGCCGGGGGTGCTCGGGGCCATGTTATATCTCGCCATTGTGCAATCAGTGATCTTGCGCACCTGCAGTTTGGGGATTAGAGCGAGTGCCATAATCCGAGTGCCTGCATATTCTCTCCGTATCCCGCGGTCCATGACATGGTTGTTCGCAGATACTGCAGCCCTACATGCCAGGATCTGGCTATTTTTGGGGGCGATTACCTAGATTGTTGGGGATCCTTTCCTGCTCTTCACCCCCATTTCCCGTGTTCTTGTTGATATTCGAGTTGCGTTAATTGCTGCTCGCGGAAATTGCGATCAACGATCGTCCGAACTCGTATTTTCTATATTTATCTTTGCCTGCTTATTTGCGTTGCCCTGGCTCTTGATGTGGTTGCTCTCTTAGCAACGCACTAATTTCCTCATTTCTGAGGAATACGGATTTCGAATTGTCCAAAATGGAGATTTGGATTGAGAATATTCGCGTCTTCGATGGCACTCTTCATCGTGGTCGTGGTCCTTGCACTAACAGATGGTCAATGCCACTTCGGGTCGGCGTGTAGTCGGAATAGGAAGAGGAACTTGCAGCTAAGGTTGCATCTTACCTTGAGCTATTTTTGGCGTGAAGAAACGGGACATTCGCTTGATTACTTCGCTTAGACAACTTCTGTGCTTTTCGTCGTTGAGCGTATACCGTCATTGGAATTCGCTCTCAGATTGATGCTGAAATTGATTATATCTTCCTTGTTAGATACAGAGCAGAGGATACTGTGGTTTTACCTGTCAAATTCTCTCGTAGAGACTATATTCACTCTTCGACACCACTATGTACTCACTCAACGTCCTTCTATACTTCGCAGTGGAGATACACGTGACCGGTTTTCTGTCGATCACCTCACGTGATAATGACATAACCGCATTCCCGTTTTGGTAGGAAAGCAACCTCGATATCGACAACACAACACCTTCCATCCAATCCCCTTCAGCATCCATCAAGAACATTCAAAATGGCGGATGCAGGTGGCTGGAGCACCATCGAGTCAGATGAGGTACTATCACGCCCTCAATGTGTCTCAGCAGCGTACTAACACAACCCAGGGCCTCTTCACCTCTCTGATCGAGACACTCGGAGTACAAGAAACCCAATTCGAGGAGCTCATCTCCCTAGATGCAGACACAATCCGATCACTAGGGTAAGCAACGAGACCTCAGAAAATCCACAACCGCCCTCAAAACCAAGCTCTTGGAAACCCCCAACAAACAAACTCACCTAACCAAAATCCTCCTCCAAACAGCCCCGTCTACGGCGTAATCTTCCTCTTCAAATGGACCCGCGAAGCAGCCGGCGCCCGCGCCGAAGCCCCCCTCGACGGAACCTACGACCCAACCGCAACAGATAACAACGTCTTCTTCGCGGCGCAAACCATCCAAAACGCCTGCGGCACTCAAGCCATCCTCTCCGTAATCCTGAACCACGACAACCCGGCTTCCGCGCAACCCGCAATCCCGCTCGGCGGCGAGCTGCGCGCCTTCAAAGACTTCACAACGGGATTCCCGCCTGAGCTGCGCGGCGAAGCGCTGTCGAACTCAGAAGCGATCCGCAGCGCGCACAACAGCTTTGCGCGGGCGAGTCCGTTCGCAGACGAGACGGCTCGGCCGGCGGACGATGAGAAGGGCGCGGATGTTTACCATTTCATTGCGTATACGCCTGTCAATGGGACGTTGTATGAGCTTGATGGACTGCAGCCGCATCCTATTAGCCATGGGGCTTGTGATGTGGAGACGTTCCCGGAGAAGGTGATTGATGTTTTGCAGAGACGGATTGCGCGGTATCCGCCTGAGGAAACGCATTTTAATCTTATGGCCGTTGTGAGGGATCCGAGGGCTAGGGCTAGGGAGATTGGGGATGTGGAGACGCTTGAGAGGGAGGAGCGGAAGAGGGCTGCATGGCAGTGGGAGAATACGTTGCGGAGGTGTAATTTTGTTGGGTTTATTGGGGAGATTATGAAGGGGGTCGTTGGGATGAAGGAGAGTGATCCTGAGGGGAAGGCTTATGGGGAGTGGGTTGAGGGTGCGAAGAAGGAGACTAGGAAGAAGCTCGAGATGCGTCGGTAGAGGCTTCCATTTGTTTCTGCTTGTTCATTTTGCTTTTACCGCTGGCATTTCAGATACCCTTGAGATATGGATGAGGATCGGAATGAAATGAAGATATGGAAATGGTATTCGATGATGATGTTGAACCTCAACGCTATTGTAGTAGATACATGTAGGTGTGATAAATCACCTAGTTGACGCAGTGCTATGTACTGGCGTCCACATCGTAAGTCATGATGATGTGTATGGACAGAGTCTCCGTCCTGAAGATTATCGTTAATTCTCTTCCCCCCGATTGTCTAGTATTCGACAAGTCGCGACCTGACATGCTCCACCAGGGGCGCAGGCAGTTCCTCTGCTTTGACCAAGTTTAGTGACAGCAGATCCCCCCAGAAGAACATGACTCGATCCTGAGCATAAGCCAGGTAGTCAAAGTCACCTTCGTCTTCTTCATCAGCATCCCCATTCGTGGGTGTCTTAGTGTTATCGTCGTCCTCCTCGGCGTTCTGTCCGTTGCGGGCAGCGAGCATCTCGGCAATGCCTTCTTCCATGCCAGGTACCTTGGCCTGCACGATACCCCAGGCCACCCATTGTGCAGAGTTCATTACGCGCCACAACCGGGTTTGCTGCATGAGGAATCGTACCTCTGCGTCATGTTCCTCTTCCTTAAGTTGATCAGTTTGTGAAAGTCGAGAGCTAGGTCGATCAAGACCCTCGTCCAAGTCCAGCGGTGCAAACGCAACAGAATTACGAGCGCGAATGTTTGGCGAGGCTAGAGGTGAGATTGGTCCGCCAATGGCAGCAGGTCGGTGGGTGAGATAGGTTGACACGAAATGGTACTGCTGTTCTGGTGTGGGGTAGGCGCGGTTGTTGCAAGCCCACGAGCGCTCTTCGTCGTGGTAGTTGTAACACCACTCGGTCTGGTACAATTAGCATCCCTCTGGTTCAGTAATCGGGTTGGAAGACTCACGAAGTGGTTGGCGAACTCAAGTCCCGGTGTATTGGCAGAAGAGTACTCAAAGTCGATGACGACCAACTGCTTGTGTTCATTTGCAGGCAGAAGCAGCGGTGACTGGGTGGCGGGCTCCATACGAAGCAAATTGCCATATTGAGTCTGGACAGCAAGTTAGAAAATAGCGAAACACCACAGAGGGGTGTTCACTTACATCATTGTGCGCAAACACCAGTTGGCGCTTGATCTCGGCGATTCCACCAGAGTTGGCAACCAGCCAAAGACGGTAATTTTCTACGGCTTTGCGGAACACGGCCCATTTCACGCCGCAGACATAACCACGGCGACGCCATGGTTCCAATGCAGCCTTGGCCTCATTCTGAGGGGACTGTAGTTCTTTATCCAACCAGTTCATCACTTGCTCGCAACGGTCCACCCACTTATCCCAATTCTTGAAGATCATGGGTCCGCCTTCACGTTCCTCTTCGAGAAGGTCAATCCCATCATGCAATTCTCTCATTCGCTTGGCAACCTGCTTCGCCGTTTCAGGCATACGCAGCTCCTTCGGGGTCAGTGGGCGAGCCTCAAAGTACTCTTCGAATCGGCCATTCAGAAAGGTTCCTAGAATACGTGGGCCGATGTTCTTCTTGCCCAGGCGGCGAAGGATTTGTAATTCATTCTCTCGGTCAATGAGATGATCGACTTGAGGGCCATAGATACGCAACAGAAGCTTCCTGTAAGTCGAATTAGGTATGTATCCACAACAAAAGAAGAGCGGCTGTTCCAAACTTACGGCGGGGGCTTTCTTGAAACCAGTGTGTTGCTATCGGTCTTGGGAGGTGGCAGATTCTTTGGCGGCTTAACTACATACACAGCGTTGGTGAGGGCACCGCTGAGTCTGACCACTTCAATCTCTCCAGCCAGATCAGCGGGGACCTTGCGCCATCCTTTGAGTTGTAGAGTGTGCACAAGGCGAACGATCTCGGTCTTGAAGGTCGACCAAGCCTCTGCATCTTTCGCTTGTTTTACACTTGCGCTGGAGTCGGCGTTCTCTTCTACTGCAGTGCCACCGGTGTAGGCCAGGGTCTTTGTGTTGTCAAGGTAGGCCTCCACGCTTGGTGGGGGCGCCTCAACATCTGTAAAATCCGACTCGGATACAGATCCCCTTCGTAGGCCTCTGAGACGACGTCGGGATTGCCGTTTGACCGGTTGTCTGTGCGTCAAATTCTGTGTACTGCTGGATTGAGTGGTCGCATATTGGAGGAGAATCTTTTCCAGTTTATCCAGGGAAAATGAGCTCTCTGAGGTGTTCGAGCTGGGTCTTTCTAAAGGACCATCTTCTGTGGCTGAGTCATTTCGGTTTGTCGCGTGGGAGATTCCTTCGGATTTCCGTGCTTTACGATTCTGTCGTCTGAATTTCTCATGATGAAGCCATTCGTATACTTGGTGAAATAGGCCCTGCTGGTGATCTTCCTCGGGTCTGGTAGATTGCTCTCGGTTCTCGTCATAGTTGACTGATTGATCTTCCAGAGAAGGCATGGTGAAAATTGGTTGATAAGGTGGTCGCGCAATGGGCTTTTGGAATGTGCAAGCCCTACTGTTTCAGACGTGCCCGTCTGGCTGGGAGCCGATAACGGTTCCACTTGCGCGCAAGGCCTTGGTCAAAGAGCTGATATCCAAGTCCGTTGCCGTAGTAGATCAATCTGTTGGCAATTAGTACGGTTGAGATAGAGAAAGACGAATTGTTCGCGTGGGGTGATGGGGCGAGAGTTGAATCGCCTCCGATGAAGATAGGATTACAAGCAAGGGGACCGCGTGTAACTTATATGGCGGGGCGCAGAGCAATACAGTGGATTCCTTAATTACACGAGCGCCGCAAGAAGGACGTGCTGGAAAAGGATGGAGCCTACCTGCTATTTCGGGATTGGAAGTGTCGTTTTCGGTGAGGGAGTGCACGCGCAAGCCAAGACACGGAGGCTCAAGGGCTTATCTCTTAGCCACGCGACCAGTCGAAACCGCGATTCCTCTCAAGAAATAGAAACCCAGTCCAGGTCGAAACAATTATTGGAGACAAAAAGGAGAGGCCGAGGTGGGGGAATTAGTCGGACCGAAAACCACGGTTGAACAAGCGAACGGAAACGTCCCAGCGGTTTAGTGTTGCGGATCTGGTCCCTGGAATGCGACCCAACCCAATCCGTCTGACAGAATCTGGGGAAATTATCAAGGCCTGGAGAAGATCTCGAGCGCAAAACACCAAGAACACTGCAAAGCCAGTCCGGAGTGAGCTGAGCTCCTGATCGTGGTGGGGGAATTCAACAAAAAAAGATGTGGCGAAAAATTGGATGCTTATCGCTCAGGTGACTGTTTCGGGTGCCTGGCGGATCGGGCACTACTCCGTACACAATTGCGGTTCCTGACTCTCCCCAATTTAGGAACCCCTGACACAGAATAAAAATATACTTGTACGTTCGTCAGGGGATCTTCGAGAGGATCAGGCCACCTCCAGGGTTCATGGCGAATGACCGATAAGGATTTGGAGGGCTAAGTCGCTATCGAAACATGGGCCAGTCGCCAAACACCACACCGCAACGTTGGGAAGTCGCCGGTTCCAGCGGGACATGGCTCAATATAGGAATATGGCGCAGACGGCACTCCAATTGTCGCATGTGGGGGATAAGATGGCGCCAAAGGAAGCTTTTTGGACTCGGGAACCGAGGGCCTGGCCATCACCGGAGCAATCGGGAATCCTTTGGGTGAAGGGTACATGACATGTGAACACCGGACAAATCAGTATACTGTGGGAACCTCAAGCAGACTCCCATTGTGAATATTGGCTATGGCCGACGCAGAGAAGAAGTTGGGAGGTTGAAGGGAGGGGAGATGCATCTTGGGAGAGGGGAGTATGAGGGTAAATTACCGTATATGGTGGTCTACGTATTATTCCCTGTCACAATGCGCCCAAGTCAATTATTGTCTGTTGGATGCGAAAGGTCTTTTTTCTTCAATAGGTCGGACTCGTGCGACATTTTAGGGCGCATATACTACTACTCTATATTGCTACAACTATGGCTGGTTCAGAATCAGGTACGATCATCTCTCCGAGTATGCGACCTACTAGCAACTACGGACAGACCTTATACACTCGCCTCGGGCCTCGTATACCATATACCATGTGCTCCGTATGCAGGTCCATGTAGGGCTATTTCTACGGAGTACTCCGTAGGCATTCCTATGGATATGCCGAGTATGGCCTACTGCATAGAGAGCTACATGATTTCCCCTTCGCACCGGATCTCACAGACCAAACACACCAAATCCAGCTCCTCTACCATTCGCATAGTATTGGCCTCTCCTTGGGTGAACATGTTGATAAAAGAGTGATATGACTTGCCAACATTTCATTCTGTCGTTGACCTCGTATTCTGGATTTGGCTATGGAGACCCTCATAATATAGGCATGACCAGTCCAGACATCAATCAATAAAATGCCGGTACTCATCCCATGGCATCTGGTTCATTCCCTTAGCTCATAATACCAAGTTTGGGTATCTGGACGGAGTACGGAGAACTACCTACCTATGTAGGTACGATGAAAGAGGAATGTGCAAAAATCAGGATGGCGATGATTCCCAGTACGGAGTATCGTCATCCTATCGGCATCTCAGGCTGTCAAGGTATGCACGTAGACATGTAACCCTTTGCGTGTCTTGACCAGCTGCAAGTATTCAGAGATTTTTTCAGGTAATGACGAGCTGCCATGATTGGCATACTGGTTGCCATAATTACTTCCCTTGTCCTGCTATGTCTTTAGACAAGGATCATATACTACCGAACGAAACAGTATGATTGGTTGCCCCAGCTTCCACCCTCATGACTATGGGGTCATGCTCGATAACCTGATCAAGATCAATCGACCAAACATACGGTGGACACAATGAGTCCGCGCACAGTCTTCGTTGAGCTATGTGCAATTGACTAGTTACTAGATGTGATTTTTAAGACCATCTACAATTGCCTTGGCAAGCCACCCCTATTTATTGTCGATTTGCGACCATTGAGATATCATGTGTGCGATCTGCAATCGTGAAGTTGCAGAGCCACTATACAAGAGCTCAAAGCTGTTTCAATACTCCGTACAGTGTTCCTAAAGCTCAAGACGTTTCTTTTCGTTGGACATGATACAACGAGTATCTTGTTACAATGGACAGTTCTATGAAATAGCCCTGACTTCACGCGTCTTGGGTCTCGCTTGCATGGAGTTGGATGAAATATTTGGTCCTGGTACGTCTCCAGCCATCGTTCGCCATCTATTTTTAGAGCATGGAGAGGCATTTCTTCAACAGATGTCCTACACCTCTACTGTTATCAAAGGGATCTTTCATCTATACCCACCAGCTGGAACAGCGCGCTATTCGAACCCCAAAACTGGTATGATGGTTCGGCTACCGAGTAGTCAAGATGTTTGTCTGGCTGGTATGGTGCTTTATAACTGCGCGAGTATCATACAATGTGACAGCGCTGTGTATGGTGATACAAGCGATCAGTTCATCCCCGAGCGCTTGTTGGAAGCCGATATTACTATACCGGTGAGTGCTTGGCGACCATTTGAGCGCGGGCCACGAAGCTGCGTTGGGGAAGAGCTTGCAAATTCCGAAGCTCTTGTGATTGTGGCATGTGCAGCGCGTCGATATGACTGGGAGAAGGTAGGACTTGGGGCAATCAAGCGAGATGGGTCAGGTGTGCCGATTGAAAAAGCCAAATGGGCAATACGAAGTCCAGTCAGTACTGTATAATGTACTCCGTACGGAGTACTCCGTACTCCGTATCTACTCAAGAGCTATCCCCGGAAGTAGGTATATTTACTAACCAAGTCCAAACCTTAGAAATCACCTCCATGCCAGTGGATGGAATGAGGATGCGAGTCAAAACAGCAAAAGCATAGTATCCGATATTTCAATGTTTGGATCCATTATAATACAGAACGAAAATATCTACCCCCGTACGGCACAAAACCTTAGAAAAGACGCCCGTTGACAGTTCTCTAGTCTTGTGAAGGGGGATGGTGGGGATGGCCGGACGTATTGTGAGACATTTGATGCTGCCAAGGGGTCCTTTTCGGATAATTTTGGAGTAACTCCGGAGGGCTTGGATGGTGAAGAGAGAAAGAGACAACCCAAGGATCAGACTTGTTGGGCTGAAAAGGCAAATGAACACCTTGAAGGACTGTTAAGCGACTAGCGGCATTATATCATCGAGGCGTTTTCTTCTGCAAAAGCCAAGTCGCTGGATAGGTCTACATAATACCTCGTAAAAACACTCAATAAATCATGTACAGCAACTAATAATGCGAAAATATATACGGAGTACTCCGTACGGAGTAGCTTACACCCGTGACCACAAAGCAAGGGAGAGGAGGGTGATAAGACGGATCCATAGGCAAATGCAATACGCCACAAGGCGTCTAAAAGCAGAGGCTCGATTGAGGACTTGAAGCCCCGCGACTACAGTACATACTGCGTACGAGAGCTGCTTTTCTCCCGTATTCCGAGTCTCACCCCGGATCGAAATCGGCATAGCTGATCACCGATCATCCACGCCAGACCCACACACTCACGCCAAGCAGGCGAAATTGTAATCCGAGTCAATGTGGAGAGACCGAGTGAAACCCATTCACTGAGAGCCGGGAGGGGCTTTAAGCGTCTCTATATTTAGGATCTTCTGTGTCGTCAACGGCATGACGGAACGTCCTTCCTGATTGGTATAAAACCCTCACAACCCACGTCCCCTTTCGATCCCACAACTTTTATTTCAGACAATTCTCTACCTAACTTCCTATCTCCTTACCATTCGAACTCCAAAATGAAGTTCACAACTGCAATCATTGCCACCCTGGTCGGAACCAGCACTGCCTTGTTCGACAAGGACCAGCGTACGCAATTTTATACCCCCACCGCGCCGTAACCTCGGCTCCAAAAGAGCCTTCAACTAACAATGTAATTTACTGAATAGCCTGGGGCAAGCGTGACTATTCCTGCGTGAATGTCTACCAGGGCATCCCGGATAACTCAACCGTCGTCGCTGGTCAAACCGTCAACGTGCGCTTCAACCGCAAGCCCACCGGACGCTGCACGGATCCATTGACTCAATACCCCGGCGACGACTACAGCGTCTGGCTGTACAATAACCCCGTCCGCAACAGGGATATTATCTCTTTCGATCAGTCAATCAAGATTACCGATGGTATTAAGGAGAAGGCGGGTCACGTTGCTGTCACTATTCCCAAGGACTTGCCTCAGGTCAAGGATGGCTCGGTTTGGTATTTGCGGGTTGGAACTACTCTCTCAACTGCGCCTCAGGTATGCTTCTTTCTTGTTTTTGGTTTTGTTTCTTCTTCGAATCATTTGAGTCGGGGTTGTGTTCATCTTGGCTTTTCTTCCCGCGGTTGGTTGCAGACGCTAATTGATGTAGATGCCCTCCTTGTTCAACGCCGCTGGACCATTCACCGTTACTCGCTCATAAGTCACTTGGGCTTGGGTTAGAACTTTGTTCGGTTTGGAGAGGGTACCTGCATATGTATAATGATAGTTGCATCACTGCGATCTCAGCAAGTCCTATGGTTGAGATAAATTGAAGCGTATGTATATTCATTTGAGCTAGGCTCCTATGGTCTGGAAAAACACCGTACCATCCCGTCTTTGTTCGGATAAAATAAATACTTAGTTCTTGGGTACCACCCCGTAAGGTGTTCATGCCGCCCCAGGCTCAATCACGGAACGAAACACTAAAGACCTTGTAACCATTGACAGGGTTACTCTTCTGGTCATTAAAATTCAAGTGTCCTAGCCGGTCAATATCCATATATTCCCCTCGCTCCATAAATTGCATGGTGTAGCCAAGGCCACGACCTAAGAATGCCAATTTCACATGAGCTGCATTTCCGCTTTGGCTCTGGGGAAGCAAAGTGCCACTCGTGCCAACCCAACGGCCATCTAGCGCGCTGGAGATCGTAAATATATGGCTCTCCTCATCATGGGTATAGTGGATCACCCAACGCTGCGATTTATCATTGTGTTGGGGGCTTGCAGGACTGGAACCAAGGCTATCACCGTGGCTTGGGTTTGTGATGGCTGCTCCATTCTTCTCGAAGACAAGATAACGGCCCTCGGTGAGATGTCCTATCACCTCTTTAAAGCCCTCTTCAAACCATAAGGCATTGGTATCTGTTGCATTTCCCTGCTCTCCATAGGGGACATCAGGTCGGGTCTGCTTGTGCCGAGATCGACAATTAGATGTACCAGTATAATCGCCCTTTTCGTTGGTGTCCACTGTTCCAGCATCGGGAAGCCGAGGAAGAGAGTAGTCTGGGTGATCAAAGTCAAGAGCATTGACAAGATTAGACATGTGATTGCGTCGCCAGGGGACCATTTGGTCTGTTGTGATATTTTCGTGTCCGCGGGCGGTCAGCCATTCTTCAACGAAGAGGATCTGAGAGTTATGATCTGCGCGTTCGGTAAAAACGCGGTTTCCTCGAGTCCAGGGTGAGACCATATAAAAAGGGACTCGGAAACCAGGCCCTACAAAAATATCGGAGAACAGGCCTAGGGGATCCTCCATCCATTCTCCCGGAGTATTCTTAGGGGAATGGAAGGGAGTGACGTGGTCGCCAAATCCACCGGTCTCGTCAAAGCTGATCATCAGAAGAGTGGAGTTGTATTTCGGGCTGCTGGTAACAGCATCAACCACATTCTTCTGAAGCCAGCCTCCATCCTTCGGCATATACGGCGGATGCTCTGATAGTTCGGCCGGGCCGACGATGAAACTGACCTCAGGCAATGTTCCATTGGCTGCAGCCTGGTAGAAAGAATCAAGGCCAACAAAAGACATGCCCTTTTTAGCCAACGGGCTATTCTTAGGGGCGTTTTGAAATTGCTGGAACCAAGCCAAAGGGTTATCGTCGAAATTGTTTGCGCCTTGGAAGAGTTGCCAGGAGACCCCTGCTTCTTCATAGAAATCATAAACAGTCTTCCATTTCAGCGGGTAACAGTTAATACCATGGTTGTCGCAGCCTAGGCACGTTAGTCAAATCATATCCTAGCCCAAAGAAAGTCCCAACCGAACACGCAATAAATCTAGGTTGAAGAACGGCTAAATAAAACACACCTGGTATCTCGTTGTTGTCGATATATACACCACCCTGGTCCTTGCTCTGGGGGCCACCAGGAACATTGATGGAACCGCTAACTAAAGTGACTCGGTTAGGGTTTGTGGCAGTAATTTGGCTTTCCTATATAAATCAGCCTCCGAGTTCTCCGAGAAAGTCAACCTTGTTTCACGCACCTGGTACATGTCTCCCGCTGTCCAACCTTCCGCGATAGCAAACTGGACCGGAATGTCTTGCCGTTTCAGATATCCCCAGCTCCAGGGAGTATTTTTGGTCACCCAGTGATTGTTCAACCCATTATTCAGGGATTGCTGGTTCTCCTGGTACCCGTTACTACCCGCCACCATACACTGGATGGCATCATGCCAGTCACCGCCTTGATGGCCAAGATACCAGGGGAGCAATGTCTTGGTCTTGTTTGACTGGGACGGCTCGACTAGTCTGAGAAATATTAGAGCCAGCCATTGCCGTGGGCCTTCGCTGTCGACCACTTACTGATGCCAGACCGAATTTCCATCGGAGTTCACCTGAACATTAGGATCATTAAAGCCGCGGACTCCAGGCATAGTGCCAAAATACTGTGATTCCATTAGCACGAAGTAGACCTTGGGTAGGGTAAAGCGCACGGTGTCCCACGAGCGATTCTCTTGCATGAAAATGACAACATGCTCAATGTCTTTCAAAGACCCCCCAGATACGAGACAAGTTTCCCACAATATCACAAGAGTGATGAAAATTGGCAATTTGAACGCCATAATGTGGTGATAGGAGCGATGAGATAGAGGGGGAAATCCAACAGCGGAATGCCTTGTTTAAGTACCATCCACGAGAGAAGCTACGAATCGCGAGGAGAGTCCAATATGCACCATGGACGTGGACCTGTGGATTGCCCCACGAGGTTCAAGACTCCATCACATGGGCAGGCCAAGGTTTGTTCTCTCATGGCAACTCCAGACAGAAAAGATAAATCGGTCGGAGATTGAGAAGACAGGGGTGGGCATTCTTAGGGAGTCATGCTGATCATCACCAATGTTGGACAACGGAGACACGTCGGCAGAAGGGGAAGCACAGTGGAAGCCTACCGACGGAGTGTGTTGTTGATCCAATCTGATATGCGGGTGGCTCCACGTGAAGCTTTGGTCCCAAGGTTCGGGCCAACGCCTAAAGTTTAAACGGGAAAGAGCACTTTCGGCAGGAACGATATACTTAGAGGTACTTCTTAATGCAACATCTCCATTTAACCCCCCTCCCTGGACACATACCTTCACGAACTATCGAGATACTAATTGTTCTAGACTCATTCTGATTTGTTCGACCAGGGCACGTGGCTTGCATGAGTTTCTGTAAGGTCGCATCGAACGTCGATTCAGACGTGCATTCCCCCTAGCAGCAAGGGTGGAATGAGATCATCACTTGGATTCTCTTCCCCTCCAACCTTGATCTTACCCACATAACTACATTTCTACGAGGTCAATGGTCTGTACACGGCTTCGTTGCTAATAGACTATGCCGCCGCGGAGCCCGTGTCAGGAAACTGCCCGCAATCCAGAACGAGTGGCCTTTCGATCGAAACCCGAGCTGCCACATCGGCCTTGGCCAATTTTGAGCTGCGTATTGGTTGCAAGTTTCCTGATTGGACTGTCATATTTGCTCCAATCGACTCTTATCTCACTGGTTCCCTTAATCTTACCTGGGCGGCATCATCAACATCCCCAACCAGATGATCCCACTGCTATTCGGCCGCGGATAGAACTTCACCCAGAGGATCATATCTACCGGGCCCCGGCGACCCAATATTTGGATTGGAGTGTGACCTCGAGTCATCGGAGGCCAGATGGTGTACTGAAGCGGGTCTATCTCATCAATGGTGTGCAGAAGAATTTCACCAATATGGCGATTGCCGATCTGACCGGAGGATATCGAACTAGACTTGTTCCCTGGACCGACGGTGGAGGGCCGCTCTGGTGACACCTTGATCATTACTGTTACGAATACCTTGCCTGAAGAGTCAATTGCTCTCCATTGGCACGGCCTCCATGTGACTAGTAAATATCTCTGTGAGCGGTATTCACAAAGTGTCAGGGCTAACGGAGTTAGATGTCATGGATGGAGCGGTCGGAGTTTCACAATGTCCCATAACGCCGGGGAAGCAATTCATCTATAACTTGACAATTCCATCCGATCAGAGTGGTACGTTCTGGTACCATGCTCATTCGGGGGTTTCGCGGGCAGATGGCCTTTATGGTGGATTGGTCGTCCATACGCCGGCTTCCAAATCGACCCTTCGGGGCCTGGATTCCCGAGGTCACGATAATTTTCCTAGTCATACCCCCGAAAATGAGCTTTTACTCCTCATCGGAGACTGGTATCACGGCCCTGCTAGTGATATTCTAGATTGGTATATGGACCCGGGGAATTTCGGGAACGAGGTGTGTTTGATGTGCGGTTGCAGTATGTTAGCTAACACCGAAATTAGCCTGTTCCTGATTCCTTAGTTATCAATGGAGCCGGAGTTTTTGATTGCATGATGGCTGTCCCTGCTCGGCCGTTGGACTGCATTGATCAACAAGTGAAACCTTCGTCTCTCGAGCTAGATCTTCAAACAACCTATCGAATTCGCGTGGTCAACACCGGGTATGTGGTAGCAAAATAGAAGCGAAAAGGAGCTCCTAGCTGAACAACTGCCAGTTCTCTAGCTGGATTCAGCCTCATATTTAACCGCCATGCTTTGGACCTACTTCAGGTAGATGCTGTCGATGTGGCACCACCCAGAGAGACGAATGTAAACTCGGTCGGTATACTCTTTCCTGGACAACGCATGGACTTTATCCTTCGGCCCTTATCACGGAAGTCCAAAGGGCAGTCATCAATGATGGTTCAATTGGATCAAGAGTATGATCAGTCAACCACCACACAAAGCAGTAATCTTTGCTAATATTCTCACCAGTTGCTTTAAATACTCCAATCCAGCATTGACACCAAATCAGACATTTTCGCTCAATCATCGCTCTGACATAACGAGAGAATCCAAGATCAACACCCACCATCTCAACCTCGAAGAAGTGCCTTCTGCGCCATCCATCGTCAATTCCATCCCTCGCAAAGCACAACAAACTCATGTGGTCTATACTAAGATCCAAAAGTTGGCCCAGTATTCCAACAAACCCTTCGGCCATTTCAATCAAACCACCTGGAAGCCCCAGCAAAGTCCGCCCGCTCCACTTATCTCTCTACCTCGAAATCAGTGGGATAAAAACCAGCTCACGATAACCACAGGCCCGGAGCCTGCATGGGTAGACTTGATCATCAATAATCTGGATGAAGGTTCCCACCCTTTCCACCTGGTAAGATCCCCATCCCTATTCCGTACCCCGGGGCTACACTGAGACGGATCTATTGTAGCACGGACATCATTTCTACATACTTGCAGTCCACCAAGCCGACTTCGGCTGGGGTTCCTACAACCCCTTCACCGACGAGATCCCTCCACACCTGGAATCAAAATCAGAATCGAAAGACACAAACAATGCGCAGAAATCCAAAATCAACTCTGGTTTCCTGTACGACACATCCCGGGCCGCATTGCGTGATACGGTCAATATCCCAAGTCGCGGTTATGCAGTTCTCCGTTTCCGGGCGGATAACCCCGGCGTGTGGCTCCTGCATTGCCATATCATCTGGCACCTAGCGACGGGCATGGCTATGCTTGTGGATGTACAGGGCGACTTGGCGGGATTGGCTGCACATGTTAGTAGTGGGGAGCCGTGTCTTACTTGAGGCGGATTCAGGGGTAAAGGTAGGTCGGAGACCTCGGCAGCACCCTACAACTAGTCATACTGCTCCGTAGTCTATATCCGACTATTGACCAAAATATCACTAGAAACGCGCTCGATTTAATGGCTTTCCTCCACAGATAAGAATTTACCTACTCAAGAAATTGGTGACTAAAATTGATCTTGCGGATAATGCTTGATATTTTCTATACCAAAGAAAGTATGTACCGAATCTATAATTTTAGGATATCAAAGGTCGTGAAGAGGAAACAACAAATGGAGACCGAAGGGAAATGAAGGAAGGTAAATCCCAAAAAAAGGCAAAAAGCAAAAGGCAAAGCTAAAGCAGAAGAAAATGGAATGTACATAGGCCAAAAGCAAAAAAAAAAAAAAAGAAAAAAGAAAAAAGGAGAGAAAGGAGAGAAAGTCCAAGTCGCTAAACACGCTTGCCTTCGAAGCCTTCAGCAGGCCAACCCTGCAGGGTATCGCCATCCTCAACATGATCACCAGACAGGACAAGAGTATGCTCCAAAAGACAAGTATCCTGGCCCATCGAAGCACCAGACATCAAACGCGAGCCAGCGCGCAGAATACTCCGATCTCCAACCTTGAGGGTATGCAACTCGAACCCACCACGGGAGTTGACGTGGCACACCAAAGAGGCATCGTCAACAGCGACACGGTCACCAATAGTAAGGAGATCGGGTTCAGTAAAGTAAATACTGGGAGTTCCGTTGGAGTGAATCGCACAGTCCTTTCCGATGTTCGCACCAAGGAACTGGTAGTACCAGCTAACGTATGCGGATCCCGTAAGCATGGGCAGAAGGCCAGAGCCACCGTAACAGTCCTTGATAAGTGTCTCGCAAGATAGAAGGAATTGCCAGCGCTGGTTGTAGCTGCTCTTGTCCCAGTGGAAACTGCCTTCCTGGCGACGACCCATGATGGACCATTTGATGCAGATCACAACCGCGAGGGCGAGGAAGGCTTGTGCGCAACTGATTCCAGAGAGGATTGAAGCGAGCATGCCGTAGAGAACGAATGGGCGCCAGGGGCCTTGGGAGAATCCCACGGCGTCGCTGCCCTTCAGGGCGGCTTTGAGGGCCAAGAGGGAGAACACGACTCCGAGGAGCCAGTAGACGGTTGTAACAACGACGGAAAGAACGGAGTATATGACGATTTGCCAGATGCGGAGGACGTAGTAGTTGGCCTCGTGACGGTAGAAGGCGCGACCGAAGGGCTTACAGGTGTCTTTCTCACTGACCGAGGGAGCGGTCTGCTTCTCGTTGATGGTCTTCTCGTCAGGCTGTTTTTCATCTTCGCTGGAGCTGTTACCGCTGCTGGTTCCGACGACGGTGGGGGCGGTTGACATGGAGGTTGAAGTCGAGCTGGGGAACTGCACAGCATCACCTCCCTTGCTACCGGTCCAGACGCTGTTAGCTGCGTAGTTACCGTTCCGGCGGAGTAGACCACCAGAGCCGATCATGGCTTCACGACCGATGGTAGTACCGGGCAAAGCGACGACACGGTCGCCGACCATGGCGCCATCACCAATCACGATACGGTCACGACCGTAGCCATCAGAGGTGACGAGAGTCGAGCGAGAACCGAAGACAACATCATTACCGACCTCGATGAGATCAAAGTCCGGAAGAGCGGGACCAACACTGGGCCAGTAGACACGCTTGCCAACCTTACCACCAAGAGCGCGGATGGCCATCGAGACAAGCTCATAGTGACGACCAGCCAGACGGGTGAGTTCGTGAATATCGCCTGACGGCAGGATCTCGGCGAGTACAGCAGCCCGGATTTTCTGGCGAGTAGTCTGCTTTGAGGCAGCACCGGGCTGGGGCTTTCCGCAGATGAGATCGAGCAAGGACTTGACAATCCAGACAGCAGCGAAGAGCACAATCGGCCCACCGAGAGCACGGCAGATTCGTGCCGTGATGTGGAAGCCAATCCGCTGGCCATTGGTGTACCATTCGAGCGTGGCCATAAACATATCTTCTGTGGGAGCAGGGAACGAGCGCACCATTGGCACGAGCCCACCCATCCAAGTAAGACGACCAGCAACCCAGACGAGGATCTTGATAGGCTCAATCACGATGAGCTTCCAGATCCAATGCGGCTGAGGGATACGGGGAGTGAGCAAGTCACGGTAAGACTCGTCGGCGTCGTGGAGTTCCCAGCTGGACGAGTTGGGACCAATGCAGGTGTTCTCAGGGATAACAGCACCGGCGGCAACCATGGACTTGATTCCAACAGACGAGTCCTTGCCGATTCGGATGCGCTTCAGGAGCATAGATGTGTTACGCTCCACGGCAAAAGGACGGCATTGGGAACCAGTATCCAATACGACGTTGTCACCAATCTCGACCAAGTCATACTCACCCAGCTTGGCCGATGGGGCAAGAGTGACATTTCTGCCAATCTTCGCGCCGAGAAGACGATAGAACATTACACGAGACCAGTTCCACTTGTTGAACATGCCCTTTCCGCAGACTTGTAACGCCTTTTGAGTCAACCACCAACGGGTGTGGTATGGACCCCACATGGGAGACATACCCTCCTTGTAGCGACCGATGACAAGCCACTTGAAGATGATACCGCAACAGGGAAATACGATAATCGAAGCGACACGAGCGGACACCACAGCCAAGACAATCAGGACCAAACGACCGATGAGGACGTCTCGAATGGGGAATCTCCAAGAGCACTCGGCCACGACATATGCGAACACAAGCCACTGAAAAGCGCGCTTCATGGGATAAAAGAATGTAAGCGGGAAGAGATGCAAGAGCAATACAATTGGATTTGTGCTGCTGTATGTCTTCTCGCAACCAGGCAACTCAACTTCTCCTTGGTCGCCCTTAGCAGTCTTAGTCTCAACAGCCTCGGTGATCTTATGCTCAATAGCTCCAACGGTGCTGTGGTGGAAGAGAACATCACCAGCCAAGAAGATACCGAATTCGCGACGAAGCTGCGAAACCAGACGACCGGCGCTGAGACTATCGCCACCGGCAGCAAAAAAGTCTGTGATTGCATTGATATCCTGTGCTTCGCAAGACAACGCGACAGCAAATATCTCACGCACGCGGGTCTGGATAGACGTCAGGTCGCCGTCCGAGTTGCGGGCACGAATAGCGTCGTCGATGGCAGCCTGGTCAGGGTTTCCGAAGAAATCCAGAGGCATCGGACCTTGAAGGGGAATTATGCGACTGGGGATGAGGTAGCCATCCAGCTTTTCGTGGAGGTCGGTGGGTGTGAGATGAACATCATCCGGGTTCTCAACGAACAGAACAGCTTGCGCGAACCCATCGCGAGGGTTCTTGTGGATATGTACCTCGGGGGTCTTCGCCGCCTCAGTGAGAACCACGCGAATGAAATTCTCATCAATAATACACGCCTTCTTCGGGATTCCTGTGGTAAGTGGAGTACCGTTGGGTGGACACACGGCCTCGTAGTGTCGGTCTGCCAGTGGCGTGGTCGGGGTCAAAGGCTCTAACTCCAACCGCTGTGCAAGCTTGATACGCTGAATCTTGTTGTTCGACTTCGGTACACGGTCCATGTATACAACCACAGCGGGCCACTTGGGCTGGTGGAGAACCGGGTGCAGCGCCTCATGAATCTGGCGAAGATCCGGCCTCGTGCTGCCGGGAGTTGGGACGATAACCACACCGACGACTTCTTGCAGCACCTCATCGGGAACGGAAAAGGCCAGTGTCTCAGCAACGCGACCATACAAGGGGGATCCGGGGTGCTTGGCCGTGGCCAACACGGCATCCTCCACCTCGACGGGAGAGATAATTTCACCACCACGGTTGATAACCTCCTTACTCCGACCGGTGATATATAAGTAGTTGTCGGCATCGAGGTATCCCAAATCACCAGTGTCGAACCAGCCAGACTCATCGAATGCACTGGTATCGATTTTGCCATCGGCGGTCAAATATCCCTCGAAAGCAGGTGATCCACGAATGCAAATGTGTCCAAGCATTTCAGGTCGAGGAACAGGTGTACCGCTCTCGGTCAGAATTGCAACATCAGGGCCAACAATCTGTCCTGAAGTTCCATGGCGATCGAGAGTATAGTTCTTTGGTGGCGCAGCAATAGGCATGCATTCAGTCATACCATAACTGGGCAGGATGACACAGTTGAAGATATCACGAAGCTGCACGGCGAGCGTTGGAGGAAGACCAGCACCAGCGTTACAGATGAACTGAATTGCACTTTGCTTTCTAGCATCGGGGCGGTGCTCAGCTTCACCGAGAATCATTTGATGCATAGTGGGTGTGGCATAGTACCAGGTTGGAGTCATGTGAGGGCTTTGAACGGCATCCCAGAACATGCTGGGATCGAAAGAGGGACAGCAGATTGTGGCGCCGCCAGCGAGAATAGGAGAGAGGATACTGCGAACAATACCGCCACTGATTTTGTTAGTGTTTTCCTCGTTTAGACTTTGGGAGGGGGTGGATATACACATGGTTCAACGGCATCATGTTCAGACAGGTATCTGTCTCGGACAATTCTACCGACTCCATAGTGGCTATGGTACCCGCGATGAGGTTATAAGCTGTGATAGGAACTAGCTTCTTGGTACCACTGGTACCACTGGTGAAAAGGATAATGGAGATATCATCTCCAGAGTTAGGAGGGAGGTTTGATACTGTGCCAGAGGCATTGTGTGCAGAAATTACCCGGAAAGTCAAGTCTTCAAGCTGTTCAAGACCAAACACGGGTCGTTTACCGTTGTCCAGCTGCAACTTGCCTATGTCCGCGTCCAGCGCGACAACGGCATCAGCTTGCACCTGTTCGATATCCATCTGCAGCTGCTCCGGCACAGTGTTCGATGCCATTGGTACAATGGTGTACCTGTTGGAGATGGCAAGAACTGCAATTGCCATAATAGGGCCATTGGGCAAAATGACCGCAACACGAGGCTTTCCATGGCGGGAAAGGCCCATAGGTAGCTGGAAGCTCTGCACAAATTGGCGGATGGCATTATGGGACAGATTCCGGCCGGTGTTGGCGTCGATGAGACCAGCGCGAGAGTCGGTCCCTATTGCTTCAGCAATGCTAGGAGTAGCTTCTTTCATCTGTGCCCGAAGGCGAGCAATTGCTTCATTGTTTTTGGCCTTGAGAGGTTCTGGGAGGGATTTGTAGATGTCTTGAAAGGCGAGGATTAGGTGTCGGATGGGCCAGGGGCCAGAGTGTGAGGATAGTAGTTCGGAAAGGTGGTGTGCAGCGTCTGGTTGTGAAGCCTCATTTCGGAGGTGTACAAGCTGTTCCACGAGGCTGTCTGGTAGTTAGAATGGGACAAAAGAATGAAGATAAGAATAGGAGGATCATATCAAACATACAAATGTGCTGGCATATCCGCCATATTGTATACAGTATATGCCAAAGATCGAACCGTTGTTTGAAGACAGAACAGATCTATAGATGTACACCTATCGGACATTCGAATCTGGGCAGAGGGGCCTTTTACAACTTATAGGCTTTACATGTGCTTAGATAGCTAACACTGCTTTGATCCACCAGTAAATTGAAAATTACGATAGCCAACGTACATGGTACATCACAGACCCATTTGTGACAGTATGTTCTCCATGGGATTCACTAATTGGGTCAATTGCAAGAGGAGAGGGCCCGCATGGCATCCAGGTACTCAGCCTTGGCCAGGTCCTATGGAAAATTCCATTCATCGGAGATACAGGGGAAGGTGGAGCAACGACACCTCGGATTGGCAGTCCTCAGCCATGGCTTCAATGGTACAGCTGGGCTGAACATGGCGTGAGTGATTCCAGCCGATATCTCTGGAGAGGTCCGATTCCAGGTACAAGCTTTCGGTTTGCTGTTATTTCGTTTATTTCGTATAGCCATGGCGATATATCGCCCATTTCTCATCGTATAGCCCTGGCAGAACCTGGCAGACTTCGACTATCAGTTGTACGTGTACAATTGCTCACGATATTCTCCGACCTGCCACGACTATCGCCACGTGAAGTAGGTGTATTGCTCCGATCATCACGGATCGGCAGCTAGGGCCACAATTCACGTGGATCCACGACAGAGAATGTTGTCGACTATTGGCACTCGTGCCCCGTACGGAATCCATTCGGAGCTCTTGGCACAGCGCTTGGCACAGGAGAGTAACTGCTGTGGGCGATCCCTGAAAATCCTGCAAGCCCAAATATCAGTCCCCAGTCCACACGCGGCAAACCGCTAGGCCCACCGATCGTCAGGACCCGTCGGTACTGTGAAAAGATCCCCTGCCGGCTTACGTTCTGTCAGCCTTGCCGAGGTGGAGTTATCGCTGGAAAGTATCTAGGTAGCTAAGATTCCTTGTTATGGTGTTATGGTGTGCTCTCCGAATGACGTACTCCGGCACCGGAGCAGTCCGACGTTCGAAGTCCGATTTCTCGGGACACACACTCGCATCCCGATCGAGTTCCCGGATAATACGTTTTTTTGGCTCCAAGGTTATATGTTTCCATGGATATATCAATCCTGGGTTCATATAATCAAGATTCAATTTTGGATGGAAACTGAAAATGTCTGGAATTTGCGTTCTCGCCGAGAGTTCTGTCACATATGATGCATAAGTGCGGAGCTTGGTCAATCTGATACATCTATATACGTCGCGAGAGGATCTATGGACCAGGTGCATATCAGTTGCTCACAGACCAGAACACACGCGTTGTACAAAATGAAGTTTGATGTCAATTGGTCTGCAGGCAAAGATCCATGACGAGTCTGGACGGCAGTGGGTAATTCCCCACAGCTCCAGACGCCATCACAATCGATTCAAACTGAAACAACACACGGCCATCCCCCAGAGAACGCCATTCGGGCTCATATATATAGAACGATTATGACGTCCCGGATGGTGTACAGGCAGTTTGTCTCCCAAATTAAACAACTGCAGAATCGTGGGCCAGATTCTTCTGTTGCTCCTCGACCCACTTGGTACTGCAATAGGTCGCCACATTACGTGACCCCGAGCCTCAAACTTTGACTCCTTTTCGATTATCTTTTTCAATCTCCCCTATTACCCCTGGACTGCCATGTGCATGTGCATATGCATTGATGTACGGAGTGTAGAGCTATATAATGCTCCGTATATGCAAGTGGGCAATAGATTTTCAAGCCGAGGACGGGTCAATCCAGAAGACACCACCTCCCAGCCTCACGATGCAGTCGGAAAATAATTGCTGTGCGTGGCGACATCACATCGGAACCTTGAACTCTGTGTCCACATGGCAACATCAGGGTCCCAATCGGAGACGTCCTGCGCAAATTGTAGTCTTGGTTCATGGGGGTCTCCATTAGAGATTCCATAACCATAACTTCAACAAGCGCTCTAGGCGAATTGCTTATTTTGTGGAATTCTTTTTCGTTCCTCTTTTCGTTTTTTTCCCTTGATTTTGATTTTCTTGACTTTTTACACCACGTTCTCCAACTCTCCAAACCTCGGAAAGTTAGTGGAGTCCTCTCGGATCCCAGAACACGCCTGCCTCGGTAACAGTCGAAGAAACAAGCTTGAATAGATCAAGACTTTTTGGATCCATACTAAAAGTCTTAAAAAAAGGGGAGGGGGAGAGAGGGGGGCCAGAAGATCGCTTAGTATTTGACTACCAGATAGGCAAGATCTACACCACGGCAGAGGACCAGATCACCTATATTGCATCTTATCAGATTGTTTCAAGTAAACTGGGAAGGTCACCTCGGTAGTTGGAATGAAATCCTCTTTTACTTCCATCCCTCAGGGCAGTTGGGAGTCGCTCATCGAAAGCTTCGCTATGATCTCATTAACCCACCGGCGTACCCGCAATGGTGATCCCAGAGCTCCACCACCCCCACCGGCTTCATGGCCTCGCGTTGGCGATAATCTTATTTTGTAGCTTTGCCTTCGATCTTGGCATTGAAGCCTGGCTCTGTCACTATCATGTACAAGGGTCGTGTATACAACGTACATCTACTCACATGCACGTCGCACATCATCGTGTGGTTGAAATTCTTCGCCCACGTGGGACTTCAATATCAGTTTCTCCAATGATATTCTTCACACCAATTTCAATTCTCGTCATGGCTACATTGAGATAGCCTGCAACCTACAACATACAGAATTGGCGCCCATGCTGATCGTCTAGTATCTTATCTCGCATGCAGTGCTCGCTTCAGCTTTCCGCACACAATCATGCCACCCGGTCTCTCGGCTTCTAGCAAAACTGTGGGGCGTCAATGCAAGTCACTCAATGAAGCATGAGGGAACGTCAAAGGTATACGATCTACTCCGTACGGAACATATCCTTTCCTTCTTCAATGGATGATAAGAATCTGCTTCACGAACCCAGTCTTAGTCGGTTCGAGCCTACCATAATGTACTGCTTTGGGGGACTTGCACAGTGTCTATTTCAGCCGTGAAAGAGAGAGGGTCGAAGGAAACAATCACGCCATGAGCGTATCTATCTGCAATGACAGGACTATCAGTTTGAATTGTAGCCAGTGAGAACGCAAGATAGATCCCACGAGGATCCCCTGGAAGAATTGCACCAATGGCTACCTAACATGCACTTAGCATTCAATGGACAACGCGAAACGGCCGACAGGTGGTTCCACACGAGGACCTGCAGAAACTGCAAATGCTAGTCACCGAATGCTATGGGGCATATGTTGTATGCTCCGTATAATGACAACCTTCAGCGTTGAGCCATTTAATCTCCGATGAGGGTTTTACCGCCGATGTGGAATGACCAATTTCCTTCGGTGCCGCTCTTGACGAGAAAATTCAATCTGAACACCAATAAAGTTAGCCTTGTAGCCTTTGTTTCCACTAGATATGTCCGATTGACGGAGCTTGAAACAATGCTTGGCTTTAGGACAATCGGGCCGGTGTTGAAGTATGACGGCTGCGTGGGTTTGTATGGCATCGGGTTTCACATCTACAGAGAGGCAGGACTAGATATATGTTATCTATTGACAACACTGACATTGATGAACCAAAGTGGTCTAGCCCAATGGCACTAGGATATCTTCCATGATAATTCGAGGATGTGCAAGTTTCTCATAGACCATGGTGTGTGTCGGAGATCCTTCGGCCAGCATCACTAGAGAAAAGATATGATTGAAACCGTAATCTTTTTAACTTAGCTTAAGTGAATGCACCTGGAATAACCTCTGTACACGGAGATAAATACCTTGGAGACACACCATTGGTACAAGCACGTTTCTTATATATTTGGTACCAAAAGTGATTTGGTCGAAATGAGCTTAGGCTTCAACACGATAAATGATCTCACAGGTGGAAGAAATAGCCTGTTGATCTTCAGCACCGCTTGATAAATGATGCGTGAGTTACAACGTAGCGGTAAAACTGATTGAAATATTTCAATGAGGTAGCTATATTACTGGTCACTGACTGAGTCAGTCCCAGGCTACAAGGTACACGTTACAGATCAGATTCAACGCCACAATCAGATTACCAGATCTTCAACATCCACTGCCATTGAAGTGTTGCGTAAGTCTTCCCTTCCCTTGGACAATAATCGGGGCTAGGACCACGAAGGAGACAAGCAGAGACTGTGGAAATCCAGCTCTCTTGAGTAAAGATCCGCCTTCGCCCTTGGAAGCTTTCCGGGCTGTGGAACTGTCCAACGAGGTTGAGGGTGGACCTCCTTTGCCAGCTGAGTCCGGTCCTTTTTCGTGGCAGTTTTCTTCGCTTGGACTCCCCTTGTTTAACGCGACTGATCGTGCCCAATGGGAGTCTTCTCAAGAACCCTTCTTTAACCACGCTTCCCTTCCGAAGGTGGCAGTTACTTCGAAGCTCCACAAGACAACCTTATAGTAGTGTTCACATCGTCCATGAAAACGTTGGGATCTGTTGAGAGTTAGGACATGTGCTCGGCCCCTATTTCTCTTTGACCTCACGTTCCTGTGATGTAGGTCTCTTTCTTCTTTGGCCATTATCTGGAGACATTTGATCCCTCACTTATCAAAGCTTGCGTTGCGAACGATGTTATATTTGGAAATTTGCCGTGATCTCCCCGAACACAGGAACTGTGTTTGATGTTTCTATGGATTTTATCATCTGAAGAGATTCAACTGGGAATTAGGATACTGCAAAGAGTCCATGTTTATATCTTCTTTCAAGGCACAGTATATTAGCAGACAATACAAGCAAAAGTCTGGCTGATCTAGCGAAGACATCGTCCACGGGCATCCCCTATCAAATGAGTGACCGTAGTGATAAGGTTTATATTGAGCATGTACCCCTCCGCGAGACATTGGGGTTCTGGATTGTATGCAGTGGAGAATATGGCAGAGCTACGCATTGTTCCTCATGTCTCCATCGAGCCCCGGGGCCTTCTTATCGATGAGACTTGAGGATCGAAACAGATCGAATAGATCTGTCTGATGGGAAGCGCGGTGGGTCGCGCCTTCTGAGCGGCGAAAATATATCCATCGTCAACTATTGCAAAGATCATCGGCTACGTTATCATCCGTAAGATGACGGCCAAGACTGGGGCCAAATCGTATCATGATATTATGCGCAACCTTAGTCCTCTCAAGTGGACTTCGCGCCACCTTGATCTGGTGGGCTGTCGATTCGAGGACGTCGGAACTATCCCCGTCAATACAGAATCTACTCGGAGCGACCACAGAGACAATAATGGAAAGCCTTGTCCAAACCCAAGCGAGGCTGAATCAATTGCTATGAATATGCTCCCTGCCATAAAGCCTCGTCATCTCATCAACCTTTTAGTGGACAATGAACGCCACTTTTCATAGCCTACGTAAGAGCTACAGTGCGACAGGACGGCTTTTAAGGGGGTTACTGATGATTCCGGTGAGTAGTCAAGAAGCTCCGTTTTATTTGCAAGGCCGCCCTGCTCATCGACCAGATGACATCGTGTTTCATCATAATGAGAACCCTTCAATCACATCCCCGATGGCCCATTCCCGTTGCTAGGCTATGTACATTACACCAACGTCGACGGAGATCGCAGGAGACAGCTTGAGCCCTGTCCAGAGCCAAGAGGAATTACCAACTCCGTCGGAGCGAGTATCTGTCAGAAGCGACTTGCTCAGAAAGCCCCAAAAGAAGGGACCGATGATCCATATTCCATTTGTCACTCATTAGCTCTTCTGTGTCTTCAAGAGCACGAGCTCCATTTACCAAAAAGCCTCATGGAGTTTCCAGAGGAGAAGGATCCCATACAAACCTTACGATACCTTTGCCGACTCATCGCTGAGATACTGGTACCCGCTCCTTTACTGTCTCGCCGTCCCTTGAATTTACCCGCTGATGTGAACGGTTTTACTCAGCGCGGTAGGAAACTAGCGCACGAACAAGGAGACAGTGGATCATATAGATTAAAGCAGAAATCAACGAGATGAGCGGATTTAGGGATTACGATACAGGGAATTCCTCTACATGTTGAGGATTTCAGATGGTGGGATTTCAGAGGCACTTAGGTCTGACCGTGTTACTATTCTGTGGTCATGCCGATTTAACTGATAAACTTTTATATTGAAATGTTGTTTCTACTTTAGATCTGGTCTGGACTAGACCTTGGAGTATGCAGTGGGCCATAGAGGCGGATCATGTCCACCATATCTTCTAATACCGTTGTCGTTGGGGGAGGCTATGGTTTTACCCCATGCTGTAATTCTGTCCAATTCATATCCCGCTCATTCAGCCTCCAGGACGCGTTCCACTGTGTCGAGGTTTTCCATTTTGAGTACGCGGTGCGGTGGTCCGCGTCGTGGTGTTTGACAGTTGCTGAGCCGATTGGGTTAGTTGATCACTGTCTACTCCGTACCTAGTCAATGGTGGATTATTATTTTCTCAGCTAGCTTGGGGGCCAAAAACGTCTTGGGATTTCAGACAGTCGGTGACTATGTGCTCACAAGGCCGGTGCATTATACCTAGTGGGAGTGTGCGGTTTTCTCCGTACTTGAAAAGGGGGAATCTGGATCTTGACGTTAAAAAAAGCCGTCTTATCATCCAGTTCGAAACGATTCCTCTCTACGGAGTAATGAGTGGTACGGAATAGACTGCGACATTCCAGGCCGTGAAGAGGAGATGTTTGCGGCTGAAGATAACCTGGGCACAACTTTTCCGATACTGCTCGTATTCCCCCACTCACACCCCCGTAATGCCAGGGGCCGGAGCGCAGTCTTGCTTCTCTTGGCTTCATTTTGCTGGCTAGACCAACCTATTGGCAATGGGTCATTTGCTCTTGAGCCAAACGGGCTCGCCGGGGTCATCTGAGTGGTTGATTCTGGCATTTTGGGCTCGCAACTACCCTATGCTCATCGTATTAGCTCTTCATTTCATGGATGAGCGAAGCGAAGCAAGCTCCCCTTGGGTGTTAATATAAGACACCTCTCCTTCCTGCCATTCCGCGTGCTGGCCTAGTTTCTTTGTTTGATATTGATAGTATTGAAAACTGCCGTGGACTGAGGTGTGTGAGGGGGGAGGGGGGTAATACCTTAATGCTCAGGGTTCAGGCACAAAAGCATGTCTTCGTAGAGGGGGACTGCGGAGAAAGCCGTGGCTAGCTGAGTCGTAACAGACCTGCATTAGTAGGTAAGCCTAATTAAACGGGGAATTGGCGTTATGCTGGATGTTCGATGTGTCACTGCGAGATGACAACGTTGGGGGGTCCACGAACGCCAGTTGGGCCGGGCCGCTGTCCAAGCTCAGTCCTGATCTTATTACTGGCTGCCGTTCGATTGCGTCTATCCCTTTCTAGTATTCACGCATGGTGTCTATCCCGGTTTAGGTGTACGTATAGAGGACAATTTAACGGTGCTGACACCCTTTGATGAAGCGGCTGGCTGCCAAGTGAATCGACTCAGCCTTGTTTTGTCCTTCAAGCTATGTTCCAGGGTCCTTAGCGAGACTGCGGGATTTAAGCCGCTTTTGCTAAGTGCTGGGTTAAGCATTTTAACTGGGAGCGTGCCCATGTCCGGGAAACTATGAAGTCCTTTCGATTCAGTCGCATTTGAGGTTCGCGCTTCACTAGGGAGTTCTTTGCATCCCTCGAAGCGACCATGCTGCTTCTTGTGCACTACCTCGTGGCATGCGCCCTGGTGCTTCTACAGGGTGTTGCAGCACTTCCACAGGGAATAGTAGCTCCATCCCAAGTCTCGACCGAAACAGCAGCTACACCCACGGGAACTCCCGTTGTGGAGAATGATAGAAGATGTGACTTTGATAATATGAACGAGTTCTTCAGTTACGCCAAGAAGAACCGTCTCAATATCACGGTGGAGGTACAGAACTGCCAGGATCTATGCCTACTCACATACGGAACGGGAAACCCTGATCTTTCAGGGATTGGAGTAAGTTTGCAAACACCAGTCCTCGCCACAAATTTCGTAGCTGATGGTGCCTCCAGATGATGTATGCATATAGCATACAAACCGGACTGACTATCCTCATCGGTCCTGTATATCGTCTATTCTATCTCCATCTAGCGCCAGTGAGCGCCTTCCTCCGAGACTTCAGAGACGTCCAAATGAACTTCTTCTCCTCAAACGCCTTCTTCGTTGGTTCCTCTGCCCTAGCGACACTCGTAAACCTCCCACAGAACCCATCCACCTTCGAAATCGCCGAGATGCAAGCCATGGCATTCCTACAAGTGAACAGCATCCTCGTGACCTTCTTTTGCCTAGTCGTCGCGCAACCAATCTCGCGCTGGGGCGCGCGAGTCATACTCTACTTTATAGTGTTTGTCCTCGTGATCGTTGCCCTAGGCAAGAGCCACCTGGGTAGCGAAGGCAAAGAAAACTGGAAACTCGCCTCGGATGGCTGCGCACATGCCTCAACGGACTACAGCGTTATCAATCCCCTCCCGTATCCATCGTGGGCCGTCGCGATCTTTGCAGTTGCGGGGACGGTTGCGTTCTGGTTACAGTCTCTTAAAGAAAAGAAATCCCAGAAAAACAAGCTGCACACTTCGGCGTTTAGATTGTTGATGCTGTTCTGGGTCTTGTTGATTGGACTCCTGACTGCGTGCATGGTGGTCGGGCTAACGATGATGTGGCGACAACGGAAGCATCTGCGCAGCTTGGCGAGAGACCAGTTTGAAGATGATCAGTGGGGTTTCGGGCAGATTGCTGCTTTGACGATCTGGGCGCCTATTCTGGTTGAGTTGATCTATATCTTGAATGGTAAGGAGCTCTTCATACTTGATGTTATATGGTCAAGCTGACACGTGTGTTTTGTGATAGACTTGGTTCAACGGAAGTCCGAAAGATGGCATCGAGTGAATGAGAAGATTAGCCTTTCGTTCTCTCCGAAAACTTTACAGGAAGACGAAACAGGTACACCCATTTCGACTCCGCCACTCGAAATGAAGCAGCAGGGTGGCAATGGAAGGGTGACTGAAGTTGCTGATAGCTGAGCAAATTACGTTGCACGCGTTATGATCTTCTGTTCTGGATAGAATTGCTTCTATCTGTCTAAATATTGATGCTAGTGTTGAATTGAATATACCACTTCATATGATTCTAAACGAGGGCTTATGTACGGAGTACTCCTTATGTAGTTCATCTTAGGTCCTCAAGGTTTACCGAACTAGGCGCTAACCTTGGAACGCTCTTCCGAATCGGGCTAGAAGAGTGCTTCTATTATATCCTTGTTGGTAGTATGTCGAGGTCGGTTTCTCTTGGGGAGAGACCTCGGGACAGTAGACGGTTTACAAATTTCACCAATCCTTTTTTACTTTCTCTTTTCCCCCCTGTACTTAGCATTCTTGATCTATGTATAGGACACTTGGCCCCTTTGGATTTTCTACAATAGCATGCAATATCCTTGGGCCGTAGTTATATCCAACTAAGGCAGCAGCAAGTATGGATATACAATTCCAGGGTAAAGATAGTACATAGTAGATACATAGAGTCATAACAGGTTCATGGGCACAGACTGAGTTGGAAGTTGTGTACAAGAGAAAAGTAAAAGCCCTAGGTAACGCCCACCTCCCCCCGCTCCCAAAAAGAAAGAAGTAAGGGATAATTACAAGAATGCTCAAAGAGAGTCGGTGTAGAAAAAAGCCAATTGATACAAGGCTAGAGGGAAAGACTAGCCTCGCCATTTTGATTCACGCAGGGTAAAAGGCGAGTAGCCTAGGTACTCTGTGAGGAGGCAGCGGCCCACTCGACAACCTCTAGAGCGGTCATAACGAGTATGAGGGTGGATGGAAGAATCCTAGAAAGAAAGACACGATGTTAGCAATGATAGAACCAAATTGAGACCAATGGCCAGAGAAATATCTCTGTTCTACGATAGGACACGTAAGAACTTACCAGACAACATAACTCTGGAATAAAAGCTTTGACATAGCGCCGACGTAGACGTTATTGATCTGACAGATCTGCGCCAGTTGCAACGCTGACGGCGCACCCGTAAGCAAGAAGCAGACGATAATGAAAATCGGATCATCGAGGATGCTGACCGGCACAAACTTGGCCGTGAGTGCCAGAATCGGCGCCATGATGAGGGTAGGGAAAAACATGCGCGCTAGCAATGAAGCGATGATAAGCTTGCGTTCATCGCGCGGGTGTTCCATGTCCGCCAGCGCCTCTGCGGGAATTGTATTGCGCGCGAGGTTCGCACCTAGCACGACAAGGATCAGTGGCACTGCGACCTGTCCGTTCTGGTCGATCGCACGGGTCACCGAGTTGCGGACAAACGTGCCGTCGTTGAAGAAAAGATGTTGGAGCGCGGGGACGGACGCGACGATAATCGAGGCTAGCATTGCCCACAGAGGCGGGTTCATAAAGTCCCACAAGCCATGGAGGAAGCGCCGCAGTCCCCGCGTGGTTGATGCGAGGCCCTTCTGTGCGTGTGGGGGGAGGCGCGCGTGGAGTGCACGGGTTTTCTTGTCCGACCACCGGCCGAGACGGTCTTGCGATTTGCGCAAAGATGCCTTGACACGTTGGAAATATGTCTTCTCGGCTTCTTGAACTTCGCGCGCAGTGATTTCCACATCTGGGAATTGGAGAATGTCACCGTGGGAGCTTTGTCGCGGAAGGAAAGGGCCCGCCGGGGGTGGTCCGATGAGTGACGGGGTGTCATCCGAGTCATCCTCATCCGAATGATCGGAGGACAGCTTTGAGTAAGAATAAGCCCGCGTCGAGACAGGTGTTTGATCGCCGGACTGGAAACGGTGCTCGGTATGCGTTGCATGATGGATATGGTGTAAATCGTCTGAGCTGCGTGTTCGAACTAGCGGTTCATCCGGGTCTATTTGATCTGGGTTGTCCAGGTATCGCGCCTGGCCCTGCTCGATGATAGACTGCCCATTCTCATCATGATCCCCCTCCTCGAGGTATCGGTCCTTAGGTGCTAAGAGCACATGGTATCCCCAACTCCAGCGCACAAGCTGACCTAACTGTTGGAAGATAAGCAAGTATAGGATTCCACGCGCAGCAACTTCGTCATCGTTATCATTGGGGATCCGGTCCCAGTGAAGACCCTTGAGGGTCTGCGAAAGCGATACGACGAGGGAGATTGGGAGAGAGTTTGAATTGCCGAAGACCTGCAAAGAAGATATTATCAGTATATTTGGTTTTCTCATCGCCAAAATGATCACGTACCGCCATGGCAGCCACAAAGTTTGATTGTCGCTTTTTGAAGCGGCAACATTTTGCGATAACGAAAGAGCAGGAATATGAGACAATAGTCTGCACAATAAAGATAACTGGGATGATTGCGAGGTCTGTCAGCTTTTCAGCGGTCAATTGTGAGCCCAATTTTGTGAAAACTGTTGTAATTAGTTAGCTTTTTCGATCACAACAAAATTCCCACCCTGGCAAGAGCTCTGCAAGAGAAATTCATACTGAGGCACGGGGTGAACAGAGTCACATTGAGGTTTGCCACCAACTTCTGAGCATCGGCATCAAAAATGCCCTGATAGGCAGCGATGTACCCGGGTAAGCTGACACATACAACCTCCAGTACGGCTTCAAAAACAAGCAATACTAAGTGAAAGAATGGGGGGTGGCTCTCGTGAGCGCCTGCCATGGAGAAGCGGTTGACGCCCATTGGGGCCTGGGGGACGATAGCATTGACATTTTGGAATGACCGAGGCGCGTTAAAGATGGCCATCAGTAGTAAGAATCTGAAAATGAGGTGGGTGATGAAATCCCAGAGCGGTTCAAGGTGAAGTTGAAATGGAGAAGAATGGCCTTGATGTAATCTCTAAGCTTGGCAGTCTCGCCTTGATACAGTTCCCTGGTGGAGCTTCGTTTTTTTTTTCGCCTTATCTTGCTCAATTCACATCCCAACTGACGTATGGCGCAATATTTGGAACCCCATACGCCATCGCCGAATACAGGGGGGATCCTCCAAGTTTGACCGTAACAATTACAGCAATGTACAGTCGACAATCCTGAAACCCGGAAATCGCCCGACTCAATGATTCAATGACGCGTGGTGGCCGATAGCATCACGCCAAGACCTGGTCTGTGCTCTCTGATAACTACGGTGCATCTACTACATCCAACATACACGTCTTTGGATCAGCGAGGTCAGAAATCAATGTGATTAGACTATATGCTCAAATCCCCCTGTCCTGGGGCAAAACAGGACTGGTATAATACAACAAAAAAGACAGTGAAACCATGCAGATCAAATCAACCCAAGACAGCCAATGCTGGCGGTGCACCGGGCTGTGCAACTCTATGCGGTTCACTCGGCAACAAAGCCCAACTTTTCACCTATTTTGATCCTCTGACCCTTTTCAATGCTCCAAGTCCACCCATCAGTCGGGGCATCTTCCGGCCAGCCGGCATCAACAGACTTGCGAGTGCCAAGGGGAGCCTCGAACACAAGTACGATCGAACTGCCAAGCTGGAACCCACCCATCTCTTCTCCACGCTGGAGGGGATGTCCATTCAGTGTTCGGCTAGCATGGCGGTAGGTTGCCTCGACGAAGCCGGGATATTGCTCACCGCGCTTGGCAGCCAAGGCCGCCGCCAGGTCCGCGGCGGTATCAGTCAACAAGCTGTTGGTACGCAGCTCCGAGTCAAAGTTGATTTTGATGGAGCCTACATTGGTAGCGCCGACCGGTGTGTAACTGAAGAAACCCCATCTCCACCGGCCAAGGAGTGCAACTCGCTCGTTGAGAGTGAATAATCCGGGCAGGTGTCTTTGTAGATATGGCGAGACAGAGTATAATTCGCCAGCAAAGTGGCGACGGCTCTCGACAACCCAAGGAGCAGGGGAGTGGAAACGGTGGTAGTCACCAGGCGCGAGGTAGATCACAACGTAGAACAAGGCATGGTTGGCCGAGGTCTTGGGCGCGTACCACGCGGTACCATCGCCACGGGCCAGATCCTCTTGCACTTGGATTTCGGAGGTTTCCTTGGATTCGGTTGAAGCATCCATAGAAGCACGTTGTTTGGGAGCATCGGATTCGCCAGAAAGAAGGCTCGGGAGAGTATAGGAGATACCATTCATGCGGGCAAACTCCTCGTGGGCATCCATGTTTTCAACATCCTTTTGCGTTTCTTTCCTGTCTTGGTCGGCGAGTCGATTGCTGTGGTCGGCGTTCGCAGGGGTGGCTGATCCTAGGAGGGCGTCCAGACTGTATGTCATTCCTTTCACTTGCTCAACCTCTCCACGCTCGATCGTACCAAACTGTAAGATTCGGCCGTCGGAGGGTGCCAGGAGAGCACGAGGGTCGGGGTCCAGGGGTCGAACGCCAGGCTTCAGCTTGCGGTAGAAGAATGCGGCCAGGTTCGGGTAAGTGTGCAGGTCGGGTTCGGCAACCTCTTCAAGATTGACGCCGAACGCCCAGGAGTAAAGCTTGAATCCAGGGACACGGAGGTAGTAAGGAAGTTCGATTTCATTGAATTGGCCCCATAGACGCGACATGGCCTTCAGGGGTAGCGTGGACATGATCTGGATATGCCATGGCCCCGACAAACTAATTCTCGGACGACGCGGGGGCCGTTTGCCATCTTCCCATTCATCGCCAGCTGCATCACGAGCCAGCCGATTTCGTTCCGCACGCTTAGACTTGTAGAAAGACAGCAACCCTAGCAGACCGATTCCGAGTCCGACAGGGATGGGATACCATTCGACCTTGGTATTCCGCAAAGCGAAGCCTAACCGTGAGCCGAATCCTCCTCTGTTGTTTTCAGGATTATTGTCCTTGTGATACTGTCTCCATGATTTAGACGAAAAATGCCGGAGACTAGCCTTGTGACGGGCCGTAGCCCGGAACGAAAGAACCTCCATCGACGCAACCCCAGTCTGAGGGGCAGCGGGAAGGCAGTGGAGAAGGGATGAGGAAGGGAAAAGGCGCTTGGCCATAATGTTTAATCCATTTAGAGCGCTAAAATAGACCCCTAAGGCTCTGAGCGTATTTTTCCGAAAATGGGGAAAGGCCCTGTAACCGATCGACCGCCCGGCAGAATTGCACGTGGAGATGTGACCGTCGACAACCAGCGCAGTCAACACTTGTACACGATGGTTTCGTTCTTCAATTAGCGTCTCTGTGTTTTCCAAGTCTTCGTGTCTTCTCATATCTCGTCTTCCAGCTCCTATTTCCTTCGTATCTCCACAGCATCCCAAGTCTACACCATCAATCCCTCTTATCTATCAATTGATGCCAGGTATCAGCAACTAAATCACATCCAAGTTGCGCATCTGAGGTCGCCGACCATAAGTTCTGCACATCTATCTCTTAAGATCTTTCTGAGCCTTACATCCTTTGTGCGCTTACTTTTCTTGTCTACGGTATCCATGCAGGGTATGCGATTGAGACATCTTATCAATCGATCGATTCCGGATATCAGCATCTAGATCAGTCCGTCTGAGCATCGAGTGCTGCAGGTGCCATTCTCATTCTGCACTTCTTCTCGGCCCTTTGGTATCTCCTCTTACTCTTTTTCTTCCTTCCCCATCATACCTTTCCTGGGCTTCGAGTCCCGCGGAAGGACGTTGCGCCATCTAGATACCTTAAACAATTCATTTGACACCAGGTATGTGTGCTCATACCATATAAATACGAGCACTTCAAATTATAGATTGCTAACGGGTTGAAGCAATGGCGACAGAGGCATCGTCATCCCAGCCCATGGCTGTGGGAGAGACACCGCGTTCGATCACACTGCATATACTCTGCCAGTCTTTACCCCCTCCAAGCCGCCTCACCCTTGAAGATGTCCCCCTTTCTATCACACTTGCCCAGCTCAAGGAGCGTATCGAACAGGCCTTCCCAGGGAATCCTCGAGCTTCTACTCAAAAGCTCATCTACCGAGGGAAGGTGCTCAACATCGATGGCGCAATTCTTAGGACAGTAGTATCATCCGTGGAGGTAAGTAGTTCGTTCTTATTCTGCACGATATGAGATCATATCCTAATCTAACTGTCCATTTTATAGGAGGATATCGACAGCATGCACCTTGTATTGCCGCCGCCCGAACTAACTAGAGTACCCCCTCTCTTTCAGATGTCGCAAAATGTTCCTGGAGGCTCTAGTCGAACTTCCGGTTCTACGTTGTTCAATACATCTAACTCAAGATCCTCGGTAACTGGAGCCAGCCCATCTGTGGCATCTGGTGCCACCACGTCTGCCGGTGCCGCACTAAATTCCCCTCCTCCGCACATTGTATCCAATCAGTTCGTCCATGTGCCATCACCTCACTCGCAACGAATTACTCAACAATCAGCCAATCTACATGGACCCTTTCTGAATGCACGTGAAACAAATGATAGTGGAGTTGCTCAACAGATCCTCGCCATTCGAACTCAGATCGAAAACATTGAACGAGGACTCGACTATGGTCTCATACCACCCATGGAGCATGTGATTCATCTAAGGACCCAGCTTCTTGATTTTCAAGATAGACAACATTCGAGCCAACTTCCTTTGGTCGGAATTACAGGGCTAATTAGCCGTCTTCTTGAGATCCAACAACGTACGCGAACACAGGGACCTACGCAACAACAACATCCACATTCACGGACAAACTTTCCGGTTCAGAACCGATGGAGCTGGGTAGCCAATACAACCAACACATGTCCACCAGGCACGAGTGAAGAAGGTGTCCAGATCTTCATGGTTACTTCGCCATCAGGAAACAACAGTGTCATTGTAAATGGACCAGAGTTGCCCATGATCCCAAGTCAGTCAATGTTTCTCCCAAACGCAGCTGCTCGCACTCATGGAGCCGGTGCACCTCCGCCACCTTATCCCAACGGAGGTGTAGCCCAGAATGCCGTTCGTCAGGCATTGGCCAACCAACAACGTCGTGGCGACAACATCGAGCACGCCGGTCTAGCACGACACATCCGTCGCATCTGGCTGTTCGCCCGTCTGTGGTTCTTCTGTTATCTGATTAGTGCCCCTGGCACATGGAGGCGTTACATCTTCGTTAGCATTTCCTTACTGGTTACATTCCTCTCCGAGACGGATATCCCGCAGCAGCTCCTGCGGCTAGTTGTTAATCCCGTGCAACGCCACCTCGAGGGCCTCACTCATGCTGGCGGGCCAGCAGACCCATCTACCCAAGGTGGCGCCGATGGAGCCGCTACAGGGTTCGATGTCTGGGACCTGGCCCGTCGTTTGGAGAGATCCCTTGTCCTTCTTTTCGCGAGCCTGATCCCCGGGCTCGGTGAGCGCCAGGTTCAGGCTCGCACTGCAGCCGACGAAGCTCACCGGGCTGAGCAAGAGCGCCTGGCGCGGGTGCGTCGGGAAGAAGAGGAAGCTCCGCCCCGTCAGGGGCAGGAGCAGGTGCAGGAGCAGGTGCAGGAGTAGGGGACTCCCGAAGTCGGAGCTAGTTGGGAATAAGAATGGCGGTGAGATGGACGGCATCGAAGATAAGGAGCAGGCTAGAATTCATGCACAGGTTGGAACGGAGAGTCCGGACGCTGCATTTGATTCCTTTATGTGAGTAATACCCTCATCGTCTTTAGCGGTAGCGTCGTGATTTATTTGATATCTTTTCGCATCTTGCTCTCATCCTTCCATCGGTAATATTTCAATCAACTCTCCCGTTCTATCATCTCGGATCTAAACATTCACCAAATCCAATCCTCACAACTTTGTAGCCGCTACATTCGCAGCTGGCTCCGAAGTAGGAGCCATAGGAGCCCCAACCGTATTAAATGATTCCTCGCCATCAAAGTGCCTGCGTCAGTCCACATCAGTGTATACTCAAGGTACCAGGGACAGAAACCAAAAAAGGGAATCAACTCACCATCCACGCTCAGCACCACCACTCAAAAAGCTACAATCACCATTCGCAAGACAATCCCATCCACCCCCGACACCACGTCCACCTCTCCACAGCGGCACAGCTCTCGATGCACGAATAAACTTCGTACCCTCAGCAAGCGGATTCTCAGTCAGGCCCTCCTTCTGACCAGTAGCAGAACCATCCCTCCTCTTAAAAGTACTCAACCCAGCCGTGAAAACATTAAAATCTTCCTCAGAACTATCATCCGGCATCCGGCCCGTGAGAACCCGTCCCATGGCAATAAGCGGCGCGGCATGCGCGCAGATCAAGACTGATTTGCTAGTTCTTTGGTCTAACGGTAGTCCAGCCTCTAGGGCTGCGATCTCCGCGTCGATCTCGGCGATTATACCTTCCAGGGCTATTGCTACGCGGTTGTGGAGTTGGGTTATTGTCTCGCCGCGTCTTGATGGGATGAGGAGGGGTTTGTAGGGTGGATTGGATTCTTGGAGGAGGGTTGGGAAGTGGGTGGACATTGTTTCTGGGGTTGGGTGTGGGGGATGGTCGAAGAAGTTTGTTGCGCCGAACCATTCTCTGGATTTTGGTAAGTATTCTGGTTGAGGATTTGAGGCTTTCTTCGTTTCGAATGAAGATATGGGATGGTAAGTTGGTAGGATAGAATGGAATATAAGTATAAAGAGATGGTGGATGGCTCACCCTAGCCCATTCTCGATTCTGACATCTAGCTCTGCATGGCGGTCAATTGAGCCAAGCTGACCATCTTGTTGGCTTTCACTAGATGCGGATATGCGCTTCAGCTCTTCGACGGAAGGTTGGATTGTCTGGAGACAGCGGTAGAAGGGACTTGAGTAGATCCTGAAGGGCTTGGGATGGAATTGCGGAGCGGCAATATGTGCAGCAAGCTCGTGCGACTGACGCACGCCGTGAGAGGTCAGCGCAGGGTCAGCTGGGTTCCCTGTTGGCGTGGGGAATTGAGACTTGTAAGTGCCCGTGCGGAAGTCGATGGACCAGCTGAGGCGGTGCTGCGAGATAGTTAGGTCTATGAGCCCAGAAGAGAGGCATTGGGTAGAACACATACCCCATGACGGGTCAAATATATCGTATCCAAAGGCATGGCGTATATACTTTCAAGGTTGAGTGTTCGAACTGTGCACTCCGTACGGGCTGTTGTTGCGGGGGAAGGGCAGAATACTTGTTTACTGAGGGCGGTGACTTTGTACCTCGGTCCAATGCTACACGAATTCAAGGAAAAAGGGGGAGAGCGGTATATAAACATTGCTGATTAGCATCTAGCATTGACGTACGAGCGAACCATGTACTCTGCAAACCATCAAAGTGCGGAACAGTGGGTATTTTGTTCACAGCTACAAAGTCCAGATTACATTCCAGGGTCCAGCCCATCCCACCCAACGCCATGCGGTATCAATCAAAGTAATAACTTTTTCTCAAATTTTTAGAACTCCATCTAGTAGAAGAAGCCGAGGAGCTTGCCAGCAACGTGCTTGCGGCGGGCCTCCTCGTGGTCCATGATACCGGCGGAGGTGGTCAGGACAACGTAACCGAACTGACGGGAAGGAAGGAGCTGGGTAGCCCACTTCTCGAGGTCACGGAGCTGGACGGGGTAGCGGGGGTTGATAACACCACACTTGTTGAGGCTGTGGAGATTTAGGTCAGCGAGATATTCAATTGCGGATGTTGGTTGTGGTTGTGGATACATACCGGCCGTTAAGCTGGATAACGATCTTGCCGGAGCGGTGGTCATCGACCTCCTCGAACTCGCCAATGTAGCCTGAGAAAAGAAAGAGTCAGCATGTTGCGAAGAATTAAAAGTCGTCAAATACTGATAGAGCCATAACAGCGCTTTGAAAACGTGTAAGATCTTCACGATCAATATATCGGGCACTTAAAAGGCAGACGTCGTGGGTTGTTGAGACCGGCCGCCTAGTTATCAGCCCGAATTGGCTGTGACAAAATTTCGCAAGACAGGAACGGAAAATAAAATCAAAGACAAAACAAAGACGAGAAAAAAAAAGACGAGAAAGAAAATTTCACTCGACGTACCGTGCTTCTGCATGACAGCGAGGAACTTGACGATGACCTTGGAGGAAGGACGGATGAGGACCTGGCGCTTGCCGGCCTTCTCGGCGTTGTTCATGGCGTTGAGCGCATCGTTAAGGACGGAAGTCTTGACCATTTTGGCGGTTTAGTAGAATCGAGATTCTCAAATCGTAACGTGAAAAGTAAAGATTATGAGGTATCTGTTCGTCGAAGGCGGGTCAAGTCAGCCACCACTAGTCTTCGAGCGCAAAGAGTGCCCCTTTTTTGCATTGCAAGGAGTTCTTCAGCCCGTGCCGAGTTGGGAGATGCGTATCATCTTGGCTTCCTGGATCGCAATTCCTGAGAATTATCTATAATTCACGTAGCGGAAGCAATCTAGACAAGATGATTGCATTCCCAGACTAGCTGAGAGGCTGTTATTGGGGGAGGGCATATCACATACCTCGAAAGATGGTCGTCGATGGATGGAAAGGAAAACTTCGATGGATCGAGCAAAGTTTGGTTTTCGGGTGGTGGGCCTTAGGGCTGGCTCACTTACCCTAGTCACGTGGGTGCTCTATCGGGTGGAAACTGGTAGCTGAAAGACTTCTGCCTCAGGCATCAGATTCTTGCTGAATCAGAACTCGACCGACACTACGGAGTACTCCGTGCCTTGTAGGTACCTACATGGAGGTATGATAGGCCCAGAAAATTACGCTATGAACAATGAGGCACTGAGAAATCAATCGTAGAAATCACCATTTCGAACACCGACATAAACAATCATACAAACATCCCTACTGCTACAGCTACTAACTCGTCAGCACACCTTTGACTTATTCCATCCTTGGGCAAGGTTTAGTTGGGTTGCTCTATACATGATTTTCCAGCACGGTGGCATGGTTGAGGGCAATTTTGGAGTATACGAGAGAGGAAGACGAAGTAAGGGGCAGCTTTTTCATGACAATGACTCTTCTGGAGGAGGTGACATGATGGGAAGGGGATACATGAATGGGGAATACAGGAGAGGGGGAGGGGATACATGAATTCTTGGGGCTACATGAGTCGCAATGCTATAGGATGCGAGAGATGGGGAGGTCTTGTCTAATTAAAAACAACGTAGAGGGCATGGGGGGAGGTGAAATGGGTTGTATCAAGAAGAAAAGAAACACTGACAGGGCCGTACAGAGATGGGAAGGGGTAACGAGTTTTCATTCGAACGTGTGTCATGAAGGATTGAGTACCAGCAAAGGGATTTGGAGAACGAAGTTCGTAACCAAAGGGAAGTGATGGGAGGAGGGGGGGGGAATCCTGGGCTGGGGAATGAAGGGGGGGGGGATTTCCGAGGGTATCAACCAAGCGCTCGAGCTCGACGATTTCGAAAAGGCAGACAGTCTCTCTGCCTGCGTACATCAGTAGGGCCAATCAGGCGCGAAGCCAGCCCGTCCTAGATCCGAAATGTGGCTTTGAAACCAGTAGACCCGATGCGGATCGCAGGTGCTTTGAGAGATGGAACCGAGCCAGAAACACCGGTCATCGATGGAGTGATAAAGTAGTGGCTTTAGCCCATACCGGCACCCATGTTGATCTGGCGCTTGACCTGCTCACGGGTCCAGCGGGCAGTCTCAATCGTGCGGTCGCTGTACTGTCTAGTTGTGCGGGTCTCTCTCACAAGGGTAGTGACCCAGTCGTTGCGGAAGTAAGCAGCAAGCTCGCCATTGGGGAAGGCATCGGCGAGATCACTAGTCAACAGTTAGTACACGAACCAATGCTCGAAAATGCTCAGACATACCCAATAACGCCCATGGCAGACCGCATCAGACCTTCACTGCGGTTGCTCTCCTGAGAGATAATGTGAAGAAGCTGGAAGATAGACTCGATGAAAGGCTGGAGTTGAGTAACTAAAATCGGGTTAGCATGCTTAGAACGTATCCCGGTGGGTGATAAAGAGGAACTCACTCGAAGGAGTGCCCTTGTAGGACAGAAGAATACCACCCCAGGCGTCCATGATGCCCTCACGAAGGGAAACGATGTAATCGACCATGTCATATGGGAGATCGGAGCTAGTGGTAACGCTGGAAGCCTGCTGGAGGACCTGGCCAACGACCGCCATATAAGTATCGAAGTTAGTTCCGATGGCCTGAGCGATATCGCCGAAGGTCTCGAGGATGGCAGGCTTGAGCTGGTTGGTAGAAGTCTGTTTTATGGAGTCAGTATATATCAACCGCGACGAATTTGAGAGAAGGGATCTGACCTGAAGAGTCTTGAGCAGGAGGTTCATAAATGTGTCGCAGTAAGGCTGGACCTTCTCGTTCAAGGCACGAGCAATATCACTGACCAAGCCGATGGCCATGGAGCACAGACCGGGCTCCTCCTGGTTGCCAAGAGCGTTGTACAGGAAGGGGCTGAAAGATTCCATGTACTTAACGAAATCGTCCTCAAGAGCGCCGGCAATAGCACCAACAGTGGCAAAGATGACATCCGGCACACTCGACTTAGCGCCAAGGGTAGACAGAACCTGGAGCAGAACACTCATGATGCGGTCAGCCTGGGGCTTGATCTCAATCTCGAAGCGCTGGACAATGGCCAGAATAACACTGATCAAGCTAGTCTGGATCTCCTCGAGAAGGATACGGTCCTCGACGCTGACGACCTGCTGTTGCATAGGAACGGTGTGCTCGAGACGCTGGATAATAACGTCTGAGAGAGTGGCAACCATGGGCAGGCTGTCATTGGCGGAGTTCATAACAAAGGAGTTAAGAACTTCGTATCCAGCAGTACGGAGCTGGTTATCGGCGTCTTGTCTGTAAATATGTTAGAGAGGGAACAAAGTTAAAGGGAGGGGGGAGAATATCGATCGAGAAACGTACCGCTCAGTAACTGTCAAAAGGGACTTCACACTGTCCTCAAAGTGCTTTGACAGAGGGTTGGTCTGGGAACCATCGTCACCGGCGAAGCGGTCTGCGACATTCATAAGAGCCCAGCAGCAGGAGCTGGCAATCTTGGGGGAGCTGGCAAGGCCGTTGAAGAGGCACGAGATAAGGGGCTGAAGGTGAACCTCGGGGTCGAGAACCTCAGGGCAACAATCGCACACGCGACCCAGAGCGTAGGCAGTGGAGTCACGAACAGAGACGGAGCTATCCTCCATCATTCCAATCAGCACAGGCAAGGCCTGCTTGATCAGCGGCTCCAGAACACTGGGCTCGGGGCCTTCCATAATGGCACCGAAAGCAGCGACGGCAGCATCACGACGGTGCCAATCCTCGTTGCGGATGTTCTCCTCGACAAAGCTCACGACGTGCTGAATGATAGCGCCCTGCACACACTGGGCCCAAAGCTGCATAGCCTGGTAAGCAGCACGGGACACATTGTATTCATCATCGCTGGCATCCTCATCCTGGCGGCACATGGAACTGAGCAAGACCGGGAGAACCTCTCCGGTAGCGATGCGAGCAAACCCGAAGAAAGGACGAGCTTCGCCGCCTTCCTGTTGAGCCTACAAGTAAAGACAACAGTTAGTAAAGAGCCGAACTTGCTCGACTCCATGCGCTTGGTACATACCTCGATGTTGTCATCTTCGATGGCAATCTCCTCCTCGCAGACAGTGCACCAGAACTCGATAGCCAGTTTGGCAACTTCCTCGTCCTCGCTCTTCATGCCCGCAATGCTCAGGCCGAACAGAGCCTTCTCCATGTAGAAGCGCATCTTCTCGTAGTAGGATCCCATGATACGGTTCAGGCAGCCGAATGCAGCAGACTGCACACGAATCTCATCGGCCTGAGTGGCCTCGCAGACAACCTGCATAATGAAGTTGCGCTCTCCCTCGTTTTCCATGTTGGAGCGAACGAAATCAACAGCATCACTGAGAGCGGCGATAGCGGCAAACCGAACATCCATGTTCGGCTCCTCGCGCCGAGCACCCTGAACGACCGCGGTAAGGATAGCATTGGAGTGTTGTGTCAGACTAGCGCGAAGATCGGGATCTTGCGACTCGCAGAGGTAGCCGATAGCAGTGAGAGATGACTGTTTCAGTCCGACATTGCCACTGCCGACATTCTGGACAAGGGCGTTCATCAACTCGGGCCACTCACCACGCGGCAACTCAATGGCGGCGATCGAAACGATCAGGTTAGCGGCGGCAGTGCCGGCGCGGAGATGGGATGACGCCAGGGTCTTGAGTGCGAGCTCCTTGACTTGCGTCTTGGTCTCGGGGCTGAGGTTCTGAGCCCATCGCAGCTGCACCTCGCGCAACTTGGCTTGATCCCGGAAAGTGAAAGCGTTCTTCAAAGCAAGACCAGCAGCGACACGGATGTGGGGAGGGCTGCTCTCGTTAGCCAGTTCCTGACCGAGGGTAATGAGATAGGCGGCCTATCGGGCGACAGAAATGCATCAGTATTCGAGTCCATCTTGAGAAGATCCTTGATAACGCGTGGCAGGAGTGAAGGGGAGACACATACAAAGTCAACTTCGGCGGCGTGAGCCAGTTGCTGTTCAGCATTGCTACGCTCGGTAGCATCTGGCGCGAGAGTGCTCTGCAGCACCTGACGGGCATCCATGATGTGCAAAGAAACGAAGGATGTGGGGTGGGAAGGAGAAAAAAAGAAGGGAAAAAGAGATGGAGAAAAGATTAGAAAAAAAAGCTTGAAATCCCCTCTGGACCCGGATTAATCAAAGGGTTCCGGTAAGTCAGTGATCACCACGATAGCAGCGGTGGTGGAAAGAGGATTTCCTGTGGAAGAGTGGGAAGAAGGGACGGGTGTTTTTGTGGATATGACGAGGCGGCATGCACTAGGTCTTTCCGCGACAAGAGACACAGAGAGGAAAAGGTGCCTTGAGTGCACGCCCAGATTTCAACGCACAAAAAAAAAGGTGGAAAGACTGGAGGAATAGATGGCAAGGGCTGTAGAAGTGCAAGATATGTGAAGAGACAAAAATGCAGATTCGAAGCAAGAAAGACCACAAGCGTGAGGTTCTACGGGGGGATGCGTTCTGATTGGTCCGAGGGCGGGGGTTAGTCAGAAACACGTGATCTAATGCCTCAGGCTGCAGACTCCTTGCTCCTTGGCTGGGTACTATTGTCCGATGAATCTATGGCATGTGAAATGGAGATTCAAACAGAAAGAAGGGGGATCAAAACTCCTACATATGTGTTGAAAGCTTTCCTGGGTTTTCTTAGAGAGGGGCAGCCCCTCTGTTTTGTTGCTTGTTTTGTTTTTCCTTCTTCGAGAATTTGTTAGCCTGTGGCCCCAGCGACCGTTCCCACCAGTGGGGGGCACAATAATAGTAAACAGAATCCTCTAGAATGGGAAGATTTCGGCCCTGGGGTGCTTATTTTTCGGTTTCTCTTCCCTTTCTTTGTTTGCTTTGGTGTTCTCTGCCCCTTCCACTGGAGACATCCTTTGGTGATGTCGAGTAGTTTCTGATACGTCTCTTAGATCTATTTCGGTTTATTATAGATGCATTCACCAGACTAAGCCTAACTAGTGTGTTATTATGCAGAGCACAGATCCTCAAACCGACTATAAGTAGAAGTCTACCGACGTAGAGTATCCTATCCTTTGCGGTCACGAAGAGATCCGAAAATCGGAGTAAAGAGATAAATGACATTACACAAAGACCCCATACCCCGACATGGAGGTTGGACTGATTCCTCCAGCTTGCTTTGTGCGCTATGTCAGTATTATGAGTCGGGGCATTGATCATGTACGGAGTATGGGGTCCAACCAACCCTGGGCTAATGCATCAATGACGTTATATACTCCTGGACAGGGGCTACATACATGCAACCACATATTACGGAGTATTACTCTACACACATGGCCACTGATATATATATGTCTACTCTGTACTGTGCTTCAAGTGACCAAAATATATCTCATCCTAGAATACAGTTCTAGCAAGTAGTTAGAGAAACCTATGTCGCATTAAATTTCCCTAATGATAACACGCCCATTGACAAGGCTACCCCGGCCCGAATATGCAGCCAGCTACTATGTCGTTCAAGAAACTGTCATACTTATTCCGAACGCATCAGATGACCTACAAGTTCTCATGTTGCTTTGTGAGATCTGCTTTGACAGCGTGTCTCAAAGGAAGAGGAATACACGAGTGAACACAAGCCGAGGGCGTACTTTCTCTCATTGTCGCGTGTATGAACTGCACGCATCAAAGAACTGCCAGTCCGAAACCCAGCTACCAACATACCAACAATGAACGAGTGATAAGACTGAGATTATTAGTGGCACAATTTTTACCCATCCTCGAGGTATCAAAGGATGAGGGTACGTAAACAGCTATCATTAGGACTAAGCATTCTAGTTCTCATTATTCTCTGCATCGCTAAATTGGCCTTCTTCTTCTTCCTCTTCAATATCCTCTTCCTCCTCTTCCTCCTCTTCCTCGTCTTCTCCTATGGCAGCATCCAAGTCCAGAACCTCATAGCGCATAGCATCGCCATACAAAACACAAACAGCGCGCCGTCCTTTCCGTCCGTTGACATCGACATGGGTGGGCCTTGATTTAGGGCCATGTAGGGCAAAGCGATGAACAATGACATCGGCATGAGGAGATTCAGGCGAGAGATCTAGTGTCGTAGCCGAAGTATTGGGCGACAGGCCAGATGGCTTACTGTCACACTCGACATAGTCAAGAATGGATGGTAATAGGTCTGCCTCCTCATGGGGTTGTGCTGAGACGGGCTGGAAGGGGAAGTTGAGGAGGTGGGAGGATCCTTCTGTTCGTACACATTGTTAAATCATACACAACCTAGAATAAAACAGGCCGAGTCGCTATGATGAATGACTTACTGCTATCACGCCAGAGGATCATGAGTGTATTGTCGGTTACGAATTGGACTTGGCGGACTTCGCCACCTTGTAGATTGAGGGTTGCGAGGGAGGTGCTTCTGGTCGAGCTGACGCCACTGATTGAGTCGAGGACAATGCGATAGAGATAAACTAGGTCCGGGGGTATCAATATAAGCATTTGGAATTCGAAGACTGGGTATATTACAAACCTTGATGTTTTGATGTAACTGAGCGGGCAGCGACGTATATCGCGCAATGCGGGCCTTCAACACCATCCTTTCTCGGAAATTAGTATGTGAAGACGGCTAAAGATCAAATTTCAAGCTCACCTCGTAGCAGAATGTAAGATCGATAACCCCTTGATCGCAATCAGCGTGAAGCGTCAAAGGCGAGTGGTGGAGGATTCCCCTGCGTTGAGTCAAAGCAATCTCTTCAAAGACCTTCTCGAACTGGATGCCCAGCCGCTTCGTTAAGTCATTGAGCTTAGGCGTCTCCACTGACGTACAATCACCACCCTTTTTGAGAACCGAACGCTGCTGTTGAAGAAGCGACTTGAAGGTGTCATAGAACGAGCGGTCGTGTCCATCTGGCAGCCACTTATCAGTGGGTGGTGCAGGGGGTTGAGCAACTCCCATCATGGGAAGTTGACGGATGAAGCTGCGTAGAGCACTCTTAGTCAACGCGCCGGTAATGTATTTCACAGTAGTAGGAACTTCAAGCCCGTCTCTTTTCTCCTGCATGTCCTCCAATGTCTGCGACAGAGGCTCGATGTTTAGGACGTGAATTTCAAAACGAAGCCAATTGGAGAAAGAGATGAATTGCCGCAGTTCCTCGTTGGCGTGGATGAGGATACGATGCGCAAGCAGATGAAGGCAATCAAGTGTTTCCCCAATAGCGTTGAGCTTGGTTGTATCAAGCCCGAGGACATCGCTCAGCTTGTGAAATTTGGATAACCCAACCAATCGGCTAAGAAGTACTTGACTGCGTTCGAGCGCCGGAAGAAGGCACTCGTGTGTTTGTCGCCGAATGTTCTCATATCCGCCTGCGACAGCTTTATCCCATCTCTTATGTCCCTGTGTTGTTCATTAGCCAATCATCTCCAAAATTGCAAAGCCCACATACTCTGTCTCCAATGATATCTGTAAGGAACTCTCTCAAAGGCTCAAAACAATGACCAGTGATCACGAGATGATAGATAGCAGTGATGAAATCACACTGGCATTTCTCCTGTAAATCCATATTGATGTTGCGCAAGAATCTTGCAGGAAGTTCCTGAGCATTTTTCCATTCAAGCTCAATTTGCCGCTGTACTTGGCCAATATAGCGCAGCAAGTTCTGAAGCTGTGTGGTCTTGGATGCAAGAACAGATAGATATCTCCCAGACTTGGTGATAAAGCGCAGATCCATTGTGATCAACTCGAGAGGAGCGCGATCCTCTCCCTTGGCTGGTGATGCCAGCAGTGCATGCGTGGAGCTCAAGGAGTGGGAAGCATGCCGTAAGATACGGCATGTGTCGGGGATACCAGGAGAATTACCGATGGGGAAAGAGCCGATCTCAAAGCAATTAAAGATACGCAGATGAACAGTGCCGTCGTCAAATCCAACGGAAAGTACGTCTACCGAGTCATTGGTATCCTTTGAAGAATGGAAGATGGAATCCAGCGATGCCCGAGAGCTGAAGACGTCGTCGTCGCCTCCAGTTGCAGGCAGAGTGCTCAATTTCGGCAACGAGCCTTCAATGTCCAATAATGCAAGTTCTCTGGGCAAATCTGCTTTCAGCATAGCACTTGCTTTTGAAGGATACACTCCCGGAGTGAGAAGGTCGTCGACGGAGACCTGGCCCGCAGACTCGTGCAATAGCCGCTGTGCGGCTTTGCTGTCGGTGAAATTGACGCCCCATGATACACACGTTGCTTTGGGCATCGAACTCTCAGAGTATGAGACGAGTTCATCTCGCTGCTGGTAAGTCTGGTAGTGGTGTACTGTCTTGCCGCTGTACGAATTGATAATGCGGAGAGAACCATCTCCACACGCGACAGCGAGCAGACGACCTGGCGGAGCGTCAGTCAATGATCCGGAGAGGAACTAAAAAAGCCCACAAAATATCTCCAATCATGAAAATGATATATCCCAAAGCCCAATCACAAGGAAATTAAACTCACCATTACCCATCCACGCCATCCCTCTAATTTCGCCATCCTCCTCATCCTCGCCTAGGTAGGGATCTCCACCGAAAGATCCCCCAAACACTCGCTGCCCATTAAGTCTAAACACGCGCAATTCCTCATCCTCGGTTGCCAGCGCAATCAGGTCCATCGTAGGACAGTACGCCATGGCCCGCGCTTTGCATTTTGCTGGTAGGGACTTCTCCCCGACAGGGGTCAGTTGGGGTCCCTCGGCTGCCATTTTGGATATTTTCTTTCTCGGCAATGGCAAATTCAGCCCATTCTTGTTGTGGGCACATCAAGAGCTCAGGAATTGAGACCTGGCGTAGTTGGGCGTTTGAAGATGTTGCGTGGATACAGGGATTCTTGGCGCGTGTGTACGGACGATTATGGCCCCCCGGCTCTGGTCTGCACTCTCCGCCTTATCCTCGCTGTTGTTGAATAGATACAACGACCGAATGTTCTTTTGGAGAGCGTTAATTTGTTCTATTTGCAGGGTACAATTACCCTTAAATTGATGCAATGTGGATTGCAGGCTTGGAGGTATGATTGAATTCACAACATGCCTTAGTTGTGGCCACGATCTAAGTCCCGTATGGCAACTGTCGTCTACTGTGTGTTTATGGCCACTCTGGGTATTTGTACAAGGTACCACAACATTGAGACTTCATCCCTCTTACCTGAGTATATATTCAATTGTATCATTTATGCATCTATTGGGTTTTTTTCCTGTTTTGAAATGTTGTTCTTTTGTATGATTTCAGTCTCTATGAAGAGCTAGATGTTACATGTGCGGAGTATCAAATACTCCAACCCGGCGACCAGCACCAGGTTGATTTAAGAATAAAGACAGACTAAAAATATACGAGATAGGAGTCCAGACCAAAGAGCCTCCTATCAGAACGGCGCGCCATCCATGTCAGCCTGAATCATATTCTTCAGATAACTGAGCTCATCCATCAGCTCCTGCATGGTAGCATTCCCCTGAAACGAGGCATTGCTCCGACGAGAGCGAATGCGGTCAATGGAAGCCTCGCTCAGTTTCCGCTCTGCCCCTGGGAACGGGCCCCCAGCCTCGGAATCTCCGGGGAGCTGGGGGAGTATGATTGGGGAGCCATTGGGGCTGTGCGACAGAGCTAGAGCTTCCATGGACTCAAGGGCATCGAACAGGGCGGCGTGACGCTTCGGATTACTTTCCACTTCGTCCATATTCTCGATGCCCAAGCCGGAATAGTCGAGGCCAGGGGTGGATAGGGAGACAGTGAGTTGTGGGAGACCGGCACTCCAGGGAGGGAGTTCCTCGGAGGCTGAGTTGGGCGACGAGGGTTTAGAGTACACGATAAGGTGAGGAGTGTTCGGATCGGTATTGGTGGCGCCATCGCCGGACTGCGATAGGTCTGGTGTCACCCAGCTTTCATTGACCGAAGACTCGTCCTGGAGATAATTGAACGTTGAGGCCGACATTACCGATCCGTGCGGGTTGTAATCGGCTTCGGTATCAGTGCTCCACTCGGAGAATCGGCTGTGTTCGGGCATGAAATGGGAGTGGATGGAGTCTGTCGATGCTGTCATGCTGGAAAAGTGACTGCGTAGGATCTCAGCATCCATCGCCTTGTCTCTCTCATCGATAGCCCGCACTGCTTCGTCCATGACCGAAGATGGCGTGTTAGGGAGTGTAGGGAGTCTCTTCTCTTTAGTAAATCCGGCTGTAGGTGTAGGCAAATCGCCCGAACCTGCGATATCATTCAGGGCTTCGCTGATCGCACGAGTCTCGTCGAATGCCGCGCTCTTCCCGTTAGCTGCGTTGCGGGAAGGACTGGCTTTGCGAGGCTCAGGACGCGTTTGCACTGTAAGAAGCCGGCCCGGTGCTGTGTCGCCGGCGTTTGCTTTCATGGCGCGGCGGCTCTGAATAGTGGACGGAGGGCTAAGGTTGTCGGCAGAACCCGCAGATGACGGGATTGCAATTCCAGCATTGATCTGGATTCCGGGAATATTGCGTCGGCTCTCAACTGACTCATTTTGCTGTGTAGGCATATAAGGAGCATTTTCTGGTCGCGCTGGCGCGAAATTTCTTTCGGGCTCAGTGGGCTGCCGCAGAACAGCAAGCAGGGCGCGGGCTCTCGGGGGAGACATAGAACGCGAATCTTTCTTGTGACCCTTGCGGGTGGCACTGTGAGGCTGAGACACACTTCGGTAAATACCAGTCAATGGAGATTTGCCAGAAGGCTGCGCCGGACTCGGTTGCCGACGGCCCGACGCAGAGGTTTGAAGACGCGCTGGCTGAGGCTGGGGCGGTGGCTTCCGCGGATTCATATACTTGTCTTCTGGGTTCATGGTCCGAACATGATCGGAGGACTGGGAGCTGCCACTCGCCGAACGCCCATGTGCGCGACTGTCTGGTAGAATAATTGGAACATTTAACACATTCACAGGCTGCCCTGGAAGAAGAGGGCATCTTGTGGTTGTTGGCTCTGCCTCGTTATAATATTCTATATCATTATCAAGCAGATACTGATATTCCTGTTAGCCCTTTTCAATTGACAGATATGAGGAGCAGACTCACATAATACCAATAGGTACCACCCATCTTCAGACCTCCTGTTCGCCATTGGGTCTTGTCTGGTCCGTCGCCCATCATATCTGTGAAGGTATGACATCCTCTCCAGTGTCCAGATCCAACTCGTTTATCCCTTTCCATCACATATTGCTTGGAGAAATTATCCCATGATCCGAGCAGCTTGACCGACCGAACCTCTGGTTTGGTGATCCTAAATCGTGGTCAGCACATGAAGACATCAATTGCACTTGGGCATACTCACAGCAAGAAAGTCATAAGGGTGGTCGAGATCATCGCAAGGTAAGCCAGGAAGAAAATACGAAAAAAAGAGTGTAGGTCGCTAAGCAAAACAGGTGATAGCACAGGTTACGAAATAGACCAAAGAATGAAAATGCAAAACAATGCAAGGCAACAAAAAAAGAAAGAAGAAGAAAGGCTAAAAGACCGAATCCCAATAGAGTACACGCAAATGCAAATCAATCAAAGGACAGTAGTATATGGAGAGAAGGCAGAAAGGAGTCTCGAGGTGAAAGCACAAGCTCATATAACAAGCCCACGAGGCTCACAAGGACTCTTGGACCAGTCCAGGCACACAAAGCCACCTCCACAAAGGCGGTTCTATAATTGCAGTCGGGGATTGGAAACACCACGCTGTACAGAGTGTACAAGTACCTGTTTCAGGATCGAGTGACAGATCTAAGAATAAACGGCTCGTTTCAGGTATGTTCGGGCAACGCCGCAGACAACCACAATGCCATGGCCTGGACCTAAAGCCCGAAACCAGAAGACCAGATAGGCTGAAGCAGATGGCTCAGCAACCGCGACGCAATTTGCCAGGCGCTGTACAGGGCGACCAGGTTGGCCAATGGGGGAGCGGGAGGAGGAAGCGCCGACCACTCGGGTGGATGGTGTTCCTGCGTAGGGGGTTCCGGCGCTAAGAGAGCTGCAGGCCGGGATTGGGGTTGACACGGGAGAATTGTGATTCTATTGGGGGTGGAAGCCGTGGTGCAACGAAACCACGAAGCCTGAGAGGATAAGCAAGCGAGAAGGGGTTGAGAGGCAAATCCGTTTTTTTTTTTCTGACGGCGATCGGCGCGGGGGATGATGAATTTGGTGTCGATCACAAATGAGCGGTGATGAGGGGTGGAGCTGATTCAGAGGAGTTGATCAACCGGAAATCCGTGATCTATGAGGATTATAACAGTTTGAAGAGGAAGAAATGTGATCTCAGATTATTATCTCCACGGGGTGGCTTGCGATCCTCCGATCCTCCACCCCTCGTCGATCACGCAAGGCACCCTTACGGGAGGACTTACGGAGTAGATTCATTTGGATCTGGGTTACATGGAAGAGTAGGCTCATACAGATTGTAGAAATTCAAGGCCTCAGCTGAAACCAGGACAAGAATACACCTCACAACGTGGAGTTCGCCATATGCACGGAGTACTTGGACTATCCGAGCTCTAACTACCGAGCAGACGTGATTGGCGTGTGGGAGTTGAAATATCCTCATTGGCCAGTCTCTCGAACGACTGGAGATGAGAATGCACACTAACGCAGCTAATGAGGTCCGAGAATTCTCCACTCGGGCGCTACGTGAGATCATGGCGCCTGCAGACGACATGTCAGTTTGGTTTACTCCGAGTCAAAAGATGCGATAGGGAGAGAGAGAGACATTGAACCCTTAGTATCCTCAATTGTATTATTATTAAACCCCCGAACTTGACATGGGAATCACAAAACTGAAACCAAAACCACCTACATAAGGTAGTTACCTAGGTAGACAACCATCCAGCCTCCAAAGGACAATCAGACCCTGCGCCTATCCAACCTCTTATTCACAGCCCCAAGCACAGTCTTCAAAATCCCATCCCCTTCTAATCGATTACCAGCCCGGTTCTTCCAAGAAACTGTATCAACGATATCCCTCATATTCGTATCTTGACATCGCGCCCCAAGATGATCATCCAACCCCTCCAATTCCTGCCGTGCGCCCTCATCATTCCCAATCTGGAAAAATTGAATCCCAACCTGCCACGGCAGAGCATCACAGGTAGGCCCATCGAGCGTCTTCGCCGTCTTCATAAGAACCCCTTCCGCATCATCCGTGAACACCCCGTCGGTGATAGTGATGATATTAATCGGCTTGACGAAGGCGTCGGGTGGAGATACGCCACGTGCTAGCTTGGCCGCATGCATCGCTTGCACCCGCCGCACGTACGGGTCCAGAATATCATGCAGTCGGTGGCCGACTGCCGTTCCGCCTCGTGGCCGCACGGATGCGAAGATCTCGTTGACTCGTTGCGCTGTCGTGACATTGTGGTAGCCACCGCCGGTTGGTGGGCGCGGGCTGCGATTGGATGCGTAGTGTGACTGGTGATGAGAGATGGAACCTGGTCGGTGATTGAGGAAGTAGATGTCGATCCCATCGCTGTCGTACTGGGTGCAGATTGGCGCGATCGCGGCAATCGCTTCTTCTGCTTCCTTCCAGAGTCGGCCTTGCATGCTTGAGCTGTCGTCTACGAGGAAGATGGTGTCGAAGTCGCGGAGGAAGGAGTATTGGGAATCCGATTCAGGCTCTTCCGGTCCGCTGATTCTGATCTCTGGGATCCCCCTTTCGGAGTATGGGGGCGGGAGATCGGAGGAAGGCACTGTATGTGTATACGATGTGCTAGTGTTATTGGTACGACCTCGCCATGGGTTCGATGATCCGGTCCTGCCTGCTCTGCGCTCATTGCGCTCCTTGCGACGGTCGGATGAGAGGGAATGCCATATAGATGACTTTTCAGAAGTGCCCATGGCTGCAGATTGTTTATGATTGGAGACCAGTTGGCCCATGCCGAGGAAAAGCAAAGAAGCCATGGGATTGAGTGGGTGCTTAAATAGGTATAGATGGTATGCTCCGAACAAAGGGTTGGACTCAACGGGAAAAGATCTCTTTATATCTCGATGATTCATATCAGGCGCTATACGCTATGGCGTGGAACCTAACCACAAAGAATGCACAACATAGATACTTAGGGCAGAGGTTGGGTCAAGGCATACCTTTTGGGCAGTGTATTCTGAGCTGGGCACCACCGACACAGGGCCATAACATGAGGCTCGGAGAATTAGACTACCTAGGTAGACTACCTAGGTACAAACACACCATGCAATATCATGAGATCAACAAGGCAGATTCAGTTGACTGCAGCCCTATTGCAGCTACCGTCCGTATTCAAGAGGGCAATGTTGTGTCCAGCCTTGTAGGTACAAGCCACCCTATCAAAGCGCAGTGGAATACGCATGCTGTAGTCATCGGGCCTCAGTATGCCAAGGTTAGTTTATAAAAGCGCCAATCATAACACAATCCAATGTACAACTGTTGAACAAGTTCCCTTCGCAGTGTATCACTGGTGGCGGAGCACCCGACTCAGCCCCGCAGACAGAGGGCGCAGACGTATGCGGAAAACCAAATCGAAAGATCCCAGTGCTTTACGCCTGTTCTAGAATTTTGATTCACCCATGACTGCTCCCGTATTACAGGGGCTCTTGGTTCTTGGCTCTCTCTCTCTTTGTCGTTCAAAATCGTTCAAAACATTTCATGATTCATAATGATAACCAAAGCCTGTAGCACCCCAAGTCCAAATCCCACGCTATAACGCAAAAAGTACGCACTACTTACAAAACCGTTGACACAATTGAGGCGATGTAAAAGAAAGAAACTGTGGGAAGGGAAAAGACATGACAAATAACATATCAGTCATCTTAAACCCTCGAAGCAAATGTGCTTCCTTAATGGGCTGATTGGATCGGGTGCATCGGACATATAAATGAGAGGGTCTTCTTCCTCAGTCACAGAATGTAAGACTCCAGGGTCAGCTGCAACAATGTCTGCGACCGCCAGTGCCTGGTCAAGACCCATTGTGTTTCCAATCATTTCTAGGCACTTGATCACCCAACGGCGCAGCGCATGCCCCGGTTTCTCGACGATACCAGCTACAAACAGGGGCCAGAGGAGCACAAGACCCCCCATGTAGCTTTCGGGTGGTGGGAGGTTGCGCTCACTGTGTGCCTGATGGGCGTTGAAATGAAAGGGAACGGTGCGACAGATTTCCACGGCCAACCGCCGGATCGTTGATCGCAGCGTTCTGTATTGTAGGCGAAACTCGTCAGACAGTGAGGATAGAGAGGAACTATTGGAGAGTTTCCGGACGTGGGAGAGAATAATTTCGCTGACGACAATCCGAGCGCTCCGGTATTGGTTCCACGAATTGCAGACCCAAAGGGTGGGATACACGTGGTATTGATCGCCGTATGGGGAGATGCCGCAGAATCGCTGTCGAAAGACAGAGTCAAAAGGGGATGTCACATGGGTGGTATAGCTAAACTCGGGAGGAAGAGCTGCTAGCCAGGCAAGCAGATCGGCTTCAATGGCTGAGGCTGCTGATATGATTTCCCACTCGTTGTTCAAGGAGTCAGTGCGGATGTCTGCGCGAAGATTTGATAGTTTTCCAATGATCATGACGAGTCTATTCCCGTGCGCTTCCGCTGGGCAAAGAAACATGGCGACTTTCGTGCATTCCAGTAGTGACTTGGGTACTCGTGCGTCTCGTTGTAAGCAACTGATGACCTACTAAGGTGTTAGCTTAAGGTCGAAGAGTGGTAGAAAGCACTCACAATCTGATATCGAAGGTGTAAGAACAAACGAAGACCGGCATCATTCTTGAGTTGATCAGTCCCGCGGAGGTCAAGTAGGGCCGCCGCACCATTGATATGGTTGGTCCAACTGTCAATATGCTCTGGGGATCTTGATGTGACTACCTATAAATCCGAGTGTCAACAACCATCTGAGGGGTCGACTATGCAAAATGTCCTACTTCATATATGGCAAGCAGCACGACTGTACCCAAGGTCTGATTGGTCTTCGCTTCATTGATATCGGCTAAAGCGGAGTTAAGCAATCTTAAAGCGGATCCATACTCCCGATGGGCTACCTCCTTTAGCGACGGCAGCCCTCTGACTCGGGAAAGCATAGCCGTGGCAGTAGCCACCACGCTAGCCTGCATGGCTTTCTGGCTTGCAGGACCCCCGGTCTGCGACAAGAACTTGGAGACCATGTCGGTAGTCCAGAAAGTGCCGGGAATAGCATTGGATTGTAAGAAATAACAAATTGCTTCATGTTTGGCGGTATCAATCTCTTGCGACGGCTGGATCTCCAATGGGCACTGTCCAAGCTGTTGCATGAAATAGATATGGTGTGGATCGGAGCTGAAGGCAAAGTCCGGCTCCACCACGGTAGTAAGCCCAGGCCGCACAGGATTCCTTTCTTGGATTGCAGTGCGAGACGATCGATCTGCCCTTTGATCTGTTCTTTCGTTCCTATGTTTGGCAGCAGCCGCCTTTCGGACTACCGATTTGCTCTCGTCGCGAAACATTAGGGATAGTTGGTCCCGGTATCCAGGGCAGTCCCGCTTTGCCCTGTTGCATTGCGAACAGGCCGGTCGGACTTGGTCGCACCTGATTTTCCTGGACCTGCACTCGCCGCATCCTTTGCTTGGCTTACCGCAGTACACCATATCCTGTAGTCTTTGAAGAAGTATACCTTATGTAGGTAGTTTCCGTTGTAGGGACTAAGAATCCAAAACCGAAGAGGTCGGTCCTAACATATTGCTTGGATCGCGCTTGACCGCTTCGGGTATGCTTTGCGACCCGAAGCTTCAGCCGTCGATCTTACAGAAACGTGGGCTTTAGACTGTGGCCAAAGAAGAGACAGGATAGGTACATTTATATGGAGTACTCCTTACGGAGTACATATAAACGCAATCCGAAGATAACAAACTATAAGGTTATGCATCATGTGTGGGTACCCACCTCATATATATACATGTACCTATCGGCCCTAGTACAATCCTCAACTCAACAGAAAAACGAAAACTAGGTATATTGATGGATTTCAATCAATGCATACAGGCACTACGAACAAAACCGGGTTCTTCTTTTAAGAAGAGGCGCATGAAACACCTCATAAGATGAACAGATCTGAAAACTTGGGGCACGTGGCCTTACCTACATGTAGGGATTCCTGATCTTCCAGTTTATAACCAGTTTGGAAATGAAGATCGCTCAATCTCAAATGGTAATCTAGTAGTTAGCCATGTACGTATGTATGTAATGCATGCGGCTGATATTGAATCATTACCTACATGTAGAAGGTAGAGAGCCAGGTACACATACCTTCATATAAAGTGCACGTGGGTTGACCCCCGGAGCCTCCTCTGCCTCAATATCTCCGAGGTCAGCTTCGCTCCGCCTGGCCTCCCAAGGTTCCTGTTCCCATATAGGTGCATGGTAGCATAGTATGAAATCTAATACAAATATGCAGAAATCCTGGGACCCTCCCGAGGCCGATATGGCCACACTTCGTTCTCGATATCAGCCAGGATCGGCAGTGTCAGCGTGTGAAACAATGCTATTTGAACCTGTCTGCTAGCATAGAGATTGAAGCTCGAGATCGCCTATAGATATAATGCGGTTAACCGGCTATTACAACTCAGGTTAAATCCAAGTCCACTGCTGAATGAGTCTACTGGTACGACTTCATTGGAATTTCTCGCTAGTCTGTTGATGGAAAAATTTAGTATTAGATAGTCTTTTATTGTCATAAAGATCGATAGCAAGAATGCAGTCTTCCATAGCGCCCGATGTCTTGCAGATATTACTCAGCTCGCTTTGATCGAGATTCAGCCTCAACGTCTGCCTGACTCGCACGCTTCCTCTTCCCCCCAGATTGTCCGCTCGAGTCCGAATCTTGCTGCACGAAATTGCCAGTTCCATCATCATGCCACTCACTAAATTCCCACTGTATTGTAGTTGATTGGTCGTCGCTGACTCCCATGCCACGCCGAGAACGCATCAAACGACCTAACCGACTGCCTTCTACCATCTCCTCGAACCAGGGAATACCACCGGTTCTGTCATGCTGTAGACTTCTTGAGATATCAGAGAAACCACTCAAAGATGGCACAATGATTGAAGATGAAGCAGTCTCCGAGGCTGGTGCTAGAGCAGACGAGACCGAGACGTTCGCACCAGGAACTTCCTCATCGAGATCTTCAGGCAGTAAGTTCAGGTCATCCAGTATACGCTGGTCCTCCGAAAACAAGCTTCCAATCGCAATAGACATGAAGTTGGATTCTTCCAATGGTTCTTCTGTCCAGAACGTCAAGGGTGTACCACAGAAGCCACAAAACACACGCTTGGTCTGGGGTGCATGGCGAGGCGAGAAACTTCGGCGGATGGAAGCGTGTGATTCATCCGGGAAGAAGGACTGAGTGTGAGATTGATACCACTCGAGAGGCACCCGCAGCCATGCCGCAAGAGGCGTGCCATGAAATCGACCTAGGGTTTTATATCAGCCGGGAGATCGGCAAGCTTGGTTTATATTAACTCACGGTTGTCTCGGCCGCTGTCGAAGTACACTTCGGCATGGTCTGTCACATCATCCGGAATATTGATTTGATATGCAATTCGACCACAAGAACATGAGCCGCGGAGCGGCTCGAATGCCATGGTGGTACAAGAAGCTTTGCGGCTTTGATGACTTGGGCTAGATTGTTCTAGATCGATTATTATCGACCAGGCGGGCGTTTTGCCTGGCAGAAAAGCTAATTGAGGGGTCGACAGTCCTTGATGGGAAATCAAAGCAGAGAGCAAATTCCACGCGAGAATACAGTCCGAGAGAAAGAGAGAAAAAGCAAGGTGTGTTCAGTGGACCCTCTCTATGACGTTTAAGAGTTGCCAAGGCCCGAGTTCCCGGCCTCCAGTTTACTCCGCATTGGCCTTGCGCTTATCGGCTTCCTATCGTTTTCCCTTCTCTCCTCTTTGCATTCACTTCCTCCTTCGCATTGTCTCACTCTCGACCACGATCGCCTTCCTTGTCTATGTCTCACTCAGGCGCAGACCCAGAACAGCAGCGATAACAACATAATAATCCAAACGAACCCGCAACCCTCGAACCTTGTATACCCTCGGCGCATCTACCCCACGTCCTCAGTTCCCATCAAAATCCTCCAGTTATCAAGCGCCACGATGAATCCAGAAGATGATCATGACCGGTCCTCCTCGACGCCGAATGGCACCTCCAAGCAAGGATCTGCCCAGGACAAGCCTCGCCTGACCGATCAAGAAAAGAAGAGCAATCATATTGCCTCGGAACAAAAACGCCGTGCAGCTATTCGGGAAGGCTTCGATCGTTTGACAGAACTAGTCCCCGGTTTGGAGGGGCAGGGTCGGAGTGAGAGTATAGTTCTACAGAAGACCGTGGACTTCATCCACGTGAAGCTTCGAGAGCGCCATGAGCTCATCGCAGAGATCGAGAGCAAAGGTGGTCGCGTAGACGACTCCTTCCGCCCAACATGATCCTTTTGCCCTCGGCATTTCATTTATCTCTGGGCCGGAACCTTGCAACCTCCATGCGCCCATCGCTGGCCGATCTGGGGTGTCTGGGGTTGCAGGCATGTGCCGAGGTCCGCTTGATGAAATTCGGGCCACATGGGCCTATACCCCCACCACGAATCTCTTTACCTCGTCTATTCAATTCCTGTATTATGAACAAGATTTCGCACATGATCAACTGCACGGCTCCCTCGTTATGTATGTGGCAGATCTGAACTTCGCATAGGATATGATGCCAATCACACCCTGTGTCTTTAGTGGACTCGAGGGTTGTCAGTACGCTGCTACGCCTTCTGTAATTCTTGTCTTTACCCTTCGATTCATGTCTATTGTACATTGAAACTATTGTTTTTTGGTTTGTTTCTGCTTGTGGGTGTCAGAATGTATATGGTCATGGTTGTTGCTATGAAGCAATTGGAGCGCTTCCCCCTCTATTGGACGACTAGTTGGAAATTGACTTCCTTCAGCTCTCAATGAGCACCCACATCCACGGCTTTATTTCTCAGAAAAATCCATTCGGGGTTATTTGACTCCCCGGCAGCCGTACTTTGGTGGCATCACGTGTACGCGTTACGGAGAATAACTGCGACCATTGGACAACAGGGATATTTGTCTAGGACAATACTGGTAGTTCTACAAATCGGGAATCTTGAGCCTCTCTTGCTATGAATTGTAAACTAGGTAACCAAATGTATTTAGATCATATACAGGTACGTTACTATGTGCAATCCCAGAGAGTCAGGCAAAAGACAAAGGCGATATCCCAAAAAAAGACAGTCTCGTCGCCACAGTTGTATACATGGTACTCCGTACATACGGGTAGTTGCGAGCTTCGGCTTACCGCCCCATATCTGCCGGGGAAACCGGAGCCGCTCCAAATTAAAGCTCTACATACAACCCTGGATCTCGTAAACAGTCAAAATTCCCATTGCACGTTCATATATCCTCGCGATATCAATCAATTGCAGCAAACTCCATCAATCAGCGAGAAGCAACCGCGACATTATCCAAACCCCCGCATCAAATCGCAGGCCGCAACACCCCAAAACTGGGCAACTTACAAAACGCCAGACCCAAAAGTCAAACCACCCAAAATGACAGACTCCAAAGAAGCCCTCCTGGCTGAGATGGAAGACATTGACATCCTCGAATCCGACCCACCCCCAGCCTATGACAAACCAACCCCAAAGATCAATCGCGGACCCCTCCCACGTCCACCCCCCTCAACCTCCCCGTGCTCAACAGCCTCCGCAACCGCCGCGTAATCCTCGCCTCGCAATCCCCACGTCGCAAGCAAATAATCTCATCCTTGGGCCTCCCAAACCTGGAAATCATCCCGTCCAACGCCGCCGAAGACCTCCCCAAAAGCCTCGGCGCATTCGAGTACGTGTTGGCCACAGCAACGAAAAAAGCCCAAGCAGTCTACGAGCAAGAGATCAACAACGAGAGCAAGGAGGAGCCCGCACTCATTATCGCCGCGGACACGGTCGTTGTTGACCCGTCCTCCGGCGCGATCCTCGAAAACCCCGCTCCGAAGCACACCACCTGGCCATGCTGCGCTCGCTACGCGACGTGCGCAACCACAAGGTCTTCACGGCGCTTGTGGCTATGGCGCCGTTGGTTAGTGCGCGGGACCCGGGATATGCTATTGAGTCGGTGGTTGAGGAGACATCGGTGAAATTCGATGGGGAGGTTACGGATGAGTTGATTATGGCTTATGTGCGGACTCGTGAGGGCGCGGATAAGGCTGGTGGGTATGGGTTGCAGGGACTTGGGTCTATTCTCGTGGAGAAGATTGATGGCAGTTATGATAATGTTATTGGGTTGCCGCTTAAAGCGACGCTGAAGCTTATCGAGACTGTTATGCGGAAGGCGGATGATGACGAGGGATTGCTTAGTGATGGGGAGAGTGAGGATGAGGAGTGAGTGGCCGGTTGGAATGGCAATGGAGATTAGGGTTGTGGATATGGGGTGTTGTCTCTGTTAGCCTTGTCTATGATTTGTTTTGCATTTTCGTCCCTTGTTTGAGGTAAGATTCAATTTGAAAGGTTTCGTGATGAAGAGAGCATTCCAATTGGTAAGTATAAACATTTGATTCATGCTAAGCTAAGTTATTGCTAACAGACCATTGCATATTTGACATACTACCTACATATATTAGGTATGCTGTAAGATTCAAATCAAACCTTGGAGTCGACCACATGCAAGGGAATCGGAAGTCAAACACGAATGGAGACCTTTCAGCACCACGAAGCCTAAATATGGTGATTTAAGAGGCAACAGATGAGTAGTTGGTTGAATATTGGGGGATCAGAGAGCATGCTAGCGCATTTATAGTAGGCGGTATTCCACGCGGTGTGCAGGCTTTCGAGAACAGAACAGTCCCACGAGATAAGTGTGATACTTATACTTTTTCTATATTTTGTAGCTCAGAAACAACCGCGAGCAGTAGATAATCCAGCACCGATCAATGAATTCGGGCAGAGAAACAAAAGAGAGATAATCAACAACATATACAGAGGTGGAACGGAACGCCTGGATAGACCAGAACCAATCGGTAATAAAAAAAAGGAAATAGGAAGACAACATGTCTGAAAGAACAACGCCACTCTATGCCGTCCAGATGCGGCGCAGGGCCTCTGTCACACCGACATCGTTTGTCTCAAACTCGTAGAGACCAACGGCGGTGGTGAGGGTGAATGCGCGCAGGAGCCAGTTGCAGAAGGAGCGGAACTTGGGCACGCGGGAGGGAGGGAAGTAATCGACAATGGCGGCCCTGTTAGAAGAGATAGGTTAGATTGCAGTTTCGAGATTCAAGACCCGGGAAAGATCTAGGCTGGATGGCGGAACTGCGCGGAGGACTCTTACTGGAAACCGATGTGCGAGTGGGCAACAATCAGAGAGCACAGGATGGCGTCCATGACGGGGTTGAGGGATCCGGCGGCGAAGGGAGCGAAGGTGAGGGGAACCAGACCAACGCAGACCAGTCTAGAACGAATGTTAGTCGGTGATCCTTGAATTTTCCTCTGCGCATGGCGGTGGCGGGGCCATCGGAACAGGTTGTATAGGTCGGCATTGCAGAGCGCGAAAGGGGACACGAACCTCTCGAAAGACCAGTGGTAGCTGCCCTCAGAGGCGTGAGTCGGGGGAATGGGAGCAGCGTCGTTCACTGTGGGTGCAAGTTAATATCCAAGATGAAACGATGGTAGTATTCCCCATCGACTGGAGCCAATTATTGAGCGTTGCGAGCAATCAAGACTAGATATGTCCACATATTTCCGACGGTTTTAAACGCAATGGCATCGAGCAGCGAGGGAAGGATCGGGATAGGAAAGGCGCGGAAATCACATACTGGTTCCCTGGATAGTCTCTGTATTGCGAAAAGCGTGTTAGCAATTGGTCTTGAACGCCTCTCAATAGCTCTTTCCATTGGAAAGCCCTCTGCAGTCCTCATCGCATGGCTACTTACGAGGCAACGGGGGCAGGATCTGCTTCTTAGCAGAGGCGTGGAAAGCCACGATCTGCGACACGCCGACATTCTTCTGGAGGAAGGGCGCCCGGGGGGCGAGAGTCTGACGCAGCAGAGCTGAGCGTGCGAATGAAGCCATTGTGAGTGGAGAGTATGGTCGTGAAGAAGCAGAAACGCCGTTCGAACACAAGCGGATGAAGTTGGAGACCTCGGGAGTCCGCTTCGGTATGTCATCCATTTACGGGAAATATGATTGGCCGACAGCCGTCCGCCCAGCCGAAATTGGCCGATGCTCTGGCACGAAACATTTAGCACTGGAGTTACTTCTTCCTGTCTATACTTTGGAGTCGCTCCATACTTGTTACTATTGATTTCTGAATCATGCATATTTGGTATCTTATTGCAATATATCTCGGATGTGCTAATTGAGGAGACTGAGTTTCATCTCATCCCTATATGCTGTAAATTCCTAACCGAGGTATAGCAAAATACCTCGTTTCCAATCATTACGCCAGGCATGTCGTTATCTCATCAGTCTCATGAGGCATTTAGAACTTCAGGACAGCCTTGCCCATGTTCTTGCCGTAGAAGATGCCGACTAGGCCATCGGCAGCGTTATCGATGCCAACCGTCTCGTGGATGAGCACCTTGAACGAGCCCTCCTTGATCCACTTCTGCACACGCTCCTGGTGCTCCTTGGTGTAGACATCACCCATGCCCTTGTCACTGACGATGAAGCCGCGCATAGTGATTCGCTTGACGAGCACATTGTGGATGTTCTTGATGGGGTAAGGGGCAGTGTTGTACTGGGAGATCAGACCGCAGACAATAACACGGCCGAAGTCCTTCATGGCATCAAGAGCAGCCTCAAGTTGCTCGCCGCCAACGCTCTCATAGTAGATATCAATGCCTTCAGGAGCGAGACGGGCAAGCGCATCAGCGGGCTTCTCGGTCTTGTAGTTGAAGCCGCCGTCAAACCCAAGCGTCTTGGTGATAAACTCGAGCTTCTCATCCGATCCGACGGATCCGATGACCCGTAGGCCCTCATGCTTAGCGAGCTGGCCGACCAGTTGGCCGACAGCGCCGCTGGCAGCAGAGACAAAGATGGTCTCGCCCTTCTTGGGCTTACCAATCTCGTACAACGAGGAGTATGCGGTCAGACCAGGCATGCCCAAGGGACCGAGGAAGACACGAATGTCCTCAATTCCGAGGGGATTTTCGAGCTTACGGATGAAAACAAGCTGTTCCTCGGCGAGGGCAATGTACTCCTGAATTGCAACATGACCGATGATGAGGTCGCCTTCCTTGTAACTGGCGTTGTTGGAGCGCACGATCTTGCCGATGGTGGCGCTCTGAACGGGCTTATTGAGATCGAATGCGGGAGCGTATGACTTGACCTCCGCGGGGCGCATGCGTCCACGCATGTAGGGATCAAAACTAGTGTAGAGGGATTGCAAGACGACTCCATTGTTGGGAGCAGCAACATTGTTGTCGTAGGGGGCAGCCTCGACGACCAAGTGCTCCCCGGGGACGGGGTATCCCTGGGGGATTTTCTTGAAGGTGAGAGACTTGTTGGTAGACATTGCCAATGTGCGTGCTATGTGAGAGGGAAAAGAGAGATGTATGTGAGAATGTACCGAAGTATTACTCCTTCGAGGTGGGAGCTTTTTATATGACGCTGCAGCTCTTCATAGAAGCGGGGCTACCGAGGATCCTAGACCACTTTTTTTTTTTTTTTCTTTTATTCTATTCGTATCCATTTTTATTATAAAGCAGCCTGATGCGCCCCGGAGAAGCTTCTCGAGAAAGTTATGCCCAGAGCAGTGTATAGATCCCACTTTCTATGGATTCTACAAATTCAGTCGGCCATTTCTGCGCATAACTTGGAACAATATAATCAAGCTCCTCACTAAACTCAACGATACCTACATGTAGGCATGATGAGTCCATAAATGTGGCAACGGAACCGGTTAGTTAACCAGTGGGGATCGGATGAATTGAAAACCCCTCACCCCGACGGAGACCACCACTTTCGGAAAGAAGACCGTAAAGGTTCCTCCGCATGATGACAAGTGTTGAATGGTTGATTAATCTACAGAAGACTGCACCTGCCCAGGTGGGGAAGTTACGATTGTTAAGCACGGAGCTAGCTACCGTTTTGGGATGCGAGCGGGTATGCAGGGGCATAGATCTCGATTGGACTTGACGATCGACAAAGCATCTAAGTTCAGCACCAAATCATGCATTGTTGGACTTGTTGGACTTGGATATCATCTGGCATGAATTACGCATTAATTACATATATAGTTGCCGGAACATAGGCAGACAGGACTGTGCCGGTATTCTAAACCCCGAAAATAGGTACGCTTGGAAACCACGCTTGATCACATACGGTACCTCAATAAACTAGGACTTGCCAGCCACCGTGCCAACAGCCTTGTCAATGAAGTAATGCTTGCCCTTGATCATCTTGACCATGAAACTGAAAGGCACAAATCCAAAGATCTGACCCGTACCACCAGCTTCGCCAACAGGTACGATCATCATAATGCCCTCGCCCTGATTGTAGGTCTTGATGGCAGTACCACCCACAATAGCCGCTTTTAGATTGGCTGCCGCCACGTGCGCTTGCTCCGTGGCCTTGAAACTGAGACGCATCGAGTTATTGGTGATATCGCCGGCAGCAAAGATAGGCAAGATTGAACCGTCAGTCGACTGCACACGCATCTCGTTGTTCACAGTCACCCAGCCATCCTTATCCAGGAACTGGGGTGGGATGAAGCTGTTGTTGGGGGTCACGCCGGTAGTTGGGATATACAAGTCAGCCGAAAGTTTATCTCCGCTTTCCAGGGAGACGGTCCAGCTGGAAGAATCATCAGCTGGCGTCTCTACGCCAATGACTCGCTCCGAGGTCACAAGCTTGATCTTCTTATGCTCGAGCATCTTGCGAGCAGCGGAGCTAGCAGATCCCTTGAGCATTGGGAGCACGCGATCGGTCGCCGAGACAAGAGTGATAGAAACCTTGCCAGCATTTCCGCTCTCTTCCACTGCTTCGGCTAGTTCGCCAGCCAACTCAACACCGATGGGGCCTGCACCGCCAATCACGATCTCCTTCGCGCCAGCAATGTGTTCTTGGGCCGACTGGATCAGCTGCTTTATATCATTGTGGCCCGATGGCTTGAATGGGATAGAAGTGCCAGTGAGCGAGCCGGTAGAGGCAGATGTGGTGCTGCCCGATGCGATAACGAGATAGTCATATGATAAGGTCCTGGAATCTCCTTCGTTGGGAGTCACGGCAACCGACTTGGCGGCAGTATCGATGGCGGTTGCAACACCAGGAATAAACTCGAACGCATCGGGCCGGTACCCTACAAATGCACTCTTGATTGGAACCAAGTATTGTTCAGGGCGAAAGGCCTTGGGTTTGGTGAGGATGCGCGGGGCGGCGATATTCCAATAGAAACTGGTTGAAGGATTGATCAGCACAACCTTTGCATCTGGCACATCACGTAGCACAGAGTGGGCGATATGAAGGCCTGCAAATGAGCCTCCAATCACGACTATGTCGATAGGTGCCATGATATAGAGTCAGTGAGGGGGAAACAGGTGAGTTTCTTGTTTTGTTTGGGAAGGGACAGGACGTCTAATATATGGCAGATTCGATTTGTTCTCCGCAAATATGCAGGGTGAGCTGTAAGGCCTGATATAGCTGTTTTTCTTTTCCCCCTAACTATTCAGGGCTAGATCTAAAAAGAATAGTGCCCATTAGCAGAAATTTTATGCCTAAATGGATTTCTAATGCTGACTTATCCTAATATCGCCCGTGTGTGGCTTGCAAACGTATTCGTATTGATTATTGGGTATCATGGAACTGTACTGTTTGATGTGTTTGATGTGTTTGGCTGGTTTGATCCTCCTTGGTCCAGGCACCCCCCATGGGCTAAACCTTAAATAACGTACATAGCCTTACTCCGTATGTATGGGAGGATAACAAACTCGCAATTTGGGCAAAACATTCAGTGATCGGAGCAGCAGTGCCATCTTTTATTCGAAGAAATGGGTACCTAGGATACACTCATTGCCTGTTGCAAAGACATTCAAGAAGCGAAGTTCGGAATAAGACTACTTATGTATAACAAGATTGCCGTGTTTGCCATGTTTGCCACGCTCTCGCTGACTAACATTTCCCCTATCTCGGAAGTTGTCATATCGATAAGGGTCATGTGACCCGATAATTATTTTTGCGCTTCTCCTTGGAACGCCCCAATGGCGATTTACAGTTTTATCATCATCCCATTCACTTTTTCCATTGCCATTATCTCATAATGCTTGGTACAGTTCGCCGATTCGGCGTTTCCCATGCGCTGCGCGCTGCTGCGCCTCGCTCAGTCTCAGCACGATGGGTTCCTCAGCTTCCGAAATGGCAAGCTCCCTCGACCTTGTCATCTGTTGCCGCGACCAGATCGCTTCATTCCTCTTTCCCGCGTCTGTCTGCAGCTACTGCAGAGGCATTTGACAACCACAACGAGACTTCACAACCCGCAAGAATCACAGAATTTGCTGACTTGGCCTCAAATAATGTCATTGACAACACGATCATTAAGAACATCATCCAAGCTGACCGGATGAACTTGAAAACTATGACTGAGGTGCAGTCTCTTACTCTTAACGAGATTGTCAAGGGTGATGATATGTAAGTTCCATTGATCGTCCAAGTTTGGGTTGGCATTGATCGGTCTGCTAACCGGGAAACTTTTTTTCAGCCTCGCTCAGGCCAAAACAGGAACCGGAAAGACACTTGCTTTCCTTGTGCCTACTCTCCAAAATATTTTGAATGATCCTAGCGTCGACGTGTCCAAAGTTGGCCGTCGTCAAGCCAGAACTGGCCCTTCCGAAATCCGTGCTCTTATCATTTCCCCTACTCGTGAACTCGCAGAACAGATCGCCGTTGAGGCTAGAAAGGTGGCCTTTGGCACCGGCCTTATTGTACAGACTGCTGTTGGTGGTACACAAAAGCGTGCTGGTCTCGCTAAGATCCAGCGCGAGGGATGCCATCTGCTCATTGGCACTCCGGGACGTCTTAAGGATATCCTCTCGGACCCTTGGACTGGCGTTTCCGCCCCCAAGCTGAACACTCTCATTCTTGACGAGGCTGATCGTCTCTTGGACCAGGGTTTTGCTCCTGATGTTGAAGAGATCCAGGGCATGCTCCCCGACACTTCCAAGGTGGATCGCCAGACTCTCATGTTCTCAGCCACTGTTCCCAAAGAAGTCATGCAGATGGTTCGCAAGACCCTGAAGCCAAACTTCCAACACGTTAACACCGTGCGTGAAGATGAAGTCCCCACCCACCACCGTGTGCCTCAAAAGCTTGTCTACCTGAATGGTCTTGAAAACGGATTGCCTGCAGTCCTCGAGCTCGCCAAGAACTGGCAGGCCCGCCGTGACATTGGCGAAGAGCTGCGTCCTTTCAAGGCTATCGTCTACCTTAACTCTACTGCCGAGACCAAGATTTCCGCAGACGCTTTCAACGCCCTGTACAGCTCTTCTGAGTTCCGCCAGTCTTCTTTAGGCGCCATGAAAATGCTTGAGATCAATTCGCGTCTCTCTCAGCAGCTCCGCACTCGCAGCGCCGATAACTTCCGCAAGGCTCGCGAGGGCATTCTGTTCTCCTCCGATGTGACTGCCCGTGGTATGGATTTCCCCGATGTCACCCACGTCGTCCAGGTCGGTGTTCCTCGTGACCGCGAGACCTACATTCACCGTCTCGGTCGTACAGGTCGTGCCGGCAAGGAGGGTGAAGGCTGGATGTTTATCCACCGTGGCGAGCAAGATGTTTTCCGCAAGCGTCTTGGCCGTCTCCCCCTCAACCTTGACTCGCAGTCTCTCCCCACTGCCAATGTTGATATGACACAGCCTCAGTCTGACGCCTCACCAGAAGGCAAGACCATCAACCAGATTAAGGCTGCCCTGGCCGATTGTTCCCCCGTCACCAAGATCCAGTCATACATGGGCCAACTCGGTACCGCGACTGGAAACTTCAGCCGCAAGAGAGAGGCCATGTCGGCTCTGAACCAGATGTTCAGCGCTGGATACGGCATGCAGAACCCCCTGAGCTCAGCCCCAGACTGGTCCAGCAGATGGGTCTCGGCTCAATTGACGGAGTCAAGGTTGGTGATGGCCGCCCCAGACGCGAGAGCAGCTTCTCCCGCGGTGGGGACCGTGATGGTTTCTCCCGTGGCGGTGACCGTGGCGGCTTCTCCCGTGGTGGTGACCGTGGTGGATTCTCCCGCGGCGGTGATCGCGGTGATCGCGGTGATCGCGGTGGCTTTTCCCGTGGCGGCGACCGTGGTGGCTTCTCCCGTGGCCGCAATGACCGTGGTGACCGTGGTGACCGCGGTGGTTTCTCCCGTGGCAGTGATCGCAGCTCCGGCCGCGGCCGCTACAACGACCCCTCCTTCAACGAGGACTCCTTCCGGTTCTAGAGTCATCGATTTCAGGAGTTGAATCTGAGATTAACTCTCGCCAGCAACGCTGGTAATTGCAGTTTTTCTGGTGCATTGCAGCGCAAGGTCGCTCCATGACCAGATCAACCAAAAGTGAAAAGAAGAAGCAACCATTTTGGCATTGGGCGGCGTTCTCCCATCTCTTTTTATTGGACTGTCTTGTACTATACGCCCCTAGATTGGGTGCTCATGTGTTTCTAATTCCGACTTCTCTCCTCATTGTCTTATACTCTACTGGTTGTTTTGCGGGATTCTCTTTTCTGGATATGAAGTTCTGACCTGTTTACTTTTGATTTCATGTACAATATCTTCTCGTCTGCTGTTATCCAGAACGTCAAATATAATCCGACTTGACACACAACTTCTTACTGCATCAAAGATTGGGAATAACTGCCGCCTTTAACCCGATCCCCTTTCGAGAAATCTATATCGCTAAGGGATAAACAGGAACTCTCAGATCATACATCCCATGTATATCGCTAAGGGATAAGCAGGAACTCTCAGATCATACATCCCATGTATATCGCAGTATGAACGAAACAGTCACTTATGAGACAAAATAATAATAATAAACAAACAGAAACCAAAAAAATGCATTTAATCACGAGCAATCATGTGCTCTCTGGCAGGACCAGTACCGATCCATTTAACAGGAACACCACCAATCTCACGCTCAATGAACTCAATGTAAGCACGAGCATTAGGAGGCAAATCCTCATAACGCTGGACACCCATAGTGTTAGACTTCCAACCAGGCAGAGTAACATACTCAACCTCAATCTTCTCCACGACATTAGGATCCGCAGGGAAAGTACCGGTAGTGCGCTTTCCACAAGGCAACTTGTAAGCAACACCAACCTTGATCTCATCAAAGTCATCCAGGATATCCAACTTGGTCAAGTTCAGCGCAGTGTAGTGGTTAATCGCGTGCGAGTACCGGCACAGAACAAGATCCAACCAACCGCAGCGACGCTTACGGCCGGTGGTCACGCCAAACTCGCGACCAACCTGCTGCAGCTTCTCGCCGTCGGCATTCAGCTGCTCACTAGGGAAGGGTCCGGAGCCCACTCGAGTCGTGTAGGCCTTCACAACTCCGATGACGGACTTGATGCTAGTGGGGTTCAGGGCGAGGGCTTGCACGGCGCCGCCAAGACCGGTTGATGACGAGGTCACGTAGGGGTATGTGCCGTGATCGAGGTCGAGCATCAGGGCGTTGGCGCCTTCAACCAGTGTGTTGGGCGAGTTCTTGTGCTCCTGCAGGAACTCAAGCTGGTCGACAATGTGGGGCTTCAGGAGGTTGCGGTACTCCTGGAAAATATCATTAGTGGTGTGTTTGGAGCCGAGTCAGGGATTCTTAATCCCGATTCGACATGGGGCTGGTTTTTTTCTCCGGCATCAAAAGTTACATACCTTGAACCGAGCAATCTCCTCCTCTACATCGTATGCCAGATCTCCATAACGTGTGCGGTATGCGATATCCAGAGTGCGCAGCTTGCGCTCGAAGGTTGCCTCATCAAGAATCTCGCCGACGCGGACACCGCGGCGTGCGGCCTTGTCGCTGTAGCAAGGACCAATACCCTTGCCGGTGGTGCCGACCTTGCGGCCACCGAGACCCTTCTCCTCGAGACCATCGACGACAGAGTGGAGATCGAAGCAGACGTGTGCGCGGTCCGAGACGAAGATGCGCTGGGCGGCGCCCTTGAGGCCCTTGGCCTCAATGGCGGCCAGCTCCTTGAAGAAGCTGGGGACGTGGAAGACGGTACCGGCGCCGATCAGGTTGATACATTTGGGCGAAACCAGACCGGAGGGCAGGATGTGGAAGTCGTAAGTGACGTTCTCGTGGACGATGGTGTGGCCGGCATCTGGAAATTGAAAAAAAAAAGATCGTTTGGTCAGTTCACTACCTCCTCCAATGAACGGTGCCACGACTGCAGGGCTTCGGAGTAAAGGGATCGCAAGGCGAGTGCAACATACTGTGTCCACCAGCTGCACGGCAGCAGAGTGTCGCGTCCTGCGACAGCATATCTGTGATCTTCCCCTTTCCTATTCTTCGGTCAGCGTGTTCGACGTCTCTCGGTGCTGGTTCCTGTTACCTTCATCTCCCCATTGACTGCCTAGAACGATGGAAACCATGATTGCACGATTGACAATATGTTGGACACGAAAATCAGATATATTGATCCAAGATTGCGTTGGATGGTGGGGTTCGAGGGCAAAAGAGAATATGCCTGGAGCCGATAGCGGGGCCAAGATCAGGTTTGCCGGTGCGAGAGCTACTGGGCAATTTCAAGGAATGTAGACCAAGTCAATGCTGGCGGTTTTTTTCTGACAAAGACTCGAGCGTTAAATTGAGCTATTTCCCCAAGACTTGATCCCTTTTTACTGTGACTCAGAGCCATTTTTCCGCGAACTCCCGCTGTCACAGATCCGGCGGGGTGGCGGGGCTTGGTTGCAGCCTTGGAGCCTTGGTGCCGTGATGCCTGATTCATGGTGCCTCAGGCGGCCAGGGTTAGGGCAAGGGCATACAGTTGGGACTTTTCGGATAACAGATCAACAAGCAGTCAACTATTCCTAAGCTTGAGTCTCGATGATTGGGCCTCTGATACTTGGCTAGCTACTTGGGCTGATGGTCGAGGAATCAAATCTCCAAACGCCTCACAGGATTAGTCGATACTGCAAGTACAGAACGACCGAAACACCCAAACTTGCATAGACAAACAGCCTAAAGACAATGAAAAGAGACATCCAAATAGATTGGAATTGATTAAACTTGAACTAAATACACACGACAGTCCAATCCAGTACAGCAAACCAATAACCAGAGAAACACCGATGATAGAAACCCGATGAAACAGAGTCAGGCATATCTATGCAGATAAAAACTCCGGGTATTCACAACACCAAGCCGATTATGCATAAAAAGAAAAGGCCATGTTAGAAGACATCAATAGAAGGAAAGACGTGAACGATCAGAACGAAAACGGCTAGAAGGGAGGTAAGTGGTTGGGATGAGACCAGAAACACAGCGATCCAATAACTATTGGAGCTGGTTCTCTAGCTTCAGCGCTGGCTTCCATATCAGCATGGAATGGACCGAGGTAAATGGTGAAACCTAGACCACCTTTCCACCATCCCGAATCCAGTCCCTCAACGTGCCGAGCTCATGGATACAATCGCGATGCAGTTCACAGGCAACATCCCAATGCTTGCGCACCTGGATATCCTCCTCAATACCACGAAGATAGGCACTGAAGCCGCCCTTGTTTTTACCGGGGATGAGGGATTCCTCAATGTAATCATCAGCATCTTTATGGGCCTTAGCCTTGCCGTCGATATCATCATCGTCTACGCCATTCATTTTGAGACGGGTGGAGTCGCCGACGGCACTGATCCAGCCCGGTGCAAGACCGGTTTGGTTCGCCTCGTGGCGCGCGTTGAAGTGTGTAAGCATGCGGCCATTGAACACGTTCCATTCGTGCATGTATGCGCCCATTGCTGACACGTACCAGTTCCATTTCTCGCGGGGAAGAACGGGATGATTGGAGGTTGGGCTCGGGAAGAATGGTTCCGGGACCCGGGGTCGTTTGGGTGGGTTAGGGAGTTGGAGAAGGCGAGGGCGGATATCGTTCTTGGTGGCCTTTTGTTGCTTGGCCTGAGATTCGAAGGGGAGCGCAGTGTGGAAGTCTTCGAGATTCTCAATGCCTCCACTAGTCGTATTAGTGAACGGGGCAGTGTTGCGAATGTTATCGAAGTTGAACAATGGAGTACGGGAATCTGCATTGGACGCGCTTCTTTCTGTTGGTCGAGGAGGCTTGGGCTTCTTGACCGGTTGTGTACCCGGTACAGTCTGAGAAGCTAAATCAGGGTAGCTGCCACTGGCTGCTCCTACAACAGGGACCTTAGGTGGAAGATCGGGCGGAGTAGGAAGGTCTTCATCGAGATCCATCTCCTCAACATCAGGTGCCACTGGTTCAGGTCGAAGAGTATCCCCATTGAGGGTCTCTTTGATTTCATCGGCTTCAGTAGCAACACTTGGCTGCTGGGGAGCACTCCGCACTTTGACGCCTGCTTTGGGTTGTTTCTTGGGACTTCGAGACGACGCAGCGTTCGCCGCTTGTTTGGCCTTCTCGGCATCTGCTCCAGTCCACGAGAGATTTTGAAGCTTCTGGGCCCATGAATCCGCAGAGAATTTTGCTTGTGCAAAGGGGGTCGGTGATTGTTGTTGCTGCGAACCTTGATACAAAGGCGTAGAGCCGAAAGGATTCGGAAGTGGTGATCCAGTCGAGGATGTTTGTCCATTTCGATTGGCAGTACGACCCCGATTCTGCCCGGCAGGCGATCTTGGATTCGAGTCCTTGCTCGGTGAAGCAGAGCCCATGAAATCGAACTGGTTTATGTGATCCCGCCAGTCTTCCGCAGAGAACTTTTTGTGCAAGTCACTTGCTTTGTTACGTTCGAATGCCGCAGACTGGGGCCTTTGTGCACCGGGGGCTTTGTCGGAGCTGGATCCAAAATCTGTCAGAAAAAGGGAATTAAGTCGGGATAAGGTGTCTTGAACATACTTGACAGAATCAGTAGAGCCTGATGGATTTGGTTGCTGGTCCGATCGGTAAGAGCTCTTTGGGAAAGCAGCACTATCTGAGGTGTGTCCTTTAGGGGTGTCCTTGTCAGCATAGGCACATCGCATAAAAAGGAGCTCCCGGGGTATCGATCGGAATTTGAAACTACCATCTGGTTGTTCGACGGCTTGAATTTTCCTTCCGATCGGGACAGATTTGAAGACCTTACCATTTCCGGGGCTTGCTGTTCCTTGCTGGTGGAAGTCAGCAAACTTTTGATTCGGTCTGAGTCGACTCTTGGGGACAGCTTTCGGTTTGGGCATATCTCCCTCCGAGTCACTCGAGCTGGTGGAGTCATAGTTATTGGTGTCCCGTCTTGGCTTAGGACTCGCGCTACGATGCCTTGTAGATCGGCCAGAGGCAGGGCTGGCTGTACCCTTATGCGCGTGGGTGTGAGTCCCTGACGGGGTACGCATGGTTGCGGAACGACCCAACCCCGTGCTTGAGAAGACAGTTCGTTCACCTTTGCCTGTTTGGGCATAGGTTCTACTGGTTCGTTCGAAGTCCGCGGTGTATGAATGTCGTTGAGGCCGAGGCGGCTCCGGTGATGCTGGCTTCTTCGCAGTTGGCGGCGGAGCAGGGTTGAAATATTGGCTGGTCGGCCGTTCAGTCCGATTGCTGCTACTATAAGCAGAAGTGTTGCGGGCCATCGGTTCATCTCCTCCAGCGACCCCTGGTGCAAAACCGTGTTTCTTCTTGAAAGATTGGGCATTGGGCTGCGCACTTTGGCGGGTCTCAAATGCAGACTTCGGCCGCGTAGACTGCGCCGAAGCTCCAAAGGGATGACGCTGCGCTCCAGGACCTGGTGTACTACCCGTGGCCCGACCCGTTGAAGGATCGAAGCCCTGCCACCCAGCACTCTGGCCTCCTCTCATATTATTGAATCCACGGAAAGCATCAGCCCTCGTCTGTGACGTATCTGGTTGTTTCCATTGCTGCGGATCCGCACGCGCATGAGATGCGTATCGTTGAGCGCCAGCTGAGGGGCCATTCCGAGACCCATGTGCGTACTTATTTGCCGAGTAGGTTTCCGTAGGCTGAGGGGCACGGGTGGGGGTCTGTGTTTTGCGCTGGGTATTCGCCTTGGGCGGTCCGTAAACTTTACCATAGCCTGCGCGCAAACGATCCGTGTCATACTTCAATCGCTGTGAACAGTCGCTGAGAATTTCGTTGGCGGCTTGAATAGCCTGGAATTTGGCGATGAACTCGACCTCCCTTCCTGGGTTCCTATCGGGATGGTACTTCAGGGCTTTTCCCCTGGGTTAGGGTGACGTTCCCAACTTCTCACTCTATCACGTAGGAACTTCGAAGTCTCACCTAGTTTCCTGAATTGCTTCTTGATTTCCTCGGGCTCCGCGCTGGGCTGCAGCCCAAGGTCCGCATAGTAATCCTTGCGCACGTCTGCTTTCACCATGTTGTTCGTGAGTTTCCGGCGAACTTATGGAATTGTATTGCGACCAAATTGCATTATCGGTATTCACGCAGATATTCGGCGGTCCCTTGCATGTCCAGTCATAGAAGGTCGGTCCAAAAATATGGTCAGAGCACGTCGTACGAAGGCAGGGTGTTTCGAAAAAGACCGGGCAAGCAGAATAAGAACAATGTATATTTGCTGCAATAATAGCAAGTTCGAATGTCTCGCGCCAGATATTGCAAGGCGTTGTAAAATTGGGTTCAGTTCTGGAGAGGTGGTGGAAAAGAGGAAGGGCAGAGCCTCCTTGTATGCTCCGCGGTCTCGGTTGGCCGCAGCGTTCGCTCCGCAGGCGCTGATCAGAGCTCGGGTTAGTTCAAAAGGGTCGGAGTTTTATCGTTCAGGTCGCGGCGAATTAACATGGTCTTCTAGGTAACATCAAGGGAATAAGGTGGGGGCAGAAGCGAAGGCAGAAGTGCTCGACTTGGATAGAAAATCGGAGATCGAAGTGGGCACCTGATGTCGAGATCAGGCACTTGGGTCCAAGCGCAGGTCCGAGTGAAGCAGCCAACGGGGCTGCAGGGTGCCTTTTTGCGGTGAATGCCACGATCAACGAGTGGAGAAAGAGAGATTGTGTGTTGGGTTGGGAGGAAAAAAAGGCGGGAAGTGTTTATTTTGACAACTCGCCGTTGCTGCCCGAGGCAATCAACATACGCAAGGTAACGACTACGCAATTTTTGGAGGCTTTTGAAAACTGGATTATTTATTTCCTTGCAGACCTTTTATATTGGTATAGATATACATATATATATACTCCGTTCAGGGTATCAAAACCCAGGAGGGGGAAAAAAAGAAGATGCACAAGCCAAATTATACAACCCTTGCAAACCTAGCCCGTTTCTCATGAAGTTCAAGCAATGCAGGACAGATAGGGCAGGGTGGATGAATCAACAAAAGGAGAGACCACACAAAAGCAACAAACCATAAAGCAGAAGAGACAACACTAAACATCCCCTCCAGAGGCGCCAGCCCCAGAACCACCAAAGAAATAACCCTCCAGAAGATCGTAATTGGGATTCTCACTCCAGTCATGCTGGAAATCCATGGCCATCCCAAAGCCAAGGTCAATTCCAACATTCTGACCTAGGTTGGGACCCAAAGATGGCATAGCCATCGTGTTGTAATCCGGGTTGGCCTCGCCTTCCATATTATTCTGACTCTCAGCATCGCCCGTGCCGAAATCCAAAAAGTCAAGGCTCATCCCTTGCGAAGCTTCGGAGTCGACAGGTGGCATACTATGGGCATTGTTACCGGGAGAACCACTTTGGTGCGGTGAGTTATAGAAGAACTCCGAGTGAGGTTGCGGGGAGGTTTGGTTATCGTACTTGAGATAGTAATCCATCGATGGATTGCGCTGCCCATATGACTGGGCAGATTGGTCTGGTGAGAAGTTGGGGGCCAGGGATTCTGGTTGAGGATATGGTGGTGCTCTGGGTATAGTTTCGGGTCGAGGATGATCGGGCAAAGGGGTATTATCATTGAACAAATCAGCCAAGTTCATGTCGAACTTGGGTAGAGGTCGGGACGAGCGTGTCTGTGTCGCTGGTCTGGCTTGGGTTCGGAGTCGTTGCTCCGTAGGTTGTCGTGCCCGATTGGGGTATAGAAAGCTGCTAGCGTTGGATGCGCCCTGAATACGGCTCATGTCTACTTGTGACCCGAATCCCGTGGTGGATAGACACATTCGAACAGTGGCTTTACTCATGCGCTCAAATGCATCACGGCATGCCTCGGCTGGTGGGCATTTATGCATCAGGTCGCCTAGCACAGAAGTTGCGGCGAGGACTGTAAAATCGACTTCATCGAGGGTCTAAGAGAGGAGACTGAATTAACATTATCGCAAACTTAAAACCCAAGGTTTGTGATACCTACCAGGCGGCTTCGAACGAGAGGCGAATGCCAGATGGCATATAAGAATGAGATTCCTAATAAAAGTGTCAGTGATGCATCGACAGTCAAGAGCGGAAAGAGGAGATACATACCCGCCATGAATATGTGGTGCGTAGCAAGATAAGTATAGTTCACCAAGCGCACTCTATGCAATTGGCGATAAATCCGAATGACTTTTTGACCAGCCTCGGCAACATTGATATACACATAATCCTCCTCATCACCCTCGTCAGGGTTGGAGAATGAGGGACTAGCAACGTCGTCCGCAGGTGTAAGCTCTCCCGCCAATTCAGCCGGAACCGTCAAGCTCTGCTGGTACAGCAAGATGATAGCTTGCCAATAATTCAACTCAAGAAGCTCAATAGAGAATCTCACGCCTGTTTCTGGGCGTGTTGGGGCAGTCTCTAGCCACTCATCCAATCGGTGGTGCACATCATGGCGCCAGGAACGGAAAGAGTCAAAACCCTGAAGGAAAGGAGAGGAAAGCTCGGCGTGGGGAAGAATGGCCGCGCTGGACGCCCTCCTTCGCACAGCACGCGCCTGTTGATATTGGAGGACATCGTGGATCTCGGATTGAAGAAGACGCAGTTTGAAGTAGTGGAACGCAACATGCTTATACGTGGGGGCCCCGTCCGGTGGTGTGAGGAGACCAGACTTGGTGATGTACTTATCATCCATCATGGACGGGAGATCAGTACTGATGGCCTGGTCGCTGATACCAAATGGTCGTCCAACACACGTGGCTACCAGACGATCGAAGCTGTAGACGCACCACCAGAGACGGCGACGAATATCGCGCACCCATTCACGTCGTCCGCGTTCGCGGGCATCAATCCGTAACTGCGCTTGGGTGCCATCTTTCGCTGCGGAGTCGATCCCCATTCCATCTTCGTAATGCAGTCCCAGATCAACCGCTAAGCGTGTGGCCACGCCGACGATATACCAGAGACCAGGTGCGACGGGTCGTAACAAGGCAAAACTGGCTAGAAGAAGCACTGCCTGCAGCTCTTCCAATCCACCAAAGCCTTCACTGGACGACGAACCAAGGAACGACTCCAAATGAATGATTGCCGAGGCGTGGTATTCTTCTGGTTGGTATTGATGGTTCGAGAGTCTTGGTCTCTTCGCCTCAGACGAGGACCGGTCACGACTACCGCGATTCCCATCATCCGAACCCTGCGGTTTGTCATCGAAGATGATTCCAGCACCAATGGCAAACACAATATTAAGCACGTAGAGCGCGCGCGGCGAACGCTTCTTCTCTTCTAGTAAATAAGTACGATCCAACAACTCTATAAAGTCTCCCCGGTGGAGAATCGGCATCTGAGGATTCGCGTGCTCAAAATAGAGGTCGACCAGGCGTTCGGCGAGTTCTCGTTCAGGGAAAGTTGCACACTTCATCATCGGTCTTGTCTGCAGTCCGAAGAAGGAATCCCGCATACTGCCTCCTCCGCCAGCAGTGCCAGCAGCACTCTGAGGCAATCGATCGCTCGTACGACTCGAAGCACGCTCCGGCATATTCCCAGGTAATGAGCTCCTCACAGCGGCGAAGACAACACGGGCGAATGAAATCCCCGACGTCGACCCCAGATACCGTGGGTCGGAGGTACCCTGCACAGAAACCATGCCGATGTTCGAGACCAGATTATGCAGATGCCAATTATCCTCGTTCGCCGTACCGTCGGCATCGCGATTCGGCTCCCCATCTCCTTTCTGCCCTGGCCGATCGACCTCTTCTTTAGATGTATTCTTCCGCCGTGCTTTCTCTGCTGCAGATCCCTCGGTCTGACCGTTAGAACCAGAATGAGATTGTGCGGCATCACCCTCTGATTCCACCTTGATAGCCTCCTCCTCGTCGAATGGAACAGCCTTTTTAAAATCGATATTATTATCCGCCAACTGTTTCTCAAGATGCGTTACGCGCGTCTCCAGGAAATAAACGTAGCTGCGCGGGATCTCTCGCTTCGTGATGGGGTCGTATCCGACGCAGCGCACGCCGGCCTTCTCGCAGGACTGGCAGCGCGGGAGGCGCTGGTCGCAGCGGTTCTTGCGCAATCGGCAGCGATTGCAAGCGGAGACATTACGGAAGGAGGAGGCGGTAGGTGTGGAATGAGCCGGTGAGGTGGAGGACACAGCTGGGGCGGAGAGGTTGGGAGCGGGATTGGTCGCGGCGTCGCCTTGCGTTGGGGGATCGTTCGAGGGATGCGGTCTCTTCTTCGCTGAAGAGACCGGTGATAGCGGCGAGGAGGGATTAGGCATTGTGCGAACCGTGGAAGAGCCGCAGGCGCGCGATCATCTCTTGAAGGTGGAATTGTGCGGAGACTGCGGTCGGGAACTGCGGTTTGACTCCCCAGACCAGATCAACAGTCATGATAAGATCACGCGGCCCTTTGGATGCTGTGATGTTCGTCGGTCAAACTGGGAAAAGGGGAGAGTCTTTTTTTTTTTTTTTTTTCTTTCGGCACTGGGAAGTTCTCGAGCCAATTCGAACCAAAGCGAAGATGGGCGGCCCGCAGCCGAAATGGGGTCTGGGAGCAGGTTGCGAATTGGGGGATTAGAGTATCATCCGATGGAATAGGGAAACAATTCCTGCCAAACAGTGCACTGGAATAGTCAATAATGCAATCACACCCCAGGAATATGGAGGAGGCGAAGAATCATCGGAGGGTTCTGGTGGGAAAAGGGATTAAGTTGCCCTCGGGAAGAGACCGAGTGCCTTCGCATTCGGTTCCCCAGACTGGAGACTATGTCCTGGTCCTTGACAGGGACTTGTGCTGGATTCTGAGCTTCATCTGTAAGATTCGGTGGAGGGTGGACCAAACTCCACTCCCGTCAGTTAAGCCGTTTGACAGATGGGGAAATGTGTGAGGCGAGGGAATTAAGCTTATACAGTATATCACAATAGCATTGACCAGGCGTGGTATGATCGCACTCATGCCATGAGCCATCGAATCAATGCCTAATCGTCGGACCCCGTCGGGAAACATAGGATCTCAGATCTCAGATCTCATTAGGGCGAGTGAAAGCAGTTGGTTCAGGTCGAGGTCAAGAACGAGTTGAAGAGTTGAAGATTGAGAGACTACATGTACCAAATTACATGTGATACGAGGAAGACAATGCGTATGGGAGAAGATGGCCGTTGATATCGAGCAATTTCATAGCAATACACTCTAACAAAGAGATGATCTTCGAGTGTTGACTCGGATCAAAAACATGGAAAAACAAAACGCAATTAACCTCCCAGATGCACATGAGTATAGTCATAATATAACCGGTTGATGCTCCAAGATAACATGAAAAATAAGGGAAAAGAGACCCAAAGCGTATGCTTTGGCATATGCAATGCAACCATCTATAATTGCGCCATTCCCCGGTCTCAAAGAAAAGTTATGAGGATGAAATAAAGCAAAATGAGGTATCACGATGAAGGGAGCAAAAATGAAAAAGATGGATGAAGAAAGGAAAAGTAGTCGCCTTTCCAGAAGGACGGAGAAAGGAAGAAGGAAGAAGAGAGGGAGAGGGGAGAGATTGTGAAACAGCCAAGTGGGTTCAAAGCTTTTCGACATTGGTATCATGGGTGGCATCGCCTGCAGGCTTGGGAACGTTGTCGACGACGTTCAAGTCGAGTTTGGAGATATCGAAGTCATGGTCGACACTGGATCGTAAGGAAAGCAGTCGCTGCTCTTCTTCTGGTAGCTCCTCGGATCCCTGGTCATCCTTACCAAAGCCCGCAAGAGCTTCACGCTTCAGCTCGGACTCATTGACCTCGGGCTGACGGGTCTTGAAGCGCTCGGGCTCTGGGGATTCCTCCATCCAGAAACTTTGGATGGCGCCGATCAGGCAGACAAGACCACAGGCCCACCAGGCAAGCACAGAGTATCCACTATCGAGACCCTTGGAGTGGAGAAGTCCAGTGATGGTCGGTCCAAAGGCCCGGCTGAGACTAGCAATGGAGGCGGCGACGCCGTTGATAGAACCCAACACCTTGGAAGACGGGGCGGCATTGGCCAAGAGGATGGCGGTGGCTGGGAAGGCGATGACATGGAAGGTGATCTTGCTAATCAAGGAAACATAGACGGCGAGAATTTGGAGCTTGGCGGGGAGAAGGACGAGGTAGGGAACGGCGAGATAGAGAGGGGGCCATACAAGCAACACAAAGCGGAAGGTGCGCAGAGTCCCAAAGTGCTTGACCACGAATGGGAACAGCCACAGTTGGGCGATCATCGAGTACACGCCTTGAACAGCGAGCATAAACCCGATGGTCTTCGTGGCCATTCCTAGGCCGCCGGTAAACTTGAGGGGTAGCACCACGTCGTCATCGGATCGAGGGGTGCTCAGGAAAACGGGCATCAGCTGATCAAACGATACGCTGTGGCTGAAAACGGGCAATGCATGTCAGTACGTTGTTTGGACCTATCGGACAGAAGGGGTTGTGGCTTCCAAGGCCAACTCACTATGCGAGGATCCCGTAAGCAACGATCACGAAGATGACTTGTTGGGTAAAAGCCTTGGGCGCGGGGCTCTTCTGCCCCTCCAAGTCGCATTCAGCCGAAGCGACATCATCGACGGGACGCAGGCAGGGTGATGATTCCGCACTTGCATATTCGGGCGGGGCATCGAAGTATTTCTCTTGCACGTCACCATCGGAATCAACAGGAAGCTGCACGCGCGAGCCGCAGAACTGATTGGCCAACCAGTGACCAAGCTCGAGACCAGGATCCCGACGGTGCTTCTTCTCCGGGTGCGTCTCTTCCAGAAACAAGAATCCGACCACAATGCCGCAGAGAAGTACAGTGATGCAAACCAGGTTGGGCAGCAGGAAAGGGAACTTATCCCACAGCGTGCTGCGCGCGAAGAGGGCCGGGTAGTTGTCGCAGGGTTGGGCCAAAGCGCCGCCCATAGCCGGTCCAATGATCGATCCCAGACACCACACGAAAGGCATGATCGAATAAGCTCGTGGTTGGTGCTCTTTCTTCGTCACGATCTCCGCAACGGTCGTTTGGAGAACTCCGATATTCCCATTCAGCATGCCGCCCAGCGCGCGCGCTATCATCGCCGTGGCCAGATTGGGCGCAAATCCAAACACCACCATGCTGATGGCTGTGCCCACGAGGCCCATGATGAGCACTGGCTTGCGACCAATGCGGTCACTCATGCGGCCCCAAAACATGCCCGCCGAGAACTCCGCAAAAGTGAAAGAGGATGTGATCATGCCGGCGTACAGCGCGATCTTGCGGTCGTTATCCGTCACATGGAATGATTCGACCATGTGATACACATATGGGAAAATTGACATGAAAGCAATTGGCTCACAGATACGGACAAGTGCTGCATCAGGTTGGTCAGCAATCTATCCCACTGCATGCCCTATGAAAGTGGTCTGCGGCGCATTTTGCAGCAACCATAGCTCTTCTTTGTTCGTGTTTCCCCCATAGTTCGCATCAGGGACAAAAGTACCACACTTACCTAAAACGAATAGCTGCCGGATGGGAAAGGTAGAGAAGTCGTCACTGGAGCCATTGCGGGAGCGCCGGCCCTGCAAACAAGCAGGTAGTTGGAACATTGTGACGGTATCAAGAAATATCGAGAGTCGAAGCGAGCTCAAGACCAAAGGGAAAAAAAAAGGGAGGATTCAAGAGACTTCAAGACACCCCGCTTTCCTTTCAAATTGGCGTTTCGATGTCTCCAAAAAAGGGAGGAACAAAGTACGAGCAAAAAGGGTGCTTTTGTTTCCTCAAGTTTCCCTTGATGTGAAAGGGAGAGAATGTCGTAGTAAAGGGTGTCAATGGAGCAAGGAGCAGCGTCGTTGTGTTTAGGGCTTCAGCATTGCTCCCCCTGTTGGTAATTCAAGATTCGATAAGGTAATAAGGTAGGCTGGAAGATCTTCGGGTTCCTAGAGACAAGGAGAGATCGCTGCAAGGGAGGGCTTGCCCCAAGGGGAAAAGTTCAAAGCAAATAATGGGTGACGGGATGAGGTTTGACAGTGCCGGGGTAGGAATGGAGGGATCTATGAAGAATCCCGATGAAGTCAGAGTAGGGGAGAAGAGCTCAAGAAGAAAGAAGTCCACGGAAAAGAAAAACTGGGAGGAAAAAGGGGAAGCTATTATAATAAGAAGTTGACAGTGGATAGGTCTATAGAAATGATCAGGCGCCAAAGAACTAAAATGTCAACCGTTCAGCATCACAACTATACATTTCGGTTACAGCTGTACAGGATGCAGTTGGCAAACATTGGATCAGGATAAAGACGAGCTAAGTGGGTCGGGATTTTCTTTATTATGGTATTTTGTTTTTGGGATATTCTTTTTTTCTTATTTTTTTCTTTTTTTCTTTTTCTAAATTCCAGTCCATTTTAAATAAAAGAAAAAAAAAACCCTTTATTCGCGGTGGATCTGGGAGAAACCTGACATGTTCCGTTGAGAAGAGTAGGGGGAAGCGGAAGAATCACCCCGGAGGCAAGGAAAGGGGGTGGAACCAATGGGATGCACTCGGTACATCGTCATGCTGATTCTCGATTTGGGTTTCCGTTGCGTTTTTGGGTTTCTTTTGGGTTTGATACCTCCGTACGGAGTACTCAGGGGGCTCTTCTGAATTCCCCCGAGGTGAAGAAGAAAGGAAAGAAAATAATAGCCCAGAAAAAGAAGGGCAAAAAAGGGCAAAAAGGGAGGGGGAAAAAAGATCCCGATGTATAGGGATCAATCAGATCCGATCATTGAGGAATTGTACTCTGTACTCCGTACCAGCAAATCCAATATAGATTAAAAACAATACCAAACAAAACAAAAACCAAAACACCAAAAAACCAAAGAACAAAACAACAAAACAACAAAAACAAAAAAAAAAAAAACACCCATACTAAGGGTGTAGTATGATTCGACAGATCCATCCCCCAGATCCAGCAGAAACGGGTTAGGCCGATGACCAAATCCGGTTTCCTTAGGGGACCCACGGCCCTGAACACCGGGCCCCGGGGAACCGCGTTAGGCCCTAACTCTGCCGCTAAAAGGGATGTCTTTTGTTCCCAGAGCTGTGGTTTTAGTGTCCTTTAGTGAGATGATAGATCTCGCCTTATGGCTCCGCGGTATCTCTGCGCCGACTCTGCCACACAAAGGGTAGATCGTTGGATGGAGATTTCCTTGGTATTTGGTAAAACCAAAACATGGGAAATATGATTTTCGATTATTTTCTCTCCTCCGTACTCCATACGGAGTACTCATACGGAGTCCTCTGTACTCTGTACGAAGACCTCATCGTCATAGGGGGAAAAAAAAAACCTAACCGGTACCCGCTCGTCCCAGATGCCCGGGATGATCAGGAGAAAGAACTTTCCAAATGATCTCCATAAAGGCGTTGGGAACCCGCTGATTGGGTCCACTGGAGATTGGAACGTACCATTAGAACCTGACGGAGTAGAGCCCTCACGTTTCGTATTGAGGGCATCCTCCGTCGATGCGGTTTACTCCGTTACGGAAGCCTCAAAGAACTCCCATTGTCTCATTGTTGCCCAGCGGTGGGATTTGCCCTTATCCACTCAGCTGGGACTGCAAGCTGGTTCTCCCCGATGCTACATTTTCGGGGACGAAAATGTCATATTCCAGTGGGTCGGGATCCTGCCTATAGGTAATCTCCCTCAAACCCCGGCTCCAAAGAAATTCGTCCCCCCAAATTCAAGCACGGCACGATGCGGAGTATGTCTCTCGCTGGTTCGACGGGACCGATGGAGCTAATGGAGTCGAACCAGTGTGAGAGAATAATCAAAGAAGCTATCGAAGCCCTCTGATAGACTAACGAGGGATCCGATGATCGTCCTGTCAATCAAATGGCACCCGGAATTACCCTGCTACGCAAGCTCGGAAGAAAACCCGCATTAGCGCGCCCCATGCACTAGTAATAAAAATTGTATTTTTACAGGCTCATACAGCGTAAAAGGAGAAGTTTGACACTGGAAATATCAATTTAACGGACAACTTACCTAATAAGATATATTACATGTATTGGTATTACCGAAGTGCTAGACCCAAATAGGCTAACGGGCAAACTAGGTTTGGTGGCGTCTTTCTTCCGAGCTTGCGTAGCAGGGTAACTCCTCCGTCCATCTACCGTAAACTCGGTGGATGATTTTCGGAGACCTTCGAGAAGACTCTAAAGAATCAGCTGAGCTTGTCATAAATTCACCGACACTTCCGAGCCCCATCTATTGGCCGTTAGGTGTCGATCGGCAACAGGGGAAGGCTAATGCCCCTTTCGCTTCCCCTTAACGTCCAACGTATCAGCCATTGTGGCGAAGTCGGATGATTCACCCGTAATCCCGCAACGATCGGGCTGAATTTTGAGGAATTTGGAGGTAAGCTTGCAGGTCAGCCTGTTGGAGTGGTAATCGAACCTATCCAAAAAGTCGGTAAAGTGCCGACCCAACACCTCAAGGGACTGCAGAAGACCCAAGGGGCTGGGAGCCAAGTGGAACCATTATGTGTCTTCTACGAGAGCTGGATGGAAAAGGTATGCACTAGTTGCATTGTTTGATGTACGACAGAAAAAGTTGTTTGGAGCCACGCGAGTGAGGGGGAGTGAGGGGCCAAAAGCCGGTGAGAAAGGGAGAAAAAAAGAAAAGAGAAAAAGAAAAGAGAAAAGAGAAACGAGAAGAATCCGAGAACAACGTCATACTTCGTGGAGGCTTAGCTTGAGGCTCTCAGGGGTGCGCCTGGCTAGGATATGCCAAATGAGGAAACTCAAGAAACGGTGAGAGTCGTTGGAAACACGACCGCCCCTGCGACCTGTAAATTCCACTTGGCTTTTTCCAGTTATACAAGATGCAACCAGATAGCGTTGCGTTCAGCTCTTGAGCAAACATATGGGAAATAAAAAAACCAACCCGAAAATAATATCCAATATTACATCAACATACGGAGCAGGGCTCCGGAGTCTGACAGAGTGTTTGACAAATCCTTCTATGCATGAAATACGTCGATCACATTACATGCATTCCATCGAGCAAGACGATTGGCTATCAAAAGGGGGGGGTAAGAAGCGCTTGAACGATGACAATCGTCGAAACCTCGGGTACGCGAGTATTCGCAACCCAAGGAGCCCGACGTGTTGTGACGCGGATGTAGCGGTGACAGCCTGCTGTTCATCGGCAAAGCCCGTCATCTTTACCCAGATGCATCACGCGACAGTGTGCGTAGGTCAGACAGTCGTGTCTGCCTCGATATCCATTCGGACTGTTCGGAAGGATTGCGACCCAACGTGTGGGAATTCATCTTAAGCACTCCTTCGTTTCATACAGATTTTCGATTTCAATCCGGACGTCGATCATGTGAGTGAGCTTCCATTTTTCTAAACTGCAGCCAACCGAAATCATCCATGTCGGGTGGGGGAGAGCAACAGCATCCCTGCTCAGTTGTTCCCGCCGATTCTCGCCAGTTTGGAGACAGGAAAGTGAAGTTGAAGTCTGCCTGGTGTTTGCATCGAGGTCTGATACTTTCCGGGCAGCGGTGTGTCTCTTGGCTTGCATTCCGTTCATCCTCTGCTGCAATAGATGCGTTGACATCTCGTCTTGAATTTCTTCCTCGGAAAGTCGTCCCTGGCATCCCGTAGGCTGATACTCGGTTGACTGCAAGCCCCTACATGGGCATTGTTCTCACGGCCGCCCCGCCATTTGCGTCTGCACCGCCGGTAAACTGTCCGACCTTGTTCGAGGATTTGCGACGGCCATTGCGATTCGGCCTAGCATTGCGTATGTCGCCCGTATCGATATCCAAACCTCAGCGTTTATTGTGACCGAAGAGCTTCGCAAAAGACGGTGAAGCGCGTTATGACTCAACCAGAGTCTACAGGGAATGACAGCTGACGCCGGTTCATCCGTGGTGCTTCTCACCATGTAGACCCATTTTGTTTGTTTTCTTTTCTCTCCAGTTGTTCCGAGGTCTTGCCGAGTCCTGCGTGATCACAGCTAGTGGCATGACATACGAAAAGTTCAACGAAAAGGATTGACAGTAACCTCCGTACTACCTACAATTAGCCCTACAGGCTAAGCTCGATCCACAATAATGAGATCATATGCCATCGATTACGGTGCCTCCCTTCCTTATCGTGTTCCTAGATCAAATACTCTTTCCGTCTGGAGACAAGATATTGCATCACACCGGAAGATCCCCTCCCAACACTTCCGAGTCACCAATCGCAAAAGACGGGTTCCGCTTCCGCCGACGCAGTTTCCGTCTCATCCATCGCGCAACCACGCCCCGGATCGCACACTCCCGCTTGCGATGACCGCCACCGATCACGTCCCATGTTGGGCGATTCAGGCCACAGATCCAACAACCACGAAGCCGTCCCACTCAGCATGTTACGATACTAGCAAGTATGCAGCGCTGGGCGTTCGTACAGATCAATTCTATATATGGAGTATGTGAATCCTTCGTGTGGATGACGCTAAGAGTTCCCAAACCAAACCCAAGGGTCCACGATCCACGATCCACGATCCACACAGAAGCGCAGCTGTCGCGCCGTATTGTCGGGTTCTGACAGTCGCATGTATCGCAAATGGCTCAAAGTGGCGCTACCTTCTTCCCCTCCAAAAGTCAAAAGGAAAATAAATTATAGTCGGCAGGTGGAAAAGACTTCCTGACATATAGCAAGACCTCTGGACCTGTCTTGTCGAATTGAGGAGACTTCGGGCGAAATTGCCCAGGCTGGGGATGGGTAACCTTTTTGATGCGGGTCCCCCTTCTGAGCCGGATGGTGGGAAATGGAACCAAAATCAATTGTGTGATGTATCAACTTTTCTTTTGAAGTTCGCTCCCACGGACGTATGATTCCGTCACTGGCTGGCCCGGTGGATTCTAGATCGTCGATGACATCGAGTTGACCGGCAAAATGGTAGACAAAAAGGGGAGATAGCACTATAAAGTGGGGGCAAAACAAGGGTCCAGACAAAAGCTCCCTTCGAAGGAGTTGATGTTGTACCACAACCTTGGAGGTTCTCCATGTACAAACTAGTCCATACGGAGTACGGAGTACATACATCCACACACATTGCAGATCAATCAGGATCCATCGTTTCCGGGCTCGCGATCGCGATCCACTTGGTTTGGATAGGTGCACGTTATCAAGCCAAGGTCGTTCTATTTTGTTCTTGCTGTCCCAATAGTACTCCGTATAGCGCCACAGGTCGTGCCGCTTGCGATGTGTACTTTCAAGACGGGAAGTGCCTAAATTGATGTAACTTCGATGTACGGAGTAGTTTCTCCCTCCGATCGATCGAGACAATAAGGTTCGAAAGTTAATTGCTCTGTCGAGCGTCAATACAATTTGCTTCCCCGCCTCGATATTTGATCTGGAAACTTTGCGCTAATTGTGCTTGCGATGAGTTACGCGATGTCTTCTGGCGGTTTTTATTTTGGAGATCGTGGATCGTGGATCGTATCTAGCTGTCTAGGCAGTATCCACGACCTTTGCTACTCTCGGTTCTAGACACTGGTGGGACCTTGACAGGGCCGGGGATGCATAACTAGTACAACATAGAGAATACGGAGTACTCCGTTTTGACTAGATTTTCCAGCTTATCTTTTGGACTGATCGTCGGTGTCATTACCGAGGCGCTACGCTTTGGATTACCGATCTACTTACTCCATACGGAGGACGGAGTACAGAGCACGCCGATATAGTCTCCACGATCTATACGGGGTAACTTTGCCTTAGGCACGGAGCACCGAGTACGGAGTACGGAGTAGATCCCGAAAGCATAGAGTTTATTGGAATTCGAAAGGTTGTTTTCAAGGTAGAGTCTGCATACTCCGTAGAGTAACATAAGTACTTTGATAAACGCGGCAAAGCGTGTCCGTGTTCCGTACTCTGTATCCATGCATACATAATGCATACGAAGTACGGAGTACACTTCTGACAATCAAGATCCGAACCCAACCAACTCCGATCTCTGGAGACCTTGCATCAATGGATGTCGGCTCTTCCTATTTAGTGTTTGTTCCGTATTCCATACCGAGCAAAGGCAAAATCTGGCGCTGGTCCGGCAGCTGAGCGGGATATCCGCGAACCAATCAAGTCTAAATCGCCTCTTTGATCGGTGATCTCCGCCCGAGGGAACCGCGGAATCACAAGTTTAGTTCCCTATATTCTAAGTTAAGAATATTAGGTACGTAGTCAGTACGGAGTACGGAGTATACATAGTTAGTATCAGAGCAAGGCTATGGAGAACCTTGGAATGGATACTACCTGGATATGATACGACTCGTACGATCTCTCTGGTTTTTTTCTTTCTATTTCTGTGACAGAGCGATCGCCCCGTTCTCCACCAGTGGCAAACGGAATGCAGGGATCCGGTGCCGCGGTGACGGGTGCAAAACAAAAGTTCCGCGAGTGGGACACGAATCCCATCTTGTCTTTGCAAGGATTTTCACACTATTGATTCTTCTCCCGGTCATGTGAACCCCCCTGTTCCTCTCTCGACTCTTCCGTTTTTCTTTGTTCCTCTTGATTTTTAATTTGTTTTTGGATGTCTTGGCTTGGGGCTTGGGGGGGTTTTTTGGGGGGTTTTTTGGGGGGGGCTTTTTCATTTCCCCCCTTTTCGTCCCCGCAAGGTACCGGGACAGACTTCCGCAGACTTTTGCTCGCTCGGCTGGACCTGTACAATCGTACAATTGCCCCGTACTTTGGCGCCTTGCTCCAAAGGATTCTGGACTTTCCGGGGATGAGGTGATCGTAATCGATTCCTCTGCAGCGGTCTAGACACACGGAAGTGTCGATGGATCGTAGTCACGTGTAGCTTTTCTAATGACCGTGGCTGATCGTATGGCGGGAGCATGTATAACGTAGTATGAGTCCTGGTTGGAATCTATCCGTTGAACCACTCGAGATTAGTTGCCTGATGATCTGTCCACCATCTGATGTCTGCTCTTCTGATTGCCCCCGGCCAGCGGCTCGCGTTCAGCCGTGTTGGGGGCAGAATGTAGGAATCTTATAGGCCCCAGATATTTCTGACGTTTCAATTCTACATTCCTTGTCCGGCTATACTCTGTACCGGATTTGTTATTTTAGCCACCGATGGACATGCCAAAAACAAAGTATTGATTTCCCCACAACTTAACCCGTATACGGAGTGCTCCGTAGTAGATCTAAGCATGAAGCAAGAAGCCTCCTTTCGATCATATTATTAACTTACAAATAGTCAATAATGTATGTATACCATACATATCAACCAATATACCGAAAGTCAATTCTACTAAAGGTCGTCCAACATGAAACCAAGCCTGAGGACCCGGTACGCAGACTATCTGCATGAACACCTCACTCCTCGGTAAACTTTACTGAATCATGAACGAACTCCTAAAGTACCGCCACCGATCATCTCCAGATAGAGCCTACATATCTGTACGGAGTACGGAGTACTCTGTACAGAGGACCTGCATGGGCTTCCAAGGCTAAACCTCCCAGCAAAAGTACACCAAAACCTCAAACCTCAGACAGTACTTTTGCCCACCGTCCCCGGGGAAAGCCAAGATGTGATCGCCTTCCTGAAACGCACGTACTAAATGTGGCAGCGGATCACCGATTCCTGTCGGTGATGGCCCTGGCGTTAAAAAAAAATCAGTGCCCAGTGGACCAATCACTCGGTCATCGGCCTCTGGATGCATCCACTGCACGGTTTGCTTAGTACCACGTATACGACGTAGTAGTGCACACCATCGGTTGATACTGCGATTGTGTAATCATGTGTTTTAACCCGTTTGTACGCGTTTGACTTGGATTCCCAATACTGAATTCCAAATCATCCACGTAAGCTCGGACGTCGACCGTTGGGCTGTCACTTGAATGTATGTCGTACTTGTTGCCAACCTGCTACTTTCGAGTGCGACGGTTGTTGACCCGGGTTACGCATTACATCTTGCGATTTTGTGTATCTCGCCATCCTACCCGCCCACCGTTCGCATATCTATATAGTGTCTTCCGTGAGAGAAAGGGCATTGTAGACTTGGATGAGCTCACCGTGACATTCTGAGGCTTGCAATTATGGCTTTGTATTGGGGGCAGATAGTGGGTGAGTACGGAGCACATGGTATAGGTATATTCTTGTTTTAATGGATTGGCAGATCGCAATAAGTTCTATTTACATATATTGTCAATTATCGCCTACGAATGAAACCTCTGTTAACTTGTATCCTATTTTCTAGGCCATGATGCTCCACTTATGATTTTCTATCGGGTACAGCATACATCAAGGAGGCCATTTGATAAATCTCACTCAGCGATGGAAATCTATCCCCACACGTATGTATATATTTCGGGTGAATACCTAGTTCTGACCGAACCTGATCTGATTTATCTAGGGGCCTACTATATGAACGCTTTAATTAGATACTATGTTTTAGAGCCCAGGGCAAGATACAGAGAGCTAAAAAATAATTTGTTAGCAATTGGGTAATATACCTATATAGTAGCAGAGCTCCGTTGTTGGTCACTTGCAACTATTGGTCTAAAAACACGGATTTTCGGAGCAATGTCAATATATCCAATGTAGAGCAAGCCACGAGGTCCTTGCTGGAGCAAATATAGAACCCGAATAATACAAGTCTTCCAATTCAAAGGCCCAAAAACACGACCCTCAACTAGTGGCTTCATCTTCATCTTCCGAGACAAAGATATAATCATAAGTCTCTGTGGCACTGTTGTTTTGGGTTAGACTAGACGGGTGAGCCCCACGTTGTTCCATCTGTTGCGCACTTTGGTCTCGCTGGTGTGCAAGTTGTCGTGTAATGAGGGTAACTTGGTCAGAAGTTGAGGCTTGGTCTTTGAGTAATTGTTTTATGAGCTCTTGTTGTAGATTAAATCGCTCGTTGGCAATCCTCAACAACTCCTCGTGCTTTCCAACTCTCCGGGTAAGGTCCCCAATTTTCTCAGCGCAGCCTTTCAAGTTTAGCAGCTGTTCCAAGCTTCTTGTCTGCTCTTCAAGCTCATCCATGCAGCTTGCGGCGCCTCTCAAAGTTGCGTTCAGCTGCTTAAAACAATCATTTATACCATGAGCTGCGTTTTCTTGTTGGCAATGTGTCTCTGATGTTTTCTCATCCATGATAATCTGGTTTTCAAGAATGTCTTCGCATTTGACAGGGATAGTCAGCCCTAGTGCGGAATCTGCTGTTTTGGTTGGTGGGTATTTACTTTGATGGTCCTAAGCCCCTGTCCGATATTTGGCTTTTGCTCGATAGTAAAGATCTTGCTTGTGACAGTATCGAGCCCTGGTTTATGAGTACTGATCTTGGACTTGTAGTGGAAAAGTGGTTTTTGGTTGACAGAGGTTCCACAGCAGAGCTGCCAGGCTCAATAGATGAGAAAGATGAAACCGAGTCAGGAGAGAGAAGCTCGAGTTGATGATGATTTCCCGAGTCATGGCCATGTGAGTGATTTTTGGATGCATCCGAAAGGTTCCAAGGTTATTGACTCTCAATTGATACTGCCAGATGAGGCTTAGTAGCAATTTCCTCAAACAGGTAGTGGTAATTTAAATTGATTGACATCCTAGCAGACGATCAAAAAAGCAAACAATAATACCTAGGCCCGTCAGCCATCAAAGGCACACCGTTAGTTTTTGGGTTTTGTTTATTTTTCTCCTTTGATGCATGTCAGCGACTCGAGACACCTGCAACGCTGGTGAAAACCAGACAAAGAACCGAGTCGTAATCAGACAAGAATAAAATTTAGTCTGCATATGTTTATTGGTCTCTTTGTCACGACGGGATCGACCGGGGAGACACAGCGGCAGCGTGCAGATGCGACAAGGGTAGCTGTTGTGACCCTACGGATCATATGTTGAAGCCCAACGGCTTCATCACCCAATTTTAAAATTCCTAGGGGCTGTGATGAGGCGCTGGTGAACGGTAAGATGCAGCCGGGGGCCCTGTTTGTCCTTGGCGAATCCTTCCGAATATCAAAACAGGTTTGTGCTGCATGAGGCTTACCGAGACCAGTTTCGCCGTAAAAATTGAAACCCGAATGTAATAGGGAAAAGGTGAGGTGACAAGTAGAGAGAGGCATTCCAGATATACCTCTCGGGACATATATTCTGCACTCAGTGGGGGAGTTATAGAAGGCTTATCGCCATGTGACCTTATCGGGAGATTGAGAAATCCGCTGAAGTCATAACTCACATGCAGCCTGTCGACGATTCACTGCGAACCAGTACATCTGCTTTGCATGAAGATTAAATCTCGGTCGCACTAATTTCACATTCAAACAATCTGCATTTGCAGAATGACCGAGACCTAGCCGTCAATCACACATCATGGCGCATCCACGACCCTATCTTTCCCTGTCCGTACGACCATTCCTTCCAAGACGACCCCGTTGCAGCCGAATATATCTACAAGATCTTCAAAAACCATCCATCGTGCAAGCTCGACTCCAGAGTACCGGCGCAGTCCCTCCAACTCCTCCCCGGCCCAGCAACGAGGCTGTATCCGACGATGCATCACCGGATCTGTCGCATCTGGATCCCCCTCCGGAGGACTATTCGCGATTCATTTTCCAAGACAAATGTCGGGTGAAAATGCATGCTGGCGCTGGGGGACACGGCTGTGTCGCCTATCTGCGCGAGAAATACGTCGAAGAGGGACCCCCGAACGGCGGTGATGGCGGCAGTGGAGGCGGTATCTACATTCAGACCGTCGAGGGGTTAAATAGTCTTCACAAGCTGGCCCGCAGAGGCATTGTCAGAGCTAGCCGTGGCAGAAACGGACAGGGTAAAAGCAAGGGCGGCAAACGAGGCGATGACGTCCTCATCCAGGTGCCTATTGGTACCGTGGTACGGGAGGTGAGCCGTTATGACCCCGTCGAGGAGGCATGGGCCCGCATCAGGGAGGCCGAGGAGGCAGCCTATATAGCCAAGGAGGAGAAGAAAGTTTGGGGAAATCCCGATGATCTTGAAGCCGAAGCCGAAGCCGAAGGTGACGGTGACGGTGAAGGCTTTGGAGGATTTGAAGGCTTTGAAGAGAAAGATGACGAGTTCAATCCTATCCAGCACGACCGCTGGGTGTTACATCCATCCTCGAAACCATCTGATTTCCTCATGGTGCAATTCCCAAAATCATACCCACGACGACAGAATATAGCAGCTATGGAGCCCAAGGGACCGATTTGGCTGGACCTCTCAAAGCCCATGGACAAGCCCATGCTTCTGGCTGCCGGTGGTGCCGGTGGACTGGGAAACCCACACTTTTCTACACGTACAATGGGACGACCGAAGTTCGCGTCCCGAGGTGAAGGTGGAATGATGTTAGAACTCGACTTTGAACTCAAGCTCCTTGCGGATGTTGGATTGGTTGGAAAACCTAATGCCGGCAAGAGTACGCTTCTCCGCTCGTTGACCAACAGTCGGACCCGCATTGGAAACTGGGAGTTCACGACGCTTTCTCCCAGCATCGGCACTGTTATCACCGATGACATGAAGGGTCGTCCTCTTGTAGAGTCGAAGGCTCGTCGCACACACTTCACTATTGCGGACATTCCTGGTCTGGTGGAAGGCGCGCATCTCGACCGAGGACTTGGCCTCGGATTCCTTCGGCACATTGACCGAGCCGGGATTCTAGCCTTTGTGGTTGATCTCAGTCGCGGTGATCCTGTCGATGAACTGCAGAAACTCTGGCGCGAGCTTGGAGAGTACGAGCGGATGCGCGATGCGAAGCCTGAGTCTGCTGAGGAAGACGACGTCATCGAGTGGAATCCATTCGAGACTGGAAATGCGGCGAGCGGTATACCACAGGCGCTTGACCGATTTGCCCCTATATCGAATACCAACCCTGATGGCTCTCTGCCTCCTCTGGCGATGACGCCTCTTCATCTGAAGCCATGGTTTGTTGTGGCCTCCAAGGCAGACCTGGAGAATACCCAAGCACAATTCCAAGCCTTGCAGAAGTATTTAGCTGGCGTCCAGAATGGCTCGATCGAGCACCCATCTGGTCATGAACGGGGGTGGAAGGATAAAGTGTGTGTTGTCCCCGTCAGTGCTAAAAGAGGCGAAGGTGTGTCTCGAATTCCTAAGTTGGTGATGGATCTTCTTGAATGAAGTATGTATATTAGAGATCTCTTTCATCACGAACCAAATGTACTATATAATCAGAACACTTGCCTTGTACATCACTAGCTTCCATGCAATATTCACATCTGCCTCACTCTGCCAGTTTTTGCCTAATCCAGCTCTGTGGGAGTATTTGACCCGACTAATCTTCATCAAGGACACTATGGTTTCTTTCTTTCTTTCTTTCTCTTAAAAAAAAAACTCTCTAGATTGACGTGTTGCTGGACTGAGGATCTTGAGATAAGTCTCTTCGACACGAAAACCTTCACTTTGGAAGAACCAAGCTCCGATAGACTGCAGTCGGATTGGAATAACCTTGAGCGTAACTTGTTCCACCTCTTTCCTTTCACCTCACCGATCGCTTGTTTATTTTCTCTCTGCTTCTGTTGGCTTCGTTCTCCAGCCATGGGCCTCTCGTTGGTCCTCAGTGACGCGTTGTCCGTTATCGCCGAACCGAGCTCTGACGACCCCATTCTCCAATGCAAAGACCGCCAGGACCTTCAGGACTTGCTCTTCAATCAGACCGAGAAAGCGTTGGAGCTTGCCAATGCAAACCTACACGTCTTTCCCTTCAAAAATGTGCAACCCTGCTGGCATCGACTCTACACAGACGCGTCTATTGTCAAAGCTTGCGTCATCATCATCACCAGATGCGGCCTGACCTGCGACATATTTGAAACCCAACTTGACCTTTCACGACTCATTCAAGATGTCAGGAATACAGTAACTGAGCCGAAGATCTCCCCAACTGCGCCATGGCTTTCGGAAATCGTGGAAATCCTGGATCGAGTCTTGATCATGACTGGAGCCCTGTTGCGCGAGAAGCTTGTTGAATCTTTGCTCTCAACGCTGCAGGCAGCGACCGAATCCACTGAATTTGAATACGACAATACTGGCAGCTTTGAATATCCTCAGTCGAAGCGCAGAAAGTTCTCGCCCCCGCTCTTCCCTCCAGATGCCATGCCTGAACCCCGTCTGGAGCGACCGATCCCGCATTTGTCGGCGCCGTCTTTTGATTCCATCGAACACCATATCGAGAATATTCGCACACCATTGGTGATTCAAAATGCGATAGATTACTGGCCCGCAACCTCGACACGTTCGTGGGCGTCGCGGGACTATTGGTGGCAGCGCACGTTCGGGGGTCGCAGATTAGTCCCTGTTGAACTGGGAAGGTCATACACAGATGAGGATTGGGGACAGAAGATCATGCCGTTCAAAGAGTTTGTGGATAAGCATCTATGGCATGGGAGACTTGCCCCCAAAGCACCAGAAAACCAACCCTCGGCCACCAACCTCGACAGAGAGACAGCATATATGGCACAACATGACTTGCTTGCTCAAATCCCCGCCTTACGAAAGGACATCAGTGTGCCGGACTACTGCTATATCAGCCCACCGGGTCCGGATCCAGGGACACCTGTATATGAGAAGAACCGGCGGGAACGCGAGGCGAAAGTCCAGGCGCATGATAACCCCCAAGACACCCAACTGGACACCGCACCGAATGACCTTGACACAGCTGAGCCAGACTCCGATTCTGGCTCATACATGGGAATGCCCAGCGATCCGATCATTAACACCTGGATCGGGCCTGCGTGGACGATCTCTCCTCTTCACCACGATCCTCATCACAATATCCTCGCGCAGGTCGTGGGCACGAAGTATATTCGTCTCTATTCGCCCCATACACCTGCCTCTCAGATCTATCCGCGGGGGTGTGAATGGGTTGAGTCGGTTGACGAGACTGCAGACCCAGACCCTGTGACTGGAGCTCTGCCAACAATTCGCAGACAGATTGACATGTCCAACACCTCCAAGGTTGACTTGGCTGCTATCGAAATGTCTCCTATTGAGTTTGAGCAGTGGGAAGAGATGTGGCCCGGGTTTCAAGACGCCGATTACGTAGAAACAGTTCTCCATGAGGGCGAGTGCCTTTACATCCCTGTTGGATGGTGGCACTATGTACGTGGCCTAAGGGCTGGCATCAGCGTGAGCTTCTGGTGGGGATGAAGGAATTGCTTGATGAAACGCTCACGAGTGATATGATGATGCTTCGAATTAAATAGAGACTTTCTTGCTTTGCAGATAGTCTCAACTAACATTACTGCTAACGAAACTGGAACAATCGAACTGTATGATATTTATCTCTTTGCAAGAACCTGATTGATCCTACATACTCTTCTCATCTAACCACTCTTCCCATCTACTCACCACCAACTCCACCCTTCCACCAACTTGCAAAGTGTCTCCTCCCACATTAGCAGGAAATACAACAAAATGCACATCCCGATGGTGACTAGTCCACCTATCGCACTGCCAGAGAGGAATACCCGGTGCAGCCTGACCAACGATGGTAGCACGCTTGATATTCAAGCCCTGAGTCGCAGCCTCTGAAGCAGTACTCCCGCCCTATACAAAGAAACCAGCCAGCTCCAATCCCCCATCGACATAGACTATCCCCCAACCAATTGGTTCATCCCTTGGCGATAATAAACCGCAGCTGCACCTGAAGCAGCCACAAAGCACCAGCCAACGCCTCAGCAACCACAGACCCCAATCTTCAGCGATGAGAACTCATCATCACCAATCACGAGCTTCCGACTCGTCATAACAAGCGTATCCATCCCATCTCGGAGATGAGACTCCATCTCCTGCGCAATACGCGATCCAGTCCGTGCTACCGTCTCCGCCGACGAAAGAAGGTTATCGACGTTCATTTCAATGACAGCGAGCTGGTCTGTCGCCCCACGCCGGTCCATCAACACCTTCAACTGGGCTGTGGTCTTGGGTACATACGACCCGGCAATAACCAACCCACCTGTATGGCGGGGTGATGGGCGATGAAGCTCAGCCCTGGAGATGGGCGCTTAAGATCGGATAAGTCTAGTCGAGACGAAGGCCGCGCTGGTGCGGTAGAGGAAATGTCTACCGCTCGGTTCGACTGGGTGTTGTTAGCTGTATATATTCAACCACATTCAATTCTCGACATGCAAGCAGCAATCCCGCTACGAGGACATGCATATCTGACTCCGCTGCCGCGTTCACAATAACTACGTTGCCCACAGGCGCAGCAAGCAGTTTCTCGCAGATTGTCTCTGGCCCGCCGGTGCGGATCTCTTCAATCGTCACGGAGCATACTTGCTCTGCTTTGAACTGTGGTACTTTCCCAGCGATATAATCCCGTAGATCAGAACTCTTATAGCCGAACGTAGCATCTTTCGTGAATTGCGTTGCACCGGTGGGCACAAGGTTATTGCCTTCAGCGACATAGTGCACATCATTGCTTGTGAATTTGCCACCCGGGAACAAGAACGGCGCGAGGATGAGGGCATCAGCCGGCCCGAAGACCGATTGCGCGGCGTCCAGCTCTAGAGGGAAGTGGCCGCGCAAAGTGCTATCGCCGCGAAGGACGATGTCAACCTTTTGGTCCGTTGCTTTGGCGATTTGGGCGATGGATGTCCCAGAACGTTAGGACAGAGATCTCATGGCAGGTTTCTGTGTCGGTGGGATACTCCGCGGGAAGATTGGTGAGGGTGCTCTCGCGGGGGAGGATGGGGTATTCGGGTTGTGGCATCGTGGGCAATTTGGCTGGGTTCCTATTCGTGCTCGACCTGGGCTGAATCTAGGATTGTATTCAGTTCAAACAGGCAAAGCATAAGAAGATCAACAAGCGGGGAATAGGGAGCTCTCGGAGAGAAGGTCGAAAGTGCATAGATTCGATGTATAAACTATGGACTTTCCACTAGATAGAACCAGACATGTTTCAGATGAAGAAACACGAAACACCATAAACGCCATTGGAGACAGATGCAAGAAGGGCAATGCTTGCAAGAAAGCCGTAGAAAGCCATGCAACAGGTCATTATGCATATAGCCGGTTTCAGAGTCCAGTATCTTCCCCTCCCATATATCCCCCAGAGCCATCCCATGCATCAAAAGTAAACAGCAAAAGATGACAGGTCGTAGACTGCGTGAAATGTTCGTAGAGGAGTTAACCCACCACACTGCGGAAACTCAATGATTCGAGGAAGCCACCGAGGTCGTCCTTTTGGACCTCGACAACACAGTGTTCGAAGCTGTCAATGCGGACACGAGCATTGGTCTCTTGAACCACCTCTTGGAAGGCAATGCCGAACCGGTTGCGAAGAAGATGTTTCTTTCCGCGCGGATCCTCCTCGTCCTCCGACTCCGACTCCGACGAGGACTCGGATTCCTCAGACTCTTCGTCTTCGGCACCGGTACCGTCTTCTCGCTCGGCACGTTCGGCTGCTCGCTTGGACCGACGCTCTGATCGCTCTTTTTGTTTCTTTTCCTTGGCCTCTTTCTTTTTCTTCCGTTCCTCCTGGCGCTTGGACATGGCAGCGAAGTCGACAACACCACCGCCGCCACCAGTGCCGACGACTACGTAGAGATCACGGTCTTCATCGAGACCAGCAAGGACAAGAGGAGTTCCAGCAGCTCGTTTGCGACCGATCTTGACTGAGTCGCCACGCTCTTTCTCTTGGACTCGGATGGCCTCAGCGATCCAGAGGGCCAATTTGGTCAAAGCCCCAGGGTTTGTGAAGAGTTTGACATCGGGGCCATCTTTGACCACAGCAATGCGGAAGGCTCGAAGGTGACGGATTTGGTGCTTCGAGAGCAAGGAGGTACCGGTACGAAGAATAGCACGGTGTAAATGTTGGGCTAGAGGTAGAGACTCTAGAAGAATCGTGGGTGATTCTGACGTTAATGAAAGGGCGTCGTATGCACTCCAGAATCGAGGTAGTAGACTGGACAGGTCAGATTCGCCCGATATTCCGCCATTTTCTGTATCATCGCGTGGACGTGGTAGACGTTTGGTATCCCAGGAAGCTGTAGTCTCGTGTGGCCCAACTTCCAGCATTGCACCCACGATAACACCCACGTCTGTGGCTGAGAGACACGCCTTCCAGCCCCAGCAACGCACGAATCCCCAGCCCTCGCGAGCACTAGGACTCCCGGCTCCCTCGGAAGGCACCAGTCCATCTAGGCCATACATTGGAGCGTACTTGAGCAGACGCCCTCGTAGCGCACGCTTCAATTCCATGTCCATGTGTGTATAGTATTGATGGCACTGGGTCAGACTGATGCCCATCTTGGCCAGAAATTTGTGAAGTCGCTTGCGGCCATTTTCAGTCCAGACATGTAGCCTCGGAGCAAGGTATGGGCTGTGGAGCATGCTCTCATATAGTGACCAGTGCCTGACAAGGAGGAATCGTGGCTCGGGAGAAAGACGAATCGATGTATCAGTTGGTGACCTCGCAGTTGTGGGAATGACACCGTTTATCTCTCCTCGGATGTCACGATTTGATTCTTGAGGATCGGGCGGGTTCAAACGATGCACCTCATCGCGAAGTATTTGTCGTATGTGTTCACCACGTTGGCCACCCCAGCCTGCTGATCCTCCAGATTCTGATGTGTTTGAAATTCCTACTCCGGTCATTGTCCGGCCACTGAGTTCCAAACTAGAGACACCGACAATAGCGAGCCACAACAGATCATTATCATCTCGTCCGAGCTCAGATGCCAGAGAATAGACCAGGGACGAAATGGGTTCGGAGTATGATGTCCCAGACGAATAATAGGCTTGTAGAACAGAGTCATGTCTTCGCTTGAGATTAAGTAAACGTTTCTTTAATGACCGCGCTGAGGGTTGTTTCGCCTCAGCTGGTGATGGCGAGTCGGTGGTTGGCGTTACAGATCGCGACGAGTTCGAAGAATTGATCCCAGTTTTCCTGCGTCGTGTTGGAGACGAAGTGATGGAGGATCCCTTGAGCAAACGTTAGTTCGTTGTCGGGTCGTAAAAACCAAGGTTGCAACCTACTGAATTGCTTCTCCTCCGTTGATGGGGCGGCTCATCGGCTTCGGAATCTTCATCATCTTCGCGGCCTGACCAGGATTTGCGCTTTTTCGATCCTGGTTGTGTTTCGTCTTCTGATCCATCACCACTCATATCATCATCGTCATCATCTACATCTGGCATTTCCAGTAACGCGTAGTATGCTTCTCGTTCGCTGCTCAGCTCTTCCTCGATATCTCCGTCGTCGTACACGACAATGCCGCCATTTTTCGACGTATAAGCAGGAGTGATACACCCTTTATCGACGCCACGTCCTCGCTGTCGCGCATTCACGTCGATGTCAGCCATGTCGTTACCCATGCCAGATTGTCCACCAAAGACATTCCCCAGGTTCCACGGCCGTCGCGCGTCAAATACCCAGATCTCCACGCCTCCCATATCTTCCTCCTCGTCCTCGGGGTTACTCAGGGCCAGCACCTCGCCCAGATCAACCAAACCCCCTACGCCGAGACAAATGACAACACCCCCGCTGCCACCATTGGTGGTTTGCATGGGGCGGACCAATTCCTCCCCGCACGCGACAGGTCGCCATATCCCGCGACGGGTTGAATTTTATGAGGGATATAGTCGCGTTTTAACAATGCGGTGAGGATCCGACAAGCACATAGCGCGTCTGGCTCTAATGCCACGAGAATCAGGACGGGTGGAGAAAGTGGGTGGTGAGATCGGAGGAGTTGTAGGTAGAGGTGTGAGATGAGCTGCCGAGGGAGATACATGGCCAGCTTTAAATTTTCAGATGCTCATGCGACAGCTCATGAAGAAAGAGAACTCGTAAGAATAAACTTGGAAAGGCGAATAGGTGTAAGCGTTATTGGGGGAGGAAGCCCTTGCAGCAAGTCTCTCATAGCGCCGGGGAAGTGGACAAGCGCGACGCGTCGAAGGCACGTGCCGAAATTCCATACCTCTTCATCACCTTGACAGAGCTGTGGTGATCTTGTTGGATTCTTGGATGGTTGAATTATTCTCTTATGCCTTTCTTAATCTCACCGAGAATGGTGTTAATTCCCTGAATTTGATCTGAGAGATATGGACATTCCGTGGAGGATTGTCGTTGGGCTGTTTCTATGTGCTGAACGCGAAGTTTCCACTCTAAATTGATTCTATACAGCGCATCCTTTGTCTGATTCATGCATTCTATCGCCTGTGTTTGTGTTTTTTTTTTCTCAAATCCAACAGAGCCGAGGCCTTCAAACAAGTGTATACAGAGTATCTATCCAAGGATGGCCCAACGATGCGAGAAGGCAAAAGCCATGTAATCATTGGAACTAGGTAGCATCTCGGAGAGCAACCTTGTCCTCTATGGGTTCTGCCACAATACGTGAGGCCCGAAGTGAGGATTGAGGGTCAATCCTACATGTAGGTATGGTATTCAGGACTGAGATCAAATTTAAAAAAAAACACATGTTAACTTCGAATCGTCCTCAAGAAAAAGTGTTGCGACAATCCGGTTGATCTTGCGTCCAAAATACAAAATACCTGAATTAGACAGCACATTATGGATATCAATGGGAAGCATAGTTTTAGCGGATGCCCTAAGAATCCCTACATATTCTTCATGAAATTGTTCGATCGGAGGATATCATTTGAAATCGGTAATAATAGACGTAACGCCTTGCGCCATGAACATGCTAAATTTCCCCAAACCATCCCAGCGAAGACATTCTAGCCACCACTCCGGGACACAGACTCATATTTCATGCAGAGCAAAGTCTCCATGCTTTGTATGGCCTTAAATAGACGAGCGGCCCAAAATTGACCCAGCAACCCAGACAGCAGTGCATGCCCCAACGACAGAGATGCCAACTAGTCGCTTGCCCCAGCTGCTTTCCTCGGCCATTTTGGTCGGCCCAACAGTAGTCTTTGATTTCAGATGTACAGATGATGAACGAGTGTCACCGGTGATATTCCGGGAGGAACCCCCGAGGATGGCGGAGTATTCTTCGTCGCGCTTCTGCCACCTCTCCACAAGTCGCGCGATCTCAGCCAAATCCTCCTTGAGAGAACCAGGCTCAGTCGCATTCGCATTCTCAACCTCGACATTCTGAACATTTCCAAAGAAGTCCACCACAGTGCGCAGACGACCTTCCTGCTCGCCTCCAGGGAACAAGTCCCATCGGACACCTGGCTGAGAGTGAATCTTCGACTCATCGTAGGAATCGAACAGATCACCTAAGTTGAGTTTGGAAGTGACGCTTGTCACTTGCGTCTCGAGGAACTCGAGAACATAATATGTCCAGCGATCAATAACAGCGACACCAACGTCGTTGTCCGCATGGTGGGAGTAGGAAGACTGGTCGATCTCGCTGGAGCCGGTCGCCACGATATTAGGTGAGTAGAAATGGGTGTACATTGTGTTGGCTTGGCAAGTATCAATCATGAAAAGCAGCTCATGGTATCGCTTCTTCTCCCACATCTGTCCAAAGGCGTCCGCAAGATCCCACGCGCCGATCTCTTCGGCGTCTTGAAACTTCAGGAATTGGTCGCCTCCATGTCCGGTCATGTAAACCAGCACATTGCTACCAGCATCGGAGCCCAAGCGCTTGCTGCGCGGTACGTCTTCATCGAGTCGATCGGTCAACAGTCGGATGAAGTTCTCCACAGTCACTTCATAGCCCCTGTAGTCCACCTCGATGTTGTCGCCGTAGAGGTCGACCGCGCGATCTGCGTTACTGTAGACAGTGCCGGGGAAGGCATTTCGGGGATTGCAGGCCATATCATCGGGGAGCATGAGGATAATTTGGGAGTCGGGGATGCCCAGACGTTTGACGGTTCGGTATAATGAGAGCACATTGGCAAGGTGGCGGTAGTTGAACCAGAAGCGAGAGGTAGAGACAAGGACTGCCCAATTGGAGGTGTGTTCAGCGGCGACTATGCTGGTCAGAAGCAGCAAGGCGAACGCCTGTAGAAAGCGGAAAAGCAAGGCCATTGTGATGGAGGATCAGGTCATAGTAAGGAGAGAAACACAGCTCGTAACGATATCTGATGAATGCGGAGTTGCAATGACAAGCACAGAGCAAACTGAATACCACAGATATCAACCACAAGATATGAATTATACCAAAGCCATACCACCAAACTGGCCAGAAGAAAGCAGACAGCTTCACCTTGTGGTTAGATAGGAGATTAGAAATGCTGGGGAACTCCGCCAAGTTCCCAAGGCATCAATATTTACGCACGGACCAAGTCCGGTACAGCGTCACCGCCTTCGTCGGAGTCGGCATATTGGTCCCGCGGATCGGATCATGTAGTAGAAATTCCATTCCACCTTTTTCTTTTCGCGTCCATTCTTCAGATTTTGTCCAGCGTTAGCTTGAATATCATATTTCACCATGGGAGGCAAGAAAGCAGCAGGAGAGAACTCCAAGAAGGCCGCCGGAAACGCTCGTGTATGTTTTTTTTTATCAACCCCGCCCCCGCTATTATTGCCACATCCCTGGGAATGAGATCATCTGGATACGAACTGACATTGTCGTATAGAAAGCGGACGCCGCGGCATCAAAGAAAGCAGCCGAAGACCAGAAGAAGTCCGCAGAGGAAGATAAGCAATGGTCCAAGGGATCCAAGAGCAACGCTAAGAAGTATGCGAACTCGAGCTCTCAAACAAAGTATACCCTGGAATACTGAGCTAACCACTTTCATGAACTCGTAGGGAGGATAGTGAGGCCAAGAAAGCTGAAGCTGCCCGCAAGAAGGCAGAGCGCGATGCCCTACTCAAGGAAGAAGAAGCCTCTCAACCGGCCAAAGCCAAGGGCGCAAACGCAAAGACCGCCCAGAAGAAGACTCGTGGTCTCGATCTTTCACAACTGGATGATGCACCTTCAGGCAGCAAGAAAGCTTCTGCTCTCAGCGCCTCTGGTATCGATAATGCACTCGACGCCCTGTCTCTGACTTCGAAGGATACCTCAAAGATCGACCGACACCCCGAACGACGATTTAAGGCCGCATATGCCGCATTTGAGGAGCGACGCTTGCCAGAAATTGAACAGGAAAATCCTGGTCTGCGCCGTAACCAGCGCACCGAGCTTTGCAGAAAGGAATTTGAGAAGAGCGAGGAGAATCCGTTCAACCAGGTTCATGCTGCAGTCAACTCCACCAAGGAAGAGATTGCTGCGCTTCGGGACGGCGAGCGCAAGAAGGTCGAGGGCAGACTGGGTGGCAAATAAATTGTTTTGCTTCTAGATTGCAAGCATTGAGGCTTGTGGATTTTCTGGGAAGTTGCTGGCGATATGCTGATATTCCCCCATTAGACCGGGATTCATGTCTTGGTGCTATCCAATACCCATCCTGGGTGGTGCTTGCAAGAGCATAACACTTGTTTTGACTTGGCTTGCACGGCTCGGGAATACCAGCCATCTTCGAGGCTCCGGGCCGTTGCAGAGTTCAAACAAAGGATTAAGCATGAGGTTCTGGAATAGATGACTGCGATGTATTTTTTCTGCATGCATTATGCATTGTGTCTCTAGCCGTTCTGGCATATAGACTTACGAAATAAAATGATCAATATCCCCTTCAGCTTATGCATCTATAGTATATCACGGTTTGCTGTGATTACCAGCTCAAACATCGAATGGTTGCGCATAATACAAGCGCTTTTCCACGATCCCCCGTGACTTCCTGTTTGTTTAGATTTAGATGACTTGGTAGAACAAAATCATGGCTCTGCCAGAGTTTGATACAATCGGATGATGATATATCAATATCCAGTCTATGTCATCGAGGCTCGTACATCCCACACATATAGACTCTCATCCCAGCCAACGCTAGCACACCAACCTTCATTTCCAAATAGGCACCAGTCCAAACCCATCACAAATTCAGTATGTCTACCCATACGTCCCAATTCTGCACCGACCACTGGACCACCTGGACCAGCGCGCATCATATCTAGATCCCCACCTGGACCGGCATCTGACCGGTCATTCCACACGCGACAAGTCATATCGTAACTAGCGCTCAACAGGACATTAGAAAGATGAGGCGACCAAGCCACTTTCCGGACAGCATATTCATGGCCGAGCATAGTGGCTAGCGGCCCTTGTTGTGGGGCTCGAATATCGAACGTCCGGATAGCACGATCAACACCAGCCGTAGCAAGAACTGTGGGACGGTACTTGTTCCAGTCATGAGTGAGAGCTTCGGAAGCCGGGGCAGACCCGCCTGGCGGGCCGGGGATGGCAGGCGCCGAGGGAGCGGCGTGGATGGGGATTTGGGTGACAAGGTGGTTGGAGGCGGAAGCCGGTGTGCGGAGATCGAAAACGCGCACGTATGAGTCCGAAGTCACACACGAGATGAGGTCTGGGTTGTGCGGGCAGAATGATGCGGAGTAGGTGCAGCTGTGAGTTGGGAGAGTGAGAAGAGACTGCGGGCGATGCGGCGACCAGACGCGGACGGTGCCGTCCCAGCTACTTGAGCAAAAGCGATCCTTTGCGACTGGATTCCAGTTTACGCTGAACACTTCTCGGCCGTGCTCCTTCCAGTTCGAGATGGGAAAGTCGTTTGCTGTGCAATCGAATAGCTTAATGCTGCCGTCGCCTGACGCGGCGAGGACTTGGTTCTCGTGCAGTTCGGACCATGCGAGATCATATAGCGAGTCTTGTGTTGTGAAACTGGCGATTGTAAAGCGCCAAAGGGTCAGCATTCCAGTCGCATAGCCGACTGATGGACGCTCCGCCGCGGGGTTGGCGACAATCTCACCTACAATTTTAAAGGCTGGATTCCATTCGCAGTCAACTCCAAGATATGCAGGCGGCCATTGCCAACAAGACCGAAATTTGATGAGCTTGCAACAGCTAGCCGATTATCAAAGAAAGGAGAGTATTTGACAGCACAACCGTTGTAACCTTGTGTGCGGTAGTGGAGCATGGTGAGAAGCTGATCGGGCGGTGCCGGTCGTAGAAAGGGAAGAAGAGAAAAAAAAAGGAAAAAAAAATAGAAGCAGATCTTCAAGCAAGCTAGGGTATCGAAATGGTAAACGGTAATGATCGCAATGATGTCGAGTTCAAATTCCGTAGGATTTCGGGATTGCGGGGATCAGATGGGCCGAGGTCCTTGGCCTCTCAGGCACGGCTTTCACTATACTTTCACATTCGTTCTTGAGCGCAAGTTGCGTTGATTGAAACCTGATATATATTCCAGGTTAAGATTGAGACAGTATGATTGGTGTCCGCTGATTTTCACATCCTCAGGCTTTTATTCCTTCGTTGTTAGTGACCGGGTCAGCATCTGAACGCTAATAGTCCATTTCCAACCCATCTTCGTTAACTTGAACGATTTCTTACCATCTATCTTACTCGGCTAGGGCTCAAGGTAAAGCGAACAGTTGATAGATTTGGAGATAGGTATCTTGAGGTCGAGGTACGTCGGGATGGTCAATATCATTGACGTCATCGTGCTGCATCCATACATACATACTACATCCATAGCTGCACCTAGCCCTAATTGTAACGGCATTAAGAAACCACTCTAGACCTTCCATTTCCCCTTCAACTTCAACAGAATCAGTAAGGGCCAATCGTAACACATAGGGACAAATCGAGCCACCTATGAATGCTTTGCCCCAAACCCCATCGAAGTATGGGAATGACGCCACGATTGGCCTCTTCTGAATTGTACCATTCTCGATTTTCTCCTTTCAACTTTGCTTGAAATAATAATTTCTCTTCCTGGAACCATATCGGATTTATCGTCATGTTGGTCTCAAAGCATTCTGATAATCAAACCGCTCCCACAATGCAATGTCACAAGCCAATGCCAGATCCAAACCACTATATATCTCCAGCAAATCTCTTCCTCAAGGAAGAAGTTTACCGACTCGGAGCAGGCCCAGGCCTCAGATCCCTACCACCAAGCCCAGAGCGTGACTTTCTTACCTTCTCATGGGGGCCTATTGTTTACCGCACCTCCTATGCGCCCGAAACCAAGCGTCTCTTCCCCGTATTCCTACGTTGCCTCAACGATGCCGTAAACCGATCTTTGGGCCGGACATTGATAGGCCCCGATAAGCAAATACAAAACCTCACGACGACATACTCTTCCAAAATCTTCAATGCGCAAGCTACATACGGCGATATGGATGAGGAGGCTATCCGAGAGGTGTTTCATGATTTCAAGGTTTCGCTTGGGATACCGGAGACAGAGCTCCCGAGCAGACTGCGGATATGTTTGATGCTAGATGATGGAGCGTTTTCACACCTGAAACGCGTTTTGGATCTTTCCTCAATGGTTGAAGGGGATGCCGATTTGGGTGGATGTTGGGTGAAGGTGGTGGAGGAGAATTTCCCCGACTCGAGGATCAGCGATCACCCGCACATTGGGGATGTTGATATGGAAGGACCTGACCGTGCGCTGGAGTATCGTGGGATATATCACGGATGGACAATGGTGGCACTCGACGCATTGGTAGAGGTCTTTGATGGGTTGCGGCGAATGAAATGTTTGGTGGAGTATCATCGGGAGGGACGAGTATACCTGGGAGAAGGCAAATGGAGCACATAGTATATAATCTTCTTTCGAAATGCCTGGAATCGGACCATGTTGAGTTCCTTGGTGGCGTCTTCTCTGAGATCCCTCTGGTCTACTGCATTAAAGAGGATGTATGAAGGTTGAAAATTATTATTGGTACTTAGCAAGCTAGCTTATTGGCGGGCGTAGGCTTATATGACTCGAATTTCAAACAGAATGCTCTTGAGTTAGTACATAGAAAGGCCGTCTCATCCCATCACCCTGCATCTATCCATGGATACATGTAATATAGGGATCTGATTGGTCACCTCGCAGCAATCATGTGCTCATAAACGCTTTATCGCGAGAGCTGTGGCTTATCGATCATCTCTTTCCCCATCCATCCATCTACGAGTTTCAAAAGAACGAGAGTTGAATAAGCATGGATGCATTTGTATCTCAGAAACGTCCAAGGCTCTGGAACGCCAACAAGGAGCCAGAATCAAACCAAGAGTCTTCAAGTCCACCAGAAGACTCCACTGATATTAAGCTAGCACTACTGTTATCGCTTTTCCCGGGCGTCAAACAAGATGAGCTATTGGATATACTTGTATCCTGTGAAGGCTCCGTGGAGAATGCCTCTTCACTTCTCTCTGAAAAAGGGTCCGCACCATATACGCTAGTGAGCAAAAAGCGTGCTGCCGTGGGCTCATCACTCGGCATGCAGACATCTCTCACATCACATGTCTTCACAACTGCCGAAGATGGAAGTATGAAGCCCATCCACGCAATCTCGAGCAAGAGAAAACTCTTACCCCCAAAGAAAGGGAAAACACTCCACCTTTACTCGCCCGAGGACATTGCAGCCTACACACCTTGTACTATCGTCCACAATTTTCTGCCAGCCAAAGAGGCCAATAACCTCCTCTTTGAATTATCAGAAGAATCCAAACACTTTTCTCGCTACGATTTTCAGCTCTTCAACCGTACGGTTCAGAGTCCTCACACGCATGCTGTATATGTGTCCACCCCCGAGGAGCATCGACAACAGATATCAGAATACACATACGGAGGCACATATCGGTCAAATGTGCGCCAAGCCACACCGAATTTACGATCAGTGTCACGGCAGGTGCAAATTATTGTCAACGAAGAGATTCAGAAGCGCATTCGAGAGTTCTATCCAGGCGGCAAGAAACTACAATACCAGTCACCCAAGGAGTGGCGGCCCAATGCAGCGTTCGTCAATTGCTACGATGGGCCAACTGAAAGTGTGGGATATCACTCGGATGAGCTCACCTATATCGGACCTCATCCCGTGATAGGCAGCCTGAGCCTAGGGGTTGCACGGGAATTCCGAGTCCGTCGGATATTAACTCGTGACGACGATAAGACCGAAGAAGATGAAGATGGCAAAGGGACTAGTCCAGTTTCAAGATCTCCACAGAACCAGGGTGCCTCAGCTGCAAGTGCAGACGGCCAAGGCCAAATCTCCATTCATCTTCCTCACAACTCTCTCCTCATCATGCATGCAGAAATGCAAGAGGGTTGGAAACACTCCATCACTCCAGTGCAAACTATTGTACCTCATCCGATCTCTGGCAACCGACGCATCAATATTACATATCGCTGGTATCGTGAGAGTCTCCGCCCACATTTCGCTCCGCGCTGCAAGTGTGGGGAGCACATGATCCTCCGGTGTGCCCAACGCAATCATAAAACACGCGGAAGATACATGTGGATGTGCTATGCCGGATTTGCGCCGGGGAGAGAAGGGTGTTCATTCTTCCAGTGGGCCGAATTTGATGATGATGGGGATCCAGTGGGGATCGAACACGCAATTAGGGATACAGCTCCTACTCTGGCAAACCTCTCGGCATCACAATGATAAATATGTCATGAGGCTCATCAATGACAATGATGGACCACACAGTAAAGGATTCACAGGTCTCAATCATGGAATATTTCCGCTTTTCCCCGCATGCAAAAGCCGAGGTGCATAATCCCATAGATCGGTGCATATACCGTACTTGCGTGGTACATGTCGTTCTGAGTCCCATCACGAACTAGGGAGTAGGAAATTGGTCCTCCATTCACCGAAGATCTACGGAAAAACTTCGGCATAAACCGAAGGCTGGATCCAAATGCATACAGCCTCAGGCGGAATGTGGACTCTAGTTTTGGCCCTAACACAATGAATCCACTCGGGGGCCCCGAGCCGTCTCAGTTCCCCAATCAAACGAGTTAGCAAAGTACGGTGTAGGTACTGCGAGCCGGGTCGACCCCCAAATTTGGTCATGCCTGAGAATGGGTCTACGTCCAAGCGGTCAGATTCGCTCAGATCTATGTTGTACCCCTCAACTTTGCAAAGTTGGACGAAGCGATGCGGAATCTATTCCAGCAGCCCCGCAGCTTGGGCCCATTTAAAGCGTGGACAAGCTTAAAGGATTTACCTCTTGTTGGCACTTGGACGGTCATTGTCTTCGAGCAATCGTGGGAAACCTCATCATGGCTGTGCCCATCGAAGATACTTTTGATTATATTGTCTGCGGGTAAGACAGCTACCAGATACCTTCATGCTATTGCTGACAATAGGCTAGAGGAGGAACTTCGGGGTGTGTAGTTGCCGGTCGTCTCGCCGAGAATCCTAAGGCCAAGATTCTACTCCTCGAAGCCGGACAACACAATAAAGACCTGGAAAATGTTCATATGACTGGCGGGTGAGTTGAATCCAATGTGTGCATATTCCATCCTGACAGATTAGATGGGCAAATAACTTCGATGCCGATACCGATTGGAACCTTGTGACCCCTCCCATGAAAGGAGTCGACAACCGCCAGGTGAAGCTGAGTCGCGGCCGCTTCCTCGGAGGATCCAGTGGATGTAATGGTACGCTTTGCATTCGTGGCAGCAAGCAGGACTATGATGACTGGGGACTCGAAGGCTGGGGCGGCGAGGAGTTCTTCAAGTACATGCGAAAGGTGGGTGGCATAGTCCCCGAGTCCTGAGGCCAATACCAACAGAATAAACAGTCGGAGACCTTTCATCCGAAGGCATGGTTCAAGGCTGATAAAGAGAGTCATGGGCGCTCCGGGCCACTTCACATAGAGCCGCATGATCTGGCCCCCATCTCGAAGCTCTTGATGAACTCTTATGTCTCCCAAGGCATGCCTTTGCACCATGACATGTTCAGCACTGGCGATGTTGCACATGGGTGTGGCCATGTACCTCGCACAGTGTACCAAGGTCTTCGGACAACGGGAGCGGATTTCGTTACCAACAAGAATCACCGTCACAATATCACCATCAAGACCGATACCACAGTCGACAAAATCATATTCAGCAAGCGGGGAACTGAGACTCGTGCTTCTGGTGTGGCCACAAGAACCGCAGATGGCGAATCTAAGATCTACTATGCCCGGAAAGAGATTATCATCTCCGGAGGTGCCTATTGCAGCCCCGCAATCCTCCTTCGATCTGGCATCGGTCCCAAGGCAGAGCTGGAACAGCACAACATTCCTTGCACCGTGGATCTACCAGGCGTAGGCAAGAACCTAATGGACCACTTGGTCAGCAATCTCCACACAGCCCATTTTGACCATCGCAAACGATGCTAATAATCGATACTTCAGATCGTATTCATGTTCTACGAGACCGAAAAGAAAGGCCTAACAGCCGACCACTATGTCCACCACGCCAACAACTTCGAGAAAACATACGCTGAATGGAAAGACAAGAAAACAGGCTTCCTATCCACCTTCCCATTCGGCAGTTTCGCCTTCGCCCGACTAGACGAGCGCCTGAAAGACGAACCTCTCTGGCAAAACGCCTCCCGCCAACCCGGTCGTGATCCCATGGGCCTAACACCGCAGCAGCCGAACATCGAACTTTTCAGCACAGAGTGCTACGGTGGACCAAAGCAATACGACCAGCCCCCGATTGACAATCAGTACGCGTTCTCAATAATTGCAGAGCTATTTGCGCCGAAGTCCCGCGGCACGGTGGTACTCAAATCAGCGGATCCGTTGGAGAACCCAGTCATTGATTGTAACTATTTGGCCGACCCGCTTGATGTGTTGGTTTTGAGCGAGGCTTGTAGGTTTGCGAATGAGATTGTTATGCAGGGTTCTGGGACGAAGGATATTGTTAAGGGGTCTTGGCCGCCGAATCTGAATCATCATACTTATAAGTCGAGGGAGGAGTGGGTTCCGTATGTGAAGGAGCATGCGACGACTTGTGAGTTGATGGTGTGTTGGGGTTGTCTGAGGGTTGCGTTACTGATCCCTTGTTTACAGGCTACCATGCGGCAGGCACCTGTGCCATGGGTAATGATGATGACCAGATGGCTGTGCTTAATGAGAAATTACAGGTAAGGGGCGTGTCTGGGCTGCGAGTTGCTGATTGCAGTGTCATGCCTACCTTGCATGGAGGACATACCCAGATGCCAGCCTATGGCATTGGAGAGAAGTGTGCGGATTTGATCAAGGAGACGTGGCGGATGGCGGGCAATATATCTTCTCGGATTTGATGATTGTTGTTCTACGGGTTTGCCAAAATGTGGAAAAATTCCCTTGATCTTTATATCTGCTTCGAAAAACATGATACATGTATCGACATCATTCCCAGTGCTAGTCCTAGCTTGTGTACTAGGTACAAGTACCGTAGTTCATGGAATTGAACAAGCAAATGGCGAGTTGCACTGCATTAAATTATACTGCATAAAGAACAAAGAACCCTCCTATACAGGGACGGATATAACGCATGACTCGTGTCTGTTGAGGGCGCCTGTAAGAATAATGAAATGTCCCACAAAAGCGGAAGCTCAGACATTTGATCTCAACTGCACTCGCTTGCCGACCCCAAGCTGATACTGATAGCTTCATCATCAAGTTCATACGAAACTAGCCGCGAATCTTTGTCGTTGACGCTCGGAAGACGAAATGGCACATCCGGAGTGCGCGAAATGGTGCAATGGGTTTCCAAGCAAATATCATGCGATGTCGGAAGCAGAGAGTGATGATATCTCAGACGCGCACTGAGAACATGTTGGGCAGTCGGTTGGGAAGAATATGCTTTCAGAACACAGTTGATTTGACTGATTAGATTTTCGAGGATGGGATGTCCAGTTAGTTGAGTTTCTTGGTAGAACTCGATCGGCACACCAATTTTTACTTTCGTTGTCCAAGTCTCTCCTGGCCGTAACCGTGCCAAATGGGAGTCTTCCATTGCGGACTCGAACTGGCATCCGTAGCCCTGATCCAAAAATAGTCTCAGATTGGAGATGATTCCGGGGTTGAGGCCGGTACGAAGCTGCCGAACAACTTTGGAGACCTTTCGCATAAAATGAACTTCACTGGATCGTGGATCGTCCGCGTTCGCATCATAAAAGATGTGCCAGCCAAGTGGGTGGTGTGCTGTGGCAAGTGGAAATGAGAGTTGAGGGGAAATAGTATGGAATCCAATGGCAGGGTCAACGCCGGATATAAATAGGGTTTCTGGTGGATCCGCGGAGATCAACAGCAAATGGCAAAACGCTGCTCTTGGAGAGGGATGAAATAGTTGAGATACCTGTTGAATGGACTTACTCAGGTTAGAATACCTTTTCGGTTTCTTCTTCAATTGACGCAGAGCGAAGTCATTCAGAGCAGATCTTGACGTTTCAAAGGAGTGGAACCCCAGCGGAAGCAAGAGCTCATACCCGTTTCTCGCACTCCCGTCAACACATGCCATGGCTATCCGGTCACGGTTGGTACTCAAGTTCGAGGCAAGCACTGATGATGCCAAGACCATGGGAGTCAAAATGCTCACAGAAGTTTGTTGCCTGTCTGATAGTCAGCCAAGACTGGATTTCTTAGCAGATTGTGCAAAAGGCAGCTAACTTACAAGCTGTCGAACAAGATAATCACATCAAGAGATGCAAGACCCGAGGTCTCAGGCAAAGAGATGGGCTCGACGTCAGCCGATATAATTACTGAGGCCCACAAAAACATGGAATCTATACCCATGTACGGCCCACCTGCGTAAGATCTCATACTGGCAAACGTGACAGGGAGCTCCAACGGACAAAGCAATCTGGAGGGACCTTGAGGCATGAAGTTTGATAACGACTGGGTGCTATCCATTCTGCATTTCCGTCTCAAGGCTGAATCTTCTGGAGGCTCCATTAGGCTAGAACCCGAGGTCGACTTGGACGAGAGACATGGCTCTAGAGCACCATACGAACCAGAGCTCCAGCGAACAAGCAGTTGTGGCGCTAATTGATATCCACTCTGTGTCATAAGCCCCACTCGACGATTAACACGGCGTCGTGGTGTCTGAAGTAAAGAGTCAGCAAACCCAGGTATCTTCAGGTCGAGTTGCAATTACATTGTCGACAAATGGGTCTTCCTTCACGTCAAGACCAGCCTTGCGAATATGGCGAGAAGCCACGTGTTCTTGGCGGATCTTCACTACATCGATCTTGTAAAGACTATCACTAAGAGACGGGGTTCTGGTCGACGTCGCCAACTCGCTCGAATCGTATTCTAATTCGCTCGAATCGTATTCCACGCTCGCAGAAAGAGACGAACGGCGCGAAGGGATTTGCGGGTATGACAAGCTCGAGAGTGAACTAGACGATGAGCTGATTCTGTGCTTGCTGGGGGTGGTGCATTGGGTACGGAGTTTGAGCGCGGTGAGCGGTGTAGCTCCGCCCTCCATAGTGGAAAGTGACTAAATATGTTCTCTGACGAGAGCAGGTGGTTCAAATTCGAATCGAATATCTGAGGCTTCCGTCGCGCGGGTTGAGGTCGACTGGCTCGTCGTGGGGCAGTTCTCGGAGTCTGAGGAGATCTTCTTTCGTCTCTGTTGTTTGATGAGACCAAAACACGACAGGCACGACAGCCAAAATTCTGCGAGGGAGTGAATACTCCAGTAGTTGGAACACCCAAGAGCGATCACAACAACGCAGATGAGAACGACGATAGGAACAAGGATCAATGCAATTATTAAAGCTGAGCTCTTGATATCATATGATAGCTTATAGGTCATTGTGCTGGGATATATTGATGTGGGGGAAAGGGAGATGAGGCAGTAAAGCAGATTGCAGTCATATGCTCCTGCTCCCCAGAGGACCGAAGACTAAGTTGGAGAGAGCGAAGTGATTGACGGTGATTGACAGTGATTGACAGCTGATCAATAGCACTTTCCCAGGTTGAGTCTATAAACATTCAAAAAAACAAAAAAAAACAAAACAGGTAAGGAGCATTTGGGTATCATGATCGCACTTAGATTGCATTCTCTGCCATGGCAGCCATCTTTTTCTTGACTGAGCTCGAGGTAGTGTCATCCAGGCGCGAGAACCGAATCTGAGAGATGGGTTAGTCGGATTCCCCAAATTGGAAGTGGAAAGAGGCATACCATTTCATCTGTTCCCCCGCGAGCAGCACTTCCATACAGCATCGGCTCGGAGCGAGAGTTTTCAATCTCATCTTTCACTCTTCGGGCCCAAATTCCATCCCAGTGCCAGTCGCCCGGAAGCCGAGCCTGCGGGCTTCCCCGTTTCAGCTGTCCCCGACCAATACCACCCCGGCGATGTGCCTGCCATGCATGCCATGCTCCAGGATTTCCTGCAACTTCAACGGGCACTGAATCCAAAACCATCTCGTCGTCAAACGTGGACCGAATGTAGTTCAAAATCTCTGATACTGGAACAACACTCCTTCGTTCCGCAAATTGATTTGGAGATGGCACTTGTGCCAGACGCGGCGTTGGTACATCGTTGTCCTCATCATCCGCTGCCTCTGCTGGAGCGTCCGTATTCGACTGGCCTCCATCATCTGTAATTGGGTCGGCAGAGCTTCCTCGCACCGATGACGCAGCACTTGCACTGGTACCGCTTACGTTTCGTGAAGTGTTCCTCGACCCGAAGCCGCTCTGCTGTGGCCCACCGAACCAATGAGGGAAACCATGGCGTAGACTGAACCCGCCGGGCGGTAATCGTTGATCGTCTGTTGCGCTGACAGGATCATCGCTGGCGGACCCCGTGCTGAAAGTATATGTCGTGAGGGGCACAATCAACGGATGGAACAAATCAGTCGCAAATGTGACCAAAGGGGGGAAATCAGGGTAGGTGTCCGGGAAACGAAGTTGGAATCGGAGGATGGCTGAGGCATAGGGGCCTGCGATGCAGATTAGTCGCCACTAAATTTTCCGGCTCATCGAGCAGATCATTGATGTCCACTCACCTGAGCGAACAAAGATCACTGCATTCCAGAGTGTCGGGTCCCCCGGCGCGAGGCTCGCGTAAACCCCTGGCGGTGCCGCATGTCTCAAGCTCGCACTGTGGGAAGTCAGAACTTGAATTTTTCCGTATGAGGGGAAGGTCTCACAATTCCAGGTGGAGCTGCTGCTTTCGAAGCGAAGGAATACAGGGCAGCCTGGATGTCGACATCTCTACATTTGGCAGGTCGAGGCGGAAGTTAGAAACCACAACAGCACCTTGGCTTATCGATTGCTTATCGCCGATCTAGAATCACTCAACTGGGAGCTTCCTGGACGACGCCACACCCAGTCCTGGACAGCGAATGTCTCCAGAGAAATTTAATCTAGGGGATAATGTGAGTCAAGTTCTTATGACGGCATCCACTACTGAAGGTTCAAGGATATGATTGGCCAAACAACCACTCATGGACGGGAGGCCTGGCTATGTATGATGTATACGGAGTATTTGCGGCTGAACATCTACCACCATGTTGAGATGTGAACATATAAAGCCCGGAGTCCGTCTAACATTCTGCTGTTTTTACCTCAATTCTCTGTACCATTTACAACAATCGACATGAAAACGATCGGAATCTGCATCCCAACTATCGAAGGCGGTGTTATCGTCCACCAAGAAATTGGACGAGAAGCAGCGCGGCGGGGCATTGCTTACCCTCAAATCATCACTCACACTCCTCTCTACGGAGACCTGGAACAAGCACTCAAGACCGATGACCTTCCATCCCTGACAGCAACAATCACTGGGTCTATTAACCGTACTGCGAAAGCAGGTGCGGGGTTTGCTATCATCAGTGCCAATACGCCACATATTGTGCTTGACGATGTTGCAGTCGAATCAACGATCCCTGTTCTCAGTATTCTTGACGTCTCCGCTGGATACTGCGAAAAAAGTGGTTACACGAATGTCGGTATTCTCGGCACAAGCTGGACTGTCAACCGTCGTCTGTATGATGGTCCTTTGCAAAAGAGAGGCATAGCCGCCGTCTATGTGTCTGATTCTGACCAGGCAATCGTCATGCATGCAATCGAAAAAGAGCTAGTCCAGGGGATTTTCCTAGAGGAGACTACCAACAAGTTGGTGCGCATTGCTAAGGACCTTGCCACACGATGTGATGCCATTATTCTTGGTTGTACCGAGTTGCCGCTTGTTCTCGGGGAAGAGAACTGCGGGATCAAGGTTGTCGATACAACGCGGCTTCTCTCCCATGCTGCGCTTGATTTTGCGACCCAGGATTGAGTAATAATATACTGCAGCTCAACATCAATGCAATGTTGGTAACCCTATGGCTTTTGATATCCCGCACTGAAACGTTGCTCTCGTTGGTGTATACTCTATATAAACCAAACCTATCTATTCGTGGATTGCAAGTGAAGTCTATCTAAATCCGCATCTTGTCCCAAGAGACCCAGATGCACCATCCCCTCCCCAACCCCTTCATATATACCTCCCGCTACGCCTTCCATCCACCAAGCTGCGAGATTACACACAGCAGCACCGACCCGCCCTTCATTGAACTTGGAAGTCGCAGCGCCAATGTTGATACCCCCTTTCCCCAACCCATCGGCTGCGTCCAGTGTTGTAGTCACAATGCGCTCGGTGATGCGATGTGTCCGCTCATATTCATATAGCCGACACACCAACGACTTCACATACGGTAGAACAAACCGCAAGAGAATGAAAAACTGCAAAATTACCGAGGCAAGGATTTTGTGCAAATAAGATCTCGCGTTGGGCTCTACTGGAGAACTCTGGCCGTAGGAGTACCGAGGACGCTGAGGACATGATACCTCCGCCCTAATCAGCTCAGGGATATGGCGCTGAAGTATAGACGTCTCTTCATCTGTCAGATCTGGAGGCAATGCATCCAGGAGGTAAACCAAAGAGTTGATGTAAAGCGACCGAGCCAGACGAACATCCGCTTGCGGCTGTTGCGCTTCGTATCCCGCATTGCGGAGAAGGTTGAATGCTTCAGTAACGTCAAACTATCAGCTAAGACCGGGCAGTTGATAAATCTATATAATAACTCCACGAGGACTTACCGGATATTATCCGATTCCACTTCAGACCAGACTCGGTTTCGTACTTCGTCGGGGATCCTATCTCCTCTCGCGGACTGTCCGGTCCTCCGCAGCCGGAGTCGAAGTCTAGATCATCGCTGGCCGTGGAAGGTCGTTGTGCCTCGAATACCGCTGGTGAGGAGTGACTCTGATACGGGAGATTGGGTTCGGACGCCGGCCCACGCGGGTCCTCGCTTAACTCGGCGCACTTAGACGCGGGCCGGGATGAATATAGGTAGGGCAGACGACGCCGAACCGATGCCGGGATGGGAAACATAGTGAATCCCGAGTCCTCTATTGGGATTAAGGTGATATGAGTTCAGATCGGTTATTTCCTGCATGTTTATAGGAGAAAGAACATAAAATCGAAGTAGAAAAAATCGGTCCATTTTCACATGTCAGCGATATGCCGATAAGGCAATTCGACATCTTCGCCATTGGCTGGAGATCCTGATCATTCTCTCGTCTCTTGATTTGGTGGGATCATGTGGCTATAGGGTAGATCTCTTCGAAACGTTGGTATGGGCCTCCTACATGTACATACATATGTACATCGTACATAAGATATGTCATCCTTCTGTGTAAACGTAAAGAAAAATGGAAAGAGCCAAGGAGAACCCGATCAGATGACGTAGAGCAGATACAATGTAAACTAGCAGCTTTGGATGTTTTCCCATCTTTCTAGGAAATTTACGACAATTTCTAACTTGTACCCGTTGCCAAAATGGGGGACCTCGAGGATGATTGGATCTCTATATAACCAACGCCTATCTATAGTTCCGCTGTCCGGGTACTTAGTTCCGTAAATGAATAAGATCCCTATAGCCGCTTGGTAGATTCTTCAATTTTATTTGTTTTTGTACTTCGGAATACCGCATAGATGTATGTAACCGCACGGTTTTATAGAGACAGCAACTTAGAGTTTGCTATATCAAACTGCCATTACCGCTCTCAAGATATGTACTATATAGCTAAACACCCTACTTCGCGGAATGCTATAGAATGTGCTAAAATAGTAATGTTCATCTTCTTACGAGAGGGACATATCGCCGGGAAAGCACTTACCACTGCAGCATTGAGATTAGTGAGAGGTGTTGGAAAATTTAGCGCACGCCACGAAAACTCGCCAGAGAGATGTCGAGAAACCCGTAGAATAACCAAAATCAGCCTGCCTGCTATTTAGCGCTGCCAACTCAGAGCCCCAAATGAGTCAACATTGACTGCGCAGTGAGGCGAGAGGCTTGGATTGTCGACACCCCTGTAAACGCGGGGTCTGCCAACTCATCTTTGAGCCAACTCATAGCATACAAATGACTACTTCAAAATGACTATAGGCTCAGAGGCACTTTCCAAGTTGCTTTGCGATATTGCGGCGTTTGACTATGCTTTGATGCCTGGTACTTCGGGCCTCCAGGCACCGACAATCAGGCTGTCTCTCAGTCCAGTGACATATAACAACCTGCTTCGTTCAGGTATATCAATAAAACCTTTCTTCTTTCAGCTTTCTACCCTGAGTCCCCACGATCTTTACTATGGACCGTTGTGACCTATGCGATCGGTGGTTCAATGGCCAACAGGCGCTTCGGCAACATCTCCGGGATTCTCCAGCACATGCTGTGGTATTGCGATGCGAACCCTGCAATCGATATTTCGACAACCAGAATTCTCTTGACCAGCATACTCGAGACTCGCCTGCTCATGTCTTATCATACGACTGTGAGCCTTGCGGCAGGTCTTTTGGCAGCCAAAGTGCATTGGACCAACATTCTCAAAGCTCCCCAGCTCATACCATATCACATCATTGTCATCCTTGCAATAGAAGGTTTGGTAGCCAAGCTGCAATGGACCAACATATCCAGAACTCTTCAGCACATATTGCGCCGCTTAATACTCCACTTGATGTGTTTTTCCAATCATTCCATGGGTTTGATTACGATAGGGAGCTATCTCCCTCGCAGCTATTTACTCAGCTACAGAGATTCAATGGATGGAGAAGACATAATCCAACAGAGAAAGCAGCCTGGGCACTATATCAGTCTGCTTTGGAAGAAGAAGTGAAACTTTGGTTTGGGGCAGAGGATGACCTCGGATCCTGGCACTCTCTTTGTCGTGCTCTCGAGATCAAGCCATTGCCTATGACTTGTGCGCAAGGTGTGAAGGTAAGTCATCACCTGAGTTCAATATTTTTGCATAGCCACTCTGTTTTCGGAACAGACAATGAAGGCGGTTGATGATAATTTTGGCTAATGAAGGGATCTAGTCCGTCCGAGGTGTTTTTGTTAACATCATTGATCTCCTGGAGTGGGCTCGAAGTGATAAAAAGCAAATCCGAGTGCGCATGTTTCCGAGTTTGGCAGAGCTTCGCGATTATACCAAAAGAACTGGGAAGATCTTTCACAATAAACTTGGCAGCGATGACAATGAGAACGTTGTTCTTCGGCATCTGCTTAGATTTATCTTCTGAGGAATTTCCATGGCCTTTCTTCATGGTCGCTAATTAGGACCCGAAAAATATTGTTCGATTCAAATTTTGCCTCCAAAGTACACGAATAATGTTCGGCATATATTGATTCGTAGCATAACTGGCAACAGCAACAGCAATTACATACTAGGGAAGGTTCCAGGAGTCTTCATGCTGCTGAACGTCTGTCAGATAAATATGGCCTCATATAATGGTTAAGCTATCATTTCGCCCTAGAGCAAACATGTTGGCAATAGATTCCTGCATCTTTTAGGAAGTTTTTCCAATTGACTCGCGATAAACCTTGGACAAGAAATAATCAACTACCGCGTGTAGGGCGTTTCACCCGGGGTCTCGAAGGTAGCCCCAAGGAAGATGGTGCTCTTTCTTCGCAACGTTGGGAGAATAAACCTTTCAACAGTTCCTACAAAATAACAAGGGCTATTCCAGATATAGGAGTAGAATGACCATATTTGTGCATACATGTGGACAACGGCATTTGCTAGGTACCATATACTATATAGTCCTATCTTGTGACATTGGGAACACAATGTCTTTCCAATTTACACTGACACTTCACTTCACCAGGGCTACTCCTCCGGCTATCTCCCACGCTGAAAATTCATTCGTAGTCCTAGGATACATCCAATCCATACGTTAGCCATACCTCCCAGGTAAAGTTATCTTCATATATATAGTAGCGCCGACGCAGATCTCATAGGAAGGTAGTTTCTGAAGATGGATCCCGTCGAGCACACCCTTCTCAGCCTCGAAATGCCCGGTATAAAGCTAAGCCTTCTTATCTGTAAGCCACCTGCCGCTATACGTTCAACTTATATTCACTGTGAGGGGGCTATACATCAGCAGGCTCGCGAAATTGATTTATAAAACCCAAGGAAGATTAGTCCAGTCAGACTCAGTCAGCAGAATAATGTGCGCCATACTTCGTACAAACTGGTCATCATGTGATTCACACCTGCACCTCTTTAGCAACACGCAGTGAAAGGCAAATGGCGTGTCTCAAATATTTATCTATATCTAAGCTCCCTGGATGCTCAAGAGCCCGTGCACTTTCTATTACTCCATCTATCACGAGCCCCGAGACTCTTTTCGTGATGGTATAATTGCATAATTACAGGCTGCTTTTGTGTGGGCAGCTCGCAACCAATGGTGCACCTTGCGATATACCAAATATATATCTTACCGGATAGGATAAAGGCATTACCCTTAAGAAAGATATATTTGTATATGAAATATATAGACATATTAGGATATTGTGATTAGAATCTATAGTGAAAATTTTAATGGAACCATTCTCTTATTCATACCCTCTCTCACTTTTCTCTCTGGTCTTCCTTCTTCCGTCTTCTTCCATAGCATCATTATCCAAAGAGTGTGCTTTTACCTAGCCCGCTTTGTTAGCGGAATTCTCTAACGGCCTTTTCATCGGCCATGTTAGAAAATAGGCACTTGAAGTCTCGAACCCTCGAAAACGCATTTCGGCTTCAGTTATTAAGGAGCTAGAGAAACTTCTATCGCATATTTCCAAATAAATGACTCAATATCAATACTAACTCAATTATCTAAATAGCGAGAGACTTGGAAGAAACGCTATAAGTAAGATGCCCTAACTAAATCTTTAAAAGTGACAAATATACTCACCATTACAAACATATAGGCTAAATGCTAATACATTCACTATGAATGGTTCGGAAGGTTCGAGCATGAAATTCCGTAGCATCCCATAGCTCTCCGTATTCCTTTTTCTATTGCTTTCTCCAACTATTTCCCTCCTTAAGGGCTACTAGTCCGTCAGTGGAGGAAACCCCGGGAGATGTCCAGTCTTCCATATGGCAAAACTGCATGGTTATGTCAGAGATTTACGAAGGAAGGCAGATCTGGGAAAACACAGTCTCTCTGGATGATGCTATGGAAGAAGGAGGAAGACTAGGACAAGATCAGGGACACAAATAGAGGATGGTCATCTGACCATCCAAACAGGTTATATCTACCACGTCGGTGGTTTAAGTATAACACAATTCAAGGATGCTCGCTTGCCGCGAGGAAGAGTTGTAGTCTTCAAATAAAATTACAACATCAATCACCGATCTAGCCGGCACCTAGGCAATGGCAAGTATGATAATATTATAAAGACTGCTATTGGAGTTGCGGCTAGATTCATGTAGACATTAAAATGGCATTAGGGGCACCTATTACAGGTTTATTGCTCAAAAACAATCGGACCGAGTCATCTCTCACAGAAAGATAGCTCAGGCGTACTGATCTAAGTTCCCGACTCAACAACCCACGGGCAAAGCACTACCATCGGTAGCAGTATCGAACAGCGCAACTTCCTCGTTACGGCGGCGAGTCAGACCAGGAACCACGGCACCATTAGCCTTGTTCCACTTTGGGAGCTCCTCACCCGCCACAGTGGACACATCGTCACCGGCATTCATGCGGCTGACCAGGGAAGATGACCGCATATTTCCGACACCAACGTTGTAAGTCCATGAGACCAGCGCGGCATACTGGTTGTCATTGAGAGTGACAGCAGTTGCAAGCGCATTAGTCACGCCATTTTGATAGGTCTGTTTATATGTCAGATGACACATTCATTACTTACCCAGTGCGTAGTTGGGTTCCGAGGTTCGATGTTTCGAAGGTGAGGGAGTGGATATGTGTAGAGACCTACCACCAGATCATCGGCCAACAACTGGCTCGCTGTCGCCTCGGTCAAGGGGATTGAGTAGATCACCTCTGAGCACGATGCGTCACCGCAGAGATGGCCGTAGCCGAGGGTGGGGTTGCCGAAGCCGTCATCATAAACTTCAGGTTCAAAAGACTCGAAGCTCTTGATCAGGCCAAGGCCATTATCGTTGATTCCAGGACCAGTGCAGGCGATTGCCAGGACTGGCAGGGCGACGAGGAGGAGTTTGAAAGACATGTCGGTTCTTGGCGTGGGGATTGTATTGAGGATTTGATGGGCAATTGGACGGCGTATATTGATGATTTATACGTTTCCCCCTGTCACTTTGAGACCTGAAAATGCATTCCTTTCTGCCAAGTTTGTTGGAGGATGGTTCCACTGCTCCGTACTAGACATGTAGTTGCATATAGAGTTGTCAGGGCCCCATTCCCTTCCAAGCTTGCCGCATTTCCCAACCATGGGAGATCTAAAGCCACCTAAGCCTATCCCGCGTGGTTTTATATTAATTTTCAAGCCGCGCCCAGGTACACTTTCTGGCTTATATGAGCCTAGAAATTCATATTCAAGGCGATCTTGGTACTGCACTGCTTGTTTTACCTCTTTCTCCGCTCTTTCCAATGCAAATTCTGTCTTCCTAATGAATTGAATGTCTATGGCCATCATTCATGTAAGGCCTTGGCATACTAACTGTGGACGCCTCCTTTTATTAGTTAGGATGGTGGCGCTGGATTAGTGCGTTTTGTAGTTATCACCCCTGCCCCAACCAGCCAACTCCGTTGTATATTTTACATAGAGCCATGCAGGGTTACGAGACTGAAAATCCTGAATAATGTCAGTGAACGCCCGAATTACCTTAGGCCCAATGGGCTAGAGCACTATGAGCTAGGCCAAAAGTTGACTTATTTCGCGAAGTAACTCAGTTGCTTCCACGGTTCCATGTATGTGCTGAACTCTCGAACAGTTGACAGGACAATATAAGATGGAACATCGTCTTCAAAATCATCAAGTTTATAGAAGTACGTTGAAATATTTACCTCCTTAGGAGGAAATTCAGTTTGAAGCGTCCAATCCCTTCGTGCAAACCTCCCAAATCGCCACTATCGAGAGATAAGACTTCGCGTGGCCTTATGCTGGAACCCATAAAGGTCGAGGGTGGGATTTGATTAGACCGTAGATCTAACCCTCAATCCGGTTTGGAATGGTTTCAAGTCTCGAAGCTGGCCTAAAGGGGTTGCAGGTTCGGCTTTTGGACCGGAGTCCGCGGATGTCGATCGCCGATCGTGATTAACGGTAGTAGAGCCTTTTTGATAGCGATGAGAGGCGAGAAAAAGAATGTGCGAAAGACATTGAAAGGCCAAGATTGTAGTCGTAGTCCATAGTTACATGGGAGTGTACGCCAACTCCCCCGGTACTACTCCTAGATGCTAATCAATTAGGAACAGTAGCCTCACCCCAAAGCCTAAAGCGGCAGTTTCTGCACCGCCATCTGATATGGTGTAATTAGTGTAAACGAAGGCAACCAACCTCTGAAGAACCTCGCCTAGTCATGGCTCTGTCACAGTAACTTTATCTATATCAGCTCCGGTGTCACACTGTAATAATTGACTGGTACATATTCTGCGAGAACTATAGGTTTTTTCTTCAACGCCCGAGTGAAATAAGTGCACTCATATATTGACGACTATGGGGAAAAAGTATCTTTGTGAGTAATATCAAAAGCATAATACTAGAAGATCACTGGTGAGCCGAGAAAGGGCTTATTTTATAGCTCCAGCAATCAACTTTGGCCAAATGGTCAGGGCTTTTAGAACTTGGGAACATCCAAACTTTTCGCTCGTGCATATTTTCCCCCAGCAGCCTTTGTGGCATCATTTCTGACACCCGCCGCAAAAGCATACGACTCCTCTTCGCCGCGCACAGCTTTCACGTAACTCTTGAAATTATGCGACATGTTGACAACTTGGCGAAGATGTTCATCGGTCAGCTCGGGGATAGAATTGCCTTCTTGCCTTGCCTGGAAGCATGCAAGAGCCACAGCAGTTTGGAATGCTTTCGAGTTTGTGAGAATCAAGTCTAGTTGAGGAGATTGTGGAGTTGCTACTTACCATTTCGTATCTCGCGGCCATTCCATTCGAGGGCCCGCAGATCATCAGATCTGCGAACAAACTCTTTGGCATCGTATGAGCAACGAATTTCCTGGCCATCATTCTCATAGTTCTTGGCAAGTTTCTTGAAATAACCGTCCCAGATGTGCTTTCTTGAGTCCTCGTCGAGTGGATCATATCCAATCTGCACGTGAATTCGGGACATGAATGCTTCATCGAAACTTCCCACGCGATTGGTTGTCAAGAAAAGAATGCCCTGGAAATAGTCTAGGGCTCGAAGGAAGACTGGTCCAGCAATTGGTTAATAATGCCTTGTATATTTTGGTGTTTCAAGTAAACTTACTGGAGACAATGCTATTTCGTCGGAGATCCTGAGCAGATCGAGTCTCAAGATAAACGTCCGCTTCATCAAGAAGGACGATGGCGTTCCATCGTCTTGCATGCCGGAAGAACTGAAGCAAGTTCCGTTCGAGTGGCTCTGGTTCATGGCCCAGATCCGCGGCAGTAATGCTAAGAAGAGGCCGACCCGTGTACTCCGCCACAGACTCTGATACAACTAAACTTAGTAACAATCCACAAATATATTCTCATATGCGTGGGGTTAAGCAATACCGGCGGTGAGAGTTTTTCCCGTTCCGGGAGGTCCATGAAGTAGGACGATCTGCCCTTCTCCTTTGCCCTGAATGAAGTCCGAAGTGAAAGTCTGCGTGTACGTTCCACCAAATATCTCACACACAGCCTTGATCATCTGCTTATTGCTTTCCGGCTTGAGAACCAACGTGTCAATGATATTTTTCTGTATCTTAGGATCCCTCAGACTGGATACATCCAGCACATCTGTGTCCCGCAATCAGCGGTGTTCCAAACAGAATAAGATGATTACGTACCCCAAGCACGGTCTTTTAGTACATACGCATAGACATGCGACCAGCAGAGCATATATTGATGGTCAGTCAAGGTTATATCTGGATTCAGCTTGATGTTATCGTATTCATCAAAACGGCGACGTCGGATGAGGTGTTGGCGCAGACTGTTGGTTTCGCATGTTTTGCACAGACATTGCGGGACTCTTGTTCGTTGGCCTAGCTCAACATCATAGACTGCTGTGATGGGTTCGTAGGCGTTTTCGTCGTAAGAGAGCTCCGTCTTCCATGGTTGGCTAGTGTGATCAATGACGACTCGTGTTTGGTTAAACTGTAAAAGTGAGAGATTGTAAGAGGGTTAGGACATGAGCGGCGCGATATCTATATCGCATTCGAAACTCACCGTTCGGTTGCCTTGCAGTTTGCTCGGACCGGTGTACTCTTGGAATGTAGGTATCATCACCATACGAACAAATCTTTTCCCCCGATCCACCAGTTGCTGACGGTGTGAGTGCTCGGGATCCTCATCCACGTGATATTGGATCGGATATAAAGGCAAGGAGGTGATATCCCGTGGACCATCGAAAACAGGAATGTCAATTTCTTTAACTGAACGGCTCAATACCTGGCCATCAAAATTGAGGTTCCAGACGTTCACAATGTATGGCAGTGAACGCTCATTAGCGTAACCCCATCGCACTCCCCCTGAGACCGACTCAATGACATACGCATTCAACTTACCTTGTTCTTGAACGAACACATCGGATCCAGGCTTAAGCAGGAGCCAGATAGATGCGAAAGTTGTCTTAGGCACTTCGTTGGTCCAGAGAAGGTCGACGTCCCTCATGCCGAACACTGTCAAACCATTGAGATAATCAACTAGAATGTCAATGTGCTCTTTACATGTCGTGGTATACTCGGTGTCATGGGTCTCACCCACGTCCTCTCGATACTGAATTAATTTGCCCCGATAATGATGGAGATCAGTGAATGGGTACACAAATCGGCCCCGTTCGAGGTCACTTTCAATGTTCCTGGCGTTATATTCAACGCGCGGAAGTTGGTCTGGAATCGATTGATGTTCAATAATAGCATGAAGAGCATTGAGAAGAATGGGCGAGTGGATGTAAAGTATTGGATATCCAATTGTATCGAACAAGTTCTCTCCCATGCCAGAGGAATCCTTGGCAGTTTTATTGCCATAGACCTCCCTGTGCTCCTCGAGGACAGATTTAGGACTTTCAAGCACGGAAGCCTTGGTAAAGATTGTCTTGTCGTTGAGCCGCTTGGTATCACTCCGTTGAAAATCGCCATCGCTGTCCGGAACCAGGAATGTTGCCACATAAGCCACCTTGCTGAACTCTTCAACTGAGGTCACTCCGACATCTTCCGTATCCTCCTCGGCTTCCGCAGTTTGCTCGGTTTCTGTCTGTTTCTGATCACGGATTGAGGAGAACACATCGAATGAAAATTCAATCTTGAATTCCCATCCCGGGGAGACCAGACTTTCCCAATGGCTGGGCAGGATGTTTGAGTATTCAGGGTTGATTTTGATGAGTGAAAGATGGCGAAGGTTCTCCTCTTCATCAAGATAAGTCGCAAGCCTTTCGATGGAATATACGTCAACAAAGATTGATTTGATCAGTTCCTTGGTGTCCTGCACATGATCAGCAAAAAGAGCAGAAGAGCGACCGCGGATAACTTACGTCCCATGTTTTAGACCTCTCATATGGAAATGTCCACCGCGTACCAATGGGGTCAACAAAGATAATCCCAGCTTGGTCCTTTGTGTTACTCATCTCGGGTATCGCATCGTTTATATTGACTCCAGTGTTGCTGCTGCTGCAAGTCATGTCCGCACAACTCTCATCGGTCGAGGACAGCTCCGATTTGGCTTCGATGGTATTTCTGCAACTTAAAATATCTATTGCATTAAGCTCTTCCTCCTTCTGACTTGGAATTTCCTGTATATTGCCTTCATTCGTAATGCTCTGGCTCACTTGTTCTCTAGTCAGCTCCGACCGAGCTTTACGATGCATTGTATCATTTCGACTTACTAGTTGTTAGATTGACAGTAGTAGTATCAGTCAGTGCAAGCTGTACCTCGTGAGTCTTGACTTCAGTCACCTGGGTGCTAGACTCTATGATAATCGCCATTGTGTCAATTGCCAGAGGTAAAGATGAAAGAACCGATTGAGGCTATGAGGCTTTGAAGCTCTTGGTAGCTAGTAATTCGGTTAGGCAATCCCACACATCTCAAGACACGGCTGATATCCAGCTCATTATGTCCTTAGTGGCTTAAAGCACCGTTCTGATTGGGGGATAACAAGCCGGACCGTGAGTCAACGTGATTCACGGGGTATAGCAGTCTGCACGCCTGTGACTGACATTGCATAAGCACTGTGCTTACAGCGAATGATATGGAGTCGTGTACTCCGCAAGAATATTTGCGTAAAGTTTATCGCTCGCCTTGGGACTGAGGGCCTGCACTTCCTGCATGTCAGCCCAACCACCCACACCCACGCAAGTCAAGTCAAGTCGTTTTGTCCAACTCTTAAGTAAGTTCGTGAAGGAAGATGCACGTACTCTGTACACAACGGAGTATTCTGATCAAAGCCGCCTGCATAATCCCCGGTGATCCAGTAATCGGTACGGAGTACTCCGTACTCCGCAAAGAGGAACGCGCCCACGGCGACCTCGGACTTAGTTGAATGCCCAAGGAGTTCTGAGCTGCCATCACCCGCTTCGTAGATGCGGGGGCCGTGAATAGTCGAATCGGACATCATACTAAACAAGGCGGTCGAATCTCACCCTACCTGGAACTTCTCTCGGGAGACTACGGAGTACTCCGTATTGAATTGACAGGGGGCCAGAGTGCCGCTTGGGTCTTCTCCGTCGGACCCCAGACTGAGCAGACCGGTATTGATTGACACTGTTCTTGTGTTGTCTTATGTAGGTATACCGCTTGTTTGCCGAGCAACACCATGACAGATCCAGCAGGGGCAATGTCTCGGTCTAAATTGGTGCGTCGATTCACAGATGAAATCAAGGAAGATTCGAATCTAGCTTCTCAGGTCAAGTCGTACCAAGATGATTTGGATACGGAGATTAACAAACATGAGAAATCACGGATCGATCGTATCTATTATGATCAGCCGCCGATCGAGAGGTATGTCGACAGGGAACGGGCAAAGAATCAGTGCATCAATAGAGTGAAGGCTGAAAGTCCTCGTCCAGTTCTTCTAAAGGACTTGAATTCGCACGTCAAACGCTTCAGTCCAAATGCGAGGAGTTCTTCAAGTCTCTAGAGGAGAGAGCAGAAGCGAGCAAGAGCAAAGCAGGACTCTCACGACTCTTGCATCGAAATGCGACCGAAGAGAAGCTGGCTATCCATATCCGCAAACGCGGGGAGCTCACGGTAAATCAAATTCATTCAATTCTCGATGAGGTGGAGGCTGAATGGACGAAATCGAACAGCAAGGTAAGTCTGACTTGAGTCAGATGTTTAGACAATGTTCAGACAGCTGACGGAGAGTTTGTAGGCGGCGACCAACTTCGTGAAAATATGCCACTCCCTCAACTCCCACAAGCAAATCTTCCAGTGTTTCCCGAGTCAAACATCCTACACATCTACCTTGTGTGGTGCTATCACGATGGTCATTCAGGTGAGGCTTCCCGGGCATGAACAAACTGGATGCCAATTAGTCTCATCGATGATCTCATAGGCCTCAGTCAACTATTCGGCTATTGCAGAATTGTTGTCAGGTTATGTAGCAGAGCTGTCAGACACCATCGCTATTTGTACCCAGTGGCTCGATCTCTATGCAAACCCGGCCATTCAAGCACGACTGTCCGATATCTACAAGCAATATTTTGATTTCTTTGTCAACGTGGCCATCTGGTACATGAAACCGAAAGCGTCGAAATGGCTCGACTCCTTCAACTCGAACTTCACGACTAGCTATAAGGAAGTGGCAGAAACGATAAAACGCTCCATTCAGAATATCCGCGATCAGGCTGCAGTGGAGAACGCATGGCAGATAAATAGACTTGGTCTGTCGGTTGGCCACTTTGAAAAGAGCTGCGCCGCGTGGGTGAACGAAATCCGGAAAGAGAAGAACGAGGCCGGGGCGACAATGCGGACCTTGTTGCTGCAGATGATTGAACGCAGTACGCAACTTCAGATATCCTGGACAACGATTGCTTTCTAACATGTCTGGAATGTCCACAGTGGATATGTGGGAGGAACGCTGGGAACGTGGACAGTTGGAATATCAGCACGAGACTGGAAGAACGATAACAAATGGAGATACAACTATCAGGGATAAAGAGCGCGCACAAATTGCCGATGTTCCCTATGGGATCAAGCGGTCTGAGGCCGAAGACGTCTGTCGACATCTCCAATCACTGATTGATCAGTTGGGAGGCAGCGATGGAATCAAACTCGCGATCCAGGCAGGACGCCTCATTGCAGAGCCTACCATTGTCCGAATCCTAGGTCATTGGACACAGGCTACCTCGGGCGATGCGCTCATCCTTTGGATCATCAGCCCCTTTGAAAGAAGCCCGCAGACTAGCGCGCAACTGGCTGCCCTCGGCGTGATTTGGACGGCAATCCGAGCTCGTGCACAATTCGTGTCGTATATCTGTCAACGGCCCCACTATGGAACTATTCCTGGCTTTCACAATGTCGAAGACAAAGCCGGCGCCATGGCGATGGTTTATAGTTTGATCTGCCAGTTGCTGCAATTTCAGTCGCACGATGATGCAGTGTGTATACAACCAGCGATGCTCGATCAACTCACGCAGCCCGGAGAACGGTGGGTCACAGGCTTGGTGCTATTGAGATACCTGCTAGAGAACACACCTAGTCTGCGGTACTGTATTATCTCTGGAATCAACCTGCTCGAAGGGGAAGCACACGACATGTGTCAGGAGTTTGTGAACTTGATGTTAGCACATTCTAGGAATGCTCAGTGGGCACTACGAATTCTTTTTACAACTTCGGGGAAGTCAATGGTTCTCGATAGTACTTTGGGCAGAGAGAGCAAGGTATTCTCAAACAACACTTTCCGTCGGATGAAAGGGAGAAGGTTGGTATCCGATGGTATCCAAATGTCCAGTGAGTACCTAGGGGCCACATGAATTAGACTTCCGCAGAACCTAAAAAAGCCCAACCCAACTTAGGTTGGGTTTTAGGGCCATATCTTCGTACCGGGGTTGGGTCCAGGTTATGACCTTCGACCCGGCTAGGTTAGTAGGGCCCTAAGTTAGGTTATAAATAATATAAATACCTTAAATTATAGGATTTATAACTTATATAGATTTTCCCTAGACTTCCGCACGCACCGGAATTAGGTCGGATATCCCAACCTAGCACTGGACCTAGGTTAGGTCCGGTGCTAAACCCCCTGACCTAGGCCTATACTAGACCTAACGTTAGGTTTACCAGATAACCTAACAAAACCCTAATTGGACCTAACTTTTATATAATTCTCTATATAAAGTGTTACGAGCCAGATCTTTAAAGAAAGAGTGCAATTCAACGAAAATACTAAGACAGAGAAAGAAAGGAAAAGAGGAAAAGAAAACTCGCTGTCGCCGAGTTTTGGAGAGTCTTCGAGTTATAAACCTTACAAACCTCGGACCCACTCTATAATAGCTATAGTCACGTGACTTAGTTTCCTATCTACGATCGTTATATACTCCCCTATCTAAATTGTATTTAGTCCCTAAATACTAGCTTATCGTTATCTTCGTGATCCTATAATAACTTATCGCTTTCTATAGCTTTAATCTAGTAGTGTAGACGTACTAGGGGTCCGGGCTTTATAGGATATTTCTTATAGAATTCCTTAACCTTTTCCGGTACGTTTTTTAGATTACCTACTAGATACTACTATAAGTCTATATTATATCTTACCTACTCTACTCGGTACTAAAGCTTCCTATAATATATAGAAATATCTAAGATCTTACTAACTTCCTATTTATTAGTTTTATTTATCGTAATAGGTAGTATTAGATCTTTATATTACCCCTATAGTAACTTAGTCTTCGATACTTTATATAGTTTACTAAGATAGAAAATAGAGTATATTTTTATCGATCCTAGGAGATCTAACTTATATAAATTCCTAACCTTCTCTATAATTATATATAGTTTACTTATAGAGTAAGATTAACTTCCGGCTTAGTCTATTAGGTAACTAATCCTTTATTATAATAAAAACTTAATCTCTTATTCCGAAATCCTCTTTCTAATAATATTTATTTATTTATTAGATCTAAAGTTTCTAGGATTTATTAATTTACTTCTTTATTTTAGACTATATATTTTATAGTTATAAAAGTATATTTATTATATCTTACTTATTAGTAGAGATATACTTAGGATCTTTTTAGTTAAAGATTATTATAGGCTCGTACCCTCTTTTTATAAAGAAAGAAGATTTCTTAGTAGTATCTTATAGTAAAATAGATACTATAAAGTTAATTATAGGTAAAACCTCTAACTAATTATCTTAATTTAGTTTTATATATAGATAAAGATACTAAGCTATATACTAATTTATAATCTTACTCTAGCGATTAGTTTAAAGATAATATATAATTAATAGTTTTTTCTTAATTCCTAGTATTTAATAGAACTCTATCTAAAACTTAGAGATAAACTATCTACCTCGATCTAATATAATAGTCTTTAGTATTCTTAAAATATAAATAATATAGTCTATAAAGAGTTAGACTATCTACTATATATTTATATCTTTATAATAAAGAATCGAGATTAGTCGCTTATTTAGATAGTCTATAACTATAAATACTATATTAAAGCTATATTAATCCTTTAGAAACGATCTAAAATCTATTAAAATATACTACTAAGGTTAATTAAGGATAGGTAAAAGATAGAGAAGTCTAGATATCTTATCCCTCTATAACTTCGTTCTTTTATATACTAGATAGTTATCTACGTATCGTTATATATTATTAGTCTATCTAGGCTAATAATAATAGGCGGAGACTAGTTTTTTTATTTTCTTAATATCTAGATATACAACTAGAGACTAATAATAGATTTTATCTAATAACTAAGTATATAGATCCTCTTAATTAGATACCTCTAGCTTATTATTAAATAGTAAGAGTCCTTCCTCTAACTACTAGTAAAGATCCTCTTTATTTTATATCTTTTATCTTAACTCTTTAAGACCCGTATCTATATAGTTTACTTATTTTATATAGTTAACAATCTCTTCTATAGCTATCTATATTAGCGCTAATAAGATAGGGTAGATACCTTCCTTAAGATAATTATAAGGGAGTAGAGTAACGAACTTACTTAGACTTCCGTAGAACCTAGAAAAAACCTAACCTAACCTAGACCTAACCTAACTTAGGTTAGGTTTTAGGGCTATATCTTCGTACTAGGATTAGGTCTAGGTTATAGCCTTTAACCTAGCTAGGTTATTAGGGCCCTAAGTTAGGTTATAAATAATATAAATACCTTAAATTATAGGATTTATAACTTATATAGATTTTCCCTATATATTTAAGTATTTACTTTACGATCCCTAATAGGTATAACTATTTTTTATATAGAATTATTTTTTAGTAGATCTAGGAATATTAATATTATAATACTAATAGATAAATAGTATACTAATAATTAATATCTAATTCGAATATATATAATTATTATCCTCTCGAGTTTTCTACTTTTTTCCTAAGCTCCGGATCTAGGTCGCCTTAGAAGGTATTAGTAAATTAGGCCTAGAATTAATATCGATATTAATTAAAAGGGTATTATCCTTTTAGATACTATTCTTTTACTTTTTTATATTACTAATTAGTTTAATCTTAATAATCTTAAGACCGACTACAGGCACACTATTTTTACTACCGGCACACTATTGACTAACCCGTTTTAGGATATTTCCCGCTAGCCATAATTTATTCATAGACTATCGTATTTAATATAGTACTCCCTTAGTATTTCGGACAGTACCCGAATCTTATCAGGGCACCCTATCGCGAATATAGAATCTTACACGCCATCTATACTATCATACAAAAATGAAGCTATTCCCAGATACTGATTTAATCGAGTTTTTTCCTACTAAAAAAGGGGGTTTAGTATAAAAATGAAGCTATTCCCAGATACTAATTTAATCGAGTTTTTTCCTACTAAAAAGGGGTTTAGTGTAAAAATGAAGCTATTCCTAGATACTAATTTAATCGAGTTTTTTCCTACTAAAAAGGGGTTTAGTGTAAAAATAAAGCTATTCCTAGATACTAATTTAATCAAGTTCTAGTATAAAAATAGAGTTTTTTTCTACCGAAAAAGGGGGTTTAGTAATATAGGGTTTAACTAGTCATATAATTATAAAATAGCCTCTATTTTAGGAGATATGCTTAATCGATAGATCTTAGCCTACCGCGCTCCTAACCTCTAGTGCTTCTATCTATACCTTATTTTTATACCTTTCTACTTCTTTATAGCTATAGACCCCCCCCGAAATCGTCCAAATTAAGCCCCCTCGAGCCCCCGAGCTAAAGCTATCCCTTACCGATACTATACCCCTATTTAACTCTACTATACCCGGAACCACTAAAGAGCTAGTAATAGATTTTATAAATAATTAGGCTATACTACTTAGCTTCGTCCTCTCTACTAAGACCTCGAATCCTCGTATAGTCTATTTCTAGTATACTAAGGGGCGAGAGTATCGTAACGATCGCTCGCCTAAGTATAGGCTTCGTAGGGCTTAGAATTATAATACTAACTACCCCTTTTATAGTACCCTTACCCTCTCGGGAAATAGGGTTTAGCGTATTAGAATTATAGATCCTAGTTATAATTATAGTATTATTAATATAGCTACCTCGATTATCGCCTATAGGCGAGAATTATAACTTATCTCCCTATTCTTTAATACTTAAGTTATATAGGGTACTACGAACCGTCTTATCCTTACTAGTATCTAGCTCTTTACCGAGGAATAAGGCGAGCTATCCTACCTTTAACCCCGGGATATTACTAACTACCGGGCTAAGCTTAGTCTTACTAAGCTTTAAGGTCGTACCCCGGTATAAACCCTTTTAATAGACCTTCCGAAAGATAGTAGTTAGATTATATAATATAAAGTTAATATATATAATAACTTACTTAGTTATCTCTTTTTAATATATTTAACTAGCCTCGAGTTACTATAGGCCTATCTATATATTATATAGATAGACTATATATATAAGATTAATAAGTAGAAGATACCTCTACTTAATATTATTAGAGCGTCTTTAGTTAGTAAGACTTTTTACGTTACCTAGGCCTTTATAAGTAATAAGCGATAGGCTATATACCGTAAAGTACTATACTAGCTATATAATATTTATATAGCTATTAGTACTAATAGTAGTATCCTAACTATCTCTCGCTTAATAACTAAGTTTATCCCCGAAATTATTATAGCTTCTATTTTAAGAGTTAATCTTAATTAGGATAGTCGTACTACTATTATTTAAAGTTAGCTAGAGAGTAATTACCCTAAGAGCTTTTTACTAAGTATATTAAATATTACTCTATTCTTAGTTCTATTTATAGGGATTAAATAATCTTATTATAGTCCCTAGACTATTATAATAGATAAGGAAAACGTACTATAGAATACTATTAAGAATATAGTATACTATATCTACTATCTCTATCTAATTTACTAAGCTAATACCTTAATTTTACTATTATATAGGTATTTCTAGTATCTAAAGCACTCCTTTATATTTAGTATATTACTTATAATATTAAATACTATAGACGACTAGCTATCTATAGCTATCTCTATTAGTACCCTTCTAAGCCCCCCTAAACCTATACCGTAGATAGTATTAGTAAGAAGATTAATACTATCTAGTAATAAATAAAGGCTAATTAGTATTTAATCGTATTTATAAGGGTAGAGGGTAATAGTAAGAGGGGTTAGACTATTTATATAGAGACTTAGTAGGCACGCTTCTAAGAGAAATATAGGTACTACTTAGACCTTCTATAGTATATCGATAGGGAGTAGATATAGGGCTACG